ATTGCTACTGTCCGTATATATAGTAGTAGTACATTACATTAACGCCTCGAATAGCATAGTGCTAGTATAAACATTTATTCCTCTCCACTAAGCCGACCCTAGCACCGACTTTAAAGTGCCTCCCGGGGGATAGTCGCCGCTATTACTAGTAGAGAGATAAATATATAACCCTTAATCCTAGTATCAGTGTACTAAGGCTGTCTTAATCTGCTTGTCTATCTTCGTAGCCGAGGCACTCGTTAGAGTCGTTATAGCTCTAGAGGTGGGCGTCTAGGTATAGAGGGGCGTCCTCGCGTCGAGCCACTCCATCTGTCCTCAAGACAGGATTCGCTGGGTGGAGCTTGTTCAGGTGAACTCGTAGGTGGCTAATATCCCATTCGTCGTGTCCGAGGCTCTAGATTTCCTAGAGAATTTTGAGCTTATAGACTTTCGGGACTTACTTTATTACCACCTAGCGAATGTAGATATAGACGTTCCTCGGAATGGTTATTATAGTAGTTTAATTATCCACCGTAAACCTATATCTTATTCTTAGTTTACCGTATACTATATAAAATAGCGTCCACTAAGTAAGTAGGTACTAGGGGTCGAAGATAAGAAGCTCCCGAGGAATAAAGAATAGTCGTACAGGGAGGTCCGGGGTGATCTCTAGTTCCGGAGAGTCCTTAGTGCCGTCCTCGGTTGCATTAGCTAAAACAAGAGTATGTTAGAATGAATAATTATTTATGAGTTATATACTTATCACTTACATGATTTCGGTTCCTCGCTCGCCTAACTAGTATATAAGCCTAGGACCTCCACCTCTAGGCCTCTATTACCGTGGCTGGTGTTCTCTCCTTCTTTATTTACCATCTGCTGTCGGTTAGATATAGTATCGGGTAGGAAGGAGGTCGAAAGCCTCGTACCTTAAAAGCCGGTTCCTGTATTAGAAGAGTTACTCGGAATTAAAATGAACAAAATATTATATTGTTTATGTGTGTATCTATGAGTGAATAGAGGATATAATAAAGGGGAAGGTTTAAATTTATCGAAAAAACAGGTATATATAACTAGGAATATAAACAATTTAAGCAATTATTTATACGTGTACTGTATATATAGAAGGTATAAATATTTATTTATACTAAAGTTAGTTATATCGTCGTCAGCGGTAGATTAGAAAGGTCAGTGTCTTCGGTTATAAACTAGGGCGAGGCTTTATAGCTAGACGGGTATGCCTCTCGTGTGGCGGCTGGCAGGGCCTCTTAAACCATACCACACACTACATCTTGAACTAACGGCGTAAAGGTCTTGAGTAGAGTGTCTGTATCGCATATATTGCTGTCTGGCTTATTAGGTTATTTATATGCTATCCGTAAAGTAAGCAAAAGAAGGAAAAGAAGCGCAGCCTTGCGCTAGAGTGTTAGCTAATCAGAACGCTCGGTTATTACTCTAGACATTGTCCAGAGAAGTAGCTGCGGCGTGGTAGGTGCAAGAGGCTGCGGCGTAGTGGGTGTAAGAGGCTGCGGCGTGGTGGGTGCAAGAGGCTGCGGCGTGATGAGTGTAAGGCTGCGTTATAGTAGGTTAGGGTGCAAGGCTGCAGGTAGAAGTATCACGCTCTTGGCGCGCGATGCCGAATCGGTTGGGAATTATCACGCACTTGGCGCGCGATGCCGGATTAGGTTGGGAATTATCACGCTCTTAGCGCGCGATACCGGATTAGGTTGGGAATTATCACGCCCTTAGCATCTCTCGGTTAACTTCCCTAAAACGCTATAACAACGATATTTTTAACGACGACTACTACTCTTAATATAAGGAATTAGTAAATAAAAGTTATACTATTCGAACTGTCTTAATGAGCTCTATCTAATGGTGCTAGTATTATTATAATAGCTTTATTATTTTACTCTAAACCTAAGCCTAGTTTAAGGTATAGATAACAACGATATTTTTAACGACAACTACTACTCTTAATATAAGGAATTAGTAAATAAAAGTTATACCATTCGAACCGTCTTAATGAGCTCTATCTAATAGTACTAGTATTATTATAATAGCTCTATTACTTTACTCTAAACCTAAGCCTAGTTTAAGGTATAGAGATCTGCCTAATCTTGCCGAGTATCGACATGGAGAGGTCACACCGTATCCGAATTTACCTCGAACCTCTTTATCGCGACCGAAAAGAGCCCGTATAAAGGCAACACGGGTCTAGCACGTGAGATACTCCATGAGGTGGCAGAAGGTGGCCAGGCCGCAGATGACAGGCAAGTCTACACCTCATGAATCGCTAGGGCATTGGCTGTGGTTCAGGTATGGGCGACTTTTGATTACCTTAGATGCTATAGCAGTGGTCAGACAGACTGCGGTGGAAGAACGATTACTTCGTGGTGCACGCGGTGGCCATCATCTACCTCCCAAGGCAATACAAGACTTTATGGCTGGAAGAAAAGACCTTGATCCACGTGGCTACGAGTATTAGCGTACTCTCCGCATTTGCGTCGGCCTCATGGCCTTCGACATGCCCTCAAGCTTCGCCCACAAATCCTTCGAACCCGATAATAGATTCCAAGCATGACCATCGGTTCCGGTCGCTGATCCGGATCCTCCACAACCATCCAGAACGCATTCGCCGTTCGATTTCCTCTCGGCACGTGAAGCCAGAATGCTACCTGGCATCGCGTACCATCTCTCGTGGTAGCATCGAAGAGACGAGCTCATCTTTCGAATGTCCTGCTACATCATGATGTCCCCACTGGGGAGCTCATTTAGCGGTCTGCTCGTATCTACAATCTTAACACTCGACCAGGTGGGCTATCTACGGACCTGGAGATTGATATCTGTCATTAAAGGCATTATCATTTGCGGCTGGGCATCTTAGCTTTCTTCGCGCTCACGGATAGACCCGGTACAGCCAGTTGGCTCTCGCCTGACAAGACAAATCTTGCCGTTAACCCTTTGCCCGACCGCAGTCCGAGCGGACCTCAACCACGGAAGCTCTCATTACGACAACAAGAAGCGAACCGTTAGGATTTTGACCAGGAAATGAATGGGCTATCGACAAAGGATTTGCAAGTCTTGGACTGGCAGCTTCCAGCCTCCCACTGGAAGTCATAACGGACCTATGGAGACAAGGCATGGGTTTGAATGTCGATTCGTGAAGCCACAGTCTGTCACTCCGAGCTGTCCTCTCGTGTATTCGCACGATCGCACTAGGCCAGGCTACCCTGCGTTTGTGCACGGTCACACACTGAACGCGTCATTATTCAATACCCCAACCGACCGCCGCTCCCCCTAGTAAACAGGATATATGCCCATCCAGCTTCCATGTCGACTTGGCGGAGTCGGGCCATTAATGTCGCCCTTGACGAAATGTGGAAGGATTTCTCCAGCGAGAATAACTCCCACAGCGAAAGGCAGAAACTTGGTCAATTCGTCACCTGCAGCAGCTTCAACTATTTCGGCAACTGCTCCAGGAGTAATGCGGGTCGAAGTTCCCTCTGGACCCCATCGGAATGGATAAGTCACCCAGCTTGGTGACTTAACACCGATAAAGTCTGCTGAGACGAGCTCATACTTCTGGGAGCAGTCCAGTTTGTAGTTGCTCACAGCTGTATCGTTGCGCACGAAGAAGCCAAATCCTGCCGGGATACCTCCTATCTTCTTCGACTCGGTCGGATTGGATCCCGCGCGAGAAAAGATCGCATGACCATTGCGCGACGAGAAGATGATCGGTCGTGTGCCCTGGAAATGAAAGGCCCGCTCGATCTGGTCCCCCGTGAAGAATTGGCCCTTGGAATGCTGCGAAAGCCAGATACTGTCAAGGTTGAGTGTCGTGTTGTTGACGCGTACCATGCACATCTCCCAGTCTCCCACGTGTTCGCCGAGCGGAGACACATTGATATCCCCAGAGCTCGTGATGCTGTCCATCACCAGCCCGTCGAGGTGGAGCGTGCCTGGGCCGTTGTATGCGTTGAACAACCAGAATTGCAGGTCTGTGTATGGCATTCCAGGCTGCCAGAATGCACGGACGTATGCTTTTGCAGCTGAGAAATCTCCCTTCTTGCCGTCTTCCTTCAGCTGCAGGTAGTACTGACTGTCCTTGCCCGTTTGTGGCAGATTCGCGGCAGTCGGTTTGCCCAATGACTTTACCTTTTTAGCCTTTTTGTCGAGGACTTCGATCAATTCTGAATGATTCAGAAAATCTTCGACGGAGGTGTTGAAGAATTTCTCGTCAGGATGCAGATTGAGAACCGGTCCATATTTCTCAATGAGAGTCTTGATTTGTTCCTCCGTTAATGGCTTAGCTGTTGTACTGATGGCTGTCGGTGTTACGAGACCTCGGACACTGGATTGGACCACCTGCGGTTGGACTGCAATGGCATCAGTGTATATGTGGTGATCCCCAGCTGCGACAGACATGGTGATTATTGTGATGGTGAAGGACTGATGTCGGTAAGTTGGGTTTGGGCGACTTCAGGCTACTTATAAAGTCGCCCACTATGTCAGCGCAGCCTGGTGTGAGCTGACGGCTAAGGGTGTTCATTCAGCTCGTTTCTTTCCCATTAGACGATCCCTTGTGTACCCCCGTGTTCCAAGCGACTTGAGGAAAACTGCTTTGGTCCTATGATAGCTGGACACGCAAGCGAGGCTGGCCAAGAGCCTGAGTGTCGACTCGAGAAAGGCTAGGCAGGAATGGTGGCCAATCAGCTAGGGCTCTCAGCCAAGCTCTGTAAACGTGCCCGTTTGGTTGATGTCGACCCTTGGCGAGTCTGTGTCCCTCTTCGTCTGACAGAGGCCTTCCTTAGGTTGACTGCAAGCCATACTCAGCGCCACTATCAGATGGGTTCAGCCGCAACGTCGCTGCTTAGGCATTCCAGCGCCCGCACTCGCTTGGAGGAATCGACGAGCAGATCCGCTGCTCTTGGAGTCCGACATCACTCACATGGCGTCAATAAGCTGGCTCAGAGTACCTTGATGTGTGACACGTCATTCGATCTGGCAAGCAACAACAGTTCCACGCACTTGTTTTGAGCAGTATGTATTCTATGCGAAAAGGTCGAGCCCCTTTCGGTACCATCTTGGACGACGATGTTGGAACAATACTGTGACAATTGATATATGCAGGCGAATGAAGGAATTGAGATGGCCAATATGGTCAAAGCTGCAAGCTAAAACCAGAGGGTGTGCGATGAAAGAGCCATAGGCCGAATTAGATTCCGAGGGGGCAGCTGATATGAGTCTCCCAGATGTCAGCTGAAATGTAAGGCGAAAATGCCGGAATGATGAGGCGGTATTCACTGCCAGTCTGATCATTGGGAGCGAAATAATCAAGAAATTGGGCACCTCCGCGTCACATGCATTTGGATGTGGACGAGGGGGAAAAGAGTAAGGACTTTTTAAAGGCTCATGCAATGGACTGCTCGGACAAGGCTTAACCCACCTTTAGGAGCGTTGACGCCACCCGCCTTGAGGTATAGCCTTCGGCATAAACAAAGCGAACTGGAGTCTACGTTCTGAGCTTCGGCCATCGGTGGCCTGGATTCTCGAGCTTGGGAATGATTGTCATGTGAATCTCTTGCTGTGCCGGACAGCTTAACAGGTCCAGTGAGGTAAAATGTAACCCGCCGTTCTGAGAGCCGCTGTTCGCCCCAATCTGTTCTGGCCTTCCACCCGCGCTGCATTACTCATGCAAAAGTCAAGACAATCAACGTGCATGCTATCATGACAACACCTAATCCGGCTCTTGTCTTGACGGCATCGCTTGAGGGTGAAGCTGACGCCGCCGATCCCGTCGCTGAGGGACCCCCGGACCCACTGCCCGAGCTTGAGCCCTCAGAGCTCGCTCCAGTAGCCGATGCCGTAGCAGTGGCAGGTGTGGAAGAAGGTGCGATGCTGGGACCAGGGCCGGCCGTGATCATCTGCCCATTCCCGCTTGGATACGTCGCGCCGGCAGCAGCAACAAAGTCCGGAGGCACTCCGGTCTGGTTGCTGGCAAAGTAGTACATTGCTGCTGCAGCTGTTTGACCTAAGTTCGACTGATCCAGGAAATCTGTTAGGTTGAAGCTCGTCCGGTTTGTAGCGTTGTAGCCTTCGAAAGCCGGCGGAAATGTGAAGTTCTCGTGCTGGAAGAAGGCGTACAGGATGTACCGATGGGCGGAGGAGTTCGTTGGAGGGGCCGGACCGCGATACGGCGCTCGTGGCTGGGTCGTGTTAATGAGTTGTGTGGTCCCGTCAGCAGCTTGTGGACCGGTTGTCATGTTGGTCTGCAGCCAGTGGAGGATGAACCGAGACGTGGGCGCTTCAGGGTATCTGGCATCGGGATCGACCATGAGGAGGGTGTAGGAGCCATTGTAGCTTGCGATGGACGCGGATCTAGAGGGGTCGACGGCCACGGTGGGTTCTTGAGAAGGAACTGCGCAATGTCAGCGGCCAGCCGGCAGGCTATGACTGGCGAAGGCTTACTTGTCACACCGAAGAGCTGGGCTTCGGCGACGACCAGTGGACTGCCATTGTTCGGGAACGTGACTGCGAGGGCGGTATCGTTCGGAGCCTCTGGGAAGCCAAAGTCTGGTGGAGGGATGGCGAGAGCAGGGCCGACGGCGAGGAAGAGTAGACTCAGCGCTGAAAAGGAGAGCATTGTGATGGTGTGTCAGTGCCAGTGCGGTTAGCAGAATACAAACGGAGAGAGATCCAGGGGACAAGCCAAGCAGGCGTCGCTATTTTGTGCACGAGTACTGTGTACTCTGTACTCCGTACTCCTTCAGGTAAACCCCAGTTCATCTCATATCGACGACGTCATCTCCAAGGCGGCAATTGGCCGTTTCACTGCTGTTCTGGAGTTGACTTGTCTCATTTCTGTCAGAGAGCCCTCTTGGCCGTGTGGACGCCGAGACAGTCTGCTGCGCCTCCGATGTGTTGGGAGGCGGACGACAGCTCGAGTTCACTCAAGGTCGAGACCGTGTCCAGTCCGCAGCGCTGATAGCCCATACTCGCTCCACTTGCCAAAATATGAGGTCCGAATAATAACCGTAGCGTTTAGCTCGAGCTCGTTCTTCAGGGAAGCAGCTGCGGTATCAGCGCCAGTCGGGCAACAGCCTACTGCTCGAGGGTGATTCTGTTGACGGCGCCCTCGGTGGAAAAGCCAGCCAGGGCAGGCATAGCAGTCTTTGCAGCACTTGAGTGCCCGCACAACGCGACTGTGCCGAATTCTTGGCCATTGCTTCTCACCAATCCGTTCTTGCTTACCCTGTTGCGACAAAGGCGATAGACCTTATTCCTGTAAATGATATTCTAACTTGTAAATCCCTCAATCCTGAGCCGCTGGTAACAGCTGTCGCTGTTGCTATACTCTAAGCACATTCCTAAGCCTTGCAGCGGCCGTCAGAAGCTGTCAAGGAGGGTAAGCATCCACCAAATACCTCGTTTGCCTCCCATCGGACGTGAAGGCTCTCTACACTATCACGGGCACTCTCGAGACTTACCTGGAACGACGGGACCTGCCTGCTAATGGTCCTCATCTCGCCTCGCGCGCAGGATTCAAAAAGGTGCCGAAGGTTTGTGTGAATGTTCTGATAACGCTTCTGAGAATCGTCAACAGCTTCATCAAACACAATTAGGCCTCGAATCAGAACGGCATTCTGTAGCAAAATGGAGAAGTCATAATGCTGAGTCCTCGAGCTTGCTGCTTCGATTGGAGAACACCCGTTGCCGCGCCCTCAGGGTAGGAAGATGACAGAGCGCGACTGCTATATTTTCCATGCCGCGACATGGCGGTGATTCCCTTCACCATCTTCGAGCCAGCAGCCCACAAGTCTTCCAACACAATTCAACTTTCGGCCGCCGGAAAATGATCATCTCCAACGACGAGTACTCCATCTGGAGGACAGCCCAAGATGCCAGCCGCCGCTGCTACCAACGCTTCTGTTGGCGAGGCTCTACAAAAGCAATATCCATCCGTCCATAGTCTTGACAGACTTTCCGAACCTGTGCATCGCCGAACTTGCCACGGGTCACTGTCTCTGAGCTATTCAAGTCGCGGAGGGATGCCCCTATGCACAAGTCAACGCCTCGTATATCAGCTTGAGCTTGGTTCCTTCGAAACCCGACCTTCCAGCAAATCTGTCCGTCAGGAAGTGGAGCTTCCTCGAGCCGGTCCCAGAAGAATGGATAGGAACATTCGACCTCTTCCACGTGAGGTTGGCCATTCAACCATTGGAGGAATCAAGGTTTACGATCAGTGTTGGACAAATTCGTGTCCATGCTGAGTGGATTCCACCACAGCCGTGGCTGGCTTTGGCTAACCACCAGTTTCAGAACCGGGAGGCTACCTTTAATGGGATGAGTATGAATATCACAATGCAGACAAGAACACCGTCCACTCGGCGAACGGCCGAGTCCCTGTTCCCGGCCCGGAGGTTACGCACAGCCCCTCCACCAAGGTCTGAAAGCTTATGATGAAGACGTTACAATGCCCGATCGAGCGTTTCGACCGATTGTCTGAATACTTCTCCACAGCGGGCCTCACAGACGTTACGGCGCACCGAAGGCATCCTCCGCCTGCCATATTTTGGGCATTCTACGAGCACTGGTGTGCGCTAATTGCACAGACTTGCCCGGTTTGGAGTCAGTCGATGTTGGGGCGGGACAAGAGGCAAAGCAATTGCTCGTGCAGATGAAGAAGGATGCGGTGGTAGATGGGGTGTATAGAGCTTATGTCACAAATTTCGTGGTCGGCAGGAAACCTAAGTAATAGCTAGACATCGGCGTCGTACAGAGCATTCTTGCACACAGGGCAAAAGTATACCGCAATGTCACAAGGTTGTCGGGTTGCACACAAGAAGTGCATCGCCTGTATATCCCGCCCATTCAGGTTCATCTAAACATTTCAGGCGCCCCAACATCCTTGGAAACTCGGATATAGGGCGCCTGAAGCATTTGTGTTCTACTTGAACGACGCGCGTCTTACCAAAAGCCAGGGTTCTCTACGCTCTCCTTCGCAATCTCCTCGTAGTTGCCTGACGAGAACACATCAAAATGTCGAAACCAGATCCGCTCGGCGTCCAAAGAGGCGACTACGCCACGAATGTCGCGTCCAACATCATCTTCACTATCGGCAGAGCGTTTACTGGGCCGGCGCAATACCTTCTCATTGCCTCCCATCCGCTATCGCGCTTCGGCGTTCCCCTTCCACCTTCTGGCAGACCACCGATCGCTCTTTTTGGACGCACATTCCCACGACTTCCGCTCATGACGGCACTTATGCCTGGAGTGCTCTCCATAAAGTATGTCCTTTGGGCCAATCTCATGATGCGGGAACGGATGACGCTGAAATTTGCAACCTTCGCCATCGTGTCTGACTTTGTCTACGAATGTGTCAGCTCGACAATCTTCACTGCCGCGTCTGTGAACCCTGCGTGGTCGGAGGGGTACTTCTATGCCGGCTTCACCATTTTCATCGCTAGTGCTGCTGTGGAACTCCTGGCCGAGCTCCAGCGGATAGCCTTCAAGTCGAAGAGGGAGAACCAAGGTAGGCCCTGCACGACGGGCTTCTGGGCAGTCACCAGACACATCAACTACACTGCCAATGTCTTGTTTGGATTTGGTTATGGCCTTGCCACTGGAGGTCCGGTCTACTCATTAGCAACTGCTGGGATGTATATCACCAACTTCACGCTCAATGCCATGCCGAGTCTCGAAAAGTACTGTCGGGATAAGTACGGCGCACCGTGGGTAAAGTATGAGCAGGATGTACCGTGGCAGTTGTTCCCCGGTATATATTGACGCGCCGAGGATGTGACGCACCTTGATACCCAATCCGAGGCCACTGGATTATATTTGCGGATGTGTATGATCATATGCAGAGCTGCATATTTTCGGGTGTCTCCTTTCCCAATCAAGCTGAACTCGGTAGCTTCGCCATAGCATTGCAGTGATCTGGTGCGTGAACGTGCAATCTATACAGACTTGCCCGCAGGCGCTCACAAGGCCCCCATAGCCTCAGAGCGCTTGTTTGTCCAGATCAGGCCAGACCCAAGGTAATTAAGATTATAGCATCAGTGGCCCTCAGGCGAAAAGATCAAGTGCAATTGGACGGAACACCGAAGGCCATTTGTATTCGTCCACTCCGCCGTAGATGGGGTAGTTCTGAACGGAGTAGGCGGCCAGATTCCGCAGCCCCGGCGGTGCTCTTCCGATGTGGAGATGCTTGTCCTCGTGGAACTGCCCCTAATCGTGGGGCCCCGGAGTGCTCGGGCGCGACATTGTCTCCAAGACGGCTTGCGACTGTTCAGCTATATATCCTTCGAGATCTCAAGTCATGAAATTAGGGCGTTCCAGTAATCCTCTGGAGCCCGACAGAAACATCATGTTCCTCGATCAGATCAAGGATGCGCTGCAAGAAGTACCAATATGGTACTTGCTGATCCTGATAGGGGTGGTTCTCGTCGCTCGCCTTGGTCTGAACAGGTATGGAGGCGGTCTCAACCACATTCCAGGCCCGACGCTGGCGCCTTTCACGAACCTCTGGCGGTTTTTCGTCGTATGGGGTCGTCGTCCCGAACTTGCACATATCAAGCTGCATGAGAGATATGGTCCGTTAGTCAGGTTGGGGCCTCGAGTGGTCTCGGTGTCTGATCCAGCGGCGATCTCGGTCATCTATGCTCTGAATGCAGGCTTCGTGAAGTCGGGGTTCTACCCAGTCCAGCAGACCATTGCAAAGGGCCGCCGCCTGTATACGATGTTCAGCACGACCGATGAAAAATTCCATGCCAAGCTCCGACGGGCGGTATCGAATGCCTATGCCATGAGCACCCTGGTGCAATTTGAGCCCCTGGTTGACTCGACGACACTGGCATTCCTGGATCAGCTCGAGAAGAGGTTTGCAGACAGGGCGGGGCCGGACGGGATTTGTGACTTTTCGACGTGGCTCCAATTCTACGCTTTCGATGTCATCGGCGAACTGACCTATTCGAAGCGCCTGGGATTCGTTGACCGCGGGCAGGATGTGGACGGCATCATCAAGAACCTCGAGTGGTTGCTGAACTATGCTGCTATCGTAAGTTCATCTGCGACGTGCTGAGCCATCCTGAAGCTCACACACAAATTGACAGGTTGGACAAATGCCGTTCCTGGATCGATTGTTCCTCAAGAACCCGCTGAGATTGTTTGCAAGTCAAATCGGACTCATCAGCTCCAACACCCCAGTAGCAACGTTTGCCAGGAACCGGATCGCAGCTCGACAGGATGTAGAGAAAGGCCAAGAAAAGGCAGCGATTTCATCTGATGGGAAACCGGGAAGGAGGGACTTCTTGTCGAGGTTTACCGAAGCGCATTACAAAGACCCAGAGTTTATCAGCCGGGAGAGAGTGCTGGCATTGACCGTGGCCAACATGTTCGCAGGATCCGATACCACTGCGATCAGCCTGCGAGCGATCTTCTATTACCTGTTGAGGAATCCAGACGACATGCAGAATCTCATGAGGGAGCTTTATGAGGCAAAAGAAAAGAACAATGCAACTGGTCCCGACGGGTCCTTCAAGTGGAACAGTGTCAAAGACTTGCCATACCTGAGTGCCGTGGTGAAGGAGGGTCTGCGCTGTCATCCAGCAAGCGGGCTCACCCTTGAACGAATCGTACCCCCTCAAGGCATCACCATCTGTGGGAAGTTCATCCCGGGCGGGACTATTGTGGGATGCAATGCCTGGGTTGTACACAGAGACGGTCTGTTCGGCGCACATCCGGACCAGTTTCGTCCTAAAAGATGGCTTGAGGCATCACCGGAGCGCAAGAGGTTGATGGAGAACTCCCTGTTCACTTTTGGCGCAGGATCACATACGTGTATTGGCAAGAATATCAGTTTGCTCGAGATGTACAAACTCGTTCCGGCGTTGCTGATGAGATTCGAGGTACGCGTATCGTGCGCAACTATGGTGCTAGCTGACGTTTCCAGATCGAGTTCGCGGATCCTACAAAGCCATGGAAACTCCACAACGCGTGGTTTGTCAAGCAGTCCGAATTCAAGGTGTGCCTTCGGCGGAGAAAGTGACGAGAGCCAACATTGCAATGCTCAAGAGTGCGCGAAGGTGGCAGGTGCATCAGCTTGCGGCCAGCGTCGCATGTGTAAGGGATCATCTTTGCCTCAGGCGCAAGCTCGTTTGCATGCGAAATTCAGGATAGAGGTAACGGTGCGAGCAACGATAGTACCCGACCTTTACGTCGTCAAGGTGACCAGGGGGATGCTCCTCCTCAGCAGGCTTGATGTTTGGAGTCCTGGGGTGTGTACTGCGATGGCCCGCGCAGGAAAGGCACCCAGATCTCATGGCCATATAGTGCCGGATGCTACTGGGATTATCGCGACGCTGGCTGATATCAGGATTACGAGTACAGTACGGAGTAATTAACACAGGTTGCCATGGTCGCCAGAGCTGTGGTACGTAGCTTGAGCCTCGGATAAATCGGAAATGGACTCGGTCAAATCGAATTCAGACGCCTGCACATACCCTCCGTCCCCTGTGCAGCAGCTCCGCGAGCTCTTGTTCTCTTCCGACCTGACGTAAACAAAGCGCACTCAACCCCACCTGTCTCCAACTGTTCTTCGCATTGAAGTCATCGAAGGCGCCGGAATGCGAGCAGGAACCGGCAACAGCCCACCTACAGCCTGAGTCAACCACCTGAAGACATCATCCCAATGAACTCCCGGCTCAGGCTATCTGCCCTATCGAAACAAATTTTCTCTGCCTCTCGGTCCCTCTCCACAGTCCCGCGAAGAACCCTCGCAAGCATGTCTCAAACACAAACACCCTCGGCAGGATGCTGCAACACCCCGGCAGTTGTAAGCAATGGCTACAAGGAGAAGGGTCAATGGACAACAGTCGATGGATTGAAGACCTATGTTACCGGGCCGTCCACGGCCACTCAGGGCATACTGGTTGTGTATGACATCTTCGGCTTTTTCCCCCAGACTCTCCAAGGCGCCGACATCCTCGCCCATGCAGACAACGAGCACCAGTACCAAGTCTTCATGCCAGACTTCTTCGAAGGCAAGCCGGCCGACATCTCGTGGTATCCACCGGACACAGAGGAAAAGGGCAAGAAGCTAGGCGAGTTCTTCCAGACGACTGCGGCGCCCCCCAAGACTGTCGAGAAGGTCAAGAGCGTGATGAAGGAACTGACGTCGAAGAACTCCGGCATCCAATTCTGGGGGATTGTGGGGTACTGCTGGGGTGGCAAGGTGAGTCTCTCGGTGCTGTCCCTTCTGTGAGCCCGTCATGACGGTGGTGCAGATCGTGAATCTGAGCTCTGGAGCCGGCACGCCGTTCAAAGCCGCCGCAGCCTGTCATCCAGCCATGGTTGACCCCAACGACGCACCAAACGTTACGATTCCAATGCTCATGATTCCGTCCAAGGACGAAGACCAGGAGGCGGTCGACAAGTACGAGAAGGGTCTGAAAGTTGCCCACCAGATTGAATGGTTCAAGGACCAAGTCCACGGCTTCATGGCCGCGAGAGGTGATCTCGAAAAGGATGATGTCAAGGCCGCCTACGAAAAGGCTTACCAGCATTTGCTCGACTTCTTCCACAAGCAACTGTGAAGCCCCGAAATTCGAAACACGGCAGCCGCGACTGTGCTGCTGGGCAGGCAGGCATGTGGGCCTGAATGACGAGCCAGGTGAAGCATAGCTCAATGTAAAAGTGCATCTCTCGTAGGGAATGCAAGTAGATCCTCTGAGAACAGATCAGCCTCTTATGTACAAAGCTTGTTTCCGATATAGGAGGAAAAGGAACAATGTGTAATGAATGCAGCAGAGCGCTGCCTCCACTGCACCCGCGCGCAGAAGTGCCCCTAGAGCTTTCTTCAACCACCTTCCCACTTCTTCCTGAAGTCCAAATGCTCCCCTCTGCAGCAACCATAGGCCGATGATTGATCAACCTCGAGTGGTCAAGGTGCTGCTATAGAGATGATCAGTACAGCGTAATCGCCCGGGTTCATGGCTGCCTGGGACGCCGGGCATGCAAGAGTCCCGGCACGGCTCTTTTCAACCAGTTCCTGTGCGACAAGCAAGCACGAATAGCATCAACATAGCAACCTATGAGCACATATCCATCCCGGTCTGCCTCGGCAGCCATCAAGTTGTTATCAAAAAACAGTCACGGCGGTCGGCTCTGTATTCTTCTGTACTGGCCGTTCTGATCTATCAGGTCTGGCGGCTACGAGGCGAGGAATCGAGGTTGCCGGCCTTGTAACCGCCTGAAAGCCATCCAAACCACTGGGTCGCCGCTGTGGCTTCGAACGCCATCAACGAGAAGTTGGCTTTGGCTCGGCTCTCCAGAGGAAGAATGCACCGATAATGATAATCTTCAGCCCCGCAGCGGTCCATAACGCGCCCGCCAAACCAACCGAGCTGTGTGCCCAGACACCACCCAGAATGGCTCCAACCAGTAGCAACAACGGGGCAGCTGCTCTGCGATTCCTTTCTGCATTCGCCGAGAGCCCAGCCATGAGCAGCGGATCAGAGAATAAGTCACAGTAGATACTCGTCAAGACGACGCTGGTTAAACTGTTGTACTGCAAAGCCCGGCTGGTGACGGCTTGTCCGCTGCTCTGAAACGCTACCAGCGCGATCGGAACGAGGACCTCCCACCGCAAGTCGTTCCCCTTCCCGTTATCGACCACCACGATAATCCCTGCCGCAATGATCAGGAGTAGCTGTGCCGTAAATGAGACCAACAGGACCCAGCGCCTCTTTGGTGAAAAGTGCCGGTGGAAGCGACTGAAACAGAACGAGCCGAAGCAGAAGAAGCCGATTGATGTGCCAGATCGGATCCATCTCGTGCCTGCAGTTGGTGCAACAAGCCCCAGCCCTAAGTACACAGTATTGCCAGTCTGCATACTCACGAACGAGCCCCAGATAAAGACAGCAGAACTATCCAGAAGACCTGTAATGACATAGGACAGCAGCAGCAGCAGGTCGGCCCATCGCTTGTCGATATCATCCGTCATGTACTCGCGGAAATGTTCGAGTTGAGCTGAAGTACTCTTCTTCCCGAGAAGAGGTTCATTTTCGTCGTTGGCGGACCGGTTTGCCGAGACATCATGAGATAGAGTCCCGTACCCATTTACTGTAGTCATGATGGAAGTCGAGCACTACAACTCTGTTACTGCTGGGACATGTACCCAAAAAGACGGGCGTGGAGGAGAGAGGACGTGGCTTCCTGTTCAGACGAGTGGTTGCCCAAGGACGACATTATTACGAAAAACGATCTGCCGGAGGACGGGCAGGACGGGGCAAATGAAGGGCTGTTTTGCGGAGAATCTGAAACGCATTATGAGTGGTGGATTGACGGGGCCGAGAAGGAAAAATGATCGCCTCGGTGACGGGACGCGACGACAATCGAGGCTGCTTGAACGTTTTGCCGTCATCATGACGCTCTCATCATTCGTGCGGCGAAGCTCCCCCTGCTACTGTTACGGCTGGCCGGATAAGAGACTGACCTTAGCTATATATTCGTATGCCCCAGTTCCCAGCTCTTCCGAAGAGCTTGTTTGTCCTCTTTCCCTCGATCAAAATGCATCTTCAGCTGTGGTCGCTCTTTGCCAGTGCTGCCTTGGCAGTCCCGATCATCGACCGTGAGCAACAAGCTCTTGGACCTGCTGGTGGCAATGGGCCCTACAACCCAGACAACAGAGATCCCTACGACCACAAGGTCGACTCATACGCTGAGGGCTGGCAACCGGAGCCGTGGAGGAACGGTGATGGAGCTACGGTGATGGGACCTCGCAACCGCGACCGAGAGAGGCAGAACCCGGACATGATCCGGCCACCCAGCACCGATCATGGTAGCATGTCAAACTACCGGTGGAGCTTTGCTGATTCCCACATGAGAATCGAGGTGAGTTTGGCATTCATGTTACCGTCGTGGGGAGTCCTAAACCTCTACAGGAAGGTGGCTGGACCCGTCAGACCACAGTCAGAGAGCTCGGCGCAAGCAACGAGATCGCCGGGGTCAACATGAGACTAGACTACGGTGTGATTCGCGAGCTGCACTGGCACAAGGAAGCTGAATGGGCCTATGTTCTCGACGGCAACGTCCGTGTTACTGCTCTTGACACCGAAGGCGGCAACTTCATCGACGACCTACAGAAGGGCGATTTGTGGTACTTCCCACCAGGTCACCCTCATTCGCTTCAGGGTTTGAGCGAGAATGGCACCGAGTTCCTTCTTATCTTCGACGATGGCAACTTCAATGAAGAGTCGACCTTCCTGCTCACCGACTGGCTTGGTAAGTCCACTCGCAGTACACTGCTCCAATTAGTTCTAAGATATCTCCAGCACACACTCCCAAGGCCGTTCTTGGGGAGAATTTCCGAGTTTCTCCTCAGATCTTCAAGACCATGGACAAATCCGACAAGTACATCTTTCAAGGTAGCCTTCCAGGCTCGATTGACGACGAGAAGCCAGACGGAAGCCACGTCAAGAAATCCAAGCTCCAATTCACCCACAAAATGCTGGATCAAGAACCCCTCAACACCACTGGAGGTCTTGTCCGCATCACTGACTCGACCAACTTCCCCATTTCCAAGACAATTGCGGCAGCTCACCTCGACATCGCTCCTGGCGCCATGCGTGAGATGCATTGGCACCCGAACGCTGACGAGTGGTCATTTTTCATCCGGGGCCGTGCTCGTATCACCATCTTCGGCGCTCAAGGTAACGCGAGAACCTTTGACTACGTGGCTGGAGATGTCGGTGTCGTCCCCAGGAACATGGGGCACTTCATTGAGAACTTGAGCGATGATGAGCCCGTGGAGGTCCTGGAAATCTTCCGATCCGACAAGTTCCAAGACTTCTCGCTATTCCAGTGGCTGGGCGAGACCCCGAAGAGGCTGGTGGCCGACCACATTTTTGCGAACGACGAGAAGGCTGCCAAGAAGTTTCTGAGCGAGATTCACAATGCGGAGAGGGATCCCATCAGGGGAAAACCCAGAGACTCATAGGCGGAGCTGCTGTGATCGTACTCCGTACAGGGACCAAGTAGAGGAGGATTTTGTTTGTTGTAACTTTGCCACATAGCTTTTAGCTGATGGACCGTCCCAAAGGATTTCATGGCACAGGCTACTTTCCTTCGACCCCAGATCCCATGTGGAGTGGTAGATCGATTTGCCGGGCTAGATCTTCGCCTGCGCAAGTCACTCCCCCTATGCCAAGACACCATGTGCTTGTACGCAGGAGAGTATTGCCAGTCAAGGACCTGCGCATAGTGCCAAGATGGTGTTTTCTTACAGCTTCAGCGGAGCTCGTGTCCACGCCAGATAGCAAGGTTAGCCGGAAGAAACGGGAAGTTACATGTTGGCTGGAAAGATCACCATTCCGTATTCGCCCTTAGCTACCATCTGGTAGCCATAGCAGTTCGTCCCAGATCCAGGCTTGGCTGGTGCCATCAAACATGTCAGTGAGCCTGTTGCTCTGTGTTGGCCCTGGAGCCAGTGGTCCTTGTGCTTGGAGAGATGTTCCCGTCATAGACGAAGATCTGCCGGAGTCCTGTTGTCGAGGCCCGTTATTGAGGTTGTTCCGCCCATCTCGAAACACTGCGGTCGATCAGCACAAAATGAGGACAAGTAGCGGAAGGGAACATACCATCTTGCAATGACATCAAAGCATCACTGAAGTTTCCAGAAGCAATGTCCCGAGGCAGCTCGAGGGTTTCATGGGAAAACAGCTCAAACACATCCACTACGCCCCCATCAGAGAGGTCCGGAGGTTGCATTGTCACATCATTTCCGTCAAGCAGGGAGGGGGCATCGCCAGTAGCACCCGCGGAGTCTTCTGGGAGCCTGCTTGATGCATTGCCTTCCCTGGAAGGCTCGGCTTCATTTAGTAAGGCTTTCAACTCTTCGGCGAGTACCAGCCGAACGAGTTCCTCCAAGATTGCCCCGCATTGATCGGATACCGCAGTCCTAAATCGATGCAATCGGGGAAGCTTGATGATTCTGCTCACAGCGCGTTTAGCTTGATGAGCCTGATCGGAGAGTGGGTCCGACAGTGCAAAGATGCCGAGTACCACGCCGGCCGTGAACGACTGGATGCCGGCATAAGCCGCTCCGTGGGTGTTTTGCAGAGCCCTGAGAATTTCCGAGTACTCTCCGATCTTCGAAGTGCTCATTGAAGACACCCAGCAATGGTATTTGCTGGTTTTGATTATAAGGTCCAAAACCTGGGCCGAAGTAACAGCCACGCCTTGGTCACCGTCAGAATTCCCTTGTGTTCCATCTGAAGGCCAGCGCGGCACCCGGTCGACTGTGAGCAACGGACGGTGAAGCACCAATTGGATGTTGTCATACGAGAGCTGGAGTGCAAGTGCTTGAAGCTGGAAAATTCTGGCGGTCTGTTGAACAGTATTCTCATCACTGTCGAATTTCAAATACTTCAATCGTAGTTCTCGGGGAACGCATTTCTCCCACTGCAGCAGGCGGTGATTGATCGCTTTGATCTCATCCACCACTTCAGAGAGTGTTGCTCCACTTCGTAGGTAGATATTCCGAGTAATGGCGGAGGCAATACGATAAAGGCGAAATTTGTACCTCTGATATGATGCTATTGTTACGGGTCCGAAAGACTGCCCATCATACGTTTCGATAGAATCAAAGCCCGGGCAAGTTACGGAGGTATCGTCGATGTTACCAGGGAATGAGACGTTCCAATCGCCGTCATAGATGTTGCACGGGGTTCCAAAGCTCATAGCACCAAAGCTGCACAAGAAGAATTAGGTCCGCGTCAACATCGGCGTGATGGAAAGCACTTACACTTCTGCCGTGTAGAGCGCCCAGCACAACCGGCGCCAAACTTCTCTGATGACAGGATCATGCATTTTCCAGCTCGATTCCTTGTGTAGGCCCATACTGAAAGCTAATTTTTGTGCACTGCCGTTCAGGGCGAGGCTGCGATTCGGCCGACTATGGTAGATATAGTAGGATGACAGAATGATTGCGATTTGAATTGCCTCAATGCGAGCCTCATCAAAAACGTCCAGTAATCGCTCCTCGGCCTTGTGAATGAACCTGGTTCCGAGACCGTCCAGGTCGAAGCCCGCACATCGTTCTTCTGCATCTTGCTTGGTGGCGTACTTCGCACCAACCGCAAGGACCAGCGCAACGAGGATGAGAAAGGAGACCTGGTCTGCACGCACGAGCCCTGCCTTTTTGAGATCCTGTATGCCGGTTCTGAGCGACGGTTCATGGAATAAGATCATGAACCAGTGCACGGCGTCCAGGTAACTTTCCAGACAGAACTCGATGACATGAGAAGGAGGTAGGTCGGACCCAAGCACATCTTGTATGGTTGTATAATGACCACTGGCATCATGAGACCGTGCATCAGGGCTACCACCAGGAATCGCATGGACAGTATGAGTCAGCCTCGCTCTAGAATTGTGTTCCCTGAATAGCTGGTCCACAACCTCGTATGTCGATGTCCTTTCTCGGTAAACCTCAGATAATCGTCTGCCTGACCCTTGCGGACTCTGCGTTGCTGCTGCTGTGTGGTCTCGATGAGAAGAAGCTGGCGAAGATTTCGCGAGGTCCACGGGTCCGAAACTTCGGGGTGAGAGAACACCGCGCTGATTTACCACCGACAGAGAGGGTGCCTTGGGTTGTCTGGGAGAACCTGCAAATGAACAATTCTCAGGTCGCTCCCTGCATTCAGCTCCGACTCGCACACACAAGGCACAAGGTCGAACGTCATCGCACCGTAGCTTTTGTTTGCGGCAACGGAGGCAGGCCTGTCGGGCTCGGGACAAGGGTCGCTTCTTCGGTGTGGAGGAGGATGGCATGGCGACGATTAGGTGGGATCTTTGACACGTAGCTGTCCCTCATTACCAGCGGCTTCGTTCACTCGGCCTTTGAGGTAGTGCGAGAGCGCCATAGTCGGCTCGATTTCTGCCAAAATGATGTCCAGAGCAGTATGTGAGGGAAGAGAGCAGTGAGAACGAAATGGTACAAATCGACGCAGGCTGAACCTCGGCAATTGGATGGACGAAGCAGGCGTGGCAAGCCTCGCAGGGCTGCTGCCTCGTTATTTGCGTTTTGGGGTGGAACTTAGATGGAGTTGCGTCTATCTGCAATCTTGTCGTAGGACTACGTATTAACATTCGGTGCATTTCACTGTCGCACAAAAGCGGTACCTCCTATTGTTCCTCACAGGGGCCGACGCTGAATCTCCTGGGCCGCGGCTATTGCCCTTGTGCGTGGGATCGCTGGACACCAAAGCATGCAGTGCGGACGAAGTCAATTAACAAGACATGCCACCAAGCCGCGATGCAACTCATACACATCATGAAAAGTTCCGCTTGCGAGTTAGGCCTGACAGTGCCCGGAGCTTCTCTCACTGCATGGAATACCGGCTCGGAAATCGGCCCTCCACACGACCGGAAGCACTTCCACCGGATGTGAATCGCATTGCGAATCCAGCATAACAGCACAGTCTCACGCCCAGAATGGTTTCGTCAACATAAAATGAGCTGAGCGCAAGCTAGAGGTAAGTCTGCTATACTGACTCGATTTCCCCAGATATTGTTTTCTTTCCTATCTCCATTAGAACGAGTGGCGATTCTGGTGCCATCTGCCCCCTAGTTCGTTGTCAGGCTATCCTTCAGTGAACGGGCTGCCTCTTCTGATTGGCTCTCTGCCTTCCGATCATGGCCCTCGCCGGCTCGGAGCCGATCGCTCGAGTGGGCGGCCTCAGCAAAAGAGCCCCTCGAGCATGTGAATCGTGCAGAGCTCGTAAGGTCAGGTGCGACGTCACGCGGACAAAAGCTCCATGTACAAACTGTAGGCTTGACAGCAAGACATGTGTACTGCCAGCAAGCAGACGGAGACACGTGGGCGACCGGATACTGGGCTCCTCTTTCTTGGAAGGCAGACAACACAATCCACAAAGCCCAATTTGCGACGCGATCATTGACTTTGGTGATACGAAACCAATATCGCTACACAACCACGTTGACTATACCTACGTGCAGCCCCAAGATGGCTCATTCGATGTGTTCGACCTTGAAGAAAGCCCTCTCTCCATGTATGACAAGATCGCCAGAGTCAGCTCCTCAGGGAAGGACACCGTGATCAACAGCAAGGTCTATTACCAGACATGTCTTCTGTCACCATATCCCTCGCCAGCACACTCACTCTTGGACTGTTCTCATCCCCACTGGATACTTCCGAACTATATCACACCCATTGCGAGAAACATATCCGGGGAGGACTTGCAGTATCTCAACAACAAAGGCGCTTTTGATATTCCCGAGACGCAACTGAGGGACCAGCTGCTGAGCGCGTATGTAAGATGGGTCCACCCTTTCGCGCCCATGCTAGACCTTGAACAGGTCTTGGTGGCAATCTTCACCAATGGCGAGAAGGGGACTCTAAGTCTTCTCGTCTTTCAGTCAGTGCTCTTCGCCGCCAGTGCGTATGTGCAGACAGGTATTCAGCAAGGCAACCGGAAACGACTGAGGCAGACGTTCTATGAGCGTGCGCGGCTTCTCCACGACTTTGATGCCGAGGCCGACCGCCTTTCACTCTGCCAGGCAGCGATTCTGCTCAGTTTTTGGGATGGCCAGCCCGGCTCAGTTAGAGACAGCTATCATTGGATCGGTATAGCGACCATACACGCTATCAGCCTGGGACTGAACGTCACTCCTGTAGAAAGCCTGGTTGGATCAGGGCGCCAGCGAGCGCTCAACAAGACGTGGTGGACTCTGCTTGTACGGGACAGACTACTAGCTGTTGCCATGCGAAGGCCCGTTCAGAACAAGGTGTTTCGATTCGATGCCCCCATGCTCCATCTCCTGGAGTTCAGGCCGGAATCTCTGGTCGAGGTGTTGCGCATGATGTTGCACATGGAAGATGTTACAGTTCAACATATGGAAATCCTGGTCGGGCTGTGGATGGCGCTCGCTCAGCTTTCCGAGTACATCGAGAAAGTGCTCAGTCTACAGTACACTTCTCAGAGAGCCTCGGCACTTCCCCTTCAGGGTTCAGCAGTCGTGTCGCTCATCCCACGGATGGATGTTTCGAAGACCTCCGAGATCAGGGCTTGCGGGCTCGAGCTGCAAAGCTGGTACGGGTACTTACCGAAAGAGGTCCAGCTGCTCGATCTAGCCGTTGGCCATCAGAACGAGGTAGAAACGATCAGAGTGCACCGCGCACTGCTGGCTGGCTACTATTCGATGACGCTCATGACGCTCTACCGGCCTTTGTTGAATCTGGGGTCTACCGTACCGAATGAACCGACATTATGCCGGGAGTCGGTGAGAGTTGTCTCGCAAGCGGCGGCGAGTATTACGGACATCTTCAAGAATCTGTATGCCGACAGTTCGATCACCCGGCTGCCTGATACAGCAATAGCAGTACTGGAGCCTGCTGCAGCGACGCACTTGCACTACAGCATGTCAGCAACGCCTACGGTCCGAGAGTCGAGCATCCAAAAATTCTACCTGTGTTGGCGGATCCTGCTCCAGTTCAGGCAAACATACCCTCTCGCAGATATGACCATGTCCATGCTGGATGCAGCTGCGAAGAGGCTCAAATCGCCTCCAGATCTCAGGGCCCTGAAGAGAGCGACTTTCTCCCAGCTGATGGGTGAGCTCGCGTCGGCAGATGAAGAAGCCGCGAGATCTTACATGGCCGTTCCATCTGTCCCATTCGTTGGGGTGGTAGGCGAGCAGAAGGCCGATCACTCTGATGTCGTCCATGACTGGACCAGACTGAGGAGCCTCCAAGAGGAACCCAGCTTTCCTGGAGAAAGTGGCACGGATCCCGACCATAGTTTTGGAATCGACACCGAGTCGGTGTTTGATCAGACCCCCTTCGACCAGCTTGTGTGCTGGGACGATGTGGAAGCAGAGCTGCTGTCGTAGAAATGGTATAAGGTAAACAATAGAGCGCGGAACCTCACTCCTGATGGCAACCGGAACAGTACCTTGGAGGCACAAGGACGTTTAAATGTGACGACCAATAACTTGCTCCTCTTCTTCCCCCAATAAACGGAGCCAAGTGGTATTGACCTTTCCCTTCTCTTGTCAGCCTCGTGTTGCGAGCCGCCTGAACAACTTTGGGTTGTGGCTGGCGTCTTAATTAGACGATGCGATCCTGAATTGCATCCTCTTTCACGGAAGTAGAAAGGACGTGTTCGCTCACTGTTGATTCGCTCCGTGGTCATCGCGCCGAGAGGGTATGCGCTGATCGCTACGTCACGCGGGGAATCAGTGCGACACGAAGTTGATGCACGAGGACAAGCGGCCCACGAATGATGTTTTCAAATCATGCGATGCACGAATACCCCGGCTGTCTCGTAGTGTTCGTCGCCTAGTCTTCTATCTCAGACGCATTGAAACAGCAAGCTTGTTCGCGCCCAGTAGTTTTTACGCACATCTCATGACAGCAGTCAAATAATTAGCCATGGCCGCGGTGGACCAAAACACCAATAGGCGAAGCCTCAATACAGAGGACGGTGACTATGCATCAGGGTTCACTGACAATCGAGGCGTAGAAATGGAGGACTCCGCGGTAGAACTGCGGGACACCTATGTGAAGCCAGGTTTGCAGGCGATTGTCCCGTGCTCTGGTTGCCGTACCTAGCTCACCTCCGGTTTTGCACAGGCTTGCGTGGGACGTTTCAATCCAAGTATGTCGTCCTGTGCGCTTTTGTGGTCAGGCTGGGCGGGTTCTTGTTCGGCTACGGTATGCTCTGGCTATGGCTGTTCTCAGTTAGACGAGGCTGCAATGCTCACTTTTTACGCAGACCAAGGTGTTGTCTCTGTCATCCTCGTCATGGATCAATTTCTGGACCAATTTCCTCGTGTTTCAGAAACGGCGAGTGGCGCGGGCTTCTGGAAGGGATTCATGACCGCGATGATCGAGTTGGGAGCGTTGATTGGTAGCTACCCTTTCTGTACTGAGTGTTGGCCATGAGAGTTGACTTCATTCAGGTGCGTTCAATCAAGGCTGGATCGCGGAAAAGATCTCGCGCAAATACTCGATCTGCGTAGCTGTGTGTATCTTTGTGGTGGGCTCAGTACTTCAAACAGCCGCTCAAAATTACGCCATGCTGGTCGTTGGTCGACTCATCGGAGGCATTGGGGTTGGAATGCTGAGTATGGTGGTCCCAATGTACATTGCGGAAGTGTCGCCGCCGGAGATCAGAGGTATAGCATCAGACCACCACCAGGCTCCGTCGTTAAGCTGATGGCTTTGCAGGCACACTGCTTGTACTGGAAGAGTTCTCCATCGTGTTCGGCATCATATGTGCGTACTGGTTGACGTTCGGCACAAGGTACATCCCCAGCCAATGGTCGTTCCGGTTACCTTTCCTGCTGCAGATCATACCAGCGATTGTCTTGGGCATCGCGGTTCTGTTCATACCTTTCTCTCCAAGATGGCTGGTGTCGAAAGGACGCGACCAGGAGGCGTTGGCGGCTCTGGTCAAATTGCGTCGCGTCCCAGCAGATGATCCACGTCTTCAAGCAGAGTGGTATGACATTCGTGCCGAAGTCGCCTTTCACAAGGAAGTTGCCCAGAAAAAGCGGCCAGAACTAGGACTGCAAGGACGACGGACCCGCCTCAGTGCGATCAAGCTCGAACTCACAGCTTATGCCGATTGCTTCCGGCAAGGCTACTGGAGACGAACGATGGTGGGCATCGGCTTGATGTTCTTCCAACAGTTTGTCGGCATCAACGCACTGATCTACTATTCGCCAAGCTTGTTCGAAAGCATGAATGTCACGTACAATATGCGACTGGTCTTGTCGGGTGTCCTGAATGTCACGCAACTTGTCGGAGTGTCAACTTCCTTGTACACGATGGACAGATTCGGCCGGCGTCCGCTGCTCCTGATTGGCAGTGTCTTCATGACAGTTTCGCACGCCATCATCGCAGTACTGGTGGGGTTATACTACGGCAACTGGGACGACCACAAGGACAAAGGATGGGTTGCCGTGGCATTCCTTTTCCTGTACATGCTGGCCTTCGGCTGCACGTGGGGCCCAGTGCCCTGGGCAATGCCCTCGGAGATCTTTCCAAGCTTCCTTCGAGCGAAGGGCGTGGCGTGGAGTACCTGCAGCAACTGGCTGAACAATTTCATCATCGGACTGATCACTCCGCCATTAGTGCAAAATACACGAGGTTTCGGAGCCTACACCTTCTTTGCGATGTTTTGCACCTTGAGTTTGCTGTGGACGTGGTTTTGTGTTCCAGAAACCAGAGGCCGGAGTCTCGAGGATATGGACCAGGTGTTTGGGGATCGGGCTGCCGTATCAGACCAGGTGCGGCGAAAGGAAATCCTGAAACAGATGAGGCAGGAAGGTGGTAATCCAGGGCAGGAGAGGTTAGAGAAGGCATAGTCACACGCCAGGTGCTCCGAAAGTGTACCTCTCAGTTAACGGTCAGTGAAAGAAATCCGAAGACACGAGAAAGTTAGTGGAGATGAAAAGAAGCTCATCTGGAACGGGAGAACGGAAAGCTGCGGACAGATGCAGACTCCCTTCGAGAGCACACCTGCCTAGGAGAGGTAAGCGCCACCTCTGCCACCCATAGTCAGGACAGCGAGGGCATATGTCGGATCAGCTGCGTCCATGAACTGTTCAAGGCTCGAAGCAGTAAAGTCAGATCTCGAATGAACGCGTGGTAGCCCCGCGCAGCAGATTGACCACCCTCCCACACCCCACACAGCAGCCTGGGGCAGCATCGGATGAAGGCCGAGGCCGCCAACTGCCGGTTGAGGAACTGTTAAAGTAAGAGACACAGTACGTGCCAAAATACTTGGGCCCCTGGAATAAAACCTTTTTAAGACTATTGCTTAACCGACAGGGTCAACGGAGTTTCTAGATCTCAACGAGTCGTCGTCTGCCAGAGAAGCACAGCACAGAGATGACGGTCCCATCAACGCATAAAGTCGCCATACTGGTGGTCAGTGCAGAACCAAGCATCTTTTGAACGAGTCTAGCTCACAAACAGTAGAGACATGGAGATGGAACGTTCCATTTCGAAACCAAGACAGTCCCAGTTCCCGAGATCGGTCCGCGCGATTTACTAGTCCGGCTGTCAGTTACAGGAGTGTGCGGCTCAGATTTTCACCTTGCCGCAGGTCACCTAGGCTCGACATGCGACATCCTCGGTCACGAAGGTGTTGGACGAGTTGTGAAGCTCGGCTCTGCAGTCGATCCATCATTTGTCAACGTCGGCACCCGAGTCGGTCTCGGCTGGGTACGCGATGTTTGCGAAGTATGTTATTGCTGCATGTCGCCCGGCGGGGAGGGACGCTGTATGGCGAAGCTGTGCTCGGGTTTCAGGAGGGACGGCACCTTTGCAGAATACGCTGTCGTCCCTTCACGGTACATCCTTCGCATCCCTGAAGACGTCCCGGATAACCTGGTCGCGCCGATTCTGTGCGGGGGAGTGACAGCTTACAAAGCTATCAAGGTCAGCGAAGCGGTCCCAGGACGGTGGATGGTGATCTCAGGTGCAGGCGGCGGCGTTGGAGCCCTGGGTGTGCAGTTTGCCAAGTCGATGGGATACCGCGTTATCGCCGTCGATCTAGGAGACGCTGATCGCAAACGAGAGTACTGTCTTAAGCTGGGCGCCGAAGCATACTTCGATGCAAAGGAAGTAAACGCCGCCAAGATTCAATCGCTCACAGGAGATGGCGCTGCAGCCGTGTTGGTGATGGCCAACACCGGGAAAGCATACCAAGCAGCATTGGAATTCGTTGCGCCGCTCGGGACAGTTGTGTGCGTCGGCATACCAGCCCGCGAAGACAAGGTGAGCTTTCATCCGACACTTGGTATCAACAACGGCGTCCGCATCATCGGCTCCGCAGTTGGCACAAGAAAGGACATCTGGGAAGCTATCGAGTTCGTCCAGCGAGGCGCAGTCAAGCCAGCAGTGGAGATGGCCACCCTAGATGATCTCACTGAGATCGCTAAGAACTTTGGAAAGGTGAGCGACTCGTCGACATCAGTGACCACAGTGCTAAGATCGACGCAGACTTCAGGCAAATATGTGCTCAGACTAGCCGACGAGGCAACCCAACAAGCGAACAGAGCTTGAAGAGCGTTACTTTGTATGCGACGCAAAATGTTGTCAACAGTAAGCTTACCTGAGAGGCACATGCCTCCGACCAACAGGTGACCGACCCTGTCAGTTCGGTATGTTCGTGTCCATTCCCAGGGCCGGATATTTCGGAGACGTGCTGATTGGCTTCACTCCCAACACCCCGGCGAGTTTGGAAAGTTTCCCCGCAAATGTCCCTGCTGTTAGATGCCGCTGCGAAGTCTCGTTGGCCTCAGTCAGCAGCACAACACGAATCGACGGGCCAGGGGGCAGCTTTGGATGCGTGTTCCATCAAGTAGGCGGGCTGAACCCTTCTTTTATCCTCCCTGGTCCCACTGTTTCCAACTTGCAACTCGTAGACAGCACTCTGTAAGCCATCTAACCCTTCTGTAAACCCCAACCACGAATATGGCAGCACGACCTCTCCTGCTTGTTGTACCTTCAGCAGCTCGAGCTGGCCTCCTGAGCCACTCGATTCGAACCGTATCCAGACGTACGTTCCAGGTATCTGCAGTTCCACTCAGACCTACCGTTGTAACGTCCTCCCCTTCTCAATCGACCCCGTTTGCCAGTCAGGTACCACCCTCAGGGGCCGTGCCACCTCAAGCAGAGGTCTTTGCAGATACCCAGCACACGGCCTTCCTCGGCGAAGCAGACAGTAATGACGGACACGATCTGAACCGTGAAATCCACGGGCCCCCCCTAGAAGCCCTGGACGCGCGCAATGCCGCATACTTGGGCGAAGCGGATTCGGACGATGGATTTGAAGCACGTAGGGCTGCCGAAGGCGACAACCACCCGTCTATGGACGCACAAAATGCTGCATACCTCGGAGAAGCGGACAGTGACGACGGCTTTGAGGCCAGAAGAGCTGCCGAAGGAGACAAGCACGAACCCATGGACGGCACCAATGCCGCGTTCCTTGGTGAAGCTGATAGCGACGATGCCCGTGAGGCGGACTTCGACATCAACCCTGAGAAGCACCGTCACAGCATCGAAGACACGAGCTCCAGTGGGCTGCACGGTCAGCAAGGAGAGCAGGATCAGTGAAAGCGAAACACCAAAAGTTCGGCAAATTACCCCCTGTCCTTGATAGCAGTTGAAAAGCACTGGACCAGTATCTTTGTGCTTGTAAATTCTCACTCTTTCTCAAAGTTATCGTAGTCCTCTTTCGACATCAGAGCGTCCAGCTCGTTCAGATCGGTCACCTCGATCTTCGCCAGCCAACCTTCTGACTCAGGGCTCTTGTTTATTGTTCCTGGCTTTTCCTCCAATAGCTTGTTGTGATCTGAGATCTTGCCGGAAACTGGCGTCATGATGTCTGAGGCAGACTTGACTGATTCGACTGCGCCGATAGTATCGCCTTTCGCGACATCCATGCCAATCTCGGGGAGTTCAACGTAGACGACATCGCCGAGGGCTTTTGCCGCGTATGCTGTTATGCCGATTGTACCTGGCCAGCCTTTAGTGAGCGGCCAGTAGCAGCATTCGAGACCACGCACCTGTCTTTCCATCGCTGTCAAGCTCGATCCATTCGTGATCTTCGGTATATTTCTTCACCAAGACTGCGACACATGTAAGAGCGGGCGAACAAAGCAAGTTGACCAACGTACCAGCTGATCTTGCGGAGAACGCTCTCCTGGGTTGCTGCCACTGGCAGTAGGGTGAGCTGATCGATGACCGTAGACCGGCGACTCGCTGCACAGAATATCTGGAGAATGACGGCACCAGCCGACCTAGGGTTGAGGAATTCATGACTTGCTCTGGGCAGGAGCAAACAGAATCGAGGCTGGGATCAAGGCAATTAAATCAACTCCGCAACTCGAGGTCAAAGTGACGGAGACAAACCCGCATGCAATTGGCGCCGACCCAAAGTGGAGCCCGACTGCCCGCGTGCTGGCGGAATTTCTGAATTGCATGCACCCTCAATTCGACATTCACTGTGTATACCATCGATTATGAACCCACGAAATCAACAACAATGCTTTACGAGCTCATAGCGGTGGTAGGCAGTCCTTCCCCAGCAGCTTCCCAAGCATTCGATGCTAACCCGCTTATAGGTCCGACCGGGCAATCTCAACAATGTCAAAGAGTACTTCTCTCCGCTCTATCTCTTCCAGAATGCCAGCTGACCCTGTTGTGTAGGATCGCGCGTGTCGCTGGCCAGCAAATCCTCGCCTCCAACGGCGTCATCCGTGGCATGAAGAACTGGGGACAATTCGACCTCCCTCGTCCCACGACGAAACATCAGACTCAGCACCGACAGGGCCACTACTTCGTGATGCAATTCGACGCTTCCGTGAAGGCGCAGCAAGATGTCCGACGCTTCCTGAGTCTCGATCCAAGAATGATCCGATTCAGCATGGTCAAGATCGGCGACAAATTGGGCGGTGTGAACGGCGCGATTGAAGATGTGGACGGCCAGATGCCCTGGAATGAAGTGAAGAACGAGTCTGTTTTTGCCAACCCAAGAGTAGGGGGCTTGCACGCTTTTCGATAGCGGCCCAGAAGTCATGAAGGCGTGGAAATATTACAGGTCGTGAATCTCGGCAAGGAGAGGCATGTCCACATATGATTTCTAGTCGACCGGAGCGCGACCAGACTACCCCACGAACGCCCGCTGCAAATGGTGGTATCATGTGTGTTGTGTCATCAAAACAGACTCCACCGTCCTCTATCTTTGGCCTGGACGGGTTTCGCCTGATCCTTCTTCGCCCGGCCCTCCAATTGCCTCAGACTCTCGATCTTCTCCAGGACCAGCTCCAGCATCTCCTTGCGCTTGATTACATCCAGGTGTCTCCGGACCTTGGGATCTTCCCGAGCGAAGCGCTCAATCTCGCTCTGGTCGAGATGTCGACCGAGCCGCAAGTCCAGCTCGCGAGGGAAATTGTAATAGAACTCCGAGAGAAGTTCCACGTTGAGGAAGAGCACCGCCGTTGAAGTCAGCTTGTCCGCAACCACGTCGAGGAAGACTTCAGGGCAGTAATATTTGTTCTTCGAGTTGGCACACTGCTTGGACTTGACGGCCAGCAAACGCATCTTGATGATATCGGCTCTGTCGCGCAGGAAGACGGCTTCTCGGCCTTGTATAAAGTTAGCATGAATTCAGACCAGGACAGGTTGGATCATACCTTTCTGTAGAAGAGCGGATGAGAATCCACCTGCACCGCCTGTTCCGTCTCCCTCAAGAACAACGTCGCCTTTCCTAACGCGGTCGATGAAGCCCATCACATCTTTGAGCTTTCTTTTACCAATGCTGTCTTCAAGCTGTCTTTGCGCGGTTTCACAGGCCTTGAGCTCGCTCTTCAGCACCCGGCCCACGTTCTCCCGTCCTTTGCTCCATTCATTGGGCTCGACCTCAATCTCGAACTTGAACGGCTTGATGCAGTTCTCGACCTGATCACTTGTGCTGTAGAAGCGATCGTTCAAGATGCTCGACGAAGCATCCACGATCGAGCGCTGTGCGAAGGGATGCGAGGCGAAAGTCGAGGCCGCGATTAGCTTGTCAATATGGCTCTGAAGCTCGGCTGCCACCACAGTCGTCGCCAGCCTTCCAACTCCGAGCTTGGTCAACTCTGACGTGGAAGCATCCAATTTGCGTTGCCAGTACAGCGAGTTTGGGTCGGCCTTGGGGAGCTCAGACAAGGGGTCCGCTTCTGGCTGCATTGGTGACAGGTCTTCCACAGGCTTGTTCCAATACCGCTTAGCCAGCAGATCCATCACTCTTTGGTCTAAGACCTCCTTCAGCAGAGCCCTCACCTGAGGTCTGCCAAACTGTTCACTGAACTCTTTGAAAGAGTGCTTGAAGCTGTCCAAGCTCTCTGCCAAGTATGATTCGGCACTGAGTGGCCGATCGTTGTATTGTACTTTGAACTCGTATGTCGCTTCCTCAAGCTCCTGAACGATGGCGTCTCTAGTGCCTGCAAGACTTGCCGCCATGGTCTGTTCGAGGACATGCATGAGCTTGTGTCGTAGTGTCGTAGTGCCAACAGCAACCTCCGACTTGGGGCCGAACTGGAGGGGATGGGACGAGAAGTACGCATTTTCGTTCTTGACAACAGCATTTGTGACATTCGCGCCAGTTCGCGAAAATAGCCCTGACGTCTGGTGTGGGATTTTGCAGACTACGCCAACATAACCCAGCCGTAAAGGATATTTCCTATCCGAGAGTATTTCGACGCCTCGCATGGGGTCAACCAAGTCCATTTTCGTGATCACACCGATCGTCCTCTCGCCGCGAGGGTCAACTCTTCGACTAGCCCGCAGAGCAGTCGAGTTGGCCAAGTCTACATCGGCGGCGGAGATGGCCAGGATGACATTCGGCGGCTGGATGTACTTGTCGCACAGGTCGGCGATCTTCTGCTTCAATTCGACGGGCTGGTCTTTCCCGACCACCTGGATGTAGCCGGGCAAGTCGATCAGAGATAGATCTGGTATGTTAGGAGAGTGAATTGTAAGCTGGATAGGATCATCCGAAACGCACTGCTCCGTGGGAACAGCAAGATTCAGGTCTGTCAGCGTCCTCTGGACTTGGGAGAAGTCCGTGATCTTTCCCAAGCCCAGGGCTGGGAACTCGCAGTATTCTGACTTTGCGTCTGGCGTATTGACAAGAGTGAGTTCAATTGGGCGTCTAGTGACCATGTTTGAGCCTTTCGGGAGGAATTCGTGGCCGACTATTGCTTCGAGCACGGAACTTTTCCCTGATGATTGTGACCCTATGACGACGATCGATGGTAGGGTCAGCGCTCCCCCCTGTCCAATTGTATTCAAGATGCTTCTAATCTCGATCATCTTCCTCGTCAACAGCATCATCTGATCATCTTTTGCGATATGTGCGTCCGAACGGTCCTCGTCTTCGTCAGACTGCTCAACTCCGATCGCCAACCCGGACGCTGCCGCAACTCCCGCAGAAGCAATCGTCGACTTTGGTTGTTCCGGTCCAGAGCCTCCCTCCCCAGAGCCCTCACCCTTCGCGAAGAACTGCTGAAGCCACGCTGGTAGATGTGCATCCTCTTTGGTCCGTTCCCAACCCGCTCCAATCTGGTTGGCGATGTCCTTTGCGCCTTCAAACATACTCGACGACGTCTCAGTCACAGCCTCTCCAGCCTTCCGTAGAACGTTCATGGTATAAGTGCCCGCTTGCTGCGCCTGATACTGGATGTAGGCCAATCCTGCGAGCATGCTGGCTCCTAACATCGCAGGCAGCCGAGCCATCCTGAGCGCAAGTTTGGGAAGGATGCGTACGAAAGAAGCATGCCGAACCATTGGGACATTGTGTATAGAACTCGATCCAAGAGGCCATGTTCGAGGTGGGAAGCGTGCATTTGGCCTTAACAGGCCACCGGCTTTCGTCAGGACATGATGCTGCAGATTTCGTGCGGCTGCCGGAGTCCGCTGGCGCAGCAAAGGCGCGACCCTCGCCGAGAGGAGTCTACCGCTCATCACAGGTCAAGTGCAGCATCGGGGTAGATGAAGGGGGGTATATGATGGTGCAGTTGAGGATGGTACGACAATACGCTTTTTGGAGTGGGAGATGCGAGATGAGATGCGGAATGACGTCTGGTTGGCTCAGGCAGGCTCCTGCCACAAGTAGGCGCCACTGCAAGCCACAGCCTTCGGGCCACTCTCCTACGGCATCCTCCTGCAAGGCGGTGAAGTCGAGGCTGTTGTTTGCGTCAATTAGCACCAAAGTTGCGTGTGTCACGATGGCCTCTTAATGCACCATTTCAGTGTTTGATCTTGATCTGTTTTCTTCTTGAAGATACCCAGGCGTTGAGGGTGTTTGGGTCCTTCGATGCTTGGCTCTTGAACACGTTGATCTCCCCTTCATTCGCTGGCTTCGTTTGTCTATTGTCGTCTCAAAAGCTGGGAAATGCTCACACCCAGGTTTATGAATTAATCAACACGGACAAGCAAAGGCCAAAGCATTCTGCGGCACTACTGATACTGCTTGTAGCCACAATATGTGCAGATTCATGGTATATTGAAACAATGGCTTCTTGGGATTCAGACGCTGACATTCAAAGGTCTACAAAGGCTCAAAGCCCATCATTCTTTCAAAACTGATCACGGAGCCTTCCCATAGTATTCTAACTCAGTCTTACGACAGCCGTCTGCGTCTCGACAGCCGGCGCCCTGTCAATGGGGATGGCTTCGGGGTAGGCTGGTACACTGAGCCAGAGCTCGGCCCTGATCCCTGCATCTTTACTTCGACACTTCCAGCATGGAACTGTGTTAACCTTGAGAGGATTGCTCCAAAGACCGCTTCCAGGTTGGTCTTCGCCCATGTTCGCGCCACGACCGAAGGCTCACTGGCCGAAAACAATTGTCACCCGTTTCAGCATAACACTCTGATGTGGATGCACAACGGCAACATCGGAGCCTGGACATATGTCAAGCGGCCGTTGGCCGACTGTCTCTCCGACAAGTGGTTTCTCGGTGTCAAAGGCGGTACAGATTCCGAGTGGGCGTTTGCTTTGTTCCTCGACACCCTGGAACGCGAAGGCGTAGATCCCAGTGCGGAGCCAGAAGGAGGCTTCGACACCAAGAGCCTTCGTCGCGCAATGAAGAAGACCATCGCCAAGATCAACGAGTTCGTCAAGGCCGTCCCGGCTGAGCACAAGCTGGCGGATGTAGAGACCAGAAGTCTCCTCAACTTCGCCGTGACAGATGGGCATTCTGTTATCGTGACCCGGTATGTCAGCAGCAAGACGGACGCTGCAGCCAGCTTGTATTATTCATCAGGCACAGCCTGGGTTGAAGGCAAGACGAAGGGCCAATTCAAGATGGAACGGAGGGACAAAGCTTCCGACGTGGTTCTCGTGGCGAGCGAACCGTTAACTTTCGAACGGCACAACTGGCTGTCGGTGCCAACGAACACCATCGTGACCATTTGCAGACAGACGGTGTACGTGCGCCCGATCAAAGATGAATACTACGACCCAGACCCGTCAACGGAACGCTCGACTGGCTTCGCTCGATCGAAAGGCCTGGTAGCGAAGGCTCCGGGCGGTGGCACGCAGACACCAACCCCTGCTGCTACTTCAGTGCCACGAAATGAGGTTGAGAAACCCAATGGAGAATACATCGTCAAGGAGGACCTGGAAAGATTCCAAGAGGAAATGTCAAAGCTGCAGCTGCACAGTGATCAGAGGATTAATGGCAGAGCAGGCGACCAGCTCGTGCTTTAGAACATGGCAGCAAATCTACAATGTTTTACCCCGCACCATCAGAAGGCTACTGACGAGGTTGGCGAGATCCCTAGCAGGATTGCCCAAGCGTATAGATGCGAAGCCACAGAAAGCAGAGCCTCGATGACTAGCTTCTGGTAATGGGGATAGCTGTTTGTCGCTGAACCATGCACACGGCGGACAGAACGAAATATGTGGGTCGCACGGAGTTTATGGGACAATTGTTGCTAGGTCAGAGACCATTTCACTCTGTGATGTATTCGAAGCACAAGGCTGGTTTTGAACGATACGAGCACATCACAAGTTCATCGCAGGGAGTTCGGGACAACGACAACGGGCAAATTGGAGCGCGGTGGAAATGGGAACAGAGCGAGGCGTTGCAGGTTGACATTCTCCATCGATACCCTTATTTGGGACCTTGTTTGTGTCGACGCTGGACCCATGCAACTCCGATTTCTGTCTCCTTAACCATCGTCTCCTCTGAAATCGGCGTGTCTGAAATACTTCATGCCCACCCACGCGACCACCACCCACACCCAAGCCATGATGCATGTCAGAACGAGTAGTGCTGGATAGTACCCGACGATGGGCAATGTGGGATCATCCTCTAGCTCGGGCGGCGCATAGGGTGTTTCTCCCACATCCCAAGCCCATGACCACACACCGAAGCAAGAGCCCATGCCCACCACAAACACGATCCACGTCACGATCAAGATCACGTAGCCCCAGAATGCGGTCTCGGAGTAATCCCATCCTTCCTCGTCTGACGGTGTGCCTGCAGCTGATTGCGGCTGTGTGGCTAAAGGGGATCGTGTGCGAGACCCAAACATGCGCCGCACGGGATCTTGGATCGGGAAGTAAGAGTCCGTGCCAAAAGAGGAGGTCGAGAGTGGCTTGCGCAAGCCAGGCATCCGGGGTAAGACTAAATCGTCGTCGTCCGTCTCCGCGTCTGTGGTGGGCAGATGAGGACTCATTATCGAAGCAGCAGACGAGGCTGGATCTATTGAGGCAACGCTGCTGCGAATCGAGGGAATGGAGACCCGCGACAGTGTGCGAAACGGCCATGACGGAGGAGACTCGGGCGATACAGGGCTTGACAGATCTTGACTTGCTCGAGGTGTCGCTGGAGCCTCTGGTTCTTCATCTGTAGGCTGCACAGAAGGAGACTCTGCACTCGCGAGAGGAGATTTCTTGACATCTCCCGTCTTCCTGTCTCGTCCTTTCCCCAGCACCGTTTTCCGCAGTGAACCTTTCCTCTTCCTCTTGCTCTGTACCTGTGCTTCGGCCATGGCGCTCCGGCCAGGGGTTGAAATGTCTGAGTCATCTTGACCTGCGGCTTCTATCTTCTTCTTCTCTTGGTCGCTGTTCGTTCGCAGGAATCGCGAGAGCAGATTGCCCGAGGCAGACCGCTTCTGACCAGGGACGCTGTCGGTACGCTTTCTGAGCCTGTTGATCTCACGAGACTCTCTTTCTTGCCCGCTGCCGCTCACTTCCTCGTCAATCTTAGGGAATGGAGTGGGTTTGTCGGTGGTCTCAGAGCGGCCATATGTTGACCCGTTCATGGCACGTTCGTGGCCGTACCTGTATGTTGCGCATGTTTTTGCTTGTGCCCGAGGCCTTCCAACAGGCCAACTTTGTCGGAGGTGTACACAGTCAAGCTGTGCATCTAATGTTGCGTGCAGACCTCTCGGGGAGAGCGACTGCGTAACCCCGAAGCGAACGCAATGGTGGAAATGAGCGGAGCGGTGTTTTGCATGGTCGGGGCCCTCACGAGTCAATGTTGGGAAGGTACGCCGAGGTCGTGATCAACTGTCGCCCTCGTCCGTGAAACTTTCTCCAACGCGTGCAGCGCCAACTAAGCACCAGCATCAGAAGTTGGGCTTCAACCATTCTTTTCGTCGCCTTTGTCGTTTCACTACACCGTAACTTTTCATGCCGCTCACTCTGTTGACGTGGAGATCGGAGCATATTCAGGCGCCTTTGTCACTGACATGGACACTGCGAAGAAGCGACTGTTAGGGCAGGAATGTCCCATGCCTGCCTCTCACAAGTGACGGGTCAGATTCATCAGAAACAGTCGTATTATCTCTCAACGGATTGTCTCGTGCGTCGTCGCTGTTTCTATCCACTGGTTTCACACATAGCTGTCGGTACGGGCTAGATGTCGAGAAAACTCAGTGAAGCACCACAGCCTGTTGGATTTCCTGCACCCCTGACATTGAAATCCGATAGTTCTTCCTCACGGTTCTGCTCCAGCGCATGACCACGACTAGCTCGTTACGTTCCAGTACGACATGCACCGCCAATCCGTCTCTGGTGTCAAGCAGTTCAGGATTCAAGGGGAACCATATCCTCGACCGGTCAAACTCCGTTAGGATCTCCAGCTCTGGAAGGAGGAAGCAATCGAGATGTGCGTCCGGATGAGTGCCGAACGTGTCTCTGATCAAATTATGGAGGTGAAGCTGAAGAGCCTGTAATGTCTTATGGTTAAGTGGCCTCCTGATGACAGGACTAAGCTTGTCGTAAAGGTCCCTCCACCCATGCTCCCTGGCAATGTCCAGCGGAGTGCTGAATTCGCTCGAATCTTTTGTGTCGCGCACAGTCCTCACGAGACCTAGTATATTGTCAACACCTGGATCCTGACTACCCATGTGTCACTCACGCCAAGCGCCTCCTTTTAAAAGACCTTCCACAGCTGATTTGTCACCGTGCCATGCCGCTTGGTGTAAAGGCCTGAATCCACTGGTGATGCGGTCCGCCTCATCAGCATGATCTAGACAGAGTTAACATGAGGCTCGACCATGGTGCGTGGGCTGATAATACATAATGGAGTGCAGTTGATCCAATTCTGTCTGTAATCCCCGTGGGCGTGCTCGAGCAGCCTCATCACCTTCTTCCAGTCGCCCGCCCAAGCCAGGTCAGCTAGTTTGCGTCGGTCTCGAAAGTAGGGCATTGTGCAATCTTGCCCTGGCTTGCAACGAAATTGCCCATACCAGGCAATACCCTGGGCTTTGTAGGGCGAATATATGCCGTTGTCATCAAATCGAGCCGTTCCAGGATCGTCTGAGTTCAACCTCAACGCCATGGACATGACCAGTTCCAATATCTTCGAGACTTGCTCGGAGCTTTGGGAGAGTTGTTGATGGTTTTGAAATAGGTACTCGCTGTACAATCGTTAGTCCGCCCGCATCAGTCGGGCTAAAGAGATTTTGTGCATACTTCACTAATCGCTTCGACACATTCTCTATCTGGTTCTCCAGTTTTCTCACTAGGGCTTCCACAACATCCTTCTTCCGGAGCCACCACCATCTATGAGCGAACTTCATCTTCTCTTCTCTTCCATCGCCATCCTTGCTGTCCGGTCCCTTGCCAGACGTGAGGTCGTCTAATCTTTTCAGAAGGTCAATACAATCCGCCGAACTCACTTGCTTGTCCAGGATTTCTTGCTGTGCCGGAGGAAGTGCCCTCTGGAAGATCAGCAACCGGTCCAAGAGCGCCCGAAGCCTTTCGGCCTCTTTGATGACTTGAGCGAGACTTTCTGGAGCATCATGTATGGTCTGGCCAGCTTCGACCAAGCGTTTCACAACAATCCCGACGAGCTCGAGTACAGATACAACGGTCCCTGGGTCAATCATGATGCTCTGTGGATTAAGAGCGCTCGAAAAAGAAGGTAAGGTGCATATCAGTTGAAACGATCTTGATTCTTGACGTGGTATCAATTGCGAGATAATCTTGGCTGTGACTACGCCACAAGTCCCTTACTTGATACCATGCAAGTAATAACCTCATAGGGACGAGCCCGGAGATTTGGCTGTGTCGAAGTGGATGTGTCTTCTGGCGCGTGGGGCGAGTGCCACACAACGGAGCCGTTCACCCCGCGATACACCGATTGAACCGTTATGACCCTAAAACTGGGGGCCGAATGATCTGTTCTCGTTGACAAGACACGATGCAAGTCAAAAAAAGCATGTGGGAGCCTCATCGATCAACCAGCGGACCCCGAACGGAAGCAACAGGGGAAGTTCGACTGGAGCGCTGTGCGCATACGCTGCGGCTGCTGCCTCGGATCACTAATCCAGGTTTTCGATTACAACCAGAGGAGGACCTATGTACCTCGTGCTCACAGCCTCGACTCTGGTGAGCTTAGGCGAGTACGCACGACTCCAGCCATAGCGACTCGACTCGATCAGAGACAGTCAGATGACGTCTGCCACTAAGATGGACGGGTGGCCTCTTAGACTTTACACAGTATTCTAGGTAGGTCTTGGTATATTATGGCGCAAAAGTTGGAACTGCAACAACTTTCCCCCCAAGTACCATTCGGATAATATTGCGCATGGACGTGCCTGGCAATATGGCGCAACTCGAGAAGAAGACAATCCAGACCAAGCGGTCGTTTACCTACACCTACTACGCGTCTCCGAAGGACAAGGGCGACCCTTCCGCGCCAGCTCTGTTCTTCATCCATGGTTTCCCAGACAGCGCATTTATGTGGTCGGAGGTAGTGGATAACCTCTCGGATCTGCCGTACAAAGTCGTTGTTCCGGATTGCTTGGGCTATGCTGGCACATCCAAACCAAAGGACGTCTCCGCGTACAAGTGGTCTGGTCAGACAGCTGATTTGTGCGAGATCCTGCAGGCCGAAGGTATCGACCAAGTCGTCGTGATCGGGCATGATTGGGGCGCTGTCCTTGCTCAACGATTTTACCAACGCTGTCCTGAACTCTGCGCTGGCCTCGTTCTGCTCAATATCTCCTATCGAGCACCGACCGAGCAGAGGTTCGACCTCGACGCCTGGAATGCGCAGACCGAAAAGCGGTTTGGATACCCCCTCTACCAGTACTGGTATCTTTTCACTTCGCTGGACGGCTCCAAGGTCATCAACAACAGCCTTGAGAAGTTCTGGGAGGTGCTTCATGGGGCGGACGATGACTGGATGAAGAAGATGTTCTCCGGCAAGGACGCCATGACGAAATACTTTTCCTGCGGCGGGACGGTCGAGCTGAAGTCCTTTGCTAAACAAGGCAAATGGAGGGACGACTTCTTTGAACGTTTCAGTAAAGACGGCTTTGAAGCACCATTGAATTGGTACAAGGCACAAACGTCCAACGTACAATGGCAGGACGACAAGAGCATCCCCAAGGAGAATCATGTTGTGAAGGTCCCCTTCTTCTTTCTAGGCTGTACAGGCGACTCAGTCGGACGAACAGATTTGATTCAGATCCCACGAGAAGCAGGCCTCCTGCCGGATTTCGAAATGACCGAGATCGAGTCCGGCCACTGGTGTGCGATGGAGAAGCCTCGAGAAGTGGCCGAGGCTCTCCGAGGCTTTGTGACGAAGAGGTTCCCTTGAGATGGCATCAATCGAAGCTAGTATACAACCCTGTGTAGTCGTCTCCGACTGGGACGTACTAAGTGCTTGCCGCATATGTCACTAATGTCGGCGTCAGATAGACCTTTTTCTGAGCCATAAGCTCCGCGGTCGCTTTATCGAGGTAGTTGCCATACTCGATGCCGACACCACAGTTCACCGCTCGTTGTATCACAGCCGGGATGTATGCGTGGGCTGTGACAAACGTTCCTGCATTCGAAGGCACAGTCATGTTCGCTTTGATTTCATTCTCAGTGAATTCGACAAATCGATACCACGAAGCGGGCTGGAGAGTCCTCCACTGGCCATGATCTTGATGAAGTCAGAGCCGAGACGGAGCTCCTCTCGAGTGTAACTCGGACACTCCAGCACGCCGTCAACGATTTGACAGTCGAGTTGTTTGGCGCCACCACAACAATAGCTATCAGCGGGAGCAAAACGCTTGTCCGCGCAGCCCCCGGACTACGACAGCTAGTGACCTGCAATGAAGAAGTGGAGAGCCAGGATGGATGCCTTCCTCGTATGCTAATTTGAGAGGCAACAATGCGCTGCTATAATCTGGCACGGTGGTGAAGGCCCGGTCGAGGAGTTGTGAGAGGCATTCGAGCAGCCTTTCATTGACCATCTCTCGATCACGCCGTGATGAACGTCTCTATTATTCCGGAGGTAACCAGGCACCGCCAGCAACAATGTCAGGTCAATGAATAACTGCTCCGTACCCCGTAGTCAGACTGGAGAAGACGAAGTCATAGCTTGTGTGGGAACGCAAGTACTGGGAGGCCAGCAAATCCCGTGGCCGATCCCCGCGCTATAGTAATACCTCGTAATACTCCGTAAGCGACCACGACTTGCCTGAGAGGCTTGTGTGGGGAAAGCTGGGGTACCTATCTAGGTAGCTTCGCCGAACTCGAGGCGCACCTTGCTCCCCATAATCTGCTCTTCTTGTTGGTTTGGCTAGGCGTACGAAGTAGTCACTGGTCATCCACTGGCCAGTGAGCTAATACCAGGATTTATTGCGCACCTGGCAGCAGGTGGCGCACGTGGCAAGTGCCCTGCTTCAGAGGCTAACAGCGCGTCTTTTTGCTCTCTCTCTTCAATCCCCTCATCCTTTCTTGTGAATAAAGGTCCTCCCTGCCGTCCTCTTGTCAATGCAAGCTCCGACTGACCGACGATACAAAAGCGCTATAGCCTGCAATTTCTGTCGACTGAAGAAAGTCAAATGCAAGTCCGACTGGCTCCTGGCTGTCGGAGGTACTAACTCGGCCGCACATCAGGTAATGGCGGCAATCCGTGCCCAAACTGCATAGTAAGACACTCTCCCACTACGCGAGAGGGACACGTTAACGCCATGGGGTCGGCCGTGCAGGACCATCGGCAGGTGTGCATATATCCACCCTCACCACGCCGGGGCCCGCGAGTCCTGAGCAAGGATGCCCGGTCTATGCGTGTTCGTCTAGCGCGTGTTGAGGCTCTTCTGCAAGGTACAAGGGCAGGAGCCGAAGGAACGGGAACTGGAACGGTTGCCGATGCACGAGAAGAGGATGAACTGACAGAAGCGCCTCCGACCCCCTCCTTGACCATCGCTGCTAGTTCTGGAGACGATGATAGCGTCGGGATCCTGCCACCAGAAGAAGAGGTAAGCCCGTACGAAGCAACTGTCTTCTTCGCATGGAGAATGCTGATCATGCGCATCCAGCCAGGCTACGAGTATCATGGTATCATTTGACCCTCGTAGGTCTCGCAGGTGGTAGCTGATGCCTGAGGCAGGTCCAGGTTCTTTCATATCGTTCTGTTCCAAATCATGTATTGAATGGGTTTGTCGGAAGACCGAGACGTCTGACTTCGCCGCAATGGCTCGGAAACTCAACGACGATATATCGCGACATCTGAAAATCGACCCAGGACTTTCTCGGAGAAGAGAACCCGAGCCTCCAGAGTGCTTGGCGTGGCAATACGTCAACGCCTACTTCGAAGAATCGAGGGATGTCGCTTTTGGGATCCTTTCTCGGCCAAGTTTTGAGTCTCGCTTGAGAGCTCATTTCGAGAACGATCTAATGACTTCCCCAGAAGCAGACGCTTCTTGGTACGCCCTCAGAAACGTTGTGTATGCGGCTGGCTGTCGACAAATCATAGCCAGGCAGCAATCCGGACCTTTCCTCGCGGGGCAGGCCTACGGATGGCAATACTTCCAGAACGCACTTTCCGTGCATACTGACCTACTATACACCAGGAGCAGTTTCATGGCGATCCAGGCACTCGCAATAATGGTACGAGATTGGGAACCTGCCGCAGGCAGGCTGAAGATGTTAACCTCCCTTTTCGTTCAAGCTGATCAATCTGCTAGGCCTTCTTCGTGGAGAGCATAGGGACGCCGGCGCTCGACTATATGCTTTCTCTGAACGCCATGAAACTCGCCGAATCCAAAGGCCTGCATTGTCAACCTGCGGCGACGTGGAACCTGGGTGAGTCCGCTTTGCAAACGCGAAGGTACATATGGTGGTCAGTCTACGGTCTGGAACGCTTCAACGCCTTTCGATGGGGAAGGCCATTGGTATGTATGCACGTCGGGGAAACCCCTCTGCATCGTGTCTCTGTCAAAGCTCACGTTCGACCTAGTCAATCGAGGACAAGGCAATCACCTGCGAATTACCTTCCAAGGTGGTGGACGGCAGCATGGTGAATCTCGACTTGCTCGTTCCTGCCGTCAGGCACACTCGGATCTTGGGGGATATAACGGAACAGTTCACAGCCTTGAAAGCGTCGACGCCCACATTAACCGAAGTCAGGCGCACCGTTGACCACCTTGAGCATAGGCTTCGTGGTTGGCACGATTCTCTGCCATCAAAGTTGAGAACCGGAGCGGATTATTCAGATTCGCCGAAAGATATGGACATCGTCCACGTGTTATACCACCACTTTGCGTTCTGGGGCACTCTGATTACCATCCACTCGATCCTTGTGCACCCTTGGAATGTCCCTAAAATTCAAACCAAGCCAATCGAGCTGCTGGACTTTCGCAGACACTCGCAGAACAGCACGAGGAAGGTTGTAGAGGCGTCCAGGGCGATGATCCGAGCATTAAGCCATGTCAGCATTGACATCTGCTCTCCCAAATGGTGAGATTCTTCTCGGGGCCCCAAGTTTCTTCCGTGTCCGACGATGTAATAACATGACAACGTGCAGGCTGGTCTTCACGTATCCTCTAACGGCGTTCATGAATCTCTTTATATACATCCTGCGGTACCCCAGGCTGCCTACCGTTGAATCAGATCTGGACGCCATGTATCGGGTGTGCGGTCACTTCAACTACATGGAATACACTATGCCAGAGATGTCATTTGCATTCCCTCGAGAAGCAACAAACCTCGCGCGTTTTGCAGTCACCAAGGCCAAGGCAAACGGAAACGCAAACACCGGAAGCCGCAAGTCTTCTGATGCAAACTGCCTCACCACGACGTCGATATCGACACCCGAGCTCGAGCTGCCAGATGTTGAGGTACCTGATTTGTACAACGTACGTACTTTCATCTCCCACTTGCCCAGGAAGCTTCCACTGACCGTCGTGTCATCCAGGAATCGGGGACAGACGCATTTGAGCTCGGCGTTGAAGATTGGGACACTTTTGTATCGTGGCCTAAGTGACGATGAGGCCGTGACGACCTGTATTGGACCGCTCATGCTCAATGAGTTTTCGTTGCAGCAGCCAGCGAGTGACATACGGCTACATTTCTCGACATAGTAGTACTTAGCTACTAGTCAACTCTACTGCTTGTGCCAATCTGAGTGAGTGAGTGAGGGTTTGCACCTTCATTCCGTCCTTTTCAAAAGGACCCTCACAGGCCGCATGATGCACGGAGTAATAACACTACGCTAGGTCTAAGTTCCGCGAATCTAACAATTATCCAATGCACAATATGTACTCCGTATTATGATGCCGCTGGCCGGTACCCGTGCGTAGTACAATACCTACTGCAAGGGAACCGGTACCGTCTTCAGTAAGTGCAAGACAAGGCTGCATGCGGTCTTTACATCCCTTGGCACGCAATCAGAGATTGCGGAGGCACGGGGCTGGTTGGGTCCGAGGTCAGCCCCGACTAAACCAAATTTGCGCGGAACGCGGTCCTCTGCCCTGCTCCGGGCCAATGAGACAACGTTCCGGCGCATGGCTCCAGGACGACTTTAATCAGTACGGAGTACACAGTACAGCATAATCACTGACGTTGATGCCGACACTACTGTAACGAATGGAGCCACCTACGGCGTGCTGCTGCGGCAGGTCCCTAGGGCTAACGACAACGTTCTCAGCATTGGGTACAGAGCTGAGAGCGCACGGGACGAGCTAAGTACGCCGGGTCAATCATCCCGCGCTCCCCCTGACTCCAGTGGCGCGGAAAGTACTAACTTCAGTCGGCCGGACGTGACCAGTGCACGGGAGCACGATCACAGCGCACAAGGCCTTGGGCTGTGTGTGTCACAGCATGGATACCGGACTGAAAGGGTCAATCTTTAAAATCGGGATGAATGTCATTGCGTACATTGGTAGGCACCACCAAAAGCTGTCTCGACGGCGTATTGCGGCCTACTCAGGAAAGACCACCTCACGAACCGTCCACGCCAGCGATGAGTCTGGTCGTGCCCTGTCCATTCTGAGGGTATCCTATGTGCAGGCGCGCCACACGATATCCGCTATGAATTCGAAATCAATCTTGTGCACGAGACTGAGGTTAAGTGGTGTCTGGTTCATCATCACTACATTATCCATCGCGATGCCGTTCGCGGATATGCACGTCCAGATTGAGAATCTTAACAGCAACGCCCGTCCAAGTCTTGAGCGGTCGATCGGGATGCGCGAGGCTCAGCTGTGTTCATCAGTCAGTCAGCTGAAAACAGCTCAGAAATTGGTGAGTGCACTAGAAGACTCACGTCAAAGTTGCCCACTAGAATCGGGATGAGCTTGTAAATCTCCAAATACGCAATGTGCTTGCCCAGACAGGCTCGTGGGCCATACCCGAACGTCAGGAAGACTCTTTGCATGTTGCGGACCCTTTCGTCGTGTGCGGTCTTGGACTCGGTTTCCCTGCGCAGCCACCGCTCGGGGACGAATTTGTCCGCATCGTCACCGAAGATGCTTCTGTCGCGGTGCAGCGGCCACGGATTCATGCTGACAATGGTGCCGGGAGGTAAACTCTGCCCGGTGGGCAGGACGAGCCCGGACGCACCCACGGTTCGTTCCAAGTCGATGCCTGTGGTGGGGAAGAAACGCAACGTCTCTTTGATGACTGCGTCGAGGTAGGGTAACGCCTGCGCTGCGGTGTAGCTGACTGGAAAGCTGATATTGCTTGCATCGATCTCTGCCTGAAGTTTCTCGTAGACGTCGTGGTACTGGAGGATGCACATGATGATGGCTGTCAGAGCTGTGGAAGTGGTGTCGGAGGCCGCCAGGATGTTGGTATTTGTGTACGCTGCCAGTTGAATATCTGTCACCACCTCCGGGTGCTGCTTCTGGGCGTCCAGGAAACGCGAAAGGAAGTCGTACCCACCGGTATCCGCCTTCTCTCGTCCCTCGAGTCGATGCCGGATCCTCTGGGCGGTGAAATCCACCAGATGATTCGGCGTTTTTATCAGTGCGAGGAGCAGAGGATTCTTCAGGAACAAGCGATCAATCCAGGGCATGGACCCTACGGTACCGATGTACAAGAATTGCAGGTCCAGCGTCCCGATCATGTTGTTGATGTCTGTGCCCGCATCCATGAAACCAAATTCCTTGCCGAACGTGGCCCGCCCGATGAAATCAAAGGTGAAAAAGTGCAGCCATTCGTGGAGAGGGCACACTCGGCCGTGGCCTCTGCCGTCCACGAATTCTTCTCTCAGTCGACGCATCAACTTGTCGCTACAGTCGTTGACGACATTCTCAAAGGATAGGAGTGTGCTCATGGAATATGCACCGGCGATAGGCCGTTTGAGACGGGCGTGAAGCTTCGAGTTTTTGGCCGAGATTAGCATAGGGAGATATTCGCCTTCGTGCGCGTTGATCATGGGATTGACTGAATCGGTCTTGTCGAGATTGGCCTTCAGTCCCAAGATGAGTTCGACCGCTGCCGGATCGGCCACACTGACGATTTTTGGGCCGACGCGCACAACTGGGCCATACTCACTGTGAAGCTGAGACATGGTCTGCTGGTGGTGCCCCTTGCAGGCATCGACGAACCGCCATAGATCGGAGAAGCGCGCCAACACTGGCCCTGGGATTGACTGTAGTCCGGCCGCAAAGTAGTTGACCAGAAGGCGCAGTGCCAGCAGAGAGAATAGGAAGAGAGCCGTGAGAAGTAAAAGCCCGGAAATCATCTTGGTCACTGCCGCTGACGACCTTCACGCTCTGAAAGTGATAGTTGCTTGAAACAGCGACAGATCTTGCCAGCTTTCACGACTCAGCTAAGTATGCCGAGTCTTGTATATGCTGCGGAAGACAGCCGTCTTGGTGTGCGCATACCGGTCCGGCGGGCCATAAATTCAGTTCCTCTTGACATGCCCACTTTAGGCCGAATATCACCAGATCCCCAGAGCGGGGTCCGGGGTATCCACACAGTCGACAAGCGGAAACAGACAGTGGGAGGAAATTGTGGGGCAGCCTTGGGCCAGAGGCATCCAGTCTCGTATCTGATGTTCTTAAGCGGGACGGAGAAGGGGGTCCAGTCTCTGCGCCGCCGCGGGTGACCACTGACGTTGACTCGAGACCGATTAGCCAAAAGACGCATGGTTAGTCCGAGACCATGGACGAACGGACGAACCTGTAATAGCTGTAATTGACAGTATTAGATTAGTTGTCGCACTCCAAAACTCAATTAGACGAGATCGAAAACCTGGTGAAGCAAGATCGGTGGACTCTATGCAATCCTGGATCGGTAGGCTGCCCAGCGCTTGCAAGTCTCGCAGTCACCCTTACCACTGCCTTGTTTTTGCTCGCCCTGTTTTCCACCTCCTGCTCAGCGAGTACACCCGTGAGGCACCTTTAACGAAGCCGAAGACTACGGGAAGCTGAACCACTCTTTCGGTGAGCATCAATCTTGAAGAGATGAAACGCTTTTCTCAATTGTGGATGCGCCCTACGGCAGAAACCACTCGTCAGCTTCCCGAACGACAGAAGGAGACAGACTCACAGCGAAATCGAGAGTCCCAGCATCTGGTCGACAAGGTCTTTGAGCATACGGTGGTTCTCATTACTGGAGCCGGCTCAGGTATGTGCGTTCGTTTGCAAAGAGAGGTTGACGACCGACTCCGGGTTAGGAATTGGACAGGAGTGCGCTCGACAGTTCGCGTTGCATGGATGTCGAAAGCTGTTTCTCGTTGATATCTCCCTCCCTGGCCTACAACAGACGAAGGGGATGCTCGAAAAGAACCAGGCACACGCCCAAGTTGAGTTATACCAAGGCAATGTTGCTGAGGAAAACTCTGTGAAGCGAATGGTTGCACAATGTGTCGAAGTTTACAGCCGGCTCGACATTGCGTGCAACAACGCCGGCATCAGTGGTGGGAGCGCAAGGACGAGCGATTTGGCCGTGGAGGACTTTGACCGGCTTTGCTCCGTCAACCAGCTTGGAGTGAGCCTATTTTCTTGTCCCTGACACTGTTCCGACTTTTGGGTTATCTGTTACAATCCTACTCACCAAGCCTGCAGGTGTTTCTGTGCGAAAAGTACGAGCTCCGTCAAATGCTGCAGCAAGATCGATCCGTTGGCGATCAGCGGGGAGCAATCGTCAACGTCTCCTCCATCGCTGGGAACTGTATCATACCTACCACGCCCGCATATGCCGCGTCGAAGCACGCTGTGGTGGCTCTCAGTCGCTGTGACGCTCTCAAGTATGCCCAGGACGGGATCAGGGTCAACTGCGTGTCCCCGAGTGCGGTGTGGACGCCGATGGTCTCGGAAGCCGGGCTCCCGCAGGAGTTCCTTGACATGGGCGCCGCACAGTCGCCTGTGAAACGCTATTTGCAACCTCGTGAAGTGGCAGATGCAATCCTCTTCATGGCAAGTCCCAGGGCTACGGCGATTTTGGGTGCCAATCTGCCAGTCGACTGTGGCACGCAGCTTCTACGAAGCTTCTAGCGATGCTGTAGATGGTGCGCTTTTCAGCGCCAGAGTCACTATTGATTTAATTAGTTAGATCAAAAGCAAGATTGGGCTGGAGTTTACCAGTCGATTCGGAGGAGTCGGTGACAGCTAGCGGGCAGTCGCGGCTAGGCAGCTTTGCCGAGACATCAAGCAATCAACCATTCTCCAAATTCCCGCTCCGAGATCAGTAATTCCATGAACTATGACAACGGCAACAATATGCACGGGGAAACTCAGTCCGCTCTCCACCGATGCATGTTTTTGTGCCGAGGACCTGTAATTAATACGCATGTATGTGGTCTTGGCTGGTTTCTGTTCCGGCACTGAGGCGTCTTGATTCTATACATGCTACGTAACAGGTACCTCGCGTTGATAGACGGGGAGCTCCGTTTTCGTCTCTCCTTATGTTCGTTAATTGAGATGCCAGTCCACTCGCAAGATTAACGCCCACTCTTCAAGTCTGCACTGAAAAGTACGCTGGCTGGTGCTTTCGGAGGCTGTGTTCTAACACAATAGCTCTTCGCGCAACCATGGACCTTCTTCGTCTCGGGACCGTCGTCATCACTGGCGCGGCAGCAGGTACGTCTCACATCTACTCTAGTGAACATTGTGATCAAGGGGATGATCAACTCACGGATAGCATGTTCTCAGACGCGGAGTCCGTCATTGCCTGCTTGTTTGCCCAGTACGGCTGCAAACAAATATACCTTGGGGGTTCTCGGACTGCAACCCTCGACGAGTGCCGGCGCAAGATCCTGGCTGTCCACCCTTCAGTCCAGGTATTTGTGAGGAAGCTTGACCAGTCGGATGAAGGAGACGTCGACACTTTCTTCGCGTCGGTCGTGCAGTCCTTCACCCGGATCGACTTCGCCGTCAATCTGGTCTGCCAGGATCGAGAGCCTCAAGCAACCGTCGACATCTCGGCGGAGGACTACGCCCGGAGCTATACGGTCTATCAGAGAGGGGTGCGTCGTGATTTATCCTCCTATTAGTCAACTGATAATCCCACCATGCCCAAGGTCCCTCGTCGACTACTCACTTGTTGCTTGCTTGCTTACTACTACTTGTTCGCATGCTAATCTATCGACATGGAATCGTAGGCTTTTCTGATCCAGCGGGCCCTTCTCCGGCAGCTTCTCAAGCAAGAAATGTTGCCCGGCTTCGGCAGTCGAGGCAGCATCGTCAATGTCGTTGAACTCGGTGCTACGGCGTCCTTGGCTGACCGCCCGCTCGCGGCTGCCGTAGCCAACGCGATAGTCGGCCTAAGCAAGACCGATGCCTTTGACTACGCAACGGACGCGATCCGGATCAATTGCATTGCGGCAGACGAGGCATTGAAGCTGCAGAAGGGGATTGGAGTGGGCGAGAAAGCGCTGTTGCGCAGCATGGAAGGCATGAGGAGCGTTGCCAATGCCACGGCGTGGCTCTCGTCGCCGGGCTCGGGATGGCTGACCGGCTTGGTCGTCCCTGTGGACAAAGGTCGCAATCTTAACTGTGTTTGGTAAGCACAGGATGGGATGGGACAGGCTCGGATCAAGGTAATCAATTCATGAATCTATATCTAGCCAGCATTACCAAGCTCAACACACAATGGTCAGTGAAAGACATCCTTCTCCACGTATGACGGTGCACCAAGCCAAGACTCCCCTGGATGATGCCTTTCACAAGGATTCATTTGCAGGAGTGTAGCGATCATCATGACATGTCTCCGCGACTCTAATTACTGACAAAGTAGTTCACCGCTATCGGGCTGCCCAAGTTGGCCTTGTTCTCCCAATCATCCAGCGCAAACCGCATTCGAGCCACATTGCTATATTCCTTCCCGCCAGGAGGTGCATGCTTGGTGGCATCGAATCCTCCGGGCTGCTCGTAGAGTAGGAAGACATATCGATGAGGTGAACTGCCCGGTGGCGGACCTGGACCGACGTAGTTTGCAACAAATGGGGCACTCGAGGTCAAGACATTTGACTCAGCGGGAGCTTTGAAGCCCGGCTGAATCCAGTGCAGGATGGGCGAAAGCATGTTGAAGCTCGGATACGGACCGTCGAGATCGATGCAAATCACCATGTATGTCGCCGCACGGGAAGGGACCGTAAGTGCCAGCGTCGGAGAAAGTTTGGCATCTGTCGGGTTCATCAGTCATACAACTCCCTCACACGCTCGAAGACAGTGACAGCGGGTACGTATGCATACCTGAGCGAGGAACGTATTGGCCTGGCTCCAAAACCTTGCCGTCATAGCTCAGTTCGAGAATCTTGGATTTGTCGCTCGTGACGACGTCGAGGTATCGCTTGATCTTCTCGTCGATGGCCATGGTGACATGCTCTGCTCAGGACAAGCAGTCGACGCCGGTGTAAGTAGGCACTCGCGTAGAAGCAAACCCGTACACGTGAACTCGGCTAGTCACGGCGACATCTTGGTTGATTCATTGACACCACCTTGTCTGTCCCACTCCCTGGTAGCCTAATGATGTCGGACTTAACGGCATTCTGAATCAAGTCCATACAAACTGAGGAACGGGTTGGCTCTTCAAAGTGCCGACATTTGTGGCCGGGCATGCCGTAGGCTGCTGGAAGACGCTCCCCCGAATAGGCGCACGGCACGGAAGAGAGCAGGTGTTTCGAGTGCTGATCCACAGGCGGAAGGGTCTGCACGAGCAGCGAGTTGACAACGCCATTGCGAGGGGTGAATTTGGAATCCGGTGCAAGCGAGTGGCGCCGGGTACCCAGTTGGTCCAGGCAGGGCATAACAGGGGCACCACAGACTGGGAAAAGGGCGAAGGTTGGAGCGGAATCCATTCCAGAAGGTCTTCGGGCCGTCGGCCTTGAGACAGATATCGCAAGTCGACACTCTGATTGTGGGCCAGAGTATCGTTACCCTGTCTGTGTAAGCTTCTGTGATCGTGGTCTGCCAGCTTGCCGATTCTCTCCCCGGATACCGCACCTTCCCCAGTTGGGTAATTGAATGTCTGACGACTGTCAGTAGGGACAATTGTTACAAAAACATACAAATACGGTAACATAACCCGCCCCTTTTTGTCTGCTCAACCCCCTTCAACCAAGTCTCAAACTACCGAATTTTGTTCCTTCCCACCCTTCTGCGTCCGTGCCAACTCATCAACTGTTGACCTTTTTGTCGGGGCCCGACTACGACCTCTGCCCGCTGTAGCTCAGTCTTCCAACTGTGGCAGGCACAATGAAGGTGGTACACGGCGCTGAGATGAGCTATACCAGCAGCGGCTTGAAGCACCGGCCCGGAGCTCCATTGTTCAAGTTCTTGCTGCTGGGCGAAGAGAATACGCCTGATAATTTCCTTCTCATGCTGGCGAGACAAGAACGCTTCTACTCTCCGCGCCATCATCACAATTTCGAGCAGTTCCGCTATGCATACAAGGGCGATATCACGCTAGGTGAAGGTGAAGACTGGCTCTTGAAAGAGGGAGAAGTCGCATACTTCCCCGAAGGCGCATGGTATGGCCCTCAGAATGATGGGGACGCTGTGAAGGAGGTGCTTGTGCTGCAATTTGGCGGCCCCAGCGGACAAGGCTTCCTGAGCTTTGGCCAGCTGAAAGCGATCCAGGACGGCATGGACGCCCAGGGTCTTGGGAAGTTCGAGGGAGGAAAGTTCGTCCCGGCCAGCGATCCTTCCAAAGCCATTGATGGATACGAAGCGCTCTGGGAGAACAAACACAGCCGGAAGCTGGAGTATCCAGTTGCGAGATACAAGCATCCGTTGCTGATCGACTCCCAGGCTTTCTCCTGGCGGAAACTTGACCAAGAAGCACGTGGAAACGTCCTAGTCAAGCCTCTGGGGGTCTTCTCTGATGGCTGTGTTTCTGCACAATTCCTCCGTGCTGAAAAGGGAGGTTTGAGACTGCCTGAAAAGCAGGCTATACAGTTGCTCTTCGTCCGTAGCGGCACAGCCATGGTCAATGGAATGGAAGTACGGGAACAATCAGCGGCGCAATTGATGGTTGGAGAAGGTGCGGAGATAGCAGCGGACGACACGGCGGTGGAAATACTCCACTTTACCCTGCCTTCGCGCTTCGATTGAGCAAAAAGGACGGAAAGAGTTCTGTATAGGTTGTTAATGGATGAGATCGTGTGCCGCTGTGCCAGGCTTACCTGCAATCGTAAGAATGCCCGGAGATGTGCCTCTTGCCGTCTAGTAATCTAGATCGATCCAGATCCGGGTGCCAACTTGCACAGCGTTTGACAAACCCATGGAGCCCAAGGGAAATCTTCCGCGTCATGTCCCGTACTCGGTGCGGGGGCGGTGCATCCAAAGCCGGATGATGAGCTAGGTCCATAAGCGTCAAGCTAACAAGAGGCTGGTCACTCTCCGGATATGGCCCATGCATATGTACGGGGTAATCATACATAGCGAGACTCCCTCCCCCTTGTTCTCAGTTGGGGACATCCACGAAGCATTCACACGTTTTCTTGGCGAGAAGCTCTCCTTCGCGTTGCATATAGTCGCCTTTCGTATCCTATATCAGAAAGGTCAGCCGCTCCGGGTGTTGCTCGGATACTCCTCTTCCTCATCATCGAATTGTTATTGTCTCGAGGCAGCGCCACTAATCGAGGGAACAAGTTGCTTTCCTCGAATGGCCTCGACCAGTGGACGACCGTGGGGCCTGGTGAGATTCGCACGAAGTCGTACTTTCGGCCGTGCAGCGAGGCTGTTCGCCTCGCGCAGAAGTGTCTTCCTGTAGGAGCGACCACATCCGGACCTTGTCGGCATTGCACTAATGTCTCCCGGCCAGGCAGAGATCGTTCACCACCGCCACAGCGCGCAATTATGCAGAGCCATATAAAGCCATAGGTGGTTCTGCAGGGGCTGTATCCCAAACGCGAGGTGTCGACGGCAAGAACAACTCGGTTGTCACCGAGGCATGCGATCTCCTTGTGGTAGGCTCCGGGGGAGCAGGCATGTCGGCTGCTCTGACTGCTCAGCACTTGGGCCTCAGCGTCATTGTGGCAGAGAAGGAAGAGCAGTACGGCGGTGCCACTGCTCGCTCCGGTGGCTGGCTCTGGGTTCCTGGGAGCAGTATGGCCAAGGCTGCCGGCATTCGCGACAGTGTCGACGAGGCGCTCACCTATATTGGCCACGAGGCCGGACCGTACTTCAACAAGGCTCGCGCCAAAGCCTACGTTGAGACAGCACCGGAGATGCTTGACTTCGTCGTCGAAAACACTCCCGTGCGCTTCGAGCTGTTCACCGGCATGCCTGACTACCACCCCAACTCACCGGGCGCGAGTCCCGGCGGCCGCTGTGTGTATACAAAGGCATGGAATTCCCGTCCTATGGGCAACGAGCTGAGTCGCCTCCGGCAACCGTTACAGTCCATGACTGCGTTCGGCATGCAAATTGGCAACGAGGACCTGGCGACCTTTGTGACAGCCGGCCGAAAACTCTCATCCTTCTTCCGTGTCATGCAATTACTTTTGGGAAACACGGTCGATCGATTCCATGGAAGACCACCGTCACGCATCACCAGTGGGCGCGCGCTGATCGGCGGCCTTGCTCAGGCGGCTACCTCCAAAGGGACCCAGATATGGACGAACACTCCTGTCCGTCGACTCCTGCTGGAGAATGGGCGCGTGAGTGGCGCTCTCTTAGAACGAAACGGTCGCCACGTCAACCTGCTGGCCCGGCGAGGTGTCGTTCTCGCTACAGGAGGCTTCGCACACGATACGCAATTGCGAAATCAGTTGCTGAAGGACTCGATGACAGACGTGGGCACCAACCAGGTGGCCTGGGGTTTGCTACCGTTCGGCGTCACAGGCGACGGAATCCGGATGGCTAACGGCGCAGGTGCTCGATTCGATGACAAGGTAACGGAGCCGATTGCATACTCTCCAGTCACGAGGATATTCAACGCTGAAGGCGACCTTTCCCTTTTTCCGGTCTTCGTTGGGCGTGCAAAGCCCGGCCAGATCTGCGTCACCCGCAGCGGGAGACGGTTTATCAGCGAAGGCTGCAACTATCATGCTTGGGGAGAAGCACTAGTCAAAGCCACAAAGGACGAAGATGAAACTGTGGCCTGGTTTGTCTGCGATAAACCGTCGCTCCAGCTATATCGTATGGCCGCAGCGCCGCCCTGGCCGATGCCTTTCGGCCACCTGGTCCGCTCGGGATATCTGAAACAAGGGAACACCGTCCGCGAGCTTGCCGAGAATGCAGGCATTGATCCAGACGGATTGGAAGACACGGTGGGCCAATTCAACGTCCACGCGCGAGAAGGGAGAGATCCAGAATTTGGTCGTGGTGAAAACGTGTACGACCTCGCGAACGGTGATCCGGACCACAGACCGAATCCTTGCTTAGGCCCTCTTGATCGAGGCCCATTCTTCGCAATCAAGGCTACCGCGGGATGTGGTAGCACCCACGCTGGGCTGTCTACCGATGAGAACGCATGCGTACTTCGTCCTGACGGGTCTGTTGTTGACGGCCTGTATGCCGTGGGTAATGATGCAGTCGCTATCACTGGGGGCAAAATAATCGCTGGTGGCATAACCATCGGTCCAGCCATGACTTTCGGCTATCTGGCTGCTCGTCATGCCGCTCGGAGTACTGTACAGTAGCTGCAAGATTGGCCGCTCAACAGGCAGCAGCGACTGAGGGCTCACTGTAAGGCGAAGATAGACGATAGACTGGTCGTTCGATACCATCGGCTCGTAGGAAATTGAGGCAACCGCGTAAATGTAGGAAACCTACCGGGCTCCATGATGCCCTTCCGAAACGGAGGAAGTATGGCCGAATAAGGGCCCAGAATGGGGTCTTCAGCGTGTTTGCTCAGTAAGTTGGGTCAGAGTGGTTAGAGTGCGTTCAGTAATGGTCAGTTAAAGCTCAATGATGTTCGCTCCAAGCTCAGTCATGATCAATTGAAGCTCAATGAAAGCTCACTCGAAGCTCGGTTAAAGCTCGATTAAAGCCCAGCTTAAAGCGGCCCTCGTTGCCCCACCTGGTTCAAATCCCATGGCAGTTTGGGATTTTTGCCATCTAGAAATGCAGGGACAGTCACAGATGTGGCATTTGTCAATCACTGGCGCATATGTCAACAGCCTCCCATCCGCGCCATCCCTCCCTGAACGCACCTCCGCATCTCCGCATCTCTACAGTCACACGGTGTGACGCTATTCATGCCGTCAGCCACGCGGTGTTGATCCAGAGCGCGTCCTGTCAGTCCTTGCTACGTGAGTGTGAGCGACTCGCACATGACTTCGGAGACATCTTAAGCCATGCACGCGGTCAATCTTGTAGCGTCTTCAACTCAAGTGGCATGGAAATTTGACGCGGCCCAGGCGGTAATACCTCGTGCAGGCTTCACCTCATCACCGCAAGCTGCAGCGATTACCTGACGCGACGTCATTCAACGTGTCACTCGAGATGCGGAGGCTCCCCGCATGTTGTCGAGGCAAGCGAGGTTACTTCGATTAATGCTTGTAGTGCTTGTACGAGTACTACCATGCGTCGGGGTGTTGATCAACCGAACTGTCGTTGTCGTGGATTGGACGGATGACCACCTCTGGCAGTAGCTTCTTGCTCGAGATGGCAGGTCTCTGTCAAGGCTCTATACTAGACTACAGGTGTGCATTGCCGTCCGCGCCGACGTCGGCTGGATAAATGGAATTCATCTCCACAGTACTCACATATAAAGTCGCCGCAATGGGCTTGCGGGATGCATTCAGTCGCGTCCAGGAAGTCTTCGAGAACGCTAGCAAAATGCTATTCCTCGCTCTGTGGTCGGGTTTGCTAGCTTTGACAGCTCAAGGTGTGGCCCAAGACTATGGCACTTCTCCACCGGTCTACCCCAGCCCTCCCACAGCTGGAATCGGCTGGGATGCAGCATTCGCGCAAGCCGAGGCATTTGTTTCTAATCTAACGTTAGAAGAGAAAGCTCAAATGGTGACTGGAACCACTGGTCCCTGTGTTGGCAACATTGGCGGTATTCCCCGCGTCGGCTTCGAAGGGATATGCATGCAAGATGGACCTCTGGCAATTCGACAGGCGACCTATGCATCGGTCTTCTCAGCAGGTCTGACAGCGGCGGCATCCTGGGACAGAGGTCTCATCTTCACACGTGGCCTGTACATGGCAGCAGAGTTCAAAGGTAAAGGTAGCCATGTTGCCCTTGGCCCAGTTGTCGGACCTCTGGGTCGCTCCGGCTATGGCGGACGTGGATGGGAAGGCTTCTCACCCGACCCATACCTGACAGGTGTGGCGGCGGAACAGACAATCTGGGGAATGCAGCAGGCAGGCGTGCAGACTTCTCTCAAGCATTATATAGGCAACGAACAGGAGACGCAGCGGAACCCGGACCTGTCGATCAGTAACACCACCATAGAAGCGGTATCCTCCAACATCGATGACCGTACTATGCACGAGCTATATCTCTGGCCATTTGCAAATGGCGTCCGGGCCGGGACTGCTTCAATCATGTGCTCCTACAACAGGCTTAACGGCTCTTACGGTTGCCAAAACTCTAAGACTCTCAATGGCCTGCTCAAGACGGAGCTGGGCTTCCAAGGTTACGTCGTGTCGGATTGGCAGGCCACCCACGCGGGCGTCGATGCCATCAATGCTGGTCTTGACATGGATATGCCAGGTAAGTCTACCATTTTCAAGTCAAATCTACACAACATGCTGAATGTATAGGACCCGTCGGTGGTTCCCAGAACGCCTCATTCTTCGGAGGAAACGTTACACAGGCAGTCAACAACGGGACACTCAATCAGGACCGAGTTGATGATATGGTGAGGCGGATCATGACTCCTTACTTCCACCTAAAGCAGAATGAATACCCACCAATCGACGGGTACGAGCCCACCCTGAACTCAAGATATCCACCGTACCAATATCCATTCACCTTGGGCGCCTCGAATGTCGACGTCCGAGATAACCACGCTCAGTCGATCCGGGAACTTGGCGCAGCAGGGACAGTGTTGTTGAAGAACACCAACAATACACTGCCTCTAAAAGCCCCGAGGACGATTGGTGTGTTTGGAAACGATGCTGGCGACGTGGTTGATGGGTTGTACTTCTCAGGAGCGCCCTTCCAGCAGCCACAGGGCTATGGTAAGAAGATCACGATATTATCCTGTCCCCTGCTGCCTTGCTAAGTTCTTCTCCCAGAGTATGGTACCCTTCCTGTTGCTGGTGGTAGCGGAACCGGGCGGCTCTCTTACCTCGTCACTCCGCTCGACGCGATCAAAGCCCGGGCAGCTCGAGACGGCTCTCTCGTTCGATACATTCTGAACAACACCTTGACCACGCAGCCAGGTGCACTGCGCACCATCGCGCCAGTACCGGAAGTCTGCTTCGTCTTTCTCAAGTCCTGGGCATCAGAGGGCTCAGATAGAGTGTCACTGGAGGCGAACTGGAACAGCACCGCCGTTGTCAACGCCGTCGCAGCAACTTGCAAGAATACCATTGTCATCACCCACTCGGCGGGCCTGAACGTAATGCCGTGGGCAAATAACCCGAACGTGACGGCTATCCTCGCGGCGCATCTTCCGGGCCAAGAATCGGGCAATTCAATCGTCGACGTCCTTTATGGTGTCGTCAACCCGAGCGGCAAACTTCCCTACACCATCGCTCTCAATGAATCCGACTACCGCTTCGCCGACATTACCAACTCCACCGAGTTGCAGCAGACGGAAGACCCGAACGCGTGGCAATCCAATTTCACCGAGGCCCTCCTGATTGACTACCGCCACTTCGACTACTATAACCAATCTGTGCTGTATGAGTTCGGCTTCGGTCTTTCGTACACCACGTTCGATATGTCCACCCTCGACATTGAGCCCGCGGTGCCTAGCTTGGAGATCAGCCCGTTGCCGGACGCAGTCCCTATCGTCCCGGGAGGGAACCCGACGCTCTGGCAGGTCCTCTACACGGTCAATATCACGGTCACGAACACGGGCGACGTCGCCGGCGCGAGTGTTCCCCAGGTGTACCTTGCCCTGCCGCAGATAGCGAATTCCGTTCCCACGCCGAAGAACGTATTACGCGGCTTCGACAAGATCACTCTTCAGCCGGGCCAGTCGCAGACGGTCAACTTCCCATTGACGAGAAGGGACCTGAGCTACTGGGATGTCAACATGCAGGAGTGGGTGATTGCCAGCGGGACCGTCGGAGTCAACGTGGGCTTCAGTTCTAGAGACATTAGGCTGACGGACCAGTTTGTGGTTGTTCAGGAAGGTTGAAAAGGACGTGCACGTCTCCTGATACCAGGAGCTTGTCAATTGTCAATGGTTCGCCTAGAGTGCCTTGGGGGTTCTAGAGCAATGTGCAAGGGTGAGTGGAGCCAATGAACAACGTCTGACTTTGAATGGGGAATTTAATTTATCGATAACCATTACTCCTATCCTACAGCGGAGGCAGCGCTTCCCTACAGACAGGACAAACAAGCCTGAGATTCATCCAGCCCTCCAGACAATCGGCATGGAAAATGTGCCTGCACGGCGTGACCATGTAGTTTCTCTGCTCCAACCAGGCTGTCCCCGTGCCTCGACCAAGTGCATGATCTGCTTTTGACAAGACCGGAACGTCGATCTCATTCATGCAGATGGCGCAGTCAAACACTTTTCGTGTCCTGTCGTCCTTGTCTTTGGCTTCGGATGCCGAGGCCAACAGGCCAATAGACATTCCTCCAGCCTCGACCTCGTCCTCACGGAGGAGAGGATGGTAGTCATAGGCGGGCGGGCACCAGGAATTGCGGACCAGAAGACGCGGACCGAGAAGGTGTTGGATGAGAAGAATCGCGACCTGCAGCCATAGCCAGGCCAGTAGTACAAGCGCAGTAGTCGGACTGGTGTCGATGTTAAGGATGTTTCGGTCCTCGAAGTACCAGTAAAGGATGGGCACTGCCCGAAGGATGCTGGTCCCCACGACGTATTCCCAGCTCAGAGCCTTACGGCAGTTACGCATCGTGTTACGGTATATCTGCGGCCACCAGAAGGAGAAGTAGCAGAATACCAGAAGATTGGCATAGCCCGATCGCAGGCCCCGGGGCCATGACATGGCCCAGAGTGAGAAGAACATGAGTAAAACAAGCGAGAAGTAGAATCTGCTATAGATGGCGGCGAAAGATGCACGTGGACTAGCGATCTCGGCAGGCACCGGGTTATCCTGATCGGACGGAATAATGATGGGTGTCGCACCTTCGGGTCGCGGAGCTGTTACTGGAAGTGGTAGTCCGACAGTCCCACCAGCGCTTGTAGGAGCCGGTGCTGAGGCGGGAGCGGCTGTCGGCATCGGCGTCGTAATTGGAGCTGTTCGCTGCTGCCGCGCTTGCTCGGCACGTTGAGGGTCGCCGACCTGTACTGTCCATATATCGAAGACGAATTTCACCTCCAAGAAGGCAACGTGGACGCAGGACAGATATGCGGCGGCCGCGACCATCAGGAAAGCCGATGCATCTACCATGAGCAGAGCAATAAGAGCGAAAAGAAGTAGCCCATCTCCTAGCGCAGCAATGACAATACTTTGGTAAGCAATTCGACTTCGAGTTGAGGGAGTGGCGGCTTTCTCCATTTGCCGTTTGAGAAGCGCAATTTGTAGCCCAATGGACAGCACAAAGGCGAACAGCAAACGCTGAGCGAGGGTCCAATATGCCTCAATCTTGGGTCCCGAGATGGTCGGAGATAGCAGAATGTAGCCGCAGTCGGGCGAGAAAATGACGGCTGAGTAGGCGAGCAATGGAGGTTGACCTACTGGAGCGCCCTCTGGCCGAACAAGCTCTTGTTCGACTCGATGTATAAAGTCGGTCGCTTTGAGGTTGTCGGTATCCCGAAAGCGATACGGAATCGGCTGCATCCAGATGATGAGTTCACATTGGGGCGCGAAGGCTAGGCCATCAGCTCCATCATCAAAGACCTTCTCCCAGTTACTGTGCACAGTCTCGTTCATGACAGGTATTGACAGGTCGAATGAAGCAGCGTCGGGTGCGAAGTGAGGAAGGGCTGGTAAGGCATCGAACTTGGAGCTGGTGGTAGTCATGATGATCATGCCGGATGGGAAATGGACTCCTTGCAATTTTGCTTGCCACCCATTCCCGGGAGATGAGTCGGTCGACAGGGCGAGTTCTGCTTTGATAGCAGCGCCTTCATGACTCAGTCGATCTTGAGAGTCAAACAGAGATAGGCTGACTTCGCCTTTCGGTTCGGTAACATTCCTCTCAAACCAGTCCGAGAGGTAGTCCTTTTTTGGATCTACGGCTGTCAGGTTGAGCGCAGGCGAGATGCTTGGGATGTCATTTCTAAGAAACTGGCCTCGAAGTCCGCCAGTGACTCGCTCGTAGATCGGTAAGTCTGCGGTTGGGTCAATTCCTTTCCAGTTGGTTTCGAATTGGCTCCGACTGAGCTGTTGAGCGAGAGCCAGAGAGTCCCATTGATAGCCGTCGGCTTTTCGAAAGCCGGTGAGATTCAGCCAGCTATGGGATTTGGGGTTGAGTTGGCCGTATGATGAGTTGGCCAATACGTCTGCTTCAGCCTGCTGTTGTTCTTTTATGGAGTCAGCCTCGAACTGCCGGAATCTTCGCGCGGGTTGCTCGGGCGTCAAGAAGATGAAGAGCAGTAATACAATGAGTAGCACAACTCGTGGACCCTCCATCCACTGAATTGCACCTTTCTGCGACTCATCGCAGAGAATTCGATGATATGATAGGAGATCAAGTGGGAAAGGTGATAACTTACTGCCATATCGCCTGCTTTGGTGACAAACGGAGAATCACTTTCCCCGCAAACCGGCGCGTTGCCCTCCCCCTCCTCAACCCCTGTTTATGTATGAAAGTCAGACCACCCCCAACGACATGGTCTCCCTACTCGTACGTTACAAGCACTCATTCGAGGCACAGACGGATTGTCGCATTCCATACCGCGCTCATGCTGCCTGCGCTCTGTAGCGCAATCTGCCTTCATGGCTGACACAATGCCCATACCACTTCCTCCTCGGACGCCGACACCACCTCCCGATGAGCCGTCCTCGCCTCAGAAACTCCTAGCATTCGATCCGAACGCGCCATTTGACCCAAACACGCTTTCCCCGCACACATACGAATCTGAGCGTATGTCTTCAACCGGAGCCTCGTACTTCTCGACTTCGACACCAGAAAGGCAGCGTACAGGTGGGAACAGCAACGGAGCAGGCCCCTTCAACTTCCAGCCGTCAGCGCTGGCTAAGTCCCCTGTGATCAAATCTGTTCGTGATTCTCTCAGGATACTGTAGGCTGTCCCGGTGCATCGCAAGATTGCTGACTTGTCTCCCGTGCGCAAGCAGAATATTGGTCAGAGACGAGGCCACAAGTACAAGCATAGCAGTGTCTCGCACCAAATCTTCCTCGAACCCCCTTCTCGACCGCCTCTAGCTCTACCGAATTCTCTCCCTATCCCGACCTTTGCTGAGTGTCGAGCGAGCATGACGAAGGATCAGAAAGTGCGATTCTACTGGAGCATATGTCACATGGCTGTTGCAGGGTACACGGCGTCGAACTCGCACGGCTCATCGGCAATGGAAGCCCTGTCACATCTGATATTCTACGACTCTCTTGGCGCTCTATTGTGCGTCTTCGTTGAGGTGCTGTCAAACTTTGAGGTATGGGGTCGGTCTAGCGTACGACATCCTTTTGGTCTACAGCGCATGGAAGTCATTGCGGGTTTTGCTCTGTCGGTGCTACTGATTTTCTTCGGCTTCGACCTGATTTCCCACAATGCAAAACACGCTCTGGAAGGCATTGGTCACGAACCTCATCACCCTCATACCCACGAACGAGTCACAGCTGGCACCGTGGATGTGACCGCCATCCTGGCGCTTGTCGCGACATTAATATCTGCAGTCGGCCTGAAAAACCATGCGCGGATAGGCAAAGCGATGCGGTTTGCCGCCATGGAGAACCTGCCTTCCCTTCTCAGCAATCCATCTCACTTTCTGACCCTCTCCTGCTCGGCAACTGTAATTTTGCTTCCTCTCCTGGACCTCCATACCTACGAGTGGGTCGATAAGATAGTCTCGTTGAGCATCGCCTTCTCGATGCTCTTCCTGGGCTTCCATCTGGGACGAAATGTCGGCTCCATGCTCCTCATGTCGCTACCTTCAAAATCCAACACCGACCTGTCAGAGGTTGTGGAAGCAATCGAGTCAGATCCCTTGGTGCGAGCAGTCGAGCAAGCCAAGTTCTGGCAAGCCCATTACGGGATGGGTATGGCCAATCTGCGACTGCGAGTGGTTGGCAGCGAAGAGAGTCTCGTTAAGCTTAGGGAAAAGATTACGAGCATCGTCCGCAACAAATTGAGTGGCGGATATGGCCTGGGAAGCAATGGGCAGAAGTGGGAAGTGAGTGTACAATTCAAGGTCGAATTCGAGACCGCAATGAGTGCCAGCCATAGCCATTTCATGAGTCCCTCCAGCTGGGTGGTGACGGCTTGATAGGAGACTGGGCTCAGCAAAGCAGGACAGGAACTGTATACATATGTACAAGTATTCGAACGGGTTAACGACTTTATTATGTCGAGACACGACAAGCCCTTTTCATCATGTCTTGGTAATCTGTATCGGCCACCATCTCGTCCCTGTTTGTCTGAGTCGACGGCATTGTATTGGATGCCACTTGGATTTTCTCGTCCGCGTTGAAAGGGACACATGCAGTCCACGCTGGAGAACTCAATGTTCTAGGGTAGCCTTCCGAACGGCCGTGCTGGATAACCCGGATTACATTTCGGGGCCGACTGGACCACATCTTTGTCAGGCGAGCAGTTCGACCGTGATAAAGATATACATGCGTCCCCCGAGCCAGACTTCCATAAGTCTTAACAACACCATGCTCATGTCCCACGCATTTTGACAGTCAGGATAGCTTGCTTGAGAATGGCCCCCTCCATGGGCACGGTTTCAGCAGCGCCAACTTCGTCGATCTTCTCTCTGACTGCCTGCAGCAAAGCCTGCGCTTCTTCCGACGAAGCTCTCCTCTGGTGCCGTTTGTTTGCCAGCAGAAGCTCCACCTTTTTGCCCTTCTTGAGGAACTCCTGCATCTGCTTCATCTTCAGCTGCAGATCGTTGGCACTAATGGCCCAGTTCAGCTCCAGCTGTTTCGGCCTCTTGTCCTTCTCCAGGCGCTTCTGATTGCGCTTCTGGTCTTCCTGACGGTTGATCTTCTGAATCAGCTCCATGCGCGAAACGACCTGCACGATTGGTATCTGACCATCGTCCGGTTTGTTCATTTGTAGGACATATTGATTGGAGCGGTCGATCGAGTCCAGCAGCTGATCAAGCCACTGGGGGTCTGACAGCGGGGCACCTGGAGTTTTCACCTTGACTTTAAGTGCTGCGATCTTCTCGTTGAGTGGGAATTCGGAGATCTTGTCGTCGATTGTCTTGATTTGAATCTTGCCTGCAACCCGTCGCTGGTCGATCACAAGTCTGGGAGTCGTGCTAAAGCATCGGCTCGAAGCAGCTGGCGCCGCAGTCCGCAGCAGCGGCCGGGCGATTTGAAGCACGAGAGACTGCCGCATCCAAGAACGTCGATGGAGGTAGATGGGAGTAAGTCGTGGAACAAGAGCTCGCGCGACTTCGACTCAAGGGGAGAGGGTCTGCGAAGTTTAAAGCGGCGTGCTCCGGAGTGGCGCATCAGGTCACCCGACAGCAAATGAACAACATTTCAATTTCTCCGCAGCAGGATGTCGCGCTGAACTGCTCTGAGCTCACGTGCCGCTCACTCAGCGCCCGCCGCTTTTCAACAGCTCTCCCCCCTCCGAGAGAAATCTGGACCCTGAATATGCAGCCCATCTAGTGACTTTTACGGAGTACAGCTTCTTACACTTCCCCTGAGTGTGTATGCCGATGTGCGCGAGAGCTTTTAAGCTGCGAAAAGGTCTTGGACTGGCAACAAATACTATATAGCCTTTACCTGCTGTGGCTCGAGGTTTCAGCACCAGCAGAAAGTCGAGAATACATGGTCTCATGGTATTGGTATCGCGACTGTGACCGACCGCGCTTAACATTCGGACGCGGCAGGACCGTGTACGGTTTTAGCGTTTGGGAGATAGGCAAACATTTACATAGGCGGCGACGCCTGTTTCCCAGCCTTTTCAAGTATCTCGTCTAGATGAGGTTTCCATCTCTGACATATAATTCGATCGGTGCCCCCTCTTCTCAGGCTTGTAACGTTGAATCCTTTCCATGTCAACTCTTCTACTTTGAGTCACGGACACTTCCGAAGGATATTTGGGGTCTGAATTTCACGACGCAATCTTCCAACTCCGACTACAAGCATCGTCTCGGAAGCTTCCGAGCACAGTCACTTCTCACAATGCCACCTGGCCAGCTGTAGTGGTTATATGGCTAGCTTCATTTATCGGCTTTGTGTGCGTAGTGATCCAGCTGGTCGTCCTCAATCGTGTCATTAGAGGTGCGGCACAACGCTATCTGGATTTCGCTTCGGCTTGGTACCTCCTGTCCATACCCATGAATCTCGTCCCAGTTTCGAGAACGATCATGAATCTATTTACCGCCGTTCTCTACCTGGTTGCAATTGCAGTGGGAGCTTCTCAGGCTGGAACGCGCAACGGACGCACAAACACAAGCTGGTCTTGTTCGATAGTAATCTTGTAAGTCAGGCAACCTACCCCGACTTGAACTAGAATGGAGCCTCAAACGAACGGTTCTATGATCATCGAACCGGTGTCTTCATGAATATTAAATCTCGTGTCTTTTGAACGACGGAGGACGACCAAAGCGGCTCGACTAGTCTTCCAGATTCTCTCTAATCTTGCATCTGAATGGATTACCGCGACCTCTCCCCCTCCTAGAGCCAGCCCTCCAGTTGACATAGATCACCCTTCTTGACCTCAACAGCAGATGCGAAATATAGGCGACAGTGCCATCTTGTGCCTTGCGACCTGCCAGCACGGCTGACGAAGGCTCTGTTGAGGTGATTGTTGAAAGCTCGTTGATGGACATTCGGAATAACATGTGGAAACAGAGTCTGGTGAAAGGTCAGGGCAAACCGGCAGACGTCGTTGGCCTCGAAGGCGCAGTTGCCCATCTCTTAGGTAGGAAGATGAACCGCATACAAAAGTATTCATAAAATGTCACAGGAATGCTGAAAATGCTGGGAATTACCTGCGATATTCCACTTACGTAGATAGATAGTTGTGATTCGTGTAATATGGCGTTTGCAAAATCGCACGACCTAATTCCAGGTGCGAGCTGAGTGTGCCACAGATTCAGCACACATGGCCGTCGAGGAGCTAACAGAATAGCAACTCGATACTCGGACCGTCCCTGAACTCGCTCGAGAGGAGTATATCGTGTTTGTTGAGGGACCGAATGACTGTTGATGGACCGGTACCGATGAACAGAGCAGATTCACCGACAAGTAGGACTTGTCTCCCCTAACGCAGGACAGCTTGTGATACCCAGTTGCGGACACGTTATAGGACCACCTATTGTTGTCAAACGGTATCGTACAGTCGCCGTGCAGGGAGCCTGCTTACGTGGTATTCCCTTCGGTCCGCAGATCGTCGTTGTCGCACGTCTCATAGCTCTTCACAATCTCCTGGCCACCGGCTCTTCCGCATTCCTCTCTGCATGTTTCCCGGTCTATTGCTGAAAGTCAAAATCGTATTCGATGGGAGGCCCGGGTTTCGAAGGTCTACGACGGTGGAAGTCCTGTACCAAGTCATCTGCACCTGGGAGAAGGTCGAAGGGTGAACGCCGTTCAGGCCCCTACGTTCTGTTACGACTGCGCTCAAGGACTATGCATCGGCTTGTTGGCTCCATCCATTACGGTCAGATGATTGGTCACCTTGTAGGTTTGCTCTGCTGTGTCGGGCGCAAACCTGTCAACGCGGCTCCTTTCGAATCGCTGCCGTGGCCGTTGTCTCAAAATATGCCTTGCAGCAAGGCAGATCCCGGGCTCGGTGACAATCCCATAGCCAGTCTGATGCAGCCATGTCTTGGTTTCGGAAGGTTGTTGAGCAGCTGAAATCACATGGGTTCCAGTCAGATAAGTGAGGGATTCATAAGACCGAGTAGATATCGTAGTAGTGAGTGCGACCTTAGGTCGCTGTGGTCAAAAAATCAGATGATTCTGAGGAGCCCGCCCCAAGAATCACCGACGACGACAACTACCACAGTATTGAAGGCAGAACTCCATCTGAGGATGGAATATACTCGGCCTTCTGTCGCTGTTCGTAGTCAGTAGACGTCCAAGGTCTGCCATCATGGGAAAAATTTAGTTACTCACAACTCTATCGCTGCTTTTGCTTGCGATCACTACTTGGTTTGATAGGAGTTTATAGGCGCAAGGGGTTAGGAGGCTTACGACTACAGGACCAATCACTCATGCTGATGAAGGGTTATCACGCAAGCGTGGGCGCCTGCAGTGACAAGCTACACAGTACGGGTGAGTGCTCACCCGACGCCGCAAGCCGGGGGTGAGTACAGGGCGGCATCACCTTCGGCCATATTCGGGGTGAGTTGGGGGCAGTTGCGACAGATCTCCGCAGTTTCTACAGTAGTTACTCCTGGACGCCGCATTTGAGGTTCGAGTACGTTCAAAAATCCTACTGTAATGTGTTGCTTCCGTTCTACCTCGCTCGCTTTGTCCTCTTCCCGAGTCCATGTCCTCTTCACCAAAACCGCTTGACCGAGCTGGCATCTGGTCGTACGTTCCTTTTACTTCCACACCTCGCCGTCGTTCAATCGGTAGCGGACTGCCTCGTACCACGACGAACACCGCCAACGGTCGGCCGTGGAATCCCTCTGCCGCAAAGTCAGATACACACTTCCTCGCCTCTGGCAGGAGCCAGTCTCACATCCTGGAGTCCGTACAGAACGCCTGGATGACTCAAAGTCGCCAGGCCAAGTATGTCAGGACCGGTGGCATCCTTGCTCTCATCGTCCTGTTATATTGGTTCATGTCCGCTGGGAGCACGCCCGTCCAAAATGTCTATACACCTACGACGTCTCCTACGTCGCGATGTACAAAACCGCACGATCCTACAAAGCCCCTGGTGCAATACGCAATTATGATAGATGCGGGCAGTACCGGGAGCAGAATACATGTCTACAAATTCAACAACTGCGGGCCTACGCCTGAGTTGGAGAATGAGGACTTCAAGATGACTGAGCCAAAGCCAGGCGGCTCGGGTTTGAGTTCGTTCAAGACCGACACTGAGGGCGCAGCTAAAAGCCTTGATCCTTTGATGGAGGTCGCGATGAAATCGGTCCCGGATGAGTACAAGTCATGCACGCCGATCGCAGTCAAAGCGACTGCAGGCCTCCGGTTGTTGGGCGAAGACATGAGTCTTAAGATCCTGGAGGCTGTCAGGACCAGACTCGAGACACAATACCCTTTCGCCGTGGTATCTCGGGAGAAGAATGGCGTAGAAATCATGAAGGGGGAGGATGAAGGGGTGTTCGCCTGGATCACCACCAATTACCTCCTGGGCAAAATTGGAGGTCCTGATGAGAGTCCCACGGCAGCCGTGTTCGACCTAGGCGGCGGCTCTACTCAGATCGTCTTCCAACCGACTTTTAAGAAGAGTCCACACGGAGGCATGCCCCAGACAATGGAGGAAGGCGATCACAAGTACAAGCTGAAGTTCGGAGGCCGGGAGTTCGAGCTCTACCAGCATTCCCACTTGGGCTACGGCCTAATGTCTGCCCGAAAGGCATTGCACCAACTCGTCCTCGACCGGATGCACAAGCAGAATCCTGGTTCGAGAGCTTGGCTTTCCAAACCGATACCCAACAGCTGCATCTTACCTGGAACACAAAAGAAGGTCACTGTTGAAATGCCTGCGGACCATGAACTCGCAGGTGAACACGAGGTTGTCATGGAGGGCCCTGTCGACGCGATCCCGGCCCAATGTCGCGCTCTCGCAGAAGCAATTTTGTACAAGGACAAAGCATGCAATTTGGCGCCCTGCTCGTTCAATGGCGTCCACCAGCCGCCGCTCGAGAAAACGTTTGCGAGGGAAGACATCTTTATCTTTTCGTACTTCTACGACCGTGCCCACGAGCTTGGCATGCCCGAGTCATTCACCCTGCGCGAACTGCAGGATCTCACTGCCAAGGCCTGTGGCGGCGAGAAGACTTGGGACGCCTTTGCTGGAATAGAGGGTGCCATTGACGGCCTCAAGGAGCGCCCCGAGACTTGCTTGGATTTGAACTTTATGTCTGCGCTATTGCACACGGGATACGAAATGCCCATTGACCGCGAAGTCAAGATCGCCAAGAAAATCAAGGGCAATGAGCTGGGTTGGTGCCTAGGCGCCAGTCTACCTCTGCTGGAGAAGGAGAGTGGCTGGGAGTGCCGGATCCGAGAAGTCTCGTAGTACGACGTTATGAATGTGCTGCGAGGAGGCATGGGTGGGTGCCCACGCGCATGGCGTCGGCGAGGTCAAATGAGGACAATGGTTGTATTGATACCCTTACAGAAACCGTGGGCAGGATTGAAGTGCAATATTTCAGGGGCGCTGGGGCGGAAACGTGATAAGAAGCAGGGACTGTAGCCGCACGGAATGTAATGCATCGACATGGGTTCGGACAGAACATGAATTCTGATCGAGACAGTATCGCCATGCTATCTCTGTGCCATCCCACCCATCGATAGAGCTCTGGGAGTGATCGTTGTGAATGGGGAGCACTCCGAGTCTAATGTAATGGACATTCTCTAACCGTCGTGGTATCCTTCTCATGCCTTCGCCAACGCTATTCTGTGTAATGGTTTACTTGCAGACCGCTTTGTATCCGTGTACCTCGCTCGATCAAAAACCTCCCTTGCCCAATAACTCCTCGCACACCTCGTTGAGTAGCGGCTCGGCTTTGAGTTCGGCGCTCTCCCCCAGCTGTGTCAAGGTATCGCTGAGATCCATGGCTCGGCATAGATCCCAGAGCATATCGTCCGCAGGGGCAGCGTATAGAAGCATACCCAGTGCTAGGAGCAGAGCATGCAGAGTGTCTTTAAGATTTCCCGCAGACGACGATGTTGGTGGAGAAAGCGACGACAAGGACGTGATGCTCTCGACCAGAGCAGCTGCTAGGTCATCGCTTACGGCCGTCTCGCTCTCAGAATCCTGGCTGCTGGGATTCGTCTGAGCATGCATTCGTGCGTTGTGCCTATAACTCGCTAGATTGTACACCAACGCCGCAGCCATGGCTCTGGCATTCAAATGCGGGCTGAGAAGACATTGCGCCGCAAGCAATTCAATCTTCTCCTTCAGGGCTGGGATATCACGGTGAGATGCATCTGAATCGGACCGAAAGAGTTGCTCCTGGAAGACATTGGAAGAAAACAGGTTGCATGCAAGTTGCAGGCTAACGGACTGGATATTGTAGGGTGCGTTCGTGAAGTCGCTGTCCTGGGCGGATCCCAGTAGCGTCGAGAGCGTCGAGCACTCGTGCTCCGTGACGAGGAAACTAGCCACACGCGAGTCGCTCGCGGCGATGCGAACAAGATCAATGAGCGCGAAGTGCGACCCCTGCGGCAGGTCGCCAGACTTGGACTTGACGTAGGTGGTGAAATCATGTATGTTGAGCAGCGCAGCTTCGGTCGCGCCCTTTGCATCTCGCGTCTTGATGAACTCCACAAGAGCTTGCACAGACTTGTCTTGCGAAAAGGACGCCCCAAGCTTGGCGAGCAATTTCTCCAACGGCGGTGTCTTGGTGTAGAGTGTTGGTCTCTCGATGATCCGCTGGAAGGTCGGCAGCCTCAACTTTGCGTGCTGGTGTTGTGGTGGCTTGGCCATTTGTAACAACAGCCGGACATTTCCCCTCAACCGAGTTGGATCCGCCCCGGCCCATTCGTCCTGCTTCTGTCCCTTTAGGAAAGTGATGAATGTAGGTGTAGCGCGGACGCCGTACCGCTGGGCAACGGCGTAGGCAGATGGCGATGCTGATATGTCTATTTTGATCAGCTTTGCGCCAGAAGAAGTGCCTGCTGCGGCAGCCAACTCATCATATGTTGGGTAGCAGATTTTGCAGGGTGGACAGGTTGCGGAGGTGAAGAAGATGACTGCGCACGACTGAGAGGCAGACGAGAGAAGTTTGCCGAGTTCCGAGAGACTTGTAATGTTGTGGACGTGACCTGGCGCGTCTGGTGGCGGTTGGGCATTGATGATCGCTACGGGTACGATCGCTTTTTGCGCGGACCCGTTGGCAATTGAGGGAGGATAGTCCCCGTTCCGCATCGCCTGAGATGCCGGTTTCGAGATTGATCTTCTTCTCGTGGCATTTTCGCCGGACACTGCATCAGGGGCTTGAGTCATTGTGCGCATGGACTGATCGAGTTGACCGCGAAGCATCTGGCCCATGGGCGTCCTCAAAAACGTTTCGGGCAGATTCTTGATCTCGTCTGGAATGCTCTCGCCCACAAGGAACATGGCGAGGTCTTGCGTAAAGTTGTTGCAATTGTGCAGGAATAGGTCGTACGACTCCGGAGTGTAAATCTCTGCGAGGGACTCGATGTATTCCTCCACGACGTCCACGGGCAGGTCTGTCTTACCCATGTTTACAATCTTCATGGGTTGACCATGGTGCGTTGAGCCCGGGATTTTCCTGTGAATCCCCTGACCGAAGAAGTACTCGACATTATTGAAGACAATTGCCGTGTGATAGATTGCATCGATCTGGACCCCGGTGATCATCTTGGAATACTGCCGTGCCATCCCCCGTGAAAGGTCATAGACGTAGAGTTGGACCTCCATGGCTCTTGTGCAGTCGAAGCTGCTTCTGCTCTGGCCACCTCGTCAAGGAAGAGGAGAGAGATGTTGGCCATGAAGACATGAAGATCCAGGCAGCCAAAAAATACGTCAGCCACAACTCAAAAATGTGGCGTCACTTCACCTTCATTCTGGTAAATCGCCCTTCGGAACCTACGATCACATTTGTTTCGACGAAGCAAACCTCAACCTGTGCCGACGTCACAATGGTAATTGTCATGCTGGGTGATCTCGTTGCTCCTTAACCTTGCGCTCGAGATGCCGCCGCGCAAGCCGCCAGCCAAGGGCAAGGGCCCGCCCCCAAAACCAGCCCCAACTTCAAAACCGCGACGGTCAAAGCTAGCCAAGGACAACGACATCACGGCGGAAGAAGAGGCAGAGATCAAGGAAGCATGGAATCTGTTTCGGCTGGAGGATGTCGAGGGCTACGAAGGCGAAAAGGAAGGTGTTCTTCGGACGAGCAATGTGCAGCATGTCATGCGGTAAGTTATGTTTGGGATCAGACAATCGGACATGTCTGCCAGTCCTTATGATGATGGCCCGTCTAATTCATCTTGCGTAGAGCACAGGGCCTGGCTCCCAAAAACGAGGCAGATATGCGAGAATTCATCGAGACGCTTGACCCAGAGTCGGAGGGCTACGTAACATATCCGCATCTCCTCGCTCTCTGCGCAATACAACTGAAATCCAAGACCGACGAGACCAAGGTGGAAGAAGTCGAGACCGCATTCAACCTCTTCCATCCCGGTCAAGGTAACGGCGGTGAGGAACCAGTGATACGGTTGCAGGATCTGCGAGCAGTGGCGAAAGTACTGAAAGAAGACGTCAGTGACGACGTGCTTAGAGCGATGATCCTGGAGGCAAACGGAGGGAAGGGCGTCGGGTCTGGCGTCAACATGGAGGATTTCCAAGCTGTGCTGACCCGAGCAGGGGTGTTTCAGTAGTTCTCGCATGGGCGCTTTGTGTTCACGAAGAGGCACACCAACGCCCAATGAGACCTGTAAAGGAGGAAGATGAAGACGACTGTCTCCACGGAAATCAGACCGCGACTCGGTTTCGAGCCACGACAGTAGAGACCCGTGGAAGTCCCGCGACCAGATCTGTGTCTGGCCAGGATCGAGACCGAGTACTGCTCTAGCTTCCCTGTCCACACTGGCTCGTTGTGGGTGCAAAACGAAACGGCCAGCTCTAGCATAGATAGAAGCAGTGCGACGAATTCAATTACACATTCAGGTTTCGTGAAAGTCGCCTCAGCATTCTCGGCATGACCTGAGCCTGATCCCAAGCGGCAGATTGTGGTCACAAGACTCTGTGAGAGTCGACGGGCGTGGAATATACAGATGAAAAGAATGAAAAATGGTGAAGTGAGCTACGAGATTTCGCAGCACTACAGGTAATTAGGTGGATGCCCCGCGATGAATTGTGCAGGCCTTTTCTTGGACTAGCTAGCCTGTGAGCTCCCCTCGGGAGAGCTCTTTTCCGCGCCGCACCTGGCCCTTCCGTGCCTCCCCAACCGCCATCTTCCGCATGGCCAGCGTCTAATGAAAACACTCTGAAGGCGACAAGCACAGATTGAGCCTCATCTCAAACACGATTGCAACTCTTCCTTCCTAGAAGCTATTTCTTCCCTTGCTGGGAACCGCGGTTTCGACCATTTCCACACGTACGTCTACAATGTCTTGCTTGACCCGAATTGAAGTCAATGACCAATGGGTGCCATGCTACTTCATAGTTTCATATTGCAAACTCTGCGCGCCCGAGGATGCTACAGTACTCGCCGTCTTGGACGAGCGTAAAAATGACCTCCTCTGGCCCCATCCGCCGCTGAAGCTACGAGTTACGTACTAGGCCTACAATCTTCAAGCACAGGCGCCAGCTACCTGCCGGTAGTGCTGTCGATATCGAGGCTTTGTGTTTCGTCAGGCGTCCCGACCCTCCCGTCTCAGCGTCTTGGCCCTCTGCAAACCACTGGCTAGTTCAAGGCAGCTATCGAACGCGGGTAGCCGCATCGGACCAGCAGTGGTTCGTCCAGGGTGTCCTGCAGGTTGTTGTCTCAACCTGTACTCCGTAGGCTGTGTCCCCTTGAGTTCGCGCCGGGGGCCAACTTCTCCTCGCCCGCCGCCTATCCTTTGCAGGAGTGTAGGCAATCCGCCAATCGAAATGCAGAGACGGGCTTTTTGGTTCGGAATCATGCAACGCGCCCGGTCTAGTAATAGCCAGCCCCAGATTGCTCAAGCATTGTTGGGTGATTGTGGCAAGGTGCGAAACAGCGAAGCATGAACGCGACGGCATGCACAAAGGTGCACAGCTATCGACATCTTTCTTTCTTGACCGAATGATGCCCTTCATGCGCGCGACAACACTTCCTATTACCCATTTGACGGCCTTTCCTGGATCGAGGTCACATCTTCGACAGCATGTTGGACGGGGGTCGACGAGCTTCGGATCAAGCGCCACTGTCAGAAGCCTTTCAGGGCTTCTCGATACCGCGGAAAGCAGTACATGTAACAGACTCAAATCTACTTTCTCCGGCGACCTCGATCGCCTCGTTGCAGTCGCAACAGGCGAACACCTCTTCTCAAACTTCCCAGCGAAAACCGGATGAGGAAGCCTTTAACAAGGCGCATTTACAGCATAAGCCATGGCGATCGAGGTCGTTACAAAGGCGAACGCTACTGGCTTTTGCTGGTACTTTCATCGCTCTCTTGGCTGCCATCGAGGCTATCATACAGGTGTCCCACAACAACAAAGGCCTAGCAAATGCTGATGAGAATGCCTACTATCTTTGGACCTATGGGCCAGTTGCTAGTAAGTACATCCGCGTACCATTCCAGAGCATGTATTGATCTTCGCTCATAGTTTTAACGGTGACACTCGCGTTCTGGTCTCGGATCGAATACAGATCGAAGCAACTCGCGCCGTATATTCTGCTGAACAGCGACCCTGCTTCCACTCATCAGGCTGTTCATCTCGACTACGTCTCTCCCATCGCACCTACGACAATTTCTCAGGCCGTACGAAACTGTAACGTCTTGGTCGCCTTAGCTTCGGTATCCTCACTTCTGGTTACTCTGCTCATCGTCGTCTCCACCAGTCTTCTCGGCTTGAGATCCTTCCAGCTGGATCAAACGGGCATTAAGATGGCCGTCTCTGATTCATTCGTGAAGAGTGTGTCATCCTTACCTGATAGCCCTGTTTCTCAAATGCCCTTCTATGTCTATGATGCCATCAACAACCTCACCCTGAAGTATCCCGCCGGGACTACGGCGTCATTCGCATACCAAAACTTTACTTCAGCCGACCCATCAGCCGCCGACACACTAACTGCTGAAGTTGACGGATTCTCTGCAACTCTCACCTGCGAACCAACTATGCTCCATTTCGGTGGTCTTTCGCTAAATGTACCTACCGGTGGACAGCCGTACAGCAGCTACGCACCTTTTGATGATGTTTCCAATGTTACAGTCAGTTTAGGCGGCTGCGAGGCGAAATTGACACCGCCTTTATATACGACGGCAATCGGAGTGAAACAAACCTTTGGACAGTTTCTCAAAGTAGCGTGTGCCGATGGTGGAGATGAAGAAGACTCGCAGCGCATCCTGATATACACAATGGAGCTGATGATCAACTCCTCAGCATCCCCGGATGAATATCACCGGACGTACTACTACAGTATTACCCGCTCAACTCAACTCCTATGCAGACCGTCATACAGCCTCCCTCGTCTCAGTGTCACAATTGACCGAGCCAGCGGCGAACATACTGCAGCTACTTTGGTAGATTCTTCTCCGGTCATCGATGGTGGAAAGATTACTGGTCTGAGTGCTTGGAATTTGACAGATTTGATCCTGGATGCGGTGGCAGTGATTTCGCCTTACAACAGTGACGACTATTGGGGTCCAGTGGTCAAGCTCGCACGACAGTCTGGCATCAAGATCACCGACGAGGATATGTTCGACATATCGATTTTGCAAGCCCTATTCCCACCGTTCTTCGCTTCGGTTTCCGCCCAGGTTGCCAAAGAATCTTTCATGAGATCTTCGCAGGATGTCATCCTCGGGGCCTCAACCACTGCACGCACACGGTTGACAGTCCGGTCGCTTTCGGCTCGCATCATGGAGGCCACTCTTGTCGTCCTTGCTGTGGCTGCAGTCATCATGGCCGTATTCTGCCCTCGGACGGTCTCGATTCCATGCGATCCAGGATCCATTGCTGGCACAGCATCGGTCTTCTCATTGAACCAACCACTTTTGGAGCATATGAAGAACGACGTTCCTCCAGAGAAGACCCAACTGGCACAGCAGTCATGGCGGCCTCTAGTGCTAAAGCCCTTGGCTCGCAGCCTCGGCTTGGTCACCATTGCGGCTGTTGTTGTTGTGCTCGAGACCCTGTTGCAAGTGTCGCGGAAGCACAGTGGCATCGTCAACGTCAACCTAAACCAGTATATTCACTATACGTGGTCCTACATTCCCGCTTTAATGATGGTCATCATCAAGCTGTTCGCTCTGTCACTTGATTTCAATACGAGGCTGATGGCTCCATTTTCGCGACTAAGGCGGGGCGGAACCTACAAAAACGCCCTGAACGTCAGTTATTTGAAGCATCTTGCACCCGCAGCCATCGTCTCCTCGGTCCGAGCAAGACAGTTCGCCGTCACCGCAACGACGCTCATGGCGCTCATTGGTGGGCTCCTTACGATTGTTGTGAGCGGCGTATACGACGTAGCACAAATACCAACCCAATCTCCAGTTCAAGTACAGCGTCAAGACTCATTCCGATCGGTCGAGAACCTTACCCTGGATATTACCAGCGATGATAAAGGAGGGATGCTTGGGGCCCTAATTCTTGACCAAAACCTGTCATACCCCAAGTGGACGTACGACGAGTATGTTTTCCCCAAGCTGGAAACGGTACGTGACACCAGCGACCTGGAGCTTGGCGATTTCATTGATACCACTGTGTCCGCCTTGCATGCCCAACTGCATTGTAGATACTTGACAGGCCCCGAGGTAAATGCTTCGGTGAATTGGACAGAAGGTGGAAAACTCAATGTTGTGAAACCCCCGGCCCTCGCAACCTACGTCAATACACAATCAGACATCTACCTGGGAGGCCTCGACCCAGTCGTGGAGGGCGGAGTTTTTGGCACCGCGGATTGGTCAGGAGTCGGGAACGGAATAGGCGATCCGCCGGAGTACGCATATATCTGGGGATCCTTGAGCGGCCGAGAGATCGACCACATTGTCATCCTCATGTGCGACGAAGACATCCACACCATCGATGTCTCTGCCCGGTTCTCACTGCCAAGCTTCTCCATCGACTCAGGCGTCCCGCCCGTTCCAGTCGTAGCCACGTCGAAGTGGTTCACGAATCTCTTCCTCCTTGAGCCTTACTCAGGCCAGTTACCGAGGGAACCTGACGGCCCATTTCCACAGGATGAGTTCTTCACCCTATTGGTAGAAGGTAGTGGCGGCATCGAAGTGTCGGATCTTAAAGAGCCCTCGAAAATCGACAAGATTGTGGACACGATCAAGCACTTCCACGGCATCGTACGGGCTCAGCAATACAACATCGTCCTGCGGCAAGCTCCAGGTCAGAACGAAACACTTGCGACCCTCCGATTCCCGAGCACGATGACCAGCAACAGTCGGAGCAGACTTATCCAGCATGCAGTGTCGACGCGTGTCTTGGAAGGCATGCTTCTCGCAATGCTTGTCCTTGGGGCGGCTGCTACATTCATGATGAAGACAAGAGACGTGTTGCTCGAAAGCCCCTGCACCATTGCCGCCATGGCACGCTTGCTGGCTCAGTCAAGCATTCTCGAGGGCAGATCAGGGTCCGAATCCACACAAGATTTCTCACCTAGCGAATCTCTAGCCGAGGCCGAATCGTCCGAGGGCCGCATATTCAGGCTTGATTGGTTTGACTGGAGAGGAGACAGTCAGGAGAAAACGAGAGTTTTCACGATCCGGGCCGTGGATTCGGTCGAACTCCCGACGAGGGTTGCTGACCAGCCGCCTAAGGAGGCGATTCCAGCCACGGCGACTGCGCGAGATTATTCTCTAGTAGCAACACACGATGCTCACCCTAGCTTCCACTCGGAGGATTTGGACCGAGACAGAGATGAGGAGCGTGGGGATAACGCGATCCCTGCAGTTACAAGTGGACGAGATGGCGACCACAGAGCGGAGACGGATTCTTTGGTTCGAACAGGATACCAAGGCTAGATCGGCAAAGATTCGGCATGGGCATCAATGATTTCGCTTCCCACGCAGCAGGTCATGTATGGCACTCGTGAGGAATCTACCCTCGCTCCATTCTGCATTGATCAAGTGCTTGACACATCATGTCTTCGCCGTACCCAGCATGATCTTCCACCCTCGCGCCCTTGCTCCAACAATTACCATCATGTGCATGTTCGTCTTGCAGAGAATGTATCCTCGGATCCTCGAAGCTCGATTGTGGCTAGGCAAGAATCCTTTTGGCTCTGAAAGACCGAGCGCAGTAAGAGCGAGCTGAACCCGAACCATCAAAAGCCCATGTGAACCGTCAGAACTGGAGGTGCTAAAATACGTCGCGAAAGACACCTCAATACCTGTACGTCGGCTCCGTCCAGCCCTCCGACTTTACGGAAAGCTGAATATTGAGACGGGTTGGGTCCCAGGGCCCAAGGAGCCTGGGTCGGGGAGCTGATCGATTCCATCGAAGTTGATCTCTCGAGTGTATGGAGCGCCGCAACTTTCCACTAAACACAGTACTGCTGGTTACGAGCACCTCCGCTCCAAGGCGGACACCTCTCATCAAAGATGGGACCGACTGCTGGAGGACCTCCCGCCTACATGACGAGAATAAGCCATACGATCTTTCACTCGATTCTGAACAAGTGTACATCCCATCTGCGGCTCAGATGGCATGGTGTCGGCTCGAAGTGGAGATTATGATGAGCCACAGTTCAGACAATATCCAGCGAGTCCATCCTCCAGATCTCGACATGCTGGACGTCCTTCTCTTCAATTCGCTTCAATCGTCGCCGGTACACAGCGGATGTCTTATTTTGGCTGTCCGTGCCACCCTCTATATACCCATCGTCAGTTCTTGCAACGGCTTCTTCCAGAGCCGGTCCGAGCTCCCAGATCTTCCAGCCAAACCCGATATACCTCAGCTTGACGAATTTCGCAGTCTGTGGGCTCGGACCACCGCTTCTTGCAGCGAGACTAGTAGACATTTGCTCCTCGTGAAGGTGATCTGGTAGGTTGACGAAGTTCTCGTAGGCTTCTACATTTTTCGTGCCTTCCTCACCACACGCTTCCTGGCCCAGCGGAGCAAGTACACGGATGGCCCATAACTCGCTGAGCCTCGGTACAAGGAGCCTCAGCGCTTCGGCCTGTGAATCTCCAAGGCAGTCTAGGGCTGCGGCGAGCTGTGTCAGATTCGGACAAGACCGGATAAGTCGGGCTGTGATTGCCGTGGGAAGCGGCCAGCGTGCAGGGAGTATGAGGTGCTTGAGTGTCGGACCGCAGACATTGCAGATATTGTCTAGATACAGGTCGCGAAGGGAGATTGAAGCCGTGGCCGTGGCCGATACGGCTCGAACAGGTGTGGCTCTCGAGGAACGGACGTCGTCGGTAGCTGCTTTGTAGAATGGCAATGAGTCGGCCGACTTCGGCGAGATCTCATTGTGGATGTTCACAGGTGGCCCTTCGGTTCGATGCTGCTTATGTCGTGCATTGATAAGATAGAGCTTCTCCAAACCCACGAACTTGCCCAAGTCTTGTGCGTGCCTCCTGTGTAGTTGGTCGACCCTCATGCTTTTCGGTCTCGGAGCATGCTCCTCAGCCTTGACTATCATATGCCATGTTCGATCGATGAAATGCGTGGCATTGACGAGACCGGAACGGTCGTCCACCACCGGGGCGTCCTCGTCCGGGCCAAACGTGTTCACAGTGGTGAAATGCTCTATTCCGGTGGTGTCCACTGCATGGAGACACTCGGTGGGGTCGGCACTGTTCAGTAGATTGTACACCCCCATACTCTTCAGGCGGAGTTTTCTCTTGGCAGCAATGTTCTTCCGGAAGAAGTGTGTGAGGATCACAGAGGGTTCGCCTTGTTCACGCATGCGTGGAGAAAAATGCATGACCAGGTTCTCAAGCCTCGTGCCATGGAGCAGAAGAGTGGATATGTCATCGGGATAACACAACGGGTCGTAATGCGTGAAGATCAACGATCTCAGTTTCGGCAAAGGAGGGATTTCATACGAGGGTTGAGGAGATCTGTTGGAAGGGAAACGAATCCACAGTGACTCTAACCGCTCGAGCTTCGCCAGCCCGGCGTGGACATTCGGCTGTATCCGTACATTCAGATCCCAGCGGAACTTCTCGAGGTGTGTGCACTGATCAAGGACCGCGCGGACAGCGATGTTCAAGATCATGGTGCTCTCCGATATCCGACCAACTCTTGCATGTTCGTTCACGTCTGCAGAGCTGAATTCTCCCTCTAGGCTCAGCGACCGCACCAGACTCGAGACGTTCCTTGTGACCAGCGCATTCAATCCCATCGCGAAGGGGCTTGCGCTCCCAAATCCCTCCGGCACATCCTCCTTGTAGCGAATGGTGCTGTATGATTTCAACGTGACATTTTTCCACAAGTGCGGCAGAGTCATGTACCAGAGAACGCGAGAGGTGCGACATAGTCGAGCCAGCGAGGCAACGTCATCGTCAAGGAAGGAAATGATATGTGCGACGACTGTCAAAGGGATCGAATCGACGCCAAAGGCGCCCTCAGCTTCCGGACCATTGCGGTATAGATGACTGGCACGGAAGGTCATAATGCGGCCACATCGAGAAATCGTGGCACGGGTCTGCACTGTCGCTTACGCCTCCGCACGCATAGCCGAGACCTCGCTGGGACTCAGGCAGGAGGTACGACTCCGAGGGCATCGATAAGGCAGCGGAAGGCGCACGTACGGTCGACGTGACTCGAGTAGCACAAGCTCACATGCTCAGGCAGAACAATTTCATATACCTAGTCAGACAGGCTGCATGTGCACCCGAAGTGGTCCGCCGTACAGTTACTGCGCACCACTGCGACGGGAGGTGTAGTGTGCCTCCGAGCGTACATCGCCCACAGGTGAAACGGCCGCGGACTTGATGTTGCCCGGGCTGATGGACAGTGCTATTTCACTCCTACAAGATAACGTGGAAGATGAGAGTGGGTACGAAGAGAACCCCTAGCAGTAGGTCCTGGCATCGTACTGTCCCGGAGGTCTGGGTGTGGCGCATGGCAACCGATCTGGAGGACGCATGCTATCAAATTAATGAGACTACTGTTCCGGAGTAGATCCTGTGCCCCCTGTATCTCGTCCATCACTATCCGAGGCTTGGTCGTGCGTCAGATTCTGGGATGACTTATGAGGAGCCTGTGCCGCTTGGACAGATCGTGAAGATGAACGACGACTAATCCCAGACGCCGGGTGTTCCCTTTCAACGTCTGCGCTTGGCTGGGCTGGAGCCCGAGCAGCCGGGCTTGCTACTGCGCCCTGGGTTGGGATCTCACTGCCAGTCTCGTTAGACGTATCTTCCGCAATCGGGGCAACCGCTGGAGGGCGCGCGTAGATCGCGGACCTCGGCGAAGTCGGGTGAGAGGCATCAATCACTCGGCTCGGTCTGGGGTCACTCTCGGAGATGATCAGCGAACCTCTAGACGTATATACCTGCTGAGGAGAGTGAGCCTGGCCGGCATTCGAGGCCGAGTGGCGCGAGACCACAGCATCCGGCCGCACAGGTACCGAGATTGACGGGGCGTCTAGATGTGCGTCATCCGGAGACCAGGTTCGACCGTTCGTGGGTGCCGGAATGAAGACCACCTGGGCCGAGACCTGGTGTCTTCCATAAAATGCCTGCCCCGGTAATGCTGGATCCGCATTTGCCGTTCGGACAGAGCCTTCCTCAATCGGGAGACCTTGGACATCATCAGGAGACCAGGTCCGTTCATTACTCTTCGGCGCCGGTATGACCGTGATAGGCAGGGGAGCGGCGGCTGTATTGCCTCGGGCACCAAATCGCTCTCTTTGCGTAGACGCAAACGCTCCCAACCGATCTCGGAGATTTAGCGTGCGATCAATGGGGGACCGCCGTACGCCACTAGCATTTTGGGCATCAGCAACCTCCGCTGGCGGTTCAGACCTGCGTCTTTTGAATGGATTCTGGACAGCTTGCCACAGGTTACGGCCTTGCGACGCCTTCAATGTACGGGCCACAGGTTGCAGTGCCAATTCCTTATCTGCACCAGCTGGAGAGGAGCTGGAATCGTCTGAATCTTTGGGGCCGTCACCACTGCCGGGGCCGCTTCCTTCACGACGCAGCTCTGATTGTGGATTTGGCGATGGACTTGCGGGATTGTGGTACCGTACAGCATAGACGGTGCTGGTAGCACTTCCGGTATCGCTTCGATTGGGAGGCGTCGTTGTTTGCTGAGGTATCACAAATTGAGAACCGGAGATGGCGTGGCCGGCTGCGCCCATAGCATCCGCGCCGGTAGTAATACCGTCTGGTGGCACTCTCTTCCTCCGTTTGCGTAGTGGAAGCCGACCACGAACCCGTCGATACCGAGATGCCATTCTTTCACTTATGCCCTTGCCCCCACCACTACCGTGTTCTGGTCCAAGGTCTCCGCGCCAGCTCGCATCTTCTGATGGAGTCATGTCCAGCATTTCGTCCCCGTCGAAAATTTCACGTCCCAGAATGCCGTCCTTTCTTTCATCCCGTTCCAGAGACTCGATTCTCTCCACCCATTCCCAGACGACGACACTCGCAGCTGCGGCGCCAACCCATCGTATATATTCACCCCAGCCCGCCAGGTCCGGCTGCGATATATCGAGAATGAAGAATACCACCGGGATAACCACCGAAATAAGCGATAGCAGTGCGACCAAACATATATTCTTCATTTTCGGGTGCCAGAACGCGAACCGCCTTTTCGACAGACAATAGTAAACCACGCAGGACGCATAGATCAGAGAGATGGCCAGTTCAAACAGGTAGTTGAGGGCGGGAATAGCGTCCGAGAAACTCCTGGGTCGTGTCCTGGGGCTGCCACTGACGAAAGAGTCTAAGATGCTGAAAATGGTGTCAAAACTGACCATGGCGAAACCAAGCCACTTGATGGTAACCTTCTCCTTATGCCGCGGAAATAGTCGTATCAAGGTCTGTACTTGAGCAAGCCACAAGAAAGTATCGGATATGACCCGAATTATCCGGATTTCCAGGCTGTCCACGACATTGTCAACTAGCTGACTCGAGTCGATGTAGCCTTGATTGTATTGCGTTTCGGCGACATTGAAGGTGTCGGCGGTCGCAATCGTAAGAGAAATGGCCACAGTGACCGTCGCGATCTTCTGGAGGAGAGGTCTTCGCCCCACACCCACCACAGATGATGAGCCATAAGATCCTGTTATTATGCCGCGTCGGCCGAGGAATCGCGCGCCTCCACCTGGCCCTCCGAGATAGAACGTCCTTGGTGTGATAAAGATGAGAATGACGAGGATGTAGCTGATGACCGTCGCGGTGGCAAGGGCAAATATCTGGGGGGATATGGAGGCATAGAAGGGATTGGAGAAGCCGACGACGGACGAGTTACCAGTTGTATCAGGGCTTATGATAGGATCCGGGTTCTCGCAAGGCAATTTAAAGGTGACCCTGGCGTGGAGGGTGGTCGTGGTATCATCGTCGAAGATGAATATGCCTGTCTGCTCTTAGCATGTTTCCTTCTCCGACGACATCCTGCGCAAACCTCCACTTGGCAGAATCAAAGGCGTGCACCATGCGTCCGGAACCGTCTGGGTCGCAGCCGGTGTGCTCAATTGCCCCCATAGTTGGCGAACAGTGATCGAAGCATCGTTGGACATGCCGCGGCTACCGTTGAGGTTGTACAGCTCCAGTAAGCGGCTCCGGGTACCACATTGTCAATGCTCCGAGACTCGGGAGAGTCGTCGAGGACTGCGGACGCGCGGCGGACTTGGTCATACGACACACATGAAATGGGTTGGCCAGTCTTCAACTCTTCTCTGTGGGCGGGGCAGAGGTTTACACGAGGTACTCGAACATGTAGAGAGTAGTCGACGGTATAGAGGGGAAGCAGAGTGTCCGAGTTAACTAGGTGGGTGTTGATGGCATTGAGTTGAGTGCAGCAGCAACTTAACCTCGTACTGTGTAGTCGGTGGAGAGGGTGGAGCAGGTGCTGCACGTGCCTCGCCAAATAGTCGATGAGATTTGTGGGGCGGGCCGGAAGATTGTTTATGCGCGGTTTCATGCACTGAAATCTTCTCAGTGGCTATGCAGCGCTCCAGACGTGGCATCCCAGCTAACAGGGAAAGGGCATGCTTGTTGGGATCTCCGAATGCTACATATGGAGCTGACTGCGCATCGCAAGTCCAGCGTCACGATCCCCACGCTTTCTACGCGCTTACCCTGTTACCGGTGTTACGGTTGTGATCATAATTCATCATTCAACCGTCCGTCAATGATCCCAATACCTTCGGATCGCTATACACGAGTCTACCCGCGCCGCGAGGCAAGGAATCCGATCGTCCATCAAATTGCCAACGAGGTGGGTAGAAGGAAATAGGAGCCATTTCCTCCTCGTTCGGTGCGTCCCCTTCACACATTGCCAAAACCATATGTCTGACTGCCATTCCACTGCATCTGGCTGTAGTTGCGGTTAGTAATGGCCTCCAGCAAATCCCTCCCGCCTAAGGTTGGGCCGATGCCCCCAAATCCTTGGTCAACCGTGGCTTCATCGCCTCCCCACAGGTTGTCAAGGGGGAGAGCGAGCCAATCACCTCCGGCAAGGTCTATTCCCGAGCCCATGTTGACATCGTCTGGCAATGGAAAGTCAATGTCGTGATCTCCAAAGTTTGGTGGTGGCACGAAAGTCTGCGAGTCGAGGTCGGCCATGGACTTCGCCTGAATGCCAGCCAGGGGGTCAGGCCCTGTTCCGTAGAATTCAAGCTTTGGTTGCGCGGAATTGGTGGCCACAATCTGTTGTGGTGGTTGATCATTGACCCCATCGTGACCATGGGGAGAGGGCGGACCAGATTGCTCTCGACTTGGGCCGGCTGAGCCGGTGCCAGGGATTTGGACTCGAATCAAGGTCTGTTTCACGTTACCTAGTATGTTCTGCACTAACCGAGAGGTGGATGAAGCTAGGTGGACGTCGTCGACGACTTGCTCAGACATGAGATCTGTGATCTTCTCGAGTCTCTGCAGGCATTTACGCACTAGTTCTTCGTGGATCCCCAGGCTGAAGCGCTGTAACACAATGGATTAGTCGCCGGAAAAAGTTCTCAAGTATGGCAAGTGCTCCACTTACCTTCAACGTGAACATCATCCCGGACAAGCTGCGGAGATATGTGCGCACAGGAGCGTTCCTGAGAAAGCCCTGGGCGGCAAGGCCGTCGATGACAAGATCCAATATGTTGAGAGCAGCCTCTGTCACTTCGTCGATGAAAGGCTTGTTCTCTTCGGAGATCCTGGCAAGCGTCGCTCTCCGCATGGTCGCACCTCCCTCTACCCAGGACTCGACCACCTTTTGCAAACCCAAGGAATTGATGTACAGCCGGGCGTATTCATACTCCATGAGCAAAATGCATTGCATGACGGGGTGAATGTGGACCTTTTGTCTTTCCATCTCATTCTTCCAACTATGCAGCAATGGCGTGAAGGTGGCAATAGATTCCTTGTATCGGCCACTCGCTGTGAGCTCCCTGGTGAACTGGTGAGACGAGAAGATTTCCCGATTAGCTTGGTTCATGATCCTAGCAATATGCACCCAGCATCCTTGCATGAGGTCGATTGGATGATCTTGGTTTCGGCTTGTCTTGTCCCAGACCGTGTCAGATTCCCATTGATCGACGTTGAGCGACGATTGGACACCCATGCGACCACTAGTCTGAGCAACGTAGACAAGTACGAGATGTCGGACACGTCTTTTCCGTGCACACTCGGACTCAGGCCCATGATCATGGCGACAGTTGAAGTGGTTCGTGTCGAAGACACCAAGCTCAAATGCAAGGCTCTGAGCGAGCCCGAGGATCATCCATGACATCTTGTCGGACCTCCAGGCCGGTTCGAGCCAGCTAGCGTAGGGGAGATTGTCATAGTCTCTAGTACCGAGCCGCTCCTCTGATTGCCCACCTAACTTGGAGTGGCCATCGATCGGCATGAGCAAACTGCGGTCGAGAAGACCATTTTCTTCATCCCCAGGTGGGAAATGTAGAGCGCGTGGCTGCCAATCGGTGAGTAGCAGGAGGGCTTCAATGGTGCCCAGAGTTCGTAGGCTGCCTTGCCAGGTGAGCTGACCAGTATTAGTTTCCTGGATTTTTGCGGTACTCCCGCCCCCACAGAATCCTCCGCCAAATTGTTCCTGACCCCAGAGAAGTCGTTCCACCTGCCGACGAAGGTGAGTCCACAGCTTGTCGTGTATTTGGTAAGACCGAGATACTGCCGCATTCCCGGACAGTGGCATGTGACGCGAAGCGATAGCCAAGATTGCGAGAGCCATGATGGGCTCATCAGCGAGCAGCGCATGATGTTTGACGGGTGACCTAAAATCAGGAAAGACGACCGGAGTCATAGGAGCCAAGTTGGCGTAGAAGTACTCGACGTACTGCATGGCTTCCCAAGCAGTGAACCAGCCATTGCGAACAAAGCGCATCTGAGACCACGTCTTCATACCAGCTTCTTGCTCGGCCTGCTCTGCCGGCGACAGACCAACAGCGTTAGGCTCCTCGGGCCCGCCGTGTCCCAGACTTGATATTGTCTTCTTGCGTGCGCCGCGGTCAGACAATGGGCTCGCCTCGTCACCCGGGGCGGCGCTTTCAAAGACATGAGCCGCGTCGACCAGAGCCATGAGACTGTCCTGCGAAGTTGACACTTGGGCACCTAATGTTGCAGCGGCGGCCTGACTGTGCAGGTGAATATCGGCGCTGGGTTTGTTGCTTGCTGGGCTGGTATACATAGAAGAGCCCTGCACACGGTGATGGTCGTTGCGGGGTTGCGAAGTAATCGAAGCCCGGGAATTATTAGGCATGTGAGGCGACCAAGACCGTCGTGGAAACCCATTTGTCGCAGGGAGCGCCGCAGGTTGTTGGGAATCTTTGGCAAGACCATAGTGGGATGCGCCATTATTCACTGACGCCTGTACGCTGCCAGAGGGGGTAGGAACATCTCTTGCTGTGCCGTCCAGCCGCTTTTGCTTCTTCCGGGTGGGTGCAAATTCACATTGGAGGCGCTCGCGCAGGCATCGCCGGCAAGGAGGTTCGGCCGGCGCATCGACACCTGCAACATCCTTCGTTAGTGACATGACGGAAGATCAACCCTTGTGTCACTTACTGCCTAAATCGCATTTCACTTTCCGTGACCTGCAGTTTTGACACGCTTGATAGCCTCGCCGATGCGGCTTGCCGTGAATACCATGACCATCTCCAGGTTCCGGGGAAGAGCTCGCCTTGTAAGCATGAACATTGCTCAAGTCGTTGGCAGGCAGTTGTTGGGCAGTAAAAGCCATCACAGGCCAGTGACCGGGGGGAGAACTGGACGTAGGTTGGAATGCTGGGGTGGTTGTGACGCCGAGATAACCGTCCGCAGCTGAGCATCCGAGCGGAGAGGGCTCAGGCTGTGGCTGTGGCTGTGGCTGAAACCATTCCTGGAAGGCACCCAGGAAGGGTCCGAGTCCCGCTGCCGGAATGCCACTAGCCATGTTCGGCTGTGGCGGTGCAACTCTACAAGTTAGTGGATTGAAGCCTCCATTCTCAACTGCCTTCGGCGGGTATAAGTCGAAGTTCTCACAGAGGTTGACGAGTGAGGAAAGTGCAGTCGCTTCGTCCAGTGGATTGTACAATGGATCGTCCGCGCTGCCCGGCGACCAGAGGAGGTCCTGGAATGCCCCGAAATCCATGCTTGCGTGGGGCTTGCGAAATGGTACCGAGGTGGTCCTGACCTAGGTACATGGTAATAGTACCACATTCTTGTATATCTCGCGACAGCGGATCAATTGAATCGCCGATGGAAATGCGCACTTATGGTGAATATAGTGACTGTGCAGACGTCACCCCACCGTTAGCCGCGTTCACGCGGACATTTACTACGGTAATAGGAGTTTGCGAGGTGCAAGGACATGGTCTGAGGAAACCTAAGGACGAACCGACGACCTGTAAGATGACACCGCTTTATCGTCAATTGAGTAATTTATTGTCGATACTCACTTGCGCGGCAGTGGGGAGAAGCCCTGTCTGTATGTTAGTCCTCTTGTTGGTGATGTTGTTACAAAAGGATCAGTCTCTTTCTCTTTGTTGCCAACAACACTGCCATTTATCTTCATGCCGGTGAGATCCCCCGGGAGACTCTGAATACTGTCTTCGCTAGTACGCCGCAAGATATCTGGGGTTAAGCGGCCACCCAACAAACCCCTGACGCCGCCAGCTTTTCGTGCCGGCATTTCTCCGGTTCCAGCGGTCAACACATAAAGCAAGTACTTGAGGTTGGGAAGCGTATGCCTGATGTCAAGCACTCGCAGACCTTGCCGATTCATAAGAAACTCAATGTCTTTGTTCAACAAAAAGACGGCATACTCGAACTTGTAAGGAACTGTTGTTGGATGCAGTGGGTATTTGCGCTGACTCAGTCCAATCGAAATCGGGTCAAATATAAAGGAGGTCGAAGCAGAAGGCTCCAGAGCATAGGGCAGGAAGATGGACAGGTAAAGGGCCAGTTGATGCACCAACTGAGCGACGAATCCAAGCGCTGCGGCGATTTCGTCTCGATTGGTGTCGTTGTAGACCGAGTTGGGAAGATGGATGCCGCGGATGGTGAATTGGAGGGTTCGGTTCTTGAGCGGCTCGATGGGAAATATGGTCATGAGAGACTCACAAATCCGCCTGATCTGGCCACTAGAATCTGCTTCGATTCGCTTCAGTCGACCTTCTAATTCTTTAGACTTCCTGTTTCCGGCTTCGATCAACGCTAGGGCCTTCTCCTGGGCTTCGCGTCCTGACACGAGAGCCTGCTTGCGCTGTTCCAGGGAGTGCTGCAAGTCTTCCCGCTTCTTCTTGAGTTGTCGTAATTGTTTCTGCTCTGCAACCAACGCAGCCTTGACCTGAGGACCGTCGTCATCAACTTCGGGTTGTGCGGTGTCATCAACAGTAAGGACACGGGCTTCTGCAAGGATCCTGTTGATGTCCTGCTCAAGTTGTGACCGCACTTTGACAGCATCCTGTAGACACTCATCCAGATTCGCAAGCTGCATCAGAGCATCGAAAGTCGAGCCAGGCTTAGTAGTGCCAGCTCTGTGATCAACAGCATGCTCAGCAGTCGGATGCGGTTCGGCGGGCAGATCCGTGAAGCTGGTGTAAATCCCATCCGACAGATGCAAAAGGATACAGTTCTGAGGCAACGGATGATGGAAGTCCTCCAAGCTTCGTCCGACGAATTGTAAAGATCTCAGATTCAATTCCAGCTCGACGAGTAGACAGTAATTTTCAGTCTTTGAAGGCCGTGCCCAGACGCGAACGGTACAGTCGTCAGTCCTCGAGATCCGAACACCGCTATCGTCCAAGTCGAAGAATGCAAAGCTCGGATTCATTGATTTCTCTATCACCTCACTGATATAGACTGGCTCAGAAATGCCAGCACAATGGATAGAGACCCAGGTATCAGCCAATCGTTTAACAACAATATCTTCCAGCTTCGACTGTCGCACGCGCGGACTTGTTGTGGCCCAATGCAGAGTACTCCTTCTGCGCATCTTGGCCCCACTAGGCCTGCTCTGTTGCTTTTCGCTCCTCTCAAAGGGGGTGCCTGCTTTGTGCGAGCCGCTGGGAGTGGCAGCCTCATCGATCGCGGCGGCAAGGCTAGTAAAGGAGCGCGAGTGTGTCAGTGGGCCCGCTTCCTCTTGCAATGCACGCCTGGCTGGGGAAACCAGGTTGTATGGCGCATCATCATCCGTCGTCGTCTTGCCCTTCCCTTTGGAACTCGTTTGCGTTACATGGAGGTTGCGCAGGGAGATTCCGTGCAAATGCCGCAGCCGGCGATTCTACCGCAATATTAGTAGGACTGCGTGCTTCACCCGGGGGGCAGTGCTCACCCAGGAATAGAGGAATGGCCGTTCATGAACCTTCGCATGAACTGCGGCATCATCTCCATGTTCGGCCATTGCTTGCAGTGCTGAGCCGGCACATCGCGGTGGCACGACACGAAGATCTGCTGCGCGGGTCTGTAGGCAAGATTGCGTGTGCTGAAGGAGCCAATGAGGATGTTATCAAAGTGCGAGGGAATTAGACTCTACACCTGGTGTCGTAGAGTCTCGTCGCCAACAACTGTCCAGTAATGTTTGCCTCTAGCCAATGACGGAGACAATTGGCGGATCGCGGAGAATTGCAGCGTCATACTAATTACCCGGAGTTTTTCCGCGTCGTGAGACTCACGAAAAGTGAACTGCTGCTGCTTCTTCTTCTCTCCGGACTGTTGCTCGGACTCGGCAACTCAGAGATGGTGTAAAAAGAGAGCCATTGCATTGTACGTTCGACGGCGGTATTCACAGTCGAATTAAGCGTGCGAGGTGTACCAAAGCTCTTGAAAGCGGAGCCCTCCACTCTCACAGTCGCAACTGAAACCCTCACATACCGGTTTCACAGCACAGATGGGTACCCTCATGCGGTTGCTAATGACAATGCAAAAATCTGGGCTCGCTTTTGTTGGGGTTCAGCTGACGCTGGAGATGTGGTAGGTACACTTTGCCATGCCGGTGTCGAGGCCTGGCAGCCTTGTCAAGACCTCCTGGACTGCGGTAACACAACCCCGCTAATTATATTCCACACTCACCAGTCAGGGATCTCCCATTAATGCCTGTGTTACACTGGCAGCTGGCCTGAACCATTGCTCAGGCGGTCGCTAGTCTCCAAATCAAGCCATAAGTTATACCAAACAGCAAGCCTCGGTCCACACCCAAACGGCCGGGAACCCCTACCCCTTTCCCGATTGATCGCATCTTGGGACTTTCTGGTATGGGAATATTTCCCTTACCCAATGAGAAATATCTTATGCACACCTCTTCGGGACGATTCTGTCATCGATTCAAGACCTGTTCATCTTCTCGATCAAAGCATCATCGCCGGGACGACCTGTTCCTTCTTACATACTCAGGTGCTCGACGCATTCCGTCCTCTACAATGCGGTCGAAACCTGAGACAGTTGCTATGACAGCAGTCTACCGCACGTCTAATTTCATTGCATTTCCCACATACGGAAGAGTGTCAAAACACTTTGTTGAACATGGCCGCTCTCACCATGCCCCAGGTCGCCGTCCCAGGTCCTGATGAAAGGCATACATAAATGTCGTGGACACCACATTTGCATCGACAGTTAAGGCCTCATTCTTCTTTCTTCGCGGTATACAAGAAGCTCACCTGAGTCACTCTCTCCTTCTCTCTCGTGGATCCTTTTTTTCATTTCTGTTATCCTTGGCTTCTCCAACCACAGAGCACTCTTCTTCAGCATGAAAATCTCCTCGACAACCTTCATCGTGCTGGCCGCTAGCGGACAGGCACTCGGCTCATGGAATAACTGGCTGAGGGACGTCACTGTGACAGAGACCGTGACAAGGGCTATTCAATACTGTCCTTGCAATGGTGAGGAGCAGGTCGTCACTCCAGTACCTCGGAGCGAGGGCGTACAACACTTTCAAAAGCCCGGGCCGCCTTTTGTGCCATTTGGACCGCCCTTCGCTCCGAGACCCGGGAAGCTTTTCCCCAATACAGGTCCCAACAACGAGCCATGGGCCAACTGGTTTGGCCCTTCCACCACGAAGTCGCTCAATCCGTCGACCACGTTAACCTCTTCGGGGCTTCTCAGCCCGTCTTCGAGTGCTGGATCTTTTGGCGGATCGACCAGCTCTAGACCTAACGGCTACCCCACCGGTTCAAACTCGAGCACTTCCCTGTCATCTTCCCCATCAACGACGAGTAGTCGTGAGGGCGGCGGTCCAATCGGGGCATCCACGTCAGGCTCTTCCGCCATCTCGACTTCAACAAGCATCAGCCTCAGCAGCAACGCTGCCACGACGGTATCTTCCACCAGTGTAAGCAGTAGCCTCGGACCAGTTGGAGGCTCAAGCACAACATCTCCCTCAACTACCCTGACTACGTCGTCTAATACGAGCAGCAGTAGCGCCAGCTCGGTGGGAGTTAGTCCTACGAGCTCTTCAATTCCCAGCAGTTTCTCAACGAGCTTTACCTCAGGCTCCTCTTCCATCACATCTACCAGCAGTTCGACATATTCTGGCCCGGCCTCCACAAGCAATTCCCTTGGAACCTCATCCACCACCGAGTCACCCGCTCCTACAACCTCTCTGTTGACGACCACGAGCGGCGCCACCACGGCGACTACGTCCTCCTCCTCTTCCACCACTACCACCAATGCCGCACCTGTCGCTGTTGTGACGACTGACGTGAGCTCATTTAGCCCCGTCGACGCCATTCTGGAAGCACACAACATTCATCGAGTGAATCACACAGCTGCTAACTTGACTTGGTCTGAGAACTTGGCCAGCATCGCAGCGGATATCGCTGCCACTTGTGTCTACGCCCACAATACGTAGGTGACTCCTCTTTCGCACAATTGTGCAGCCTTGGTCGGGGAAAGGCTAACCCTTTGTTTTGAACCAGCACCGCTGGCGGAGGAGGTTATGGGCAGAATATTGGTGCCGGGTATACGCCCAATCTAGTGCCTTCTATGATTGGCAACAGCATGTACAACACGGAGATGCCAAACTATCCGCTACCCTACGGAGAGGACAACGCCGACCTGTCCAACTTCAACGACTGGGGCCACTTTTCACAGATAGTGTGGAAAGACACGCGTGAGGTTGGCTGCGCGACCCAATATTGCCCGGTCGGATTGGCAAATACCGGGTCTGGCACCAGCCCGTACTTCACAGTTTGCAACTATAGCCCAGCTGGTATGACTCCTGTCCACCTCATTCGTGCCAAAGTGTACTGATTTGCGATCAGGCAATATCCAAGGCCAGTACAGTCGAGTTGGCGCTCCTCAGGGCCAGCCCATCACGGTAATATTGCCCAACTGATGAGCCGATGTGATCGGGTACGGTTATTCACGCGTCTCGTCGCACATTGTGACATCAGACTTCGACGCAGGATGAATGGGAGAGGCCAAGGAGTGGTTCCGGCAACAGGTTGCTGAAGTCCGTCGACGGACAGATTACTCGAAGCTATCCCGGGTCAGCGGTTGCGAACTATCTGATTATAGTGTTCTTGAAAGAGTGTGCTTCTAGGTGCCAGGTGCATCTTGGACTTCCATTCTATACAGTTGTTTCTGGATAGCCACATTTGCAAACAGGATTCAATCATTTCGAAAATTGTTCAAATTCTTCGGGTGAAGGGAAGCTTTTCTGCCAAAGAAAAGTATCCAGCACGAGTGCCAGCAGATCATGAGTCGAAGACAACTCCAGGCGCCGTGCTTGATGCGATACTGATTCGTCCCACATGATTCCTGCTCTCAGTCGCTACTTTCGTAAACTGTCAAGGCGGGCTTGCAAGTCGTCGTCTTCGCCTCCTCCGCCTATGGCCTGGGCGACCCGGCCTTCCGGTACAGCTGCTTTCTGGATCCCTGTCGGAGTTTCCCCCAGCTAACAACTTCATTAGCAGCAAGAATGAAGGAGTAGCGCAACGACTTACAGCATTGTTGAGATCGACGCCGATCTCGTCGAGTACTTGGTTTACCACTTCCTCGCCTTCCTCTTCATCTTCGAGCCCTGTAACATCGTCGATGGCATCGTCCATCATCTCCTGGCGCTGGTCCATGATGTCGTTCTCACGCTCAAACTCCATTGCGATGCGCTGGAGTGCCGGCAAGTTCATCTGGCGGTTCATGCTGCCTAGAAGCATCGTAGCCCCTTTCATGGACTGCATCATTTGCTCGTTGCTCCGGACGGTCTGCAGAGAGCACGGTCAGCCGCAGACAGTCATGGTATAAACAGAAGACAACAGCATACTTGTATCCTCAGGCTAATGGCCTGCAGTTGTGTCCTCATCTGGTAGAATTTCTGGATATACCGCCTTGTCCGAACCAGGTCCTTCGCCTGGATCTTGCATGCGCCAATCTGACCGTTCTTTGCGCTCTTCTTGATATCTGCCACGAGCTTCTTCTCCTGGTTCTCTAGCTTGACCCGCTCGCGGTCGAGTTCCCTTTGCGTCTTCTCGAGGGCACGTTGATGTTTGCGCAGACGTTCTGCCGGCGTCATTCGCTTGCCGAAGGCCCATTCTATGATCTGGTGGTGGTCATTAGTGGGGGGTGATCTGGGCGGCTGGAGGGATACAGATGGCTCACATTCATGGCGAAGAGAGTGACAGGACCCGGAGAGAGCCTTGTGGAGTTTCAATCGCTGTCAATATCCAATCTATCACGACGTATAGTCAGAGTGCCGCCGGTGTCCTGCTGCGGCGGGAGTGTATTGACTGTTGCTTTGGAGCCTCCAGAGCCGCCAATGACGTTGCGGGCCGGAACAATGTCGGGACAGCTGTTGGCTCGATGTAATTGGTCAGGCCACGTGCCAGGCTCGTCCGGTCACTCATTCCGCTTCACCTGCAATTCTTGTGCTAGCGACTGACGTGACAACGTCCGCAATTTATTCTTCGCCGATCCTCTATGAACATCGCTATGGATATGAATGTCTCCGTTGACCCGCTGAAAGCCACCGTTCCCAGCTGCACGTAATCGCGCCCGCCTCAATAATGAGCTATACCAGCAATGCCGCAGGCGAAGGGTCCTCGCGCCCGAACCAAGATGCTGTACCCAACAACTACTTCGAGCATGACGACGTCGCATCGCCTGCGCCCTCCTACCGGCCCCAATACATGACTGTTGGCAACGGCGCGCAGCCATCCCATGCCGCTGCTCTGATGGAACAACTGGAACGAGACTCGGGGTATGGCAGCATGCCTGGTGACGTGCAGCAATCCGGTGGCGAGATGCGCGCTTGGGAGGACGAGTTACTACGGGACAGACCGACACCTGCACATACCCCTCAGGTTGCTGGACAACCTGCTACCATATCGGAGACGGAGAAACGAGCCCTCGCAAGCCATGTTCATCAACTCTATTACAACCAGAATCGTGTGGCCCTCGCGAAGGCAATTTCGCAAACCGTCGAACTCCTTAAGCAGCTGCAGGTGATGAATACGCAATGGCCAGCGCATTACCCTGCCGTACAGAGACCTGAAAGCACAACAGAACCTTCCAGACCGGGCATGCCACATGCCCAATCTACACGGGATGCGACCGACATGTCGCGGCAGATATTTCTCAAAAAGACTGCACATGATCGGCCAGCGGCCCTGAGAAGAGCAGGCACTTCAATAGGGGAGGACACCACGGGAGAATCAAGTTCGCAGGTACAGGCCCGGAAAACGCCTGAGCCCCGACTCATCACACCACAGATCGCCCAAGAGTTTTCCATTCTCAAACTTGACCTGAAAGTCGGTGCGTTGTCCCAGACGGAATTGGTGCACTCGCTGGAAAAGAAGTCAATAGCGTCGCTCTTGGACGGGAAGATCAGTCAGAGCGTCCGCCATCTGTTGGCTCTCCGAGATCGGATAGAGGATACCTCGAGCAAGGTGTTAGTGACGGGCGATCTGAATGCCGGGAAGTCGACATTCTGCAATGCCCTCCTGCGGCGGAAGGTCCTACCCGAGGATCAACAACCCTGTACGAGTATATTCTGCGAAGTGTTGGACGCTAGGGACAATGGCGGGATTGAGGAGGTGCATGCAGTGCACAAAGATACCATCTACGACCGGAACGACGAAAGCACCTATGACTCGTACTCGTTAGACGAACTCGACAGGATCGTGATCGACAACGATCGCTACATGCAGTGCAAAGTCTACATCAAGGATGTCCGGTCCATCGACCAATCACTGTTGAACAACGGTGTGGTTGATATTGCGCTCATCGACGCACCGGGCTTGAATTCAGACTCGGTCAAGACAACAGCAGTGTTTGCGCGACAGGAAGAAATTGACGTTGTGGTGTTTGTGGTATCGGCCGCCAACCATTTCACACTTTCTGCCAAGGAATTCATCTGGCAAGCTGCCCATGAGAAAGCCTATATCTTCATGGTGGTAAATGGTTTTGATAATATCCGCGACAAGGAAAGGTGTCAGAAGATGATTCTTGAGCAACTGCAAAAACTCAGCCCACAAACGTTCAAGGAGGCGCAAGAGCTGGTACACTTCGTTTCCAGCAATGCTGTTCCCATGGTGCCTTCTTTACTGCCGCCCGGAGGCGATGGTGGCGGCGGTGGTTCAGGCCCTTCACCGCCCGATGACGATGATGACGGAGGCAAAGGCAAAGGCAAGGACAAGGAGAAAATCCGAGACTTCGAAGTCCTGGAAAGTGCTCTGCGGAGATTCGTACTTGAGAAGAGAGCAAGGTCGAAGTTGGCGCCCGCGAAGACGTACTTGATGAACTGCCTGGGCGATATGAACGTTCTTGCCACAGTGAACCGCGATGTGGCGCACTCCGAACTCGAGCGAGTATCCAAAGAGCTTTCCGAGATCGTCCCAGAATTCGAAGAGAAGCAAAAGCAGCGAGTGGCAGTGTCGGAGCAAGTCGAAAAGGAGATCGACTCGACCTCAACTGAGGTGTACAACCACACCCGCTCAACACTAACTACTACCATTGCCAACGTCGGGAAGCAAGACCACGGTGTCGAGTACCCTGGCCTGTTCTCGGCATTCCAATATGCAGAGGACCTCCGGGTAGCCATGCTTGACCAAATTTCTGCTGCCGTTGCAAGCTGTGAGAACTACGGACGAGCGAGGACAATTCAGGGAGTAAGCATGATCAAGTCCCTAGGACTGTTACATGTCGGCGACAGCTACGAGAACCTCAACTTTGCAGCGGACAAAATGTTCCAACGGAGGAAGGATGCTCTGGTCAGGTCCGTTGACACAGATGTGGAGATCTGGGATTTCTTCGACGTAGCCGGTCTGTGGGAGCGGCAAGAGAAGACGGTCGGCACAGGTCTGGCCCTCACTGTTGCTGGAACTCTAGGCACCAGGGTCGTGGGAGGTGTTGGCTGGATCGATGGGGCCTTTGGCGCGGCCAAGATCATCGGTAGTCGGAATTTGAGGCGACTTGCCTTGCCCGGCATGGTCGCGGCTGGTAAGTTGTGCCCGTCTCCCCGCTCAGTATCAAGATTGTGGCTCACAGATTTTGCTAGCTTTGTTGACGGTAGCTTACATTCTCTCTACCATTCCGCAAACACTCCCTCCTCGACTCGCTCAAAAGCTTTCAGTCACCCTTGCCGAAATGGACTACACCCACAGCAATGCCCATCGAATCGCCTCGGAAGTGCGGCGCGTCCTGCGCTATCCGGCTCAAAATCTTACAGCGGACCTCGCGAACACTGTCGAGGAACTGAGACAGAAGAAGGAAGACGTCACCAAGACGAAGAGAGAGAGTGAAGTCGCACGAAAGTACTTCACCAACCTTGTTCGGGACTCGGACGAAGCGAGACGAAGAATTTCAGCGATCGACTTGGAAGGAGGGCCACCAGGCGCGGTGGGAGCGTATGCTCCTGGGCGACTCTGAGCCTTGCAGGGACGCAAATGCGCAAGAGGCAGCAATTGGGGAGAGCATTAATGTGGTGCTGGGATTGACGACTTGATGGATATGAGCGCGCGATTTCCTCCACTTGGCCATTCATTCGGACTTCTTGTACAAACTCACCTTCTCGGGACAGCGGGAAAAATAATATCAGTGCAACCATCTATCCTTCCGTATCGCGCGCACCACAGAAACGCCACGCAACGGCGACCATACTCAATCGCGACCTACTAACAAAGTATATAACTAAGTTGGGTAACTAAACACCGGAGCTTGTGGTGCTTGGATTCCTTGCCCGAAATGATCGCTTGGCGTGTGAGGAGAATCCTCAATGTTGTCTGTGTCTGTCATAGCTCGGTGTCTGCACAGCCTTGAACATCACGTCTCATCAATGATATGCGGGTGCCTACGAGGGGCGCCAGAAAATGTGCGGAAGCAAGGAATAAGCGAGACCAGCCTCGACATCGACGTCATGGGCGACGCGTTCACCACGCACTCTCTCACTGATCTAATACTCCGTACGGAGTCCTTGTACCTACTTGGTGTTCCAAGTACTGTCCCGGCGATATTGATGTTGAAGAGCGTTGGTTGCCACGACTGACTGTATCACCACCGAGTTCACCTCCCTGAGTAAATCGCTCTTAATGATAACAGTCCAAGTTGAAGCACTCGTTCAACACTACCAATTCAATTCACCTAAACAAGCAACTCACTCTTACCACGGCTCACGTGGAAGCACTCCGAAACCGCAACATCTCAATTCAACCTCTACTCGCAATGGCCAACCCTTACCAGAATCCCAATCCCAACCCCAATCTTCCAGCTGAACTTCCCGCCGAACTTCCAGCTGAAATTCCAGCACAGAGTGCACCACAACACCTCAGCACAAATCCTACTACCGAGCAGCCACTGAACATGCAATCGGGGTATAATACCGGATATCAATCGCAGGAGCAGTACCCTCCGCCGCAGCCGCAACAGCCAGGACCGCAACACCTCAGCACAGGTCCCGCTATCGAGCAGCCATTGAACATGCAATCAAAGCATGACGCCAGATATCAATCGCAGGAGCAGTACCCTCCACCTCCGCCGCAACCGCCTCAAGCACAACACCTCGGTCCGGAGCCCGCTACCGAGAAGCCACTGAACATGCCTGCAGGGTATGGCACTGGATATCAACCGCAACAACAGTACCCTCCACCACCGCCGCAACCACCTGAACCACAACAGATGCCAGTGCCTGCCCCAGGCCACGAGCCTCCTCCTCCAGCTCTGCCGCAAAGACCTGCTCAAGGAGGGTTTGGCGTTGACGCCCCAGCCCCCGCTCATGTGCAACCTCCACCCTACAATCCAGCAGACTACGCTCATGGTCAACAGCATCAAAGTTACCAACAATTCCAGCCTCCCCCACAGCGGATCAAGCAGACCTTTCCAGAGGATGACAACCCTTCCAACCCGATTCATTACATCCGTGATCCTCACAAACTGATCGGATATCTGGTGCCCTTTCCGCGGCCGGTTCTGCCAGAGGTTGACCCCGCGACCATCCCCAAGCGCTTCATGATCTACACCCCTCCGCCGCCTCCACTCAGCAAGCCCGCCGAAGGTGGAAAGGAAGCCAAGCTACACAAGGTGCAGCGGAAGTGGCAGGAAGAAGTGCGGTCCGCAAAGACTAGCACGGCCAAGACCGCCAGCTGGAAGGGCGTGAAGTCCAAGGCCACGCGCGGCATCGACTGGGCGATCCACAAGACCACGTCCTCGAATCTGGACTTCCTGGGCCGTGTCTCACCTGGACCTCAATCCGACACGGAGAAGGACCACAGCGACAACGAGGGCCCCGACACGCACAAGACCGTGGACGTGGAGGAGATGGTCCTGATCTACCCGCCCGCCATGCAGCTCACGAACGAGCAGATGCGCGAGGAGTTTGTGAACACGATGCTGCGCACAAAGTCCAAGGCGCAGCGCGACACGGTCGTCGCCACGGGACTGATGCCCGTGGCCTACGGGATCGACATCCTCGCGACCTTCATCTGGCCGTTCGGCGGGCTCGGCGAGATCGACACCGTCTGGGCGTATTCGAGTTTCCGCGGGGCCAAGACCGCGCGCAGCGTCACCAAGCGGCTCACGAGCTCGACGCACGCCAGCCCCAACCACGAGGACGAGGCCAACAAGTTGCGGCTCACGTTCACGCACTCGCAGCGCATCGAAGTCCTGCGCAAGTATCTCGACGCGGAATGCCACAAGGTCGATCCGAAACTGTTCCCGCATTACGAGACCTCGCCGACAGAGAGCGACGTGTTGGAGGCCATCGGGTGGGCGCCCAGCCGGGACACAGAGAACACGAACTGGGAGGACGAGCACTGGGAAATGCAGGAGGTCAAGGAGGATCTGAAGCGCGTGTTCAAAAAGGCCGCGAGTGAGTGGAGAAAGTGGTGCAAGTTGTTGGCTGAGAAGCCGGAGAAGGCGATGAAGAAGTAGCCTGATCTATGAGCGAAGTATGGCGGCATTGTACGCCGAAGCACGGATATATTTCCTACAAGTGGCAAGTGGGCAAGAATGAAGCGTTCTCAACAGGCTTAAAAGCTGTCCTTCTTCTCACGCGTCTTATGAATTGCGCTCTTTGATATAACGTGGTCTCTGCCTGAACGATCCTGTTTTTTCGTCCACTTGCGTCTGCATATTTGGGTACATTGGACGTCGTGCTGGGTGTAGCTATAAATCTTTTGCTTATTTTTCCTCTACGCGAGGCTATCATTGGAGTTGGAAAGGAAATGCTGATGCTCAACTTCAAGTTAAGCCTGATCTCAGACGTGTGTCACACGGCTGTGAGGCTCCACCAAGGCTCGATTCGTCCCAAGTAGCGGCTGGTATCATCACCTGAAATATAAGCTTTTGTTGGGAGAGAACTCATGTCATCAGAGAGATGGTCGAAGATTTCAGGTGATACATAACGATTGCAAGACAAAACAGCAGAAACGCCTTCCAAATATTGTATAGTGTCCGCTCCCAAACAGAAAACATAGCGCCAGGATCCACCCCCGACGTCTGGTTGCAGAGAAAAATCGAGAGCAGAGAATCCCACGACCAGCTTGACGAAATTCCATGCTAAGAGTCCGCGATTGACCAGATGAGAAACTCTAACCTGAAATTCGATCTTGAGTTCCAAAGTCCCCTGTAGCCTTGTCGACATCCATTGAATGAGGAAATGCATCCTGTATGCCTCTATATACTGGTGCAAAACCCAGCAGGAATGCCGCAACCCGTTGCAGTCAGTGATTGGCCGCAAGTTACCACAGTCATGGTGAGGCTGAAAACATCGTCTGCGGCATTGTCCACTTGAGCTGTCACGGTCGCTGATGCGGCGTTCAGCGCGGAATTCTGAGACTGAATGATTGATATGAGGGCATCGACCTGCTCGTTCTGGGTGGAACATGCCGCGCAATTCTTCGAGTCACCTTGGAGCTTGGCTCCAACCCAAGCTGAGACCAAACCGGTTGCTCCGCCTGTTACTCTTCGTCAGGGTCACTCTGGAATGATATGTGGAGGACAAGTACTCACCAGCGGCAAGCTGAGCAATGAAAGGGTTGTTGTTCAGGAAGTCGTTTACTGAAACACCGGCTTTGAGAGCCGCTTGCCCCGCGCTCGCAAAGTAAGGACCTGCAAATTGCCCTACCGTAGCCACGCCATTCCCTGTCACTCTAATTGCGGACTTGCATGTGGTAAAGGTAGAGCAGAGAGCCTCGGACAAGTTGCGTTCTTCTAGATCCTTTGCCTCGGAGTCTCCGCCATTGTCGGTACTCATTTCAGTAGTGTTTCTTGCATGTAAAACATCATCCCATGTGTGAGGCAGGATTCCAATGTACCCAGTGGCATGAATCTGCTGCCACTTGTACTCGATGCCATCAAAGGTGGCTATCATACCGTGGTAGAGTATCGGTGAACTGGGATGGGGTTCTTGAAAAGTTGTGTTCTGGAAGTGTCTTCGGCGTTGTGCTGGTGGACGCCTCGTTGGGGCGCGCGAACCTAGTGGATTGCTTGAGATGACCTGGAAGGAATTGTATGCCCCAACAGCGCCATTATCAACGGTGACACATCCGTCATCGGCACGAGTGATCTCGGTCCCTGGAGAGCAGTCATCTGAACTGTAGAATTGGACCGTGGTCAAGTCGTCCACAGCCCCAGTTGACTGAATAACAGCTCCCTCGGCGAGTCCTCTTCAAACAGTTAGCTATCCTGACCTCGAACCTTGGGTGTTGTCCACGGAATAGCTCACGAATACTCTTGTCGACAGCCTTGTCCTTCTCCGCCGATCCACGTCCCCACATTCTGACCGGCACAATTGGAACCCTTGTAGAACGATATCTTGAAAGCCGTCGCATTCAAGACAAAGTGACATAGAAGGGTAAGGAGGACACCAGGGATCGCCATACCTGGATGGTGGTCGTGACGCGATCAAAGGGCACAAGATGGAGGATTGGCAGACAGCGGGCGTTAGATCAGTCTGATGACTCTGGTCTTTGCTTTGGATAGCATCTTCTTCGACCTGAGGGAAATGGATCGACTTATATGGCACAGTTGCGCTTCCTCGTCCTTAATGAACGCCATATGAAAGATACTGTGAAGGGGGAAGCCATCGGTCGAGACATCTCTGCGCCTCAAAGATCTGGCCTCATAGAATGTCCAGCGGTTCGGTAAGTAGTGTCTGTGGTATGGAGAGAGGTCTGCGAGGAGTAAAACCACAGCTCAGCCTACCGCGACCGAGTATGCACCCACGTAAGCCATATCTTGAGAGCAGATCACGAGATTCTTTTATCGTCAGTTCATGGCCATCTTCTGATGGCCGGACGAATAGCCATGACTATTAGATTGACCATCATGAAGCCGTCGATCCTGACCTTTGGTGTACTTGAGCGGCATGATCCTTCGGCATGGAGCCGTCATTATTGAGAACTCGGTCTGGCACGGACAGTCAGTACAAGAGATCCAAGCTTTAATTGTCCTGGGTTGCCTTCAGCATCCATAGGAAATAGTGCAAAGATGATTATGAGCAGAAGCGGAAGTGTCGACGAGTAGAGAGCACACAGTCCACCAAGTGATTCGCCGTACAGTATTTGAGGATTCCGCCTCGGCGCCTGCTGCTGTATCTTGTGGCGCTTGCCGCCCAACAAGGCAGAAGCAAGGCAGACGTGCAGGGGCGATCAGGCTGATAGATACTACGCGACGAGTATGCCGCAATGACCTTCTCTGGCCTTTGTAAGCTGGGTATATGGGGGTTGATGGCGGCAATAAGTGCCCAGGGTCCTTTCACCTGTCGAACTGGCAACCCGACTGCACTTCCCTCTACTTCGTGGTGCTTCCACTTCTTTCATCCCGTTTCAGTCATACAACGTCGATTGCTCCTCATCTCTTCCCTACAGTCTCGCCATAAGGCACTCAACCGACTTTGGAGAAGCGACGATGCAGCAACAGGCTGTTACCTGTGCACCCGAGCCCGACACATCTACCAATGCTGTTCTCTGGATTGGGGTGATCTATCCCTTCTTCATCCTTGTCCTTTCTATCATCTGCCAGACAATAATGAGCAGCCTTATCGAGAGTATTCCGATTGCTGAAAGCGCTTCTTCAAACACCGAAGTAGATCGCTCCAGCATTGGATGGAATGTCGACAGCAAAGGCCACTCGAACGGTCCACCAAAGGAGGGTAGGGACGTTGCAAGACCGGAATCGGCCATGGAAGCCACGGAAACCCCTCGCAGAGCGTCTGACTATAAACAGCCATTGCTGAAAACAGAGACACCACTAGAATCCACCCCTTTTGATGGAGCAGGGAAACAAGCCTCCAGCACACACACATCACAAATTATGCAAGCAAGCATACTGCACACATTGTCGATCTTGGTGACGCATCGACTGGGAATGCTCGTGATCAAATATGTGCACGAGACACAAAACCCCATTGAGAAGGCCATTGCAATGATCGTATTCTTTTTCGCAACCTTTTTGGCCTTATTATCATTCGCCAAAATCGAACTTGGACGGGCTGTCTCCACACGAGGATACCGTGAAGCCAGTGGGAGTCGACCACCTCCCGACAGATTGGATTCCTTGGGCGTCTTCATGGTCTTGTGCTTTTGCTCATTGTTGATTCCATGGACTAGGCTGTTGATAGCCTGGTTTTGGACAGGGTTTTGACAGGCACCCTGTGTTTTGGATTTCCCGGGACCGGAACAACACAGATACTAGGACACGGAACGGGTGGTTGTGGCTACCGATTTTCTACACATTGCGAGTAGGGTCAAACGCTTTGACGGAGAGTGTCAAGCTGGCCGTGCTTGGGTTCCAAAGAAAGAACAAGTACATTTCATGTTCAAAAGTCTTGAATACTCAGTGTCCATAATCTTCTCGGTGGTTGGTGGACTAGTTCACGGGCTCCGCATGAGGTCTCGCTGCGTGGAGACAAGAACGAGGGCAATGGGCGAGATAGCCTGCCTAGAGCGGCGAAAGTAATACGAATCCACATCCAAAAGATGAACGATCGAGCGTTTTGTTCGTTAATCATTGCACTATCTGAAAAGTGCTATTGCTCTAGCCTGCCTAAAGTCCAGGACATCGGTAACTCGGTCCCAAGACTGGACCAATGTTCCAAGCAGGTATTCCACGTTTCCAATCCCAAGAACACATTTTGTACATTCTTGAGATCATCGATCCTCATACAGACTGATGACCTCGCAGCTCACAGCCGAGACAATGTTGATTCTCCCATATTCGCCAACAACCTTCCAAACCTCAGAGCTGAGACAGTGTTGGTTTCCCGCATTTGCCACCGACCTTACCCGCGTCAATACTCCATGTCCTTGTGGTGAATGTGGTATACCCATCCCGTAAACCTGTGGGCTCTTGCAATGACGATCTCTCCGTGCGTGAGCTCCGTCCCAGGAATGCATCCCCGTTGATCCTGCTTCTTGGAAGTCACCTCCACGACCGCAGCAGCTGCTTTGCGCATGAGATCCTCTCCAACGCCTTGATACCCGTCCTTGCGGAACGGCAGGATATTCACCTTGGACTTGGCTTTCCCTGTCACCAGGGTACTCAGAATGAACATCACAACCATGGGGAGACCTCGTTCTTGTCTGGGCACTGTTCCGTAGAGGTCTTGCATCTGCGTCGCCACTGCGTCTCGGACGGAGAAAAGGACCCGCGTGCACAGGCGGTGCATCATCATGTAATCGAGCGAGAGCTCGAGAGATTCCCCCTCCAGAGATCGGCGCAGCTTACAGAGAGCACCTGCGGGGCTGATGTCTGGGGTGACAGCGCGGCGGGCCTTTTTCGACGCTTTCGGCTCTCGTGGTAAATCCTTGGGGATCGCAATGTCACACATGAGCGCCTCCTCGCCCTCCAAAGCTCCCACCATGGCTTTCCGCTTGCTCGTGCCCAGGACGTCCAGTAACTCTTGTGCACTGAGATTCTTCCGGTCTTGCTGGAAGCAGTACTGCATGAAGAACGCGTCGGAAACGGGAGTTCGCTTCTCCAAGACCCTATGTCCGTTCGCTTTGAGGGCAATGTTATGGGGTCTCCTACGATTCCGGGCGAAGTTGGTGACGGAAAAGCCAAGGACGGCCAAGGAAAAGCGCTTGTAGTAATCGTCTGTGCTTTTGGGAGCCGCACCTGCGTACATGTTCGATTCATCCTGTGCCCTGTGGACAAATTCCATGTCTCGCCACCGACCTTGCATATACCCTTCCTGAATCAAAGCATTGTGCAGATGAGCACAAGTCAGGATCGAGTCGGAGCGGCAATTGACAAATTCGAGGGCGAGATGGCGGTACAAGGCTTTGATGGCGTAGAGCTTGATCCCACACGAGATGGGATTCATCTTCAGGTACCGGAATGCTTCTATATGCTGGCCGTGAAAGAGATTTGTCACATCGCGAGCCCCCTGTATGAGATCTTCCTCGCACATGTCGTGGATCACTTCAGTCAAGTACGAGAATGCATCAGCGAACGGGTGGAATGGTCCGTCCGATCCATTCTGATGATTCTCGGTCTGCTCTGCCATGGAGGATACTATCATTTTACCGACGTCATGAAGTAGCTCGAAACCTGTGCTAACGTCGTTATGCAGCATATGGTGAATGTCAAGGAAGACTCGAGTGGCGAAAACGAGCCACAACGGTACTTTGGCTGACCAAAACATGTCGAGAAAGCCTCGGAGTCAATTCGTCAACGTGCGAGTCGCCGTGTACGTGCTGGCCTCCCATATAGACCATGATGTCTGAAAAGACATCGCGAAGAAGGCGGCGGTCTTCCAAGAACCTCTGTTGTTCCGTCGTGGTTGAGTTATCAGACTCGGCTCGGTAGGTGTCTGGCGACTCGTTAACCACGGTCTCCATACATCCAATTTCCAGGAAATGTCTCAGATGCTTGTAGGTCGACCACAAGAAGGCTTTTGGTGCGGCCTCGTGCGTTGCAAACTCGAAGTGATCGTCGCTCAGGTCAGTGTACTCTGGCAAATCTCTCAGGTTTTGACAGAGGATAGCATGCTGGCTCTGCAAAAGCAATTCGGGGTCTTCATATCCAGCAAGCTCTTCCATGTCTCCTTCCAAGCGACAGGCCAACTCAAAAGCTGTATTAGATGTCAAGGCAACCGTGGTAAGGTCAAGGTCACCTGTGTGATAACTCCTCCAGCATTCTAAAATCACTTCACGCACTTGTTGCATATCACGAAGCAGACACACAAACGCAACAGATGCCTCAAGAGAGTCTGTGGGTTGTTCTGCCTCGCAGCACAGATCTGGCACGACTCGCGGTGTTTCCATTTGCGGATCTTGGCCCAGATTGTCACCGTCGTTGTCTTGTTCGGTCGTCGACGAACCATCTGACGATAGGCAATTGAACGTATTGGTGAAGTTGAAGCCAGACGTGTCATAAGACTTGGCGGCTCCTTGTCGTCTGGGGTCACCCTGCGTCTTCTCAATGACAAGGTGCCCTAAAGTCTGTTGCACACTAACCAGGATGTCCACAAAGTGAGCGTGACGTGAATCCGATTCCAGATCCGTAGAGGGTCGAGAGGGCCCTGAATATTGCGGGTCCGCCAGAGCCTTGCTGACCTTTCTACGTAGAGATATGGCTCGTTCAATCACTCTGGTGAAGTGTTCCGGAACTTTCACAGGAGGTCTATTGAATGACGATATCTGCTCGGCCATTGGAAGGAAGTCTTTGATCGCGATTGTGTAGGGAGTGCCTGATGCCGCATCTTCTTGGTTCTTCAGGTCTGCTGCGTCGCGTCTTGCAAGGGTCCTTGCTCTTCCTTTCAGCTTCTTTTGTGTCTTGACAGGCACTGTTTTGGGGGGCTCCTGGTTCGTCACATAGCCGCATTGTTTCGCGGTAGTGTCGAGCCAATGGGCGACATAGTCCGTGTCCGCTTTGTACCGCTTGTAGCTGGTGAATAGACAGTCGTGCAACATGCTTTCTTAGGTTCCGCTGCCACAGGCTTGTCGCAATGAACGTCCGAGTCCTATGCGACGAGAGGAGGAGATGCTGGAGACCGAGATAGGCTGGAGAGCAGGATATGCAGGTATCGGTGGGTTGGAAACTCGGTCTCTAGATCCTGGAGCTCAGAGAAGTGGTGGTAGAATCAAAGCCTGGACAACATGGCCGGAGTGAGTTCGAAAGAAGGCTGAAAGAACAACGAGTTCCATGGGCGCAGTAAGGTGGCTGTCACCCAGGGTACGGTACAAACAACTGCTTCCTCAACTTCTTGCATTACACGTGATTTTGTGTGAAGGAGACTTGCCATGACAACTTGCAAAGGTTCACAACGGCCCCAAGAAGCAGTGACCCTGGCTGAAAGAGACCTCCGACACAATAGCAGCTTGAATGCCATACCTCTATGGCTGCTGCAGCAGTAAGTGTTGACACTGACCACCTACCAGGATATATTTCATATAAGATCCACAAAGGCGAGACACAACCCCGTTAACTCCATGGGGAAGCCAAGGAGTGGACGATCTGTCACGATCAATGCACTGAGATTGACTCGGCTTGTGTGCTTCGAGGACGGAGGAGCCCGGGATTACACCCAACCCCATCGGAGCTCTGTCGAAGAGATGTGCTTCGGGATCAATCTGTAGACAATGGTGCTGCCCTCACTGTAAGCAGACCATTCAATCCACACGTGCGAAGGTCATGACTTGCTAACAATCTGACCGTGGCGATCCTCCGGGAGAAACTGTACGCAGGTTGTAACGGAAGATACACGTCGATGATTTGAGGACAATTGCCCTTGATCCCAGGTGGCGAGTGTGGAGGACGCGGAAATATGCGACGTCTTGATTGGCAACACGAGCTGGACTCTCTTGGACCTGCGTGGAATTCGAAAGACGTGCCCTTCACATCTTGGAAGAAAGAGGCATCAAATGGTCTGTCTCCTCCATGTCGATCGCTTTGATTTAGCATACACCGAGAGTGGCCGAGTGACTCCGTTGCCATGTGGTGGACGAGGTTGTTGGGCGTTGTCATCCTTGACATGTTGAAAAGTCCTCCCTGACGCCAACTGCTTTGTTGCATAGGCAAGCAGTGAGCCAGCGTCCGGAATTGTCAACAGAGCATAGCCATACCACGGGAACAACCGCCACCGCGGCGGGCTCTTTCAGCAACATAGGATTGCTGACCATGAAAGAGTTCGGGTTGAATAGAAAGCAGACAAGACGCCCATGGAGCGACGTACGCAGAGGCCGAATGTCCCTTCCAATATCTGAGTGGCGATCACAGAAGACCATTCACCACATTGCAAAAAATATGCCGCCCTCCAGACCGCGCCGCTCAAAATGGATTCTGGGGAAGATGTGCAGTCAGCAAGACGGAGAAAATGGTCGTGGCCCGCTGTTGGAACTTGTGCTGTACTCCACGCGGCGTTAGCTACGTCGACTCGGGCCTAGTCTCGGCGTCATTGAAGGCCGAGAGGCCTATCCTTCACAGTAGACTCACTTGAGCCCTGGGATCCATCGTCGATGGAATTTTTATGCTTCCTTTGGCCACTGCGAGATCAACACCAGATGCGAGTTTGATGTCGGGAGCAAACTATTCGGCCGAATGTTCTGCAACGACCCCCAAACAACCAAACTAGCCAGAAAGAGTCAGGGCTAATTAGCTTCAAGCTCTCGCTTCTTGGCGATGAGGATGTCTGTGGGGAGGACGAGGGGAGGACGACGAGGTGCATCCCTTTGCTGTAGTGTGCTGCGGGCCCCACGATCACTGGACACGGTGCATACTGTGGTAGGGACAAGTACTGTACCTACCTGGTGGGTAGTGCTGCCTTGTGAGCCTGTGTGCTGTGTACGTGGCTTTTAGGCAGCCGCTACGGGCACTGAGGACGAACTGAGGAGCAAATCTAGGCTGACGACTGGCGACTGGCGACTGGCGACTGACGTCGGCGTGCCACAATCGGTGCCGCATCCCTGTTGCTGCTGCTGCCGATTCTGATGTTGGCGCTCACTTTCCCCTCCCCCACAGCTTCACAGTCTCGCCCATTTCCCATTGCCCATCGCCCATCGCCCATCGCCCATCGCCCATCGCCCATCGCCCATCGCCCATCTTTATCCTTATTCAGGCAGGCGAAGACGAAGGAGAGGAGCAAAAGCACTGCCACATTCATCACCACCTCGGCCAGCAACTGACTCCATATCCCAGCCTGCCATTCTACCACCGCTCTGCTTCTACCACTGCTCTGCTCCTACCACTGACCAGCCAGCCTCAACCACTCGTGATCGGCCTCCCACACTCGCACAGAACAATCTAGTCTTGGTCATCCTTTGCTTGGGCGCATCCTTAGATTCAGAGGCCTTTTCCTCTTCCCGGCCACTACTAATACACTGCGGAACTACTGTTACTGTTCTGTTGCCACTCAGCGACGTTGCACCCGCAGCTCACTACGCCCCGCCTTCTGCCTCGACTAGAGCGACTCCTTCGCGCCCGCCAATCGAGCCCTCAGCGACGCTCCAGGAGCTTGCGCAGTCTTCAAGCTGGCGGGCACCACCGATCGGAGGACCTCCACTGGAGGGTTTCTCAATCGCGTTTTTGGAGGCAAGAAAGAGAAGGATGCAGACACGGACAACGCCCCCCCTCGGATCAGCACTGACAGCAACCACACTACCCCCACCTCCCCTGGTGGCAGCATTACAGTCAACACGAATGACCTGAGCCCCAAAGGCGAGAGCAGGAAACCGGCAGAAGACGCCGCTCCCTCCCCAACGGCCGACTCGAAGAAGCGCCGGAGTAGTAGTGCTAAAGCCAAAGAGATCTTCACCCAAGCCAAAAACTCGCTGATCCATGGCGACAGGGACGGTCCTCAGACGCCCATGCAGAAACTCTCCAAGACAGATCCTGCCCTCAGCGTGCCCCAGGGCTCACTGAACAACTCGGCCGGCGAGTCGCAGCCGACTCCCAATTCCTCTTTCCTGGTAGGTGTGACGGAAGACAAAAACAAAAAATGCCGTCGCACTATGGAGGACACTCATGCATATCTCTACAACTTCCTTGGCACTCCTGCCCCTGTACTGGCCTCGGCCGATAGCTCCCTCTCGAAAAAGAGCTCGCGGGAAGACAAGAACAGCCTGACCACGATCCCTTCAGATTCTGGGCAGCATGTCGTCGAGACAGATAATGGGTATTTTGCCATCTTTGATGGACACGCAGGTACCTTTGCTGCAGAATGGTGTGGAAAGAAGCTGCATGTCCTCCTGGAAGATCTAATGCGCAAATACCCGAATACGCCGGTACCGGAACTGCTCGATCAAACATACACCTCCGCTGACAACCAGCTGGAGAAATTGCCGCTCAAGAACAGTGGGTGCACTGCCATTACTGCCGTCTTGAGGTGGGAAGACCGAGTGCCTACCAACCACTCCGCTACAGGGTCGCAAGCCATTGCATCCCTGGCAGCAGCGGCTGCTAAGGAAGCAGAAAAGAACGAGAAGAGTAGCGAAGTGTCAAAGGATGCCAAAGACTCGACTCCTCGATCAAACTCCACGGCTGAGGCGGCGGCCGCAGCTATCCAAGAAGCCAAGCAGAAAGCCACCCGGCAAAGAGTGCTATACACCGCTAATGTTGGTGATGCTCGCATCGTGCTATGTCGGAATGGAAAGGCTCTCCGCCTGTCATATGACCACAAAGGTATGGATGAAAATGAGGGGCGAAGGATATCAAAAGCTGGTGGTTTGATCTTGAACAACCGAGTGAATGGGGTGTTGGCTGTGACACGAGCGTTGGGCGACTCGTATCTAAAAGACCTGGTCACTGGGCATCCCTATACGACTGAGACGGTGATTCAACCTGATCAAGATGAGTTCTTGATCCTGGCCTGTGATGGGGTAAGTCTAATTGTCCAGCCTACCTGGACTCATGCTAATCCGAGTAGCTATGGGATGTCTGCTCAGATCAGGAGGCAGTCGACCTCATTCGCAATATCCAGGATCCGCAAGCCGCCTCCAAGATCCTCGTCGATCACGCCTTGGCGCGTTTCTCCACGGACAATCTATCAGTCATGGTTGTTCGCTTCGATCCGCAGAAGCTGCAAACGAACACGAAGATGGACATTGGAGTCGAAACAGATGCCAACAAAGACAAACTAGCTATCAGTGAAGTGGAAATGATTGTTGGCGAAGCCCGACGAAATTCTGGCATTGCGCAGGAAGGCGTTGTTTCGGATCAGGACTCGGAAGAGCTGATGCAAACAGTGATCAAGGAACAGGAAAACGAGGACCAGGAAGCGGGCCCCGAATATACGCCAGAGGGCAGACCCGAAGCCGAGAGGATATTGTCCGAAAAGAAGACAGAGCAAGTACAGAACGGAAGCTGAGTATGGTCGACAAGTCGATTCGTCTGAGGGATTGTGTTGTGTGAGGCGAGGCCCATTTTTGGAAGCAGATGAGAAAGACGATCTTGGCCGATCGGGCAAAATGTCCATATGAGTCTGTCTGGGATTTGCATCAGGCGGCTCTTGATCCGTCGGCATGCAGTGGACCTCAATCATGCCAGCTCTTGGATCGAGCGAATCTCTTCAGATCGGTTGGATCGTACTTGAAAGATCAGCAACATTGGATTGGCACGGACAGACCATCGGATGGTTCGAGAGATCAGTTCATAGATGGATGGTGATATGTTAAAGGCATCACCGGGTCATAAAGGGCTCGTCCATATGCGGCCTTATTCCATGGTGGTGTTGTGCATTTGATTTATGCAAATTCCCGATGTTTGTTAAGCAACCAGCCAGCCAGCCAGCGAACTTTCATGTCATATGCTTTTCTTGGCCCGTCTGTATACATGTCCGTGATGAGATTGATTCGACGCCGTTGTCCACATGTGTGCCTTGACAGCCATAGTTTGTGGTGAACATGACCATCTTAGAAAGGACGGGAATAGCCATAAAGATCATGGCTGCTGGTCGGTCGTGGCATCCGACTGGATGTGGTGTGCTGGACCAGGTTGAACACGGGGCGCATTCAGGAGATTCGTAGATAACGAACGGCGTACCTTCAGTGTGAGTGTAAGCATTCGACCACACTCCTTGGCTGTTTCTTCCATCTTTTGGAGGCGTGTGAAGTTTAGTCTTCCACAAGCGAGGTATCGCTGATAAAGCACCAATGGTGATACTGCTTCTTACCTCGTACGGGCCCCGATTTCTGTGACCGGACTCGGAAGCGCCCCCGCTTTCCCTTTGCGCAGCTTCGTCATGCAGTGCGGACCGTGAGCTTCGGAGGCCGTCATCGTCATTCCCAGCCTTTGAGCCTATGAGTTAGCATACTGTGATGGGCTTATGGAAGGTCGCGTGTGAAGCTGAAGTTGAAGTTGCGAAAGGGAATGATACGTACCACGTGCATTTAGAGAGCCCAACGCCCCTTACCGGCCCTATCTGGTGCTATCTGCGCTTATCAGGATCCCTGGGCTCTCAGTGGCCGGATGGGAGCTTAACATTAAAGCGGCCCACCTCCCGGAGCTTGCTGCATTGTTACGTATCCTTCCAAAGTATTTTGCAGCGGCAAAATTACTGACCCTAATCTTGCTCAACAACATCCTTTTTGCCTCACTCAATTCTCTTGTTGTGCGCTCCCCTCTCCTTTCCTAGCTCTTCCCTGTCGTGATGGTCTCGACAGAGTCGCCTTGAGCCCTTGACCCCGAAAAAGTCGACCGACATGGCGGGCAAACTACCTTTACGCATGATGCCAGGCGTCCCAATGGTGTCATACAGGCCGCTGTCAATGCGAGCTCTTTCAACTTGCCCCAGGTCGAACTTGTCAGTCGCAAGTGCTTTGAAGCCATCTCCATTACTCCCTCGACCTTTGGTTTCACAACCATTCCGCCGTTCCTACGCCGATGCTCCCAAAGTCGAGTTGTCTCCGACACCCAAACCCCGGCGACGGTTCAGATTCCTTCGCTGGGCATGGCGATTGACCTACCTCTCCGTTCTCGCTAGTGTGGGATACGTCAGCTATCAGGTCTATGACCTTCACCATCCTCCAGATCAAACCGACCCCGATCCGAGCAAGAAAAATCTTGTCATTCTTGGTCTGCTGCTATCTTGGATAAGTGCCCTTCCGAGCTAACGCGTTGCAGGTACCGGTTGGGGCACTGTATCTCTACTGAAGAAGCTGGACACCGAAAACTACAATGTTGTCGTCGTTTCGCCACGCAACTACTTCCTCTTCACCCCTCTGCTTCCCTCCTGCACCGTCGGCACCATCGAACACAGGTCTATCATGGAGCCCATTCGAAACATCCTGCGACACAAAAAGGCAAATGTCAAGTACTATGAAGCCGAGGCTACCAAAATCGACTATGAGAAGAGAATCGTGTACGCCAAAGACGAGTCAGAGATCAAGGGTGACGTAATGGAGACAGAGATACCCTTCGATATGCTGGTTATCGGTGTCGGCGCTGAAAACGCTACCTTCGGAATCCCCGGTGTTCGCGAACATGCTTGCTTCCTGAAAGAAGTCAACGATGCTCAGAAGATCCGCAAGCAGATCATGGATTGCGTCGAAACTGCGTCTTTCAAGGATCAGTCTCCAGACGAGATCAGGCGCCTTTTGCACATGGTCGTTGTTGGAGGTGGTCCCACAGGTGTTGAATTCGCCGGCGAACTCCAAGATTTCTTCATGGAAGATCTGCAGAAATGGGTGCCGTCGATCAAAGACAGTTTCCACGTCACTCTGGTCGAGGCACTCCCCAACGTTCTGCCCATGTTCAGCAAGCAGTTGATCGAGTACACTGAGTCATCATTCAAGGAAGAACATATTGAGATCCGGACGAAGACGATGGTCAAGAACGTTACCGACAAGTACATAGAGGCAGAAATCCAGAAGCCCGATGGCAGCAAAGGTATCGAGAAGATCCCGTACGGATTGCTTGTCTGGGCGACCGGCAACGCCGTGCGGCCTGTGGTCAAAGACCTCATGTCTCAAATCCCGGCTCAAGCCAAGGCCCGCCGCGGTCTCGAGGTCAACGAATACATGGTCGTGAATGGCGCGGAGAACATCTGGGCTGTTGGTGACTGTGCGGTCGCCAACTATGCTCCTACCGCCCAGGTTGCCGCGCAGGAGGGAGCTTTCCTCGCCCGGCTCTTTAATACCATGGCCAAGACCGACGCGATCGAGGCAGAGATGCGCGAACTGTCCGCTAAGCAAGCCAATGCCAAGCCAGATGAACGCAAGGTCATTCTGGAGGAGATCAACGAGCGACAACGGCAATTGCGCCGCGTCAAGCAGATTGGCGCCTTTAGCTATTCGCACCAAGGATCATTGGCGTACATTGGCGCGGAGAAGGCTGTGGCCGACGTCAGCTGGTTCAGTGGTAACATTGCCTCCGGGGGCACCATGACCTACCTGTTCTGGAAGAGCGCATACCTGAGCATGTGCTTTAGCAGTAAGTTTTTTCCCCTCTCCGTTGGTGGGTGTACCTTTGACTGACAGTTTCTGCGTAGCACGGAACCGTATCCTCGTCTGCTTCGACTGGGTCAAGGCCAAGTTCTTCGGCAGAGATGTGTCGCGGGAGTAGCCGAATGAAGAACGGGAAACAAATGCTGAAGACAGCTGTCTGCGTGTGGTCATATAACAAGGAATGTTTCAGAGGGCAATTGGCTGAAGCGCAATCAGCTGCTTTGCAGCCTTCGTCGAAATTGTATTACTGGCGGCTTCGATACGGAAGATGACGATTGGTGCCCGTTCTGATATAGTGCGCGTGTGCGGGTGCATGCTTGCTTGGGAATCTGTGTGATATGCCAAATGCTACACTTCGAAGTGTGCCTCGAGCAACACGCCTTTTCAGAACTTCTCCGATGCGGCAGCTCCTCAAGTCAAGCTGGCGGAAGAGAGCGTATCATGCTCTGTTCGGCTATCCAGGTACTATGCTATACAAAGTCGAGTTCTCAGTACACAATGCCGTGGCCTTCCTCCAGCTCCTCTGGCCACCAGCGGAGCTATATATCGTAACACTCCCAATGAGAAACGACTGATAAAGAGTATTGCGGCTGAGTGCCGGAACGACGGCCGTAGACCAAATACAGCAATTTCGTGTTACATCCGAGGGCGAACCCTCTGCGAGCGTGTGGTATTCGGCAGACACTCCTCATGGGAAGGAGCATGAGCGCCCCTGCTGTTCCCATCCACGGGCGCCCACATGTAGAGCAGCCGCTCTACCACAGCTTGTCACCTTCTTTCCTCTTGGCAGCCCTGCCACCCACGGCGCTCTCCCTTTTCAGCGCCTTCAGCTGCTCCTCGCTGAGCGGCTCTTTGAAGTATAGACTTGCCATCTCGCCCTCCTTGACCGTGTGGCTCAGATATCCGCGGTGCTTCGCGTCGCGATAGTATTCCAGATCCTTCCTCGAGCTCGGATCCGGCAGTCTATAACGGAAGCCCATGGCCTTGACGCGGTTCTCGATGGCCTCTGCGCCCTCGACGGCCAGGTGCGGGTTGTTCAGCGCCCCGACATCCCAGCGCATCGAAACAAATGGATGCGTGGACCCAGCCTTGATGCGCCGGATCGCCTGCGCGGTGTAGAAGCGCGTGGTGACTGTGCCGCCCAGTGCCTCGACCGCAGCAATTGCTGACCGCGACGCCCTGGACACGACGATATGGATCGGGGTTTTCAGCTCGGAGGCGCCATTGCCCAGTAATTTGACGCCGTCCTTGATCTGGCCAAGCAGACGCGAAGCGCTCAGCTCCTTCAGCGTGATGGGTCGGGAAGCGTCGAGGCGACCTTGGTCGATCCAGGACTGGATCTTGTCCAGGTTGACGGGCGCCATGTCGTTGGCAAATCTAGAGGCGATTCTCCGTCAGTCACGGGTCCAGGTGCCATTTTCGGGTGGCTCGGACTACGACTTACTGGTTGATGAAACCATATTTGCCGTGCACGATGTGTTCGGGTGTTTGGCCTCCATTGAACCCCTCTGGCACTTTGCCGTGTTGCTTCTGCCCGTCTGAGCCCCGACCGGATTTACCTCCTTTGCCCGACGCAGGACCTCGTCCTCTGCGAATCTTGCGGTTGTAGGCCCCAGGCCGGTCGGACAAGGAGGTTAGGATCGAGGCATGCCGTCGCTGGGAGGGTTGAGGTTGATGGCGTAGGAAAGGAAGCAGGAAGGCTGGGATTCCTGAGACCACCGGTGCCGCTGCAACTGGAGTCGATACAGATGGGAGAGTGCCGCACGATAGGGCCTTCAGCCGCAGTGGTAGCCGAGGAGGCATTGCGACTACTGGAGATATTCGTAATGAGCGTCGCCAGCACTGCTGGTGTGTCCCAATGTCGATCCCGAAAAGTTGAAGCTCGAATTGCCCGTGGCTCAGCGGTCCACCGTACTGCCAAGGCTCTAGCGGCAGAATACACCCGCAGTCGTGGATTTCCACCTTCGCTTCAGGTCTGCTACCAGCGCATTGAGATTTCAGTAATTACAGAAACTCAATACGGAGCACAGAGTAGACCCTCGCCAGAGATACTGGGCGAAATCCCCGTTTGCCGGGCGTATCGAGGGCTTTCTACCTTGCCACCCAGTTGACGAACCAGAAGTCATGGCCAGGGTGAAGTTCAGATTAGACCCTCTCATCTTGAAAGAACAAGGCGCACAGTTGGATTCCCTTCTCCCTCTGGCTCTTGTCATCTCTGTTGTTTGAACTGAACATGGCAGTCCGTGAAAGTCCCAAGTACTCCAGCCTAACTCCGCCTAAGCGCGGCAATGCCTACGGCGTAGCGCTGGATAAGGTTACGGGCCCTCGTCCTTTGAGAAGCCAGTTTTACTCTTTTAAGGCAACCCCTGGTGCCCCTGTCCGGATCAGCCTCGCCTGCTACAATACGTATGTAACTACTGTACCTCTCGGCACATGCAGCAACAATAACTCGTACCGACCTTGGGTAACCGCGAGGTTTAGATTACTGTGCCACGATCGACTTTTTGCATGGGGCTGAGTATGGGAGCCAGAGGAGTCAATCGTCTTCCGAAGTGCACCCTGCTTCTACGGCTTCGAAAATGGCTGCAGCCGAGTCTGGGTCTCCGCGGTCACGAGCCTCTGGGTGGAGTTGCATGAGCATTGCGCTCTGCATGGAGGTTGTCTTTCGTTGCTCTGGCTGCTTCCTGGGTGTCTTGTGCCACTGTTACTTATTATTGGCCCAGCTCCAGCGTCATGCTCTTCCGTGCATCAGCTACATCATGTTGAAAATGACTCCTGTCTAGTCCGTCTGCCTGTATATTGTGTAAGTACAGAGATCGCCATCTTATCAGATGGCAAGGACTCGATTGGTGCCACGTTGGAATCCCGGTCGCCAGGGGTTGCATGGCTTGACGCGCCTTGAGACCAAGGAAACGTCACGGAGAGGTCAAAGGGCAGGGGCCATACGGAAAGCTCGTATCCTCAACTCAGTACTGCCGCTTTCCCTCGCGAACCTCGCAAAATCGCCGGCGTTCCAGCCTCACTTGTTCTTCACAGGCGTCGTTATTCCTTCACTTCAGTGTTGACGATCAACTCAGGCTATCAGTAAGGCCTCGCATCTGCGAGAAAAACTTTTCGAGGGGAATTGCTGAAGTTCGTAGAACAATGCCGATTGAGACTCTGTCTATCACCGCGGCTTGCATCAGCCTAATCGCCGATGTGGACGAGTTGACCACCCGCATACGACCGTCCATATCTCGTATGCGGCATACACACCGTGGCTCAGACGCCGTGTTGCAAGAGCTCTCCTCTCTCGGGCTCTGCCTGGAGTCTCTAAAGAGTAATCCAGGCAAGTACAACTAGTATTCCAGAGTCCCACCCCATCTAGTGCAGACCTCTGACACCTTGCCGACTTCAACACAGTGGTCACTTCCCTCCGAGTACCTCAGGCTCTCAAGCACAGGGTCTCGCTCATCCTAGCCAGTACCAGCGAAGTTGTCGCAGACGCGGGCGAAATTCTGCTTAGGATGTCTTCTTCAGATAAATTCGTTAGAACCATGATCTGGGCTAAATATGGCGGCGATGATTTGACAAGATTGAGCCTCCGGCTGGGGTCTCACAACGCTTCGCTAGAGATGGCTCTCGCTCTGTTGGCCTCGTAAGTGACACCGTCAAGCAGCATTTGGTCGTAATCGCCAGACTTAAGGAAAGCAAAGCGATAGATCCAGAACCGCCATTCGAGAGATGAGTCAGCTTGACACAGACCTGAAGCTCGATTCTAGTAACAGCAGCGACAGTCCTAGCAGCCCTGCTATTCCAGGTACAGCACCGCGGGTTGGAACCTTACATGAAATAGAAGTTTTCGACTCCAGAAGCAAGGGGCCCCAAGAATACACCAGCAACAGACTGCCTCAAGGAAGCATCGGTGAGCTTCCACACGAAGCCATCCATCACCTCGCTCAAGACGACGACGCTCCCCCAGACGCTGTGGCCGGCGAAGTGAGCAATCCAAGGGAAATTGAAGAAGTTATAGGATCCGATTTTGCGGACCCACAAGACGCTCTCCCCGAAGTTTTTGGGCTGATTGCCGCCGAGCAGGCGATGACCGAAGGGCACGGCCTCCGGTTCTCGTGCCCGTCGTCCTCCCGTAACACCGGTCAGAACTTCAACGCCCTGGCCGATCTCATGAGACTTGGGTTTGAGATGGGCGTTGGTAGAGCGCCAAGCGACAGCAGCGCCCTACGGACAAGGGATGCCAGCTGGAGCGATGGTGCCTACGATAGTGAGGCAAAGCATCAACCAGATACTCCCCCAAGCAGCCCGACAACGCCAAAAGCTCCACCACTTGCTCCTGCAATACACGTGGTGACCCGTTCTCGGGCACGACATGTATCGTTGGTGGAAGGGAGAGAACATACTCAACGCATCCTTTCAAAGCAGGTTGGGCCACTCTTCAGGATGCCAAACCCACAATTGTCGCCTCCTCCGTCACCAGTTGTGGAAAGGCAGGCGTCAACCGAGACGGGCGCTATCACCAGAAGCGGTGGGTTGAGCTCGCACGTCAAGAAAGCGGTCGACAGGATTGAGCAAAGGAAGAGGGAAGAGAGGTCATAAGTATGGTCACCACAGTAGCCGCAGTCCGACGCTCTGAACCAGACCGGCGAGAGAGTTGATGTCTTTCCTCTCAATGCGACGCCCAGGGGCTCTTGCTCGCCGGCTAACCCAATAGCGAACCCTTATTATTGAGCGTGGTTTAACTTTTCAGTATTTAGCAAGCAATTGCGAGCGTTTACTCTATTCAATTGTGAACCTTTACGGAGTACTCCGTACACTCTCTCAATCCACACTTCCTCGCACTCTGGGGGCTGTGGCTGAGCGTGGCTGGTGATAATATCGAACTAGACCTGATTCGGATATGGTGTGGATTCGTGGTTAGCCACCTGCGCGACTCCGCGCCACTCCAGATTGGCAGCAGCTGCGCCTCCTGAGACCATGGCCTGAACTTTCCTGGTGAGAGACACTCGTCCCCAAGGAACCTCTTGAATTATGGGTCGGCGAGGCTGCGGAGCAGGGTAGGATATCATTGGCATTCTCTTAATTGCATCGCTATCTCTGTCAAACGTGACGGGGATGAGTATGTAATAAAGAGGCCTCTATCCGATGGTTGATTAACACCACACAACATGGGTCCCATTGAGTTCAACAAGAAGCGGATTTTCCTGCTCATTGCCGGTGTCCTTGCCTTCTATATTGTCTTCCATGGTCTCTCCTTCTCGAGTACCGACTTCAGCGATGTCGCCTCACAACTACCTATCCCGAACCACCTGACCCCGACTGAACATAAACTGCCGCCTTCAGCGCCAGATCCAGATGAGATATGGGATCTACCTTCTGAACCGTCGCCGGTACCGGTACCGGTACCGGTACCCGAGGATGCTGTCACACCCGATGCGCCTGTGTCTGCGCCAGCAGTACAACACTTCGATTTGCACCCGATCGCGCAGCTGATGGAGAATGCCGATGCGCAATGGCGAGCCTACGAGAGCGGGGTCTCGACGACATTCAGGCAGACGGTGGAGAAATACAGAAGCAAATATGGCAGACATCCTCCGCCAGGCTTCGCCGAGTGGTACAAATTTGCGCGCAAGAGGAATGTGTTCAACATCGACGACTTTGAGCAGATAATGGATGATCTGCGGCCGTTCTGGGCAATCAACGCCTCCGAGATCCGTATCCGAGCAGCTCATATGTGGGAGAAATTCGACTTTGGGGTCGCAGTCATGCATATCCGCAGTCACAAAGTCGTCAAAGTGGAGAATCCCAGCTGGCGGTCCGAAACGATGGAGAAGGTGATTGAAAAGTTCATCGACCATCTGCCCGATATGGATATTCCCATGAATCGGCTGGATCAGCCACGCGTGGTCGTGCCGTGGGAAGATATGCAACAACATCTAAGAGTCGAGTATGACACCCGGGTGATGCCGCCCGAGGTCATGGATAGCTTCACGAAGGACCAGCCTGAGTTACGCGACATGAGCATTCTTGACAAGGCTGATGATCATTCGACGCGGCTGGATGATGAGTGGTTGTTTGCGCCGGGTAAGCAATACATGAAGATTGCCGCCAAGGGCTGCCCCCCAGAATCTCCCGCGCGATCCAACATGTCCGTTGCGCAGGCGGACAGTCTCTACAAGGAACCCCTTGCAGGTTTTGTTACCAACTTCAACCTGTCAAGTGACTTATGCACCATCGGGCCCACGATCCAGGACATGCACGGGATGTTGTACTCGGCCAGCAGTATCATTGCCTCTCACAAGCTTGTTCCCATCTTCGGTGAATGTAAGGTCAACGTCAACAATGATATCCTCTTCCCCGCCAACATGTACTATCAGCATGATGATCGATATGACTACAACGACAAAGAAGATCTGGATTGGCGCGATAAGCAGGACACCATCGTTTGGCGTGGCGTCACTTCTGGCGGCGTTCAGCTAGCGGATAACTGGGACCGAATGCATCGCCAACGGCTGGTCCGGCTTCTCAATGGAACCTATATGGGTACGGCGGCCAAAGAGGTCACGGTCCTCATGGAGAAGGATACGGGACCGGAGAAGGTCAACACCACGTATGAGCCATATGAGAGATTCCGGCCGTCCAAATTCATCGAACAGCACAGTGACGTTGGATTCACCGAGCCCATGTCCTGTATTCCCAACTGTTCGTTCTACAATGATTACTTCACCTGGGTGCCGCCCGTCTCGCTGACCTCTCAATTCAAGTCGAAGTACCTGATTGATGTGGACGGGCATTCTTTCTCAGGCAGATGGCACGCTTTCTTACAGAGCAAGAGCCTCGGACTCAAAGCCACCATTTTCCGAGAATGGCACGATAGTCGGCTTTTAGCATGGCGACACTTCGTGCCTGTGGATAATCGATACGACGATCTCTACGCTCTTTTGACGTATTTCATCGGCTACGGCAAGCCTTACAAGCAGCACGCCGAGGAAGGCGTGGAGCTCAATCCGCAGGTCTTCATTGCCCCGCACGAGCAAGCGGCCCAAAAGATTGCGAGACAGGGTCGTGAATGGGCGAACAAAGTCCTGAGACGCGAAGATATTGAGGTATATATGTTCCGGCTACTTTTGGAATACGGCCGTTTGATCGATGATAACCGAGATTATATTGGATATTCGGGCGACGGCAGCGAGTTGGATAAGTTCGACGCCGGCGAGGAGAATGATGGGCGATGGGGCATAGGGGGATGGAGGTGAAGCAATTGGATAGCTCCACCACCGTCCATGCAGATTTGTGGACATCAGGGACGACCAACACGGATCACCCTCAGCAATAGCTCGAACCGGGTCCAATACATTTTTCAAGTATTCGGAAGTCGCCGGTAGCACCTCTCCGAGCTTTTGACCTGGACGCTCTGTCAAGACGACGGGCACAAAATGACACGCCACAATGCTAGCCCTTGTCACTCGGATCATATGTCTCGGGAAGCGGAAGGAGAAAAGGCATCGGAGTATCATTCCGGGCATATAAATGCACTGCGCTCACACGAGGAAGCAAATAACGCAGCGCACTTCTTCTACATACCACTATCCAAAGGCCTGTCCCGTTGATTCGCACGCCCACGAAAGAAGCGCAGCACCGGCTCCGCGAACAGCACGATGCCGCGTGGAATGCTTCACAACACCCGAATGCGGCGAGCAATGGCGTTTTTGAGACACAGTTGGAGAATATGCGGCGCAAGATGCTCTAATTAGGCATAGAGAGCCAGCTTATACCGTCGCACAGGCAGACCTCCTCCAAGCATACTAGCACCACTTTTCACACCGTGTCACAGCTCACTTTTTCAACTTCTTCTTCAACCTCTTCTCCGCCCTGACGTCCTTCTTCAATCGAGGGTCCACAATCTTATACCTCCCCTTGACTCCCCGCGGCCGACCCGCAACGCCGCGATTCACACCCCTGGCCACCACCAATCTGGCCTTCTCCTTCGGTTTGCCGCTCTTCTTGGCCGCGCGGGACATCATCCTGGTGATCGCGCTGGCCTTGTCCTTCTCAGACATGCCCTCGTCGTCCAGAAGTAGCGCCGACTTCTTGCGCAGCTTCTCCAGCCGTTGCGCGGCCTTGAACTTCTTGCGCCCCTTGGCTTCCCGCACCTTCTTGATCGGTCGCGCGTTCAAGGCTCGTAGTTTCTCCTTGATGGCCAGGACTGCGGCCTTCGTGATCGGCCGCTGGGGCTTTGAGTGTCTGTCCTCGTCGTCGAGGAACCATTCGGGGAGCCCGTCGACGTCGCGGAACGTGTATTTGTTGAAGTTGTCGTCGAGAAGGTCGCGCGTGGTCTTTTCGCCTTTCGCGAGCGAGTGCGCTAGTGTCATGGCTTCGGCGGTGATGATGTCGATGTCTAAGTGGCCCGAGGGGGTGAGGGGGTCTTCTGGTCGAGGAGTAGAAGCTGTCGTTTCGGGCTCGGAGTCGGCATCGGAATCGTCTGATTCCACCGGCCGTGCTCGCTTCAGGGCGGACTTGACAGGTTTACTCTTTTGCGCGCCTACTGATGCTTTGGTTTGTACGGCGGCGTTGGCGGTGGCGGTGGCGGTGACGGAGGGTTTGGCCTGGTCTGAGGACTCGTCGTCCATCTCAATCGCACTGTCCTTGTCCTTGTCTTTGTCGTCTTCGTCGTCCTCGATGTCCAGGTCCTGGAAGATATCTTGGTCGAAGAACATTGCTGCTTTGTTGGATAGTCCTTCTTGTCTTGGAAGCTCTCTCGTCGAATAGTCGTCCTCTGCGTCGGTTTCTACATCAGTCGGCTCATTGTCTGTTCTGTCTTCTTGATCAGACAAGCCTTCCCACTCGTCTGTCTCTTTCTCCTTTCTGGCCCGCTTGGCTCGGGCTTCTGCATCGGCTTCTTCTCTCCTTTGCTGAAAGGATTCGTACATCATGTCGAGTTCTCGTTCGAGTCGGTCGCCGACTTCGTCATCTTCTTCGCTTTGCGTCTCGACTTCCGAATCCTCTGATGGTCCGTCATCGCCGTCTGCCATCTCTTCGTCCTCGATACGCGGTGGGTCAGTAGCCCTTTGGGCGGTCTTGATGCTGAACATCGATCCCTCTCCTGCCGGGCCGTTCTGCTCCAGCCCAATATCGAACGGCGCGGTCATGTGCATCTGCATCCTGACGATCTCTTTTCTCTTCTTCTCGTTCTCTTTCCGGCGCTCCTTTTTCTTCTCTTTACTATCCTGGTCCCTTAGCCTCTGCAGTTCTTCCTGCATTTTGAGCTCTTCATCCATGGACTCGACCTCGGCGACCTCTTCTCCTTCTTGATCTTTCTCCTCTTCTTTCGCCTGCTGCTTCTTGGCCTTGCTGGACATGCCGAACTTGTCGCGGACCTTCAGGCGCCAACGGAGCAACGTGCGGAATTCCTTTTTCCCCAGGACTTTCAAGTCTGCGCAGCATTGTCTGATTTCGGCAGTCGTCTCGGGTAGTCTGTCAATGGTTGCGAGTGCCAGATCACCGTTCGGAGGCTGCTCGAAACCGAGGGTATTGACCGAGCCAAGAATGGCGATAGGATCTGTCGTGTGAATGAATTCGCTGACGGGCACTTCTTTGTGCTGTGTCCAGTCTCCTTCTTCGTAACCCTCTCGCTTCCTTTTCTTCTTCTCTGGGTTGAACACTTTCGCCTCATTGTTAGGTGTCGGCTCCTGGATTTCTGCGAAGACGTGTTTCGCGTCCAGGAATTTCGGGTCCAGCTTTTTCGGTGCTTTAAACCCCCTGCACACGACAAAGATTTCCGCAGAGACATTTCTTGAGGACGGGGGTTTCGTCGCTTCCACCGATGTGAACAGCTGTTTAAACACCCAGAGCAGCGCATTGTAGTCCTTCGACCGGAAGACTTTTGTAACGAACGTGCCTCCCTCTTTCAAGAACTCAGTTGCCAGCTTCATCGACTGCAGTACCAATTCTGCTTGTGAGAATGCATCCTGCACCCACGCTACACCCACGTTAGGCGCACCGTCGTGCAATACAGTATCCGCTTTCATATGCTTGATGTGCGATCGGATAGTCGCCCGGCATTTGTCTGTAGTGATATCGCTCTGGAAGGTAATGACTCTGGGTATGGGCTTTATGGGTGCCAAGTCGACGCCAATGATCAGGCTCTGCGCAGGCATCGTCTCGGCCGCAACTTGACACCATGATCCGGGTGCGGCGCACAGATCCAGCAGTACTCGACTCTTTTCCAGGAAGCCATATTTCTTGTTCAACTGGATTAGCTTGAAGGCGGCTCGAGCACGGTAGCCCTTCTCTTTGGCCAGCTTGTACCACTTGTCTGCGACATGTCAGTGGAACATTCAGTTGATGGCCAAGCGAAGGAAGTGGCGGGGTGAAACGTACCGAGACGGCCTTTGCCGTGTTTCTTCTGGATCGCCATAGTCAGGGGACGCTCCAAGAAGATCTGAACGGCGTCTTGAGACCTGCTGCTGTTTTGCACGGCCGAGAAGGTGAATGGTCTGCAAAGCGCAACCTCCTACAGACTGTGATCCGGATCTCGATCAGAAAATCCAGCCAAGATTTCGAACTTTCTTGCCGAGGTTGTTCCGACGAGGCTGCAATAATATCCCTTTCCGGGTAACCTTCCGGTTGCTACAATCGACCTCAAGTTTCAATGCCTTGCAGCTGGCAGTTACTCGTACTCAGACTGTGAAAGGGTGGACGGCTGGCGGCGGTTCGTGGACGTCCAGGACAGATGGCGCACCCGTCAGCATCGCGCAGTCTCTTAGGACTGGTGAGGAATTTCAAACGGCTCAATGTTACGGACCCATTGACGGTACGACTGATTCATGTTTCGATGTGATTATCTCGTCTTCTAACCTTTTGGGAAGCAATGTCTTGCACCTTGCCTCGGTCGCAGCTTCGCCACTCAGACAGAATTGCCCATCTCAGAGACGGCCAAAGGCATCGAAGCCGGCATTAATGCCTCGAAAAGCAAACTCGAGACCCCTGCCTCCTCGATCACCACCTCCGCGTCACCAGCAGAAGTCTATGCTCTCGACCACCCTGTCCTGGCAACGCGCTACACCTGGCCTCTGATCGAACCCTCGGGCTATGCCCTCTACAGTCCGAAATACCTTGACGCCCCTCTCCGCCGAGATATCCTCCACCGTGCAGTCATCTACGAAGCCGACATGACCCGCCAAGGCACTGCGTCCACGAAATGGCGGTTCGAGGTCCACGGGTCGAATCGCAAACTATACCAACAGAAGGGGACGGGTCGGGCTCGAGTCCGAGACAAGAAGTCCCCTATAAGGCGAGGCGGTGGCGTCGCTTTCGGACCCAAGCCTCGAGATTTTTCGACGGAACTTCCCGAGAAGGTGTACCAGCAGGCATTTCGCATCGCGCTAAGTTATCGCCTAAGGAAGAACGAGTTGATCATCCTTGACAATAAGATAACCCTGCCCGAGGTCAACACCGCCCGCTTCTTGAACAATATCTTTGAAGCGAACCAATGGGGCCAGGGCCATGGTCGAAGTCTTCTGGTTACGAAGACTGGAGAGAAATACAATCCTCGGCTCTTTGAAGCGATGGGCACGGTCGGTGAACACGGCGAGCTCAAAGACACCGAGGATGTGGACGTCAAGGATTTGTTGACAAGTGGGCGAATAGTTATTGAACGTTCAGCGCTGCTCAAGCTGCTCTGTCGAGCGCATTCATTTGAAAGTGGTGGGTCGTGGTTTACCTTTGGGATGCCCATATACCATGCCAGGGAGAAGTATCCGCACCTGGAGCCGGAGCAAATTGTACAGTATCTATAAAGCAGAGGTATCTGGGCTGTGAATGGTTGCTTGCTGTCTGGCCCGGAATATCCTTTCCTGGCTCTCTTCAAACCACATTCTGATAAGACTGATGGCTTTCCCGTACTGAGGAGCCAAATTGAGAAAGGTTCCTGCCTCTACGGAGTACAATGGTGCGAATGCAACCGACCGCCCATACCCAATTGCCTCCGCCCCCGAGGTCCTGAGTATGCACTGTGATGGGAATCGTCAATAGACTCTTCCCCTAACTCACATGGTCTCTCGGCGCTCCCTGGCGTTAGCCATCCTCCTGTGAGACCCAAATTCGCGTGGCAATTGCACGGCATCAGCCTCTCATCAACATTTGGATGAGGCTGGCTCATTCCCAAAGAATTCTTCGGCGTTTCTGCTGTTGGCAGCCTATGTCCCCACAGCAGGATGCTACAGGAGCTAATCAATAGTTCCAGCAAATGTCTCCGGCTGGTTTCGCCGCCGCCGCTGCCGCTTTTTCTCTCCTTCGCCTTTTGGCCCCTTACGTGGCTTCTGATTCTGCTGTCGGATTCCATATTTGGCTTCATTGTTCCGCACCGTGTCTGTATCCGTCCTTGCTTCCATCGCTCTGGGTGGCTCATCTACCCCATATCTGTATCGATGTTGGACTCGGTCGCTGGACGGCCAGTCGACATGCGGTGTCTCATATCGTCGCTGGCGATAATCTTGTCTCTGACCTCGTTGTCCTCCATGACTGGGTGACCGCGATCTTGGTCTCGAGCGGCCTTTGTGACGTCCACGAGGCCTCGCTGGCTGCAGATCATTGGACGCTAGTGGTGCGGTTGACCGTTCTTCTTGTTTGCTAATTAGTCGACTCTCCGTAGAGAAGAGCGGCGGGTAAGCTTGCCGGTCAAGACTCTCGTCGAATGCTAACGGATGAGAATCACATTGGTCGTCGTTTTCGACGTGGCCCGAAGCGATATCCTGAAGTCGATGCGAGAGCACGTCAAATGTGACAGGGGGTCCATCGCCGACCTCTGCAAAAGCCGGATCGTCTTCAACCCTGGCCCAAAGTACGGTCTGATCGACCGGCCGCGACCATGGACTCTTTTCGTTGTCTCTGCAATTTCGGAGATTTTGAGACGATTACGGGTCGGTGTGCTTTCAAGAGGTCATTCTCGTCCATGGTGGCGCCCAGTGCTTGGATTCTTCGTTCTACAGGTGTGGCTAGATCTGCGCCTTGGAAATCAGGGTCGTCCGGAAAGTCGCGTGCGTCGAGGTCTGTGTCCGAGCCCACGTAGCCGTCCGCCTGCCTATCCCCCTGAGGACCCTTTATTGAGTAAGGAGGACGGAAACCCTCATGAGGTGGAGGGACCGGCAGTTCCCCAAGGTTGTGGATCTGATTCAGAAGGTCCTTGATATAGCGATCGGCATCCCGTAACTTCCCGTTTCGACCAGCAGTGAGCTCACATCGAAGATGTAGCGCCTCAGGATCATGACAGTGCACTCGTTTGAGTTCAAAGTTCTTCTCATGGAGCTGCCGAGTTAAGTTGTCCTTGAGCATAGTTAGATCTTCGAGGCTAGCTGCAAGGGTCTGATTTTCGCTGGTGAGCTTGTTGATGAACTTTTGTTGCTCTGTAATTTGCTCATCTTTCCTCTGGACGATGAGACTTCGGTCACCCAGCAGCGTGTTGAGGTCGTGGTGGTCGCCATTCGGACTTGACCGGGCTCTAGCGGAACAGCGAGGCGGGATCATTCGTGATTGATTGCGCTGGACATGGTCATAGTGTGCGTGAGGTTCTGGGCGTCCCCCACTAACGTATTGGTAGTGTTCTCCGTGTTCGGCTGCTCCAGGGAAATGTACGTCATGTTCCAACCCAGCTGCGCCCCGGATGCGCATGCCATACTGTCTCGGTGGTGGGGAGTTTGGAGCCGGGTGCCTGATAGTCAGTTCATAGCTTGTCAATGGCCAGTCCGCGCAACTTACCAGTCTGGTTGAACCTGTTGGCCATGATAAGATCTCTGATCGCCGCCGCCGTAGTAGCTATCGTCCTCGCGCCATACATTCGTCCTATTGTCCCTAGTAAGGGGCTGGCTGCTACCGAACGCAGTCGCTGCATAATCGGTCGAGTTGCGCCCTTGCTGAAAGGCCATAGAAGTGTAAGGAGCGTGCTGCATCCTACAAAGTCGTCAACTGTCGTTGTGATGGTGCTGTTTTCTCAAGCGGAGGAAGCTAGAGGAATAACTCAAGCCGAGACGCGCGAGACACCCCTGATCGGCTTGAAAGAACAAAAGCATCGAACACGACGTTAGTTAGGGAAGCAGAGTGGGTGTCGCGCAAATGAGGGTCGCAGGCATAGTACAGCTGCCAGTGTCCAGACCATCCACCGCTTTACAGAGCACTTGAAAGGAGTAAAGGTTGTAACAAGAAAGCAGAGACGTGTGATCAAAGGCAAAGGTTGAAATGAGAGTCTTAGAGACCGAGATGTCCGTCACTGACGGATAGGAAACTGGGCTATTGCGCATATTGATACTGCTTGCCGCTTGTACTATCCACCTGATGGAGCTGCGAATGCGAGTTTCTTTGTCTACCAGTCGATCGCTTTCGGCAGAGCTCTAACGGTCCTTTGCATGAGCTGGAAACCAAATACCGGCGTATGGGGATGTCGAGGCACACAGGCAGCGGACAAGCATCTCTTGTTAGGTTTCAATAGAGGAAGACTCAGTTATCAAGCGACAAGATGTTATAGAGATGTCGAGCATGGAATGTGAGCGACGTCCACCACAAGCCCGATAAAAGACGCTGTCTGACAAAAGCTTTACATAGTCTCCACCTCGGACTGGCGTCGACTGGCCACCCTGGCGTCGACTGGCGTCGACTGGGCTTCGAAACACAGGGCACACGTTTCAGTCAGACAGCCACTCTCTCCAGAAGTCGAAGGTTGCCCTTTCGTCACTTTCACTTTTTGGGTGGCGCGCAGATTCTAACCGCATCTCTGTTCGCGCCCATGCCACGTTTGCTAAATCCTTTTCTGTACATTGTTGTAAGCATTCTACGGCATTGAACGCCATGAAACGACACACATGATACGTTAACAGCCTCCGAGGGACTTGTTCTGGCTGTAGACAGGGCCCCGCGCATAGCCCATTCGATCCTTGACGGGCCCTCCCACTACGCGATGCCTGGCCTACCTGGTACGGCACCTATGGATTTTCATGGATAACGTCGCTGATAACGAGCTTCTACAGCCAGCATTGACCTAGATCAGTGCATTGCTCAACTGTACAAAAAGAACCTGCTGGCCGAGTCCCTGATCGAGGCAATATGTGCAAAGGCAAAAGAGATGCTGATGAAAGAGAGCAACGTGGTACACATCTCGGCGCCGGTCACGGTCGTTGGCGACATACATGGCCAGTTCTTTGACATGCTCGAGATCTTCAAAATTGGCGGCTTTTGCCCCGACACCAACTATCTCTTCCTCGGCGACTACGTGGATCGTGGTCTCTTCAGCGTCGAGACGATTTCCCTTCTTGTTTGCTTGAAATTACGATACCCCCATCGCGTTCATCTCATTCGCGGCAATCATGAATCACGAGGCGTTACCCAGTCCTACGGCTTCTATACGGAATGCGCCCGGAAATACGGCAATGCCAACGTTTGGCACTACTTCACAGACATGTTCGACTTCCTCACGTTGAGCGTGGTCATCAACAACCAGATATTCTGCGTCCACGGCGGACTCTCGCCGTCTATACACTCGATCGACCAGATCAAAATCATTGATAGATACCGGGAAATACCACACGAAGGACCCATGGCGGATCTGGTGTGGTCAGACCCTGATCCTGAACGGGACGAGTTTTCGCTGTCCCCAAGAGGCGCCGGATACACGTTCGGCGGAGATGTGGTGAAAAAGTTCCTTCAGGTCAACAGCATGTCTCATATCCTCCGGGCCCACCAGCTGTGCCAAGAAGGATACCAGGTACTGTACGACGATCGCCTCAGCACTGTATGGAGTGCTCCGAATTACTGCTACCGATGTGGAAACCTAGCAAGTGTGCTGGAAGTGAGCGATGCAGGCGATCGCTACTTCAACATCTTCGACGCCGCCCCAGAAAATGATGTGCATCGGAACGAGCAACAACAGCAGCAGCAGCAACAACAGACACAAGGGAAAGACAGCCAAGGTTCTCACATTGAGTATTTTCTCTAGCTCCCCGATCATCTCGGTTGGAAACATCATTGAATGCTTTTGGACAGAGGCTAGCAGAGCCATCCAAATTCAGCGTCGGTGATTCAAGCGCGCATAAGTCGGCATTCTGACAAATCAGCTCCTGCAGCATCCCGTGCCCATATCACCCACAGGCCCTCGAGGCCGATGCAAGGTCCGGTTGTCCATTCAACCCAGTCATTTCCAGTCCTTGGCGATGTCGAATGACCAGTTGAACTCAAGATGGGTGCGATTATCGTCGTCGGCGAATCTGACACTTGCCTCGTAGTGGCCACGAGCCAACATGCCTGAAGGGGCCTCTTCCTCAGAGAATCTCTTGACGTATTCAGGATTGTCGGTCGTGTTTGGCGCGAAGCTGCCGATCATTTCCTGGTCCTTGCCGACTCGTATACCTTTGCGTTTGATGGACTGAATGTACTTAAGACCGGAGAGGACCTCGTTATTGACGGTGAACACGACCTTCATCTGATATGTGGTGCCCTCCTTGATGGTGAACGGATGTTTACTCAAGGAATCGACAGAACCGGGTTGGGTGAGATCAATGGTGATGTCCGGTCGGCCTTTGACTTCCTTTGGCCAGGTCAGTGGTGGTGACTGAGATGTGCCATCAGGGACGACTCACCAGAGCAAGAGATTTGATGATGCATGTGCGAGGGTCGTTAGGATCACCGATGGGTGTACCGCCGCCAAGACCAAGCGATTGCTTGTATCGCTGCATGGCTTCGTCATTTGCGTCTGGCAGGAGAAGTTGTCAGTCAGCTGGTTGGAATGAATGCGCGTGTCCAGAAGTTGTTCCGTAGAGGACCGACCGAGAGTAGCAAAGAACGAGACACCAGCCTTGGCACGTCAGAGGCGCCTGTAGCGCTCTGTATTTTCTCCTACTGAGGCATTGACAGGTATCCCCGAAGCCGTGTCGCGTTTCTATGGGGAAAACGTTGTTTGTTTTGACAGCGGACTCACCCAGTTTATGGTATTCGTCGATTGTCTTCTTCTCCCCCACCTTAAACCCAGGTGTCTGCTCAGCCTGCAAGTCGTCCGCCATAGTTGCAACAGCCGCAAAAGGTTGACCTGAGTGTCTTCCACGCAACTAATTTTTCTCCAATGTTGTTTGGCCACGACCGAGGTTATGTTGTGGACTGAGAGAGTAACGAAAGTTCAGCGACTGTGTTATGTGGAGGGGCACTTGGTACGTACATGAAACATTTCAGCCGCTCACTGGAATTGTTAGTGGCGGCAGGCGGTCAGGGCCGGAAAGACGCTAAGCAGACCCAAAATGGTAAAGCATCCACTACGGTGGGCGAAATCCACCCATGTGGCTTTTCGCGTCGCGTTCACGTCACTCCATTTAATAATCCGCGACTGTCCGCCGCCCACTGCACCCACCGCGCGCCCTGCACGTCTGCTCTGCATAACAATCGTGGTGCAAGGTTTCCGGACGACGTCTTGCAATCATGCCTGGTCGTGTGGCTGAAAAGCCCAAGAAGAGAGTATTGACCGACACGACCAATACTCACAATGTCGTCAAATCCCCACCCTCGGCAAAGAAAAGGAAACTCAACGGCAACAGCGCCAGCGTCTCCTTTCACTCATCGCAGACCGGTCCACATGGCTTCAAGTCAAAGCTGGGCTCGTCCCAGCCCAAGAGTCACTTCGAAACCGAGGTCCTGGAGAAGATGACCCAGGACATTACCGGCCTGAAGGAGAACAACTCAGAGAGAGACCAGCAGTGGGATCGACCCAGCTTGGACCACTTCAACCAGGACACGGATCCCTTGACCTTCCAGCAGATCGAAATTGAAGAGGGCACCCTGCATGGTGGCAAGATGACTCTAAAGATGTTTGGCGTATCAGAGGTAAGTAGCTCGGTATCGTTCAGCAGAGTCGGACTAACCACAGTACAGACTGGACACTCCATCCTCCTCCACGTCACTGACTTCTTGCACTACCTCTACGTTCCAGCCCCGGTGAACTTCCAGCGCTCAGATATCGAAGGTTACAAGGCGTACCTGGAAACGCAACTAGCCCAGCACCAGCCCACAATCCATTCCGTGCAGATGGTGCTTCGCGAGAACCTCTACGGCTTCCAAGGAAACCAGAAGAGCCCGTACCTGAAGATCACCGTATCAGACCCCAAGTATATCAATCGAGTGCGCACCACAATAGAAGGTGGAAACGCCAATTACAAGGGCATGTGGAAGGGTGTCGAGAGCAAGATTTTGACATTTGACAGTATCCAATACGTCCTTCGTTTCATGATCGACACCGGAGTCACTGGGATGTCATGGGTCGAGGTCCCCCCACAGAAGTACCACGTCCTGCCGCAACATGACAGGCAGTCCAATTGTCAGATCGAGGCATATTGCCATTACCGCGATCTCATCGCACATGGGCACGATGGAGAATGGGCCAAAATGGCGCCTCTTCGGATCTTGTCCTTCGACATCGAGTGTGCGGGTCGCAAAGGTGTATTCCCTGAACCGCATATGGATCCTGTCATTCAGATCGCGAACGTGGTCACAAAATACGGAGAATCCAAACCTTTCATACGGAATGTCTTTGTGCTGGATACTTGCAGTTTGATAGTAAACACGCAGATCTATGAGCACGACTCGGAAGCCAAGATGCTGATGGCCTGGAGGGAATTCCTGGACAAGGTCGATCCGGACGTCATTATCGGCTACAATATTGCAAACTTCGACTTCCCCTATCTCCTTGACAGGGCCAAACATCTCAAGCTGTCGAAGTTCCCTTACTGGTCGCGACTGAAGAGCGTTGTCTCTCAGGCAAGGGATACAAACTTTTCGAGCAAGCAGATGGGCAATCGCGATACCAAGGCTACCAATACGAACGGCAGAATCCAGCTGGATTTGTTGCAGCTGGTTCAACGTGACCACCAACTTCGAAGCTACACCCTCAACTCGGTCTGCGCTCATTTCCTGGGTGAGCAGAAAGAGGATGTTCATCACACCATGATCACCGAACTATTCAACGGAACCCCCGACTCGAGACGACGGTTGGCGGTTTACTGTTTGAAGGATGCTTACCTGCCTCAACGGCTTATGGACAAACTCATGTGTCTAGTCAACTACACCGAAATGGCAAGAGTCACGGGAGTTCCATTCAACTACCTCCTAGCACGGGGTCAGCAGGTCAAGTTCATCAGTCAGCTCTTCCGCAAAGCGCTGGAGCAGCAATTGGTCATTCCAAATCTGAGCAACGAAGGCACCGACGAACAGTACGAAGGCGCCACAGTCATTGAGCCCATTCGAGGCTACTACGACGTCCCGGTGGCAACGCTGGATTTCGCTTCTCTGTACCCATCTATCATCCAGGCTCACAATTTATGCTATACGACACTACTAAACAAGAATACCATTGACAAGCTCAATCTCAGAAAGGACGAAGACTACATCGTAACACCCAACGGAGATCTTTTTGCTACAGCAAAAGTTCGAAAAGGACTCCTCACCCAAATTCTAGAAGAGTTACTGGGTGCACGTAAACGCGCGAAAAAGGAGCTCGCTGTCGAAAAAGATCCTTTCAAGAAAGCAGTGCTGAACGGTCGTCAGCTCGCCTTGAAGGTGTCTGCAAACTCGGTCTATGGTATCACGGGAGCCACGGTGGGAAAGCTTCCCTGTCTTGCAATTGCCTCGAGCACAACTTCATATGGCCGTCAAATGATCGAGAAAACGAAGCAAGAAGTGGAAGCGAAGTACACCATCGCTAATGGATATTCGCATGATGCTCAAGTCATCTACGGCGACACTGATTCGGTCATGGTCAAGTTCGGAGAGAAGGATCTGAAGAAGACCATGGAGTTAGGGCAAGAAGCTGCTGAATTCGTGTCCAACAAGTTTATCAAACCCATCAAGCTGGAATTTGAGAAGGTGTATTTCCCCTATTTGCTCATCAACAAGAAGCGGTACGCGGGATTATACTGGACGAATGCAGAAAAGTACGACAAGATGGACAGCAAAGGTATTGAAACCGTGCGTCGAGATAATTGTCGACTTGTCCAGATTGTCATCGAAACGGTCTTGAAGAAGATCCTGATGGATCGTGATCTCGAGGGAGCGCAATCCTACGTCAAAGATACGATCGCCAAGCTCTTACAAAATAAGGTCGATCTCAGCATGCTAGTCATCACGAAAGCACTAAGCAAGAGCGATTACACTGCGAAACAAGCCCACGTCGAACTTGCCGAGAGGATGAAGAAGCGCGACGCTGGTTCAGCGCCGGCTCTAGGTGATCGCGTTGCGTATGTGATGGTGAAAGGAGCCAGTGGGTCCAAAAACTACGAGAACTCGGAGGATCCCATTTTCGTTCTGGAAAACAATGTCCCCATCGACACGCGGTACTACCTAGACAATCAACTGGCCAATCCCTTGAGCAGAATCTTCGAGCCCATCCTCGGGGAGAGAAAAGCTAACTCACTGCTGGCCGGGGATCATACGCGCTCTATCTCGGTTGCAGCTCCTACGGTGGGCGGACTGATGAAATTTGCAAAGAAGACACAAACATGCATGGGATGCAAGAAGCCGCTCGTTGGAAAAGAGGAGTCGAAGGGCGCGGTCTGCGAGAACTGCCGTCCGCGAATTGGCGAGTTGTACACGAAGCATATCAACAAGGTTGGAGAACTGGAGGTCCGATTCTCACGGTTGTGGACGCAGTGTCAAAGATGCCAGGGGAGTATGCACAGCGAAGTGCTGTGTAGCAGTAGGGACTGTCCCATCTTCTACATGCGCATGAAGGCGCGCAAAGAGGTCGAAGAACAGGGTCGAGAACTCGCAAGGTTTGACGTGGATATTGGCGCAATATGGTAGTAACCGAACGACCGGGACCTAAGGAACATGCACAAGGGCTTCGACAAGGATACCCCGTTTGTATTACACGCGAGGTGCAAGTTATGATTAACGGCGAAGGTATTTTGCGCGTCAACGAATGCTTTGGGGAGTCCTCAACCAACCCGAATGAATTCCATTACAGCAACGAGTACCTATGATCTAGTATAACATCTGAAACGTCTTGAGATCGAACTATTGATCTTCCGATGCCAGAAGATGGGAGAAAAGATATCCGGTCTAAGCGCTTGCTGAGGCGGTTACGAGCCGCCAGTGTGAACTTGTACATGCTAGCTGTGCCCCGTCCTCGCCAGCTACTTGCAGTGCCAGACGAACTCAACTCAGCTCACAGTCGACCTGACGGCACAGATCTGTCACGATAGCATCGGATAAGATCAGAACAGAACGTACAGCTCTTGTCAACGACCCTCACTACACGCTCATCCATCGTCACATCACAGTAATTCGAGATGCTAAAGGGGAAAAAAATGACAAAGAGAGACGCCTCGCGCATCCAGTCTACTCAGGTATGTCTTTCTGGACCGTACAAGCCCGAGTTCACACCTGGGCCTTAGCTCGCGTAGCCTCCAAGGGATGTAGGTTTCCAGGTCCCGGCCGGAGTTCCGCAGCCAAGACAGTTGTTCGTGAGCAGGGTATACGCAGAGGCTGAGGGTGACTTTCCTGAAAGGCAAAAGCCGGCCGGGACATGTCCAAGGAAGGGTTCGCCGCCCGAGCTCAAAGCGCTGGGGATCGAAACGAGAATGCGAATGCCAATGCGCGGGATACAAATGCAAGGGGCGGTCCGCAGGGCGCGGAGGGACGGGCGTCCATCGGTGGTGGTGCAGGGGGAGGGAGCTGTACAGTGCAGTGAGGTGCGAGACGGGTGGGCACGGCGCACCGCCGTATGTACTGTATGTTCACGCGCTGTGCTGTACCGACTAGAGCGGCGTAGTATGGCGAAAGTAAATGATTACGGAATGGCGAGACCGAGACGACGAGAGGATCCTTGAAAGAAAGCTAGGTACTCCGTATGTATTCATACGATTCTTCCCGAGCGAAGAGGTCATGTCAAGCAAGCTACCAGGACTGCGGATCGGGGATGATGAACAACGTGTGACCACGCGGACCTGATAATGGCTGTAGCATACCTTTCAGGAATCCTTTCCCTTCGATCCATCCGACTTCCGGTGAAGCAGAGGATAGCTGTGTCTGCTCCACACTGTATCATGGCGTCCGCAAAACCGAGGGCATCCACCCAAGGAAAGGTATCAACCCGCTGCCACCACGCGACCCGCTCGCTTGTTCGACGAGCAAAGAACATCACCTAGTACGTGTGCAGATCCTCGGTCTTGCTCCTCCAGCTGGTTTTGGACGACTGTGAGGCAGAAGGTTCCCACGGTAGTCGATAGAACATCATACTGTTTCACAGGACGATCCGTCTTGGGCAGCACGTCGACCCACGAGCTGCAGAGCTGGGAGTGTCGTCCAAGCTGGTTTAGTTCATCCTTGAGCACATAGTTTTCGATGAACACTCTAAGCCGTGATGTATTTTCGGTGTTGGACGATGCTGAGATCTTAGGGATATTCAGGACGAGTCTGGCCCTGTGCTTGTACTGAGTGCAGTGGGGAGAGACTGTCACACTGCATGCACGGATCAGACACATTCACTGTTCGAGTCGTCTTGCTAAATGCTGGGCGCAAACCCCCCCCAAGCTTTCGCTTCCTGCAACCGTCACAAACTGTTCGCTGCTTGGGACCTCGTAAGATGTATACAGGTGGCGCGACGGCATCGCTGAATTGAGAACGGTCCATTGGCCGCGAGTCACAATCATCGAGGGCTTTCGAGGGTGTTCAACAAGGACTGCGCACCTCGTCGAAGATGCTTGCGAAGAACGGTCAAAGTTCTCAAAGCGACTCTTGGCGGGATGACTTTCTTAGTAACGACCATGTCCAGATTGTCATTGCTTGGATACATACTGAAGCCCGGCACGTGCCAGCGTCATGATGGTAATCTGGTCTTGGCGTCTTCGGCCGGATCGGATGCCTCTACCTTGCAGGACTCAGCAAGGAAGCAAGCATTATCGGCGCCACGTCTTCGACCATACACTGGCTGATGTATGTTTTGGTGATTGAGCCAACGGGCTTGACCATATACCCTCACGGTCAATATCACTTCGGTCTCGCCCTTTACGAGAAATACCCAGTTAGCTCATGGACACTGGAGTGTATCCTCTGGACTGCCCTTATTGGCGCAGCTCAGAGAAACAGTAAGCAGCTCAGTGACACGGATATTGCCCAAGTCTGCCCCCTTCACGCTGTCCTCTCGCTTCTGATGAGTCCGTGGATCTCATCTTTACTCCCTCGTTGCACGTATACATGAGGAGTACGGGTGGGGAGGTTATCTGCCCTTGATGCAATGTGGAGGATTCTGGATCGCGTGCGTTATTCCCGCTGTAACCTTGAGCCAAATTCTCGATAGGGCTGACAGTGATGCTGTCGCAGCAGAGAAGGGCAAGCAGTTGCAAGAATACGGCGCGTTGGGATCGACCTCCCTGGAATCGTAGGCGGATAACAATTGGAAGCTTGGCGCTCGCGGTCCGGACAGGCGTAGAATGAGAGCCATGAGTGGCAGATGTTGAAGAATCCGCGAGAGAGACGAGCCACCACACCCGTTGTTTAGGGCGTTGCTGGCAGCAAAAGGCGATTCAGGCCAGTGTGTTGCGCACGGGGGCATGGTAGTACACCTCTCACGTGTTCGGTCCGAGACTCGATGTGTAAGGAAAGGATAGCTCCTTTTCATCACAGCCCGCCTATCTCAACGGCACTACGCTGGGACGACGCAGACGCCGAGTCGTCGATATGCGAGACCAGCGGTCGTTATGATTTCTGATTTCAAGCCCCATGTCCGTGGGTTGGGTGGGGGAAGAGGAACCTGGAGGGCTCACTATAAATTCCAATACAGTCGTACCAACAGATTCTTATCGTGGCAAACAAGCTCCTCGACCGGTACGAGTCGTCACAAGTCTGGGTCGTCATCCAATTGCAATCTTGACAGCGTACTCACTTCCCCCATGTCGTCCTCGAACTTTGATCCCGTGGTCGACATGCCATCCCAGTCCATTGCACCCACATCGTCGTTAGTGAATTCACGGTTCACCTTCAGTGCCTCCCGCCGAATCTCCATCGCCGCAATTGCCACCCCGAGCGCGTTCCACACATCTTGATCTTTTTGGCTGAAATCCAGTTCAGCGATTATGCGAAGCCTGTCGGGGTTGAAGCTTGTGCCTCCCTCACCCGAGGAATCAGAAGGGCCCGCAGAGGCTTTTTCTCCTTGCAGAGACTCTGGCGTTGGAGGGGCAAACGGACTCAGTGTGACGACAACAAGCACGGCAGAGATAATGACAAGTCCGATCAGAGTCGGCGTTGAGGAATCATCGTCAGCAACCCGAGTCTCGTCTGCGTCTGCCGGATTCAGGCCACGTGTCTCCACGCTATGTTGGACATTTTGGGCCCTTTGATGTCTCTCTGACAACTTCTGTAATTTGGTCGCAACTTCCTCCAGTGTTTGTAGAGTAGACTGACCCTTCCTCCTGGCAGCGACGACGTGAACCGGAATGTATTGCGTCTTCGATCTTGGTCGCAGTCCGACATCAGTCAAAGCCCAGTAAAGGTATCTTTTCACAGACTTTTCCAAAACCCTCTCTCTCCGGACACCAGGACTGACGTGGCTTCTGTCACGCGCATCTTGTCCAGCCTCAAAGAGCCGCCGCAGGGCGTGCCCTGCTCTGAATTGGTTGTCTCTGAGGTTTTGAATCAGTGCTGGATCTGATGAGTTCTCATGTGCGAATACACTGATCGGCAAGGTGTCGAAGTCGATCATCCAGTTCTGTGGCAGGAGAGGCTCGAAGCCGCGATATGCGAGGTGAAAAAACAGCTCGCGTTCGGTCTGTGACCAGATGCCTGAGTTGGCAGGAAGAGTAATTGCAGCAACATGTCTTCTCGCTTCTTCCATCAGGTCATTGTCCACTGGGTCTAGTCTTATCCTTGCTAGAGCAGTGGACACGAACGACGTTGAATCGTCATCGTGAATCCAACTTTGCGAATCCCGCCTTGGCGGTGGGCTGATACGCTGTAGCTGCAGAGTGTCCATCTTTCTGTGTGGTGTTGCTGGAGGAGGCATAAGCGAGCGGTCCAAGCTTGCCTCGAGTCCCGTCCTTTTGGTTGGAAGTTCTGGACTGGAAGCGGAGTGGTTGTCATCCTCATATGGGTCGGAAGTGTCATTCCCCGTCCTTATCGCACGCCTTTTTGGTTGCCGTCCAAACTGTTCTTCCTGATCGGCTTTGCGCTTGATAGAAGGAGACGTGACCTGCCGTAGAGATGGGTCGCGGCGGGAAGTGTCAGCCGAGGGAGGGCTCTTGAGCGAGGCAACCAGATCGGCGAGGTATCGGAAGGGGGAGGCGAAGACAGACTTGGCCATGGCGTCAGAGTCGTCTTGTCGAGCGTGCGAGTTTTGCGGCTTCTGGGTGAGACGACGAGAGGAGGCGGCGGCGGTGAGGCGGCGGTGAGTTCGAAGTGAATTGGGGCCTAGGAGGATTCGAGTGGTGAAGGCCACAGCCCGGCGATGAGTTCAGACAGTGAGCGGTTGGGCGGCCGCAGCCCACTCATAACGAGCATGATGGATGCTGCTGAGATGACCATGCACAGAGATGCGAGACGTGTTTCTGCCGGACACGGCGGTCTGAAGGTCTTGCTTTGTTTGTCAGTGAAGCCGAAGTCCAATTGCCAGAAGTTGGAAGCGAACCAAGGCCGGTTTCAGGGTTTCAGGGCCAGGCTGACGTCGGGCTTTTCGATTGGCTAAGACACGTCGGGCGCCGTACGACCTTACCATATCCGGTCTAGGTTGGGTCTCTTCAAACGCGAAACCACGTGATAAGTCATTGCCCCCGGATCGCCTTCGCCTTCTCCTGCCCCTTCCTTCACCCTCACACTCCGCTCACAGTCGTTCGGTGTCGGCAGAGATCTTCAAGTTCCATGGATGCATCGGAGCTTGAGCTAGATGCAAAACTGTATAAAGCCTCGGGCACTCTTCTTTCCGAACTTCAGCACAAGCTACCATTGTTGTTGTATCATGGTGGAAGGGCGCCTCGAAAATGCGTCCTCGACACCAAATGCACAGAGCTGAGACTACTGGTACGAGTGCAGAAGTGTAAGTCTCTGGTTGGTAGCTAACACGGATCCAGCTTGACAGGTTCCAAGAGTGGCCTCAGCTCCTTGATCCCTGTCTAGCAAATCTTGTTCAACTCCTGAGCGACGTCTTTCTTGCCTATCTTACAACATCACACGATCAATATGGCCCAACCCGAACACGAGGGACAGCCGGGGTCTCTCCCTTGCCACGGGCAATATGCAGCCTTCTGTACTCATTGTGCAAAGTCAGAGGATACAAAGTCATTGTCCGGTTGCTCAACAATGAGCCCAAGTACCTGAAGCTTATGCTTTCCACTTTCCGTGTTTGGGACGTGCCTGGCAAGGGTATGACATGGGAAGAGCGGTATATCATGCTGCTATGGCTCTCCCACCTATTGCTTGCTCCTTTCGAGTTGGCCACCATCTCGGTCCAGGACGGGGAGATCCGTGACGCTACTGTGCCCAGGGAATTGGGGGGCCTGCCTGGAATAGCGAGCCAGATCATCAGCCTTGCTTTTCAGCACTTGGGTGGCGCCGGCAAAGAACGCGAGGCTGCAAGCACACTGCTGGTGCGCTTGAGTTGGCGGACCGATATGCAAGCCAACGACTTGTCCACACGGCTGGTGCGCTATACTAGCCGTGAACTGCTGTCGAGTTCCGGCATGGCCACCCTCACCCCGTACCAAGCTCTTGGCTTCCTCTCGCTTCTGTACGGTATTACCAACTCTGGTTCGGACAGTGGAGTCGCACCATGTCTCCAAGGCCTCTTCGCTTCCACCATGAAAATTGCCACCGACCAAGGCGCACGATTTGTAACCATCAGAGACTCTGCCCCTGCAAGGAAATGGGTTTTGAAAATCTTGCGTGCTATCTTGACACATGCCTTATCGTTGACTTTGAAGAATGGTGCAAACCAGCCGCCCCAGCTCAATGCGATGCTAGAGGAGAGTATACAGTATTTCCTTGACGCTCTGGGCGATAATGACACGCCAGTCAGGCTGGCCGCCGCCAAAGCGCTCAGTGTGATCGCACTGAAACTCGATCCAGCCATGTCCGCTGAAGTTGTTGAAGCCGTCTTGGGTTGTTTGCAAGAAAATGTCCTGCTTGAGGATACTCAAACTCAGAAACTTGTTGCTATCACCGATACAGCTCGCGCTGAGACAATGGGGGTGATGAGAAACATAAGTGCGGTCGATCCGCTGAGATGGCATGGTCTTATGCTGACTCTTGCCCATCTGCTGTTTCGCCGGTCACCTCCACCTGACATGCTGTCAGAAATCCTCCAGGCGCTGATTCTGGGTCTGGAATTTGAACAGCGATCCAACGTCGGAACTTCACTAGGAGTTGGTGTGCGCGATGCAGCTTGCTTTGGTTTGTGGGCACTGGCTCGAAAATACAGCACTGCCGAGCTAGATATGGTCTCGGTTGCGAATTTTCCCGAGGTGTGCAGGAATGAATATTCGGAGTGCAAAAGCGTCTTGCAGTTGATCGCTATCAAATTGGTCGTCTCTGCTTGCTTGGATCCGTCGGGCAATATTCGACGAGGCGCTTCCGCAGCGCTACAGGAATTGATCGGTCGGCATCCTGATACCATCGCTCACGGCATTCCTGTCGTCCAGACTTTGGACTATCATGCAGTGGCTCGACTCTCTCGAGCTGTGACAGAGGTCGCCCCGCAGGCAGCCGGTTTGGATGTGGTCTACCAGGGACCTCTTCTACAAGCGCTGACAGAATGGCGGGGCGCACGTGCTGCTGATATGAATCAGCGTCGCTGGGCTGCCAATGCTCTTCGGACACTAACGAAAACCCAGCCTCTGTCGAACACGTCCACGTTCGCTGAGGCCATACTCAGGCAGCTTTCTGATCTCAAAGCTATGAACATAGGTAGCACGGCCGCTGTGAGACACGGACTGCTCCTAGCGCTGTCGTCCATACTGCAGTCGATGAGGGAAGCCGATACTCAATTCGTTACGTCCTGGTTGGCGGTAGACGGAACATTGATCCTGGACCTTAAGAAGCTGACTGGCAAAATCGACAGTCGCACGACAGCAGACATTGAATTGGTCATGGAGGGAATAACTGCGCTGGTTTGCGAAATATGTAAGTGCTCAGACTCTGCAGATCCTCCTTGGGTGTCCATGCAAAGTTGGACGGCAGCCGCCATTGAAGTGCTCAACCACTGCACAGTGGCTGGGACCAAGGATGTTGTCGTCTGCTCAAGCGCAGAAGCGTTTGTGGAGCTGTTCAAAGTCCTTCGGCCCGAGGTGGGCATGGGGTTGATTGAGCGATGGCTGGACAGCAAGCAGCAACCACCATCAGCTTTTGCTAGCAAAGGCCGCCTGAGAGTGCTCAGCTTGATCCACGGGTACCTGTCAACGCAGCCGGCCAGCAATGAAACCCGGAAGAAGATTATGAAGTACGTCATCGGTATCATTGAAGGTGGTTACAAGATCGAGACGAGGGTCGACGCCACGGAAGCTCTTGGAATCATCCTTACGCACGGTTTGTCAGAGAACGCAGAAGTTACCGTAAACCTGACGAGTGTACTCCTACGAGGCTTGACAGACTACACCAATGATCAAAGAGGGGATATTGGCTCGATTTTGCGGCTTCAGACTCTCGAGACGGTCGACGTCTATCGCGGTCACTGCAGCGCCCATGGACACAACGCTGCAATCTTGAGACAGGTAATGCCTCTAGTGGCAAAACTCGCCGCAGAAAAGCTGAGCAACGTTCGGTTCCGGGCCTGGAAATGTCTTGAGAACTACTTGCAGACAGACTCGTCTTTGGCTACCGTTCATGGGATTTTTCAGTACCCGGCAGATGTCTCTTCGGCGGCGTATTTTCAGCAACTCATGCGTTTATTATCTGTGCCTTGGGCGCACAGGCACCTCGTTCTCGGGGTCATCTCGTCCGCAACTTCCGGGACCGAAGATACATGTCGTGCTGCGAGCACTGCATTTGTCTCCTACATACAGTCTCTGGAGCCGATCCAGGGCGAATCATCGGCCGCGGTGATCTCGAATATAATCTTAGAGGAGCTTGCATCAAGAGCTACCGAGGATGACCGGCAGGTCTTGCCGTTACTTGACTTTCTTTGCTTTATGATCGACGAAGGGCTTTTCTCTCCCAGGCCGTTCGGCCAGTCGGACAATGATGACTTGGACATTTGGAGCTCCATGCAGCGAATCCACAGCCCGTCATCAACCATGCAACGGATGGAATCATTGTTGAATGTGTATTCAAGGCTGTTGTCTACTGATATTTATCGAGCTCGAGCGTTAGACAAGCTCACACGTCAGTTGCTCCATCGCTGGCCCAAGGTAAGGTGTAGGCTCCCGTCCCATTCTGCTTGCTAAACTTATTCTCTCCAGATTCGTAACACCGCAGCCGACTTGCTCTACCTCGATAGTCCGGTTGAGGCTCTAGCTTCAAGCGACTGGAACGCTCCTGTGGTCAAAACCAAGCCAGTGGTTTTGAGCCTGCGGAAGCAGCTCGGCGTGGTCAGTCGTCGGGATGCCACAGGACAGTGATAGCATCAGAGAACACTTTCCGTTTCAGCTGCGCCTAACAGTCCAGACCACGAGTTTTGAGACACCTAGCCACGACATCCTTGACGGACTTCTCGTTGTACTGCTCCCAGATGTCGTACAAACTGATCATCTCCTGTGTCCCTTCGATCATCTGCTTGATGTCAATTCCTGACTCAACCAAGAACTTGATGGTGTTTGCTATCTTCTCGTTCTCCTTCATCAAGGTCAGCGCCGTTTGCTTGTCGAGCGGTTGCTGCAGGAGAGGATCGGACTGGTTGGCAGTTGATGCCTTCCCATTCATGTTCGCGTTGCTCTGTGCAGCCATTTGATTAGACAGCTGCAGGCTCCCTAGGACATTTTTGAACGGCCCAGACAGCATTTGACGACCTCCAGCTCCGAGGGACGAGCAATGGGTGGAATCGGGATTGGCAAGTGAATCATGCGGCATAGACCTCGCTGTGCCACTTGCCTTGGCACTTGGCAGGAATATGACTGCCAGAAACATTGCAATGATGGCGGTGACATGTGGAGGGCAGGTCAGCGGCAAGTCCGTCATGTAACTGTCGTTGATGATGGACCAAGCCAAGCCTAGCTCGTCATTGCTGAGCTTGAGATCTTGGTTCTCTTTTAGGGCGATCAAGGAGCGATACGGGTGCCAGACAATTAGTTGTGAACGCATTTCCGAAATGAGACAGAACTCCATTTCCCCCAATCTGGATACATCACCGGGCACGAATTCAGGCCATGCTTGACGTGCTTCGGCGGCAACAAGACGGATATGATGTGGGGACTCTTCCGTCTTAGAAGCGAGATAGAACGCTGTGGCAACCAGCAGATAGAGGTTGACGTTCTGCATCGGGGTCGACAAGAAATACCGATGCAAGTAGACCATGGCGGTGGCGACACATTGTTGGCGGAACTGCAGCCTTTTGCCTAACTGCAGGATCTTGTCTCTGAGGAAGATGAACATGAGCCTTCGATCCGGGTACGGCCACTGTTCAAGGACTTTGGCGTTGAGCTTCTCGAGGTCGTCTCGTACTTCAAGGAGCTTTTCGGGAGTGAATGTCCAGTACTTGCGCTGGGTTGAAACCCAGTAGTTGGCTGCCATTGTTCTACAATGAGCCTCGGATCGCAGAAGTGATGTTAGGGTCTTTGCCGTATAGCCCACGGTAGAGCAGATGGGCGCACCGCAGACGACTTGGCTGATTCTGAGGCCGTCCACGACGACGCCATTGCCCGGCGGGAAGTTGTGGCAAATTCGGAGACGCTTTTTGATGCGGACTAGATGCGAACGTGCCTGGTACTTATGCCCCCATGCCCGTGATGCATCTGGCCCAACGAATGCAAAGGAGAGACGGCAGGACCGACTCGGGAGATGTCGAGATCGGGGCTTGGCAAGGCTGCGCGAGGCTGCGTCTGAAACCCGACGAGCCCGAACACGCCCTGACTGTTTGAACTCGAATTGCCCGAATTGGCTCGGCTCGAAGGGCCACAACGCAACCCCACATGCATGGCAACGTCACACCCAAGCTGGCTGCTGCCACCAATGCACACCTCAGCAACTACATTTGGTGTGCAGGCATGCTAATCCCTGCCAAAGCTTGCCGCTTCTCTTCATCATCTTAGTATACCTCATTGACCTTCGATTCCCGCGATAGGTGGGTGTCACGCAGCACTCACGAACAGTGCCTCGTCCGGCACCTCCTCTCCTGCCACTGCCCAGCACCGGAACCCTGCCGAGTGAGGACCAGTACACAACCATGCTCCCTCACAGATAGCCTCCAGCTGCACTGCAAACCGGATGTAGCATGAACGGAGAGTCGTTCGAACACCGCGATCGGCGGATCCGAGAGCTATGGAACAACCTAGATACCCGCAACGAGGGGCAACTCGACCTGCTCGCCCTTAAGAAAGGCCTTCGCAAGATCGATCACCCACTCAAGAACGCCGACGATCTCCTCCACGATGTCCTCGAGGCGGTCGATACCTCAGGTGATGGTCGGATCCAGTTCAACGAGTTCAGGGTGTTTGTGGAACATGCAGAAAATGAACTATGGCAGCTGTTCGAGTCAATAGATCGAGACCACAGCGGTGCCCTCGACAAGGCCGAGCTCCGCGCCGCTTTCAGCAGGGCCGGTCTGACAATAAGCAATGCAAAGTTGGATCAGTTCTTCGATGAAGTGGACACGAACCATGATGGACAGATATCCTTCGAGGAGTGGAGGTGCGCAATGAAACACTAGGCCTTAACGAATGCTGGAACCACGGTTGATACTGGCGCATAGGAACTTCCTCCTTTTCTTGCCTGCGGGCGCAGCCAACATCGGCGCTTTGATCACATATTACTCGGCGACGGCAAATGTAAATCAAGAAGGGGATGTTCACATCAACGACACCCTTCAAGGCTTCGGTAAGGAACTGTCGGACCCTTCTCGATCCCCGTGAATATTGGACAATGGACGACTAGCGCGTCACCGCCCGCCGTTGCCAGTGATTGTGAGCTCTGATGACTTCACTCTCATGTCTGTCTCATGGCTTGTCGCAAGAAGCTTCATATCATCGGGTCTCATCTAATTGACGTGATGCTGACAGACTATATTATTCCGCTAGGCTATTTCATAGCAGGCGGCCTAGCAGGAATGATCTCGCGCACGGCGACGGCGCCACTCGATCGACTGAAAGTCTATCTCATCGCACAGACCAATCCCAAGCAGGCAGCCGTCGCTGCAGCGAAAGAAGGGGCACCACTTCAAGCCGTGAAGAACTTCGGCCGGCCACTGATTGACGCATGCAAAGATTTATGGGCAGCTGGCGGGATGCGAAGCTTGTTTGCTGGGAACGGTCTCAACGTTGTCAAGGTCATGCCCGAGTCGGCGATCAAGTTTGGTGCCTACGAAGCGGCAAAGAAGGCCTTTGCCGAGTTTGAGGGAACAGACGCAAAACATCTCCATCCGACGTCACAATTCCTCGCAGGCGGTATCGGTGGTGCAGTGGCACAATGTGTGGTCTACCCGTTGGACACGCTGAAATTGTGAGTGTGCTAGTGCCCGGTTGAAGCCGTACTGTGTCTTCTCAAACTAATTATTTCCACCCTAGTCGCATGCAATGTGAGACAGTCGGAGGCGGCCTGCATGGCAACGCTTTGATCGTGCAAACAGCACGCAAGATGTGGTCACAGGGGCGACTAGGACCGTACTATCGAGGCTTGGGCATGGGCCTAGCTGGAATGTTTCCCTACAGCGCCATCGACCTGTTCATATTCGAGTATTGTAAGCATTATGTGCTTGCACGAAAGGCGAAGAAGAACCGGTGTCATGAGGAAGATGTGGACATGAGCAATTTCGCCACCGGAGTCATTGGCGCAACCTCGGGCGCAATCAGTGCGACGGCCGTCTATCCCATCAACCTGCTTCGAACAAGGTTGCAGGCTCAGGGCACAGTACTGCATCCGCCGACTTACAAAGGCATTGTTGATGTTACGATCAAGACCATACAAGGCGAAGGAGTCAAAGGCTTGTTCAAGGGCGTCACACCAAATCTTTTAAAGGTGGCTCCCGCAGTGAGCATCAGTTACATTGTCTACGAGAACAGCAAGCATTTGATGGGTCTTAACTGAGCATCAGCGGCGAACTAGCGAGAACCAAGATGGGATGACGGACACCGAATTACTCTGGGCGGATGAATAAAGTCAGTCAGTTAGTCCAATCTACTGTAACAAGAGAATTCTCTCGAGGCTTTTCCAAGACGGGTCACAAATCGCGACACAATGTTTATCGGATGCAATCCTCCGGTATTCTATCTTCAGCTGAACCTATGTCGTATTCGTGTGGCCCGCCTGCTGCTTGTCGCCTCATGAATCTCAAACACCGTATGGAAGGACTCCCTCCTACGGAATCGTGTATTAAGAGAGCGATGCGTCTGAGTTGCCCAATTAACCCGGACGAAGTCGTACACCTCAAGAGTGCATGATTGTATAGTTAATAGTGGAGGTTTCTCGGGGCAGATTAAGTGGGTACAGTACAATCTCCCTGCATACTCCGTACTCATACTCGTATCGCGCAGGTAGGGCTTGCTAATCAGATGTGCCTTACAGGTGGGGGTGATTGCTGCTTCCAGGTCTCCTCGCTGTCATCCGTCTGTGGCACTGGCTGATCTGAGATCAATTCAATTTCAACTGACGTTATCTTATGTAGACTACCGATCACCATACGACCCTGCTTCGTTGCTGCAGTATCCAGACCTCGTCCTCTGTCGCCGAGGTGAAGCTCAACAGCCCATTCACCCGATATCGCTCTACGTACGGCCCTCTTCCCCGCTTGTTGAGTTCTCATTCAGCACACCCTCTGTGACGCGAAAACTTCCCCGGCAAGCGTCTACAAGTTGTCCATGTTGATGATACCCACTCTGACGATGGTCTGTGAGTCGCATTATATTCGGGGACAATAATGCGCTCGCACTGGGCCCGAGCATTCAGGCAGCACGTCGCGACAGCCCCCGGTCAAGAGAGATGGTGAACGCCGGCTTGAAGGTGGAGCGATTACAGCACGAGCCGAGTCCTCCTCTAGATGCGGCCGAAGGCCTTGAAATTACTGCGCAGCCGGCGGCAAAAGGGAAAAAGAAGAGCACGGACAAGGACGCAGGCTCATCCACAAAGAGGCGATGCGTGAGTACCGCATGCATCGCCTGTCGCAAAAGAAAGTCCAAGTGTGATGGCAATTTGCCTAAATGCGCCGCTTGTGCCTCTGTATACCTGACCGAATGCGAGTATGCTCCCCATACAGATCACCGCCGGAAGGGCGTCTATAAAAAGGATGTGGATGCGACCAAGACGAAGAACTCAACACTCCAAATACTCATACAGGCCATCCTCAATGCCGAAGAGGAGGATGTCATGGATGTTGTCCATCAGATACGGACCTGCGATAGTCTCGAGGAACTCGCAGCCACCATTGAGGCCCAGGAGAGAGGCCTACTAGAAGAACCGGCCGATTCGCCTGTCTTTACCGGCGAGTCGAACGTGCCCCAGTTTGAAGCCGAGCTCTCCGGGAGAATGGGCGACTTGATGCTCGATGGTTCGGTCAAGTTTATTGGTGGCACCTCGAACCTGATCTGGCTGCCTGAGGAGTACGAGCATCGTGGCTCTCAGAGTATGCCAGCCGACCAGCAAGTCGTAGTACGGCCTCGAGAGGAAGCAATCCTGTCATGGACTACCGTTACTCAAGATAAGGAAGTCATCCTCCATTTCATGAATATGTACTTCTGCTGGCACTACGCCTTCTTTACTACTCTGGCCAAGGAGCTCTTCTACCGGGACTTCCTGACTGGAACCTCGTCGCAGTACTGCTCGCATCTCCTCGTCAACGTAATGCTAGCGCTTGGATGTCATTTCTCGTCCCGGCCTACTGCGAGAGCAGACCCCGACGACTCGGGAACCACCGGCGACCACTTCTTCAAGGAGGCAAAGCGACTCCTCTACGAGAATGACGAGTTTGCCAATGCAAAGCTCTGCACAGTTCAGGCCCTCGCATTGATGTCCGTGAGAGAGGCCGGCTGTGGCCATGAAAGCAAAGGTTGGGTATACAGTGGAATGAGTTTCCGCATGGCCTGTGATCTGGGGTTAAATGTGGATGCCGTGCCGATGAATGAGATCTCTCGCCTCACTGACGAGGACATTGACGCGAGGCGGGTCACGTTTTGGGGCTGCTTTCTCTTTGACAAGTAGGTCTTCCTGAGCTCGACCAGACGGTACTGATGACATTAGATGTTGGTCCAACTACCTAGGACGGCAGCCTCAGCTCCAAATGCCCAGCATCACCGTCAAGAGACCTGATGTCTTTCCGTCAGAGGAAAGCGAGATGTGGTCACCTTACACTGATTCTGGCATCATTCAGGCTCATGCGCAACCGGCGCGGACCAGGGCGGTGGCACTACAGCTGTCGAAACTCGCCGAAATCTCCAGTGACCTCTTGACTTCGTTCTACAATCCGCAACTTCTGGACAAACCCCTGCCTAGACAAACAGAGCTGAAGCGCCTCAGTGATCTCCATACCAGGCTCGAGGGCTGGAAGCAGAGTCTTCCTGCCGAGATGGAGCCGAAAGAAGGCCAACTGCCTCAGGTCCTCCTCATGCAGTAAGTCTTCGCCCTGGGGAGGCTCCCAAACGAGCAAACTGACCACAAGCAGCATGTTCTTCCAATTACTCTACATTCATCTGTACCGGCCGTTTCTCAAGTATACCCGGACAACCTCGCCACTTCCAGCACATGTTTCTCCTCGGAAGTTTTGTACACAGGGAGCAGCGGCCATCTCCAAGCTTTTCCGGCTGTACAAGAGGACGCATGGACTTCGACAGATATGTAACATCGCCATATATATAGTCCACTCGGCATGCACCATTCACTTGTTAAATCTGCCCGATAAGAACGCTCGACGAGACATCATCCACGGCGTCAAGCACCTTGAAGAAATGGGCGAATGCTGGACCGCCGCCCGACGAACGCTAAGAGTGCTTCATCTTTGCGTCGACCGGTGGAATATCGAAATGCCCGAGGAAGCAGAAATGGTCTATACGAGGATCAGGGTCAAGTGGGGACTTGCTCCTGGCGTGCCCTCGCCAGTATCGCCGGATTCCCTTGCGAATATGGCTCAGCAAATCACTTCCCAGCCAGTTCCCGATCTGATGGCAAGGAATGTTCAGCAGCAGCAACAGCAGCAATCACAAATACTACGCCACACGTCCGTGCCGCAGTTTCATCCTGGGCTTACGGCATTAATGGCTCATTCTCCTGCAGAAACGGTGGATTCTCGGCGGACATCAGGTGGGATGTCCTTGCCTCCTGGGTCGGCCGCCGAATTTTCTCGCGACTCTCAGCGCATCCGTCCCTCGACGTATCTGACCAAAGCACAACAGGACGCTTGGAACACCCATCAGGCCCGATTGGCCGCAACCGCAGCGGCAAACTCGTCCAACCGGGTAGCTGGCAACGGAGAGCAGAACGCTGCTAGGATGTTTGGCGGGGTGGACAGTCTGATTGAAGAGACACAGGATTGGATCTTCAAGGACCAGAATCAATTCGCCATGGGGTTTGGAAACTGGGGCTCAGACCCGCCTGATTGGGGAACCCTGGACCTAACTTTCTTCGACACACCAGATGGCACGGGTTCAAGTACGAATGGCAACACGACCGGCAATTCCCCGGCCTTCATTAGCGGCATGCAATATTCGTACGATCAAACGACAACGGCGCCGAATGGTGGATTGGAAGGCGCCAATGGCGGAGGGGGAGGTGGAGCTGGAAGCTACGCAGGTGGGTTTCCCAGCACTGCATATCCCTCGGCGCCGCCGACGACGACAACGAACGGTAAGATCGAAATGAACGCCATAAACAACAATGGAATGAACAGTTCAATGAACCCCAGCATGGGCGTTGGATCACTCTACGGGAATGGTTCCATGGCCGCCACGTTGGGGGGAAACATGAATGTTGGACGAGAGAGCAGTGGAGTCAAGCGACGGTCACAAAATTTCGGATATGATGATGACGTATATTACTGATGAGAAGCGCTCGCGCCGGAGCTTGTACCTCTGGGTTTGGGTTATGAGAACATGAGGCCGGGTTGGATAAATACGGAGTAAACCCTAAGCGTTGGGCACTTGTAACTCCCGGATGGACAGGAACAGGAACAGGAACAGACACAGGGACAGGAACAGAGAGACGAGGATGTAATCGTCATTGGGAGGCTCAGTCGGTAAAACCCTTAGGGACAACACTACTCCGTATACCCCCGAAGTAGGAGCTCTGAATTAACGGTAAATTTTCCTCTCGGCCGTATGGATACGCATGTCCCTATGCTAGACATCAGATGCGATCTCATGTGTAGCGGCGCGCAGTGCAGCAGATACATACGGCGCACAACCTCGCCGGGATGTCCAGCCTGGTCCTAGAATCTCAGCCTTGTAGGGGGATGTACAGCCTTGCCATGACGTATGTCGATAAACAAATCGGTGCACCTACGGAGTATTTCCTATGCAGACGGAGAACGCAGTACGTAGTGAAGTGGCACTCTTGAGGCCCTGCGGGAGGTGTCGACGTCCACGTCAACACCGCTTTTACCGTACATACTCCTGGAGACAGCCACAAACGCCCTCACCACTAAACTACCACACCACCACACAATGCCCTTGTCCTCGCCCTTGTCCTCGCCCTCGCCCCTCCTCGACTACCTCGTCGCCCACGAACCTCTCTTCCGCCCCACGCGGCTCCCGTCACTGTACTCGGACCTCGCCGTGCAGAAGAAGACCAATCCCGAAGGCTACGCCGCCAACGCCACGGCGTGGACCGCCGCGCTCACGCGCTTGGCTCTGGCTGGCCGATTACCCCCGGATCTGAACACGCTGGTCCTGCGCACGGGGGCCGCGCTGCTCGATGCGCTCGCGAGTCCGACGTACGGGCCTCCTAACGGTCTGGGGTGTGTGCTCGATGACGCTGTCGCGGGGGGGGTGTTCATCGACGGTGCCGAGTTCCTGGGTGCGGAGAGGTCGATATATGCGAGGAGTTGGGTCCCCATCCCCATCCCTAGCCCGTGGGCGGTGGTGAGATGGGGACTGCGCGCTGTGGGGCTGGAAGTTGGGAGTGGGAGTTACGCCGTCGGCGGTGGCGGAAAACTTAGGTCCGGGACGCTGGTCGTTGTGCCGGCGTTGGAGGAGGTGTCGAATCGATTACAGCCTCTTATCATCGGGATGGGGTCCGCGCTGACGGACCGGGTGGTGAGTCGGGAGGCGTTTGCGCAAGAAGTGGGCAATATTCTGATGAAGAGCCGGGAGGGCCAAAGTGAGGGCGAAGGCACATCGATATCGAACACAGATCTGCAGGTCTTACTACGGTATCTAGCGCGCGATAAACAACTCCTGAGCTACGATGGCGAGGTCGTCAAATTTAAAACCCAAGCATCATCCTCGGGCCCGGAACCCATCACGCAGGAAGACCGGTCGATCGCGTCGCTGAAATCATTGATGGAGAGTCTGCGGCGACAGACGACGAGTCTTTCAGAGCGCATCACCACCCTGCAGACCCAGGCCGCCCAGGCCGTCAAGGTGGGCAACAAAGCCTCGGCACTGTCAGCGCTGCGGAGCAAGAAACTTGCGGACCGGACGCTTCAAACCCGTCTGGACACTCTAGCGCAGCTCGAGGAAATCTACACAAAGGTCGAATCCGCGGTGTCGCAGGTCGAGATCCTCGCGGTCATGGAATCCAGCGCCAGTGCACTGAAGACGTTGAACGCGAAGATCGGCGGCGTGGAGCGCGTCGAGGACGTTCTGGATAGTTTGAGGGACGAGGTCAGCAAGGTCGATGAAGTGAGCAATGTCCTAAGCGAGCCGGGCGCCGTGGATCAAAAGGTTCTGCTTGACGAGGCGGATGTAGACGATGAATTGGAGCAGATGGAGCGCGAGGAGCGGGAGAAATCGCAAAAGATGGAGGAGGAGAAGACGCGGGGGAAATTAGTCCAGCTGGAAGCACTGGAGCTGGTACGCCAGGAGCAAGAGCGGGAGCGGGAGCGAGACAAGCAACGGAAGCAGCAGCAGGAGAAAGTCAGCGAAGATTTATCTTCGAGTATCGAGAAGATGCGGGCATTGGATATCGAGGAGTTGAGAAACGGGAACGATACTTCGGATCGAGTGAAGGACAGGGAGAGGGAGGAGAGCCACAGGGAACCGGTCGCTCCAGAAGCCTCCTGAAGCGGGGCTCGGACTCAATATCGAGCAGGCAGATACGCAGAGAGAAAAGCAAGTCTCAAGCGTACACTTATGGGTTCGACTTATACAATGTGAGCACAGAAATGCGTGACTCGATTTCTGCCTTGGACCTGATGCAGCCGGCATCCAATCTGGCTACACTACACCGCCCTACGCTATCCGAGAAAACTTTCTTATTTATATTCCATTCCATTACCACAATACGCTACCTCATCATCTGTAGTCGAAGGCAGGGCACCGGAGTAAAGAATACTACACGAAACAGCACGACTTGCTTAGTGAGGCCGACTAGTCCACGACACTATCGTACATATACTACCATGGTCACAAATCTATGCTGCTAAAAACAGATATTCCAGCTAAAGCGGATGATATCACAATGCCGTAATTCGTACACACGCATGGCTCGACGAGTTAGACCGTACGAGTGCACCCTATAGAAGTGGTACATACCACATACTCTGTACTGACTGAATCGGTATTGATTCGTGATCTCCTAGTATATATACACAAACACAGCCACGCATCAACTGGTCATGATATCTAGAATGTCATTCTATGCACTGTCGATAGCGGCATCCACATGCCAACTCGCGCATGCTTAGACGAAGAACCGTCTTGAAGGCGTGCGTGGCGCGGTATCCGCCCCATTCTGGAGAGCCGATGGTTCACCCGGAGCGCCGGGCACAGGTTGGGGCGCTGAAATCTCAATTCCCGGCTCTGCAGCACCGCCGTCTAGCAGACCTGATCGAGCCTCATCCGCAGGCTTCGCAAGCGCATGTTCCATATCTGACTGCGACGCGGCACCTTGCTCGACAGCCCGGTGTGGATACGTTGCGTCAGGCTCGGAATGATGGTGAGCTTGAGGCCGTCTGGGATTCACAGGCTTGATCTGCGTATCTGATATCGTTTCTGGCGTGGTCGTCTCGTCCTCGACCGCCGAAGTCATGTCCTTGTCCTCGGACCGTTTCGTGGCATTGAGTTTCGCCCTCTCCTTAGCCTGCCTGATCAGGTCGTCGAAATTGCCCTTCTGAGCGCGGACATGTGTGCCGCGGTCGAAGTCTTTGGCCATGAAGCCCGCGTTTGTGGTTGGTCTTTCCAGCTGACGGCCCAGGGTATCCTCCCACACCTTGAGTTCCCTTAGCAAATGCCGTTTACTGTCAGGGGTGGTTGAGTCGCAGTTCGCGTTCCACAGGTTCACCCATTCGGTGTGCCGCCTGCGCATGAGGTCCTTGGAGCCGTGGTTCGGGATGCCGAGTTCTTTTAGCTTTTGCCGGAGCTTCGCGTCGCTGAAGAGGGAGTAATTTATGAACGGCAGTCGCTCGGTCTGTGGCGCCGGCTTTCGCTGAGAGTAGGCAATCGTGCCTGGTGGAGCGACTTGGCCCGGACGACCGCTGCATGGGCCAGGAGAAGATGAGGAGACGCCCGTCTCAACGGGCGTAGAGCTGTCGCCTTGTATGCACCGGTCGAGATGGGAGTTTATGAGTGCTTCTTTCACCCGCCGGCCGCAACAGGGACACTCGACGAGACCGTCGTGCGACTGCGTGGTGCCATTGGCGGTCGCGAAATGTGGGCTTTGGTCATTGTCTTCAGGATCCTCAAACACACTTCCCTCGTCATCATCTTCGCTGTCACCGATGACGACTTCCTGCGCCGCCGCCTGTGCGGGTGCGTTCTGTTGACTCTTCCGACTCTGACTTCGAGTACTTCGCCTCTCCGTGCCGTTTGTTGTCGTGGGCGCCACCTCCACCTTCCGCCTCTTGCTAGGTCTCTGCTGCTCCACCCCATCCTGCTGCTGCTGCTGGGCTTTCTCGGCTGCAGCAGCGGCAAACGCCAGGATGCTTTTCCGTGAGGCCGTGAAATTCGCGACCAACTCCTCCACGGCCCAGTTCCTCCGCAACTTGATCTCCTGGTCAGACTCTCTGCATGCGGGACATCGACCTTCTTGCGACAGGTACCGTCGTATACACAGGCTGCAGAAAGTGTGCGAACAGCTCGTCATCATGGGCGTGGTGAAGAAGTCCTTGCAGACTTGACATCGCAGGGACGAGTCGAGCGGGGCAAGGGCGGCGAGCGGCGTGGGAAGCCAGTCTGTGCTGTCGGTGAATTCATCTTGCTCTGGCATGGTGGTGTCGCAGTCCGACAGGGCGAGATTGCTGAGCACAGATGGGGACTGAGCAAGGCGGTACAACCCTCAATTCTCAATGAGGCTGTGACGACAGTCGACAGACACAATCGACAATGAACCACATTTCGCGCTAGCCGTTGGCGTGTTTAGCCGACGCGTCAATGCGTTAATGGCATCAACGAGCGGCAGTGGCAGCCACGGGAACGGCTGTTCGTCTCTAAGGAATGGGATGTGTCTACGGAGTAGAACTAGAATCTATCACTAGAGCAGCTTTAAATTAGAGGGAACCACAGTCCGCACACTCGCTTCTTCTATGAAGCCATCTGCTGCCCGGAAACCCAGCCCAATACCCTTGCTGGTATTGAAAAGTCCAGGATTGGTCCCACCTTGTTCTCACACTCAACCGAAAGTCCTTAGGATCATAGTCATGGCCACCGGCACAGTGCAAAAAGGCAACTTCCATGCGACATACTACAGTGGGCTCCTCTGACTGGGCATCCTTGATAAGCCTTGTTGACTCATCAGCCGTTGCCTCGCTTGAGGCCTCGTACTCAGCGAAGGGAGATGATCCGCTCACATGCTCACAAGGCAAGTGCTGATTAACCTAGCTTCCGCCCCCGACTTATACTCCTGGTAGCAGCCAGGGGCAGTTTCGCGAGGATGGGTCTGAGGCTCTCTTCATGGCAGCAAAGCAAGACGCCGCAATCTACAGAGTCCACTAGCGTGAAATCGAGACAGCTTTCGTAAACCAGTTTTCTATACGCGAAGGGTCGATTAGAGAACGTCACCCTCGGTCCCAATTTAGAAGGATCCTCGAGAGCACGGACAGAGCTTGTCAGCTATTCGAAATCTTCTTTGGCAAAATCCCCTGTCCGAGACCAGCATTCTCGACGCCGCCCCCCGCGGACTGAGCATGAGCCGTTGTCGCTGGCGTCAACCGGGTATCGAAAAAAGTTCTCTGTACGCTCGGGTTGATGAAGAATGAAGCGCCTCCGAGACTGGATCAGGCTGATGCCCGCCGTCATTAATTCTAAGACACTGCCATATCGTCGTTGGAGTTCGAGGCTCAAATAGGGTTATTACAATGTTCATTCAAAGTCATCATCCTGCAAGAACTTGTCCGGTCGCCCTAATCGAGCTGGACTCAACGGAGTGAGAGGCTCTATTAGACTCGCTCCGCCCGCTCCGGCGCCAACCGCCAAGAGACTCCTCCGACGGCCCCTACTCTCGGTGTTCTCCAACGAGTTCATCTCCTCGACAGTCTCGTCCTCAACATCGGCTGGCGACTCAACCGGCCCTTCGAGCTCAAGTTGTCGGGTGGCGCCACTGAATCCTCTTTTCCGCGCTTCCCCGAGCTTCATTCGCACAGCGAGGCGCAGCTGCTCGAGGTATTCGGCCAGATCGTGGAACTGTTTGTGCGACTCGCTGTGTCTTGTCTCGCCATAGAGCTCTTGCGCCTCGTCAAGCTTCCCCGCGGCGATCTCTGCTCGGCCCAATTTCATCCACTCGTCTGCAGCCATGATGTTCCAGAGCGCTGCTTTCCGCTTCCGCGTGCCCCAGCTGGTGTTGCCGATGCCGATCCGTTCCGCGAGACAAGAAGCCACGCGCTCACTAACCAGGACATGACCGACACTACCGACCAAGCTTAATTCGAGACTCCGCGTGGCCCATTTGGCAGCTAGCTCGCTCGCCGCACGGCCGCGCACCTTCAAAAGCTCTACCCCAAGCAAAATGGCGCGCAACGCCAAATGTGGAGCATTGCACCGCGCCAGGTATGAATAGCTGGCTGTTTCCAGCATCGTGTCGAAATTTTCGACCTTGAACTTGGAACTGCCACTGCTGGTGAGCGGATTCAGCAGTGTAGCTACGCAGCACATTTCGTTCGTTCCGGCCAGGTGCTTCCATGCCTTGTCATTCGAGTAGTCTCCACGGAGCAACTCGTAGGTGGACGCTGCCAGTTTGTAATCGCGTAGCATAAACGCATAGTCAGCTAGCTTCCGTAACAGGCTCTCCGGAGCATCGTATCGATATGTCCCTTGCTGGCTGTCATAATTGCCGCTGGTAGTGACATTCGACGAAGCGGATGAGCTTCGGGACGGGCCGCCAAGTCCAGTCCATCGCTTCGAGAGCGACATGAATCGGCCGGAAATTCCTCGGCGTCTTGCGGCTATCTGCTCGTTCCACAGGGCAATCCTCTGCTCCATATGGTAGATGACAGATTGGGCGATGAGCTCGCGCACAAATCCCCGCAGCGCCGTCGTGTCCGAAGAGAAGATATACGGTGATGTGGAACTATCCAGGTCGACGAGATCCGCGTTGTCGTCCAACAAGGAGAGCTGCTCCGCCGCCGAAAGCCATTCGCTGGTGGGGAGTTCTTCAGCATCGTCGTCAGACTGCGTGCATGAGGCTGACCTCAGCCTGAGCAGGTGGCAGTGGAGGCCAAAATGGCGCTTCATCTGGTCGAAGAGGGCCGACGATTTGGCGAAGTCGTCTCGATCTTCATCGTGGACGAGCACATAGTATCTCAGATATTCAGGATTCGCGTAAGCAGGCAACGCTCGTGACCCCGATGCTGATTGCTGATAGAGAGAGCGGAGGGTCTCGATCGGTTGGTTCGTGGCTGAACTGATGGCGATGACAGCGCCGACCGGATGTCGAAAGGACTCGTGCGGGCTCATGGATTGAGAGCACAGAAGTCGGCCCAGGAACAGCCGATAAAAGGGCGACGCTTCACCCCGTCCTGGCACGTCTTCGGCCTCGTTGAAGCCTTCACCCACATAGTGTTCTATCAACTCCTCCACCCTCTCTGTGAAGTCAGATCCCGCCTGTGAGGATGCGCCATCTTTGGCCAGCTGGCCCAGGTCCGCAAAATGGACGCCAAAGTCTTCCCATGCCCGACTTGCGCCGGCACTGTCCCGCACCACGACCTTGCCGTTGATCCTGTCGCCGAAAGGGCGAACAAGGCCCAAGAAGCCTTTCTTCACGCCCTTTCGTGTCGCGAGTTCGTCGACTTCTGGGGATGCGTAGATCGCGACCGTGGGTGAAAATGCGCGCACGATGAGGGATCTCGTGTCGTCGTATGTCACCGATGGGTTTCCTAGTGGACTGTGCGTTTGCGAACGCCCGAATCGTGAGAATGACAACGACAGTCTCCCATTGGGAGAACTGGAACGTGATAGGGCATCGGAAAGAGTGCTCGCCCGAAGACCTAGGGCGGGAGGGCTCGACGTGCGGAGAGGGAGGCTCGTGGTGGATGTCTCGGGTGATTCATTTCTCGCAGGTGATCTCGACTTGGGCACCTCGAGGGTCGGTATCGACTCAGACGACAGATTATTTGGCGACTGAAGAGGGTCTCCATCACTCAACGAAGAGGTCATGGACAACGCTGGATGAAGGTAGGCAGTAGGGCGTCCTTCGGGGTGGCATGAGGCGTCGACTGGGTGGGAGCGCAGGGAATGGCTATCGACATATCAAGGCGCAGTCATGCTGGCTTCTCTGGCAGTCTATCTCTGGGTGTCTCCTCAAAGGATCCGCGGTCGCTGGAGCATTACACCAAGCACAGCGAGACGATGCAGTTGGCATAATTGCGGGAGGGAGATTTGCGTATATGTGTGAAAGGTTCTCCGTGGTAAATTGAGCAAGCCATAGAGGCCATCATGCAATTAAGCCCCGGCAGCCACACGTCGAAACCTTTCATCTACTGTGGTATGCTGCACGCCTGAATCTGGGCCGGCTTTCTTTACGCCCTGACCTATTAAGACGTCCTCCGCAAGGTTATCTTCGCTGCAGATGACTGGTCGGTCACGCTCAACCGAGAACTCCACAGCGTACACCACAACCCGAGAAGGGACCGTTATTACGCCGCGCCTACCGTGAGCGATTGTAGGGTGTAATCCTATGAAATTGTCGCGCCCATGCCCACGACAGAAAGACAGACCGATAACAGTCTGACCACACCACGAGAGCTCAGTCTAGACAAGAAGCATCATCCGCAAACCCCCTCAGCCACTTGTAAGTACCTAGGTAATCGACTTGATACAGTTTCCGCAAGTCTGCCTCCGCTACGCCGGTCTCGGCTGTGAAATGGACCTCCGCCAGCACTACCTCGACTACATCTCCGCCATCAACGACGGATGCAGACCCGGCGCTCTAGATCCCTTTGTCCATGAGGGCGTGGTCCATAACGACTCCCAGCCACTGTCCGTCGCCGATTACGCAAACAACATCACCGAGGCTCAGGCTTCATTCTCGGAGTTGAGGTTCAACGTCGAGATGATTGTCGCGGAGCCCGAGCTCGACGGGGACAAGGAAGGGGACGGCAACCTGGCGGTGCGGATCAAGCTGGCGTTCAGACAGCGTCCGGGTCAGGAGGAGACGTTCTGTGAGCATGTCTTCTATCGTTTTGAGGCTGGCAAGATCAGACGCGTCTGGAGTATGTTGGATGGGGCTGGGTCAAAGTGGGCTGAGGCGAGGGCAAATGCACGGAAGTAAGGGTTGGCTCTGGACATCAGGGCTCGGGAGGAGAGTTTGAAGCTTGGCCCTGGACCAGCAGGAGGTATTCTTATATGTATCCTCAATTGGCGGCTCTATGGAGCTTGATTTGTGGTGAAAGGACTGTTCTAACTCCGCTTTCGCTTGATATAGTCACGACCCTTCTGGTAGGGTATTGTTAGAGTGAAAGTCACAGTCTTAAGGCTATCTTATTTTGTTTGGCGGTGTCCGATTGACGTGGCGCTCTAGAACCCTACCTTCAGTGCTGGCCTTCCGTAAGACTCTGAAGGAGAATTACCTTACGATTTTCGGTGCATGACCGTAGCAGCGGCCTGGATCGCATCTGTTAGCCATGAAATTCCATACGCAGAGGTATACTTTTCGTGTCTCGACACAACAAGGCGCAGCATGCCCTGTTGCGGGAGGCCGGGTTAACAGATCAACAGAAATCAAGGAACTCACCTGGTGGTTCGGAAAGATTAACGAGTCCGCGAGAACCACGTTTTCCCTCCTTCCAGCGGCAAATACAACCACCTCGGCAATGTCATCTGGCGTCAAGGGCTCGACTCCCTTGTACACAGCGTCCGCCTTGGACTTGTCCCCGTAGAAGCGGACGACGGAGAACTCCTACCAGGAATGTCAGCCCTCCGTCCGTCAGAGATATACTAGGGGCTCTCGAGACAGAGTCCTGTTCGAACAGGGGAGGCGGGGACGACCCTGGACTTACCGTCTCAACCTGACCGGGATCAACCTCAATTATTCTGATCCTCGAAGCGATATACTCCCTCCTCAAGGCGTCCGTAAACGTCCTGACAGCGGCCTTGGTGGCACAGTAAATACTTCCTCCCGGGTATCCTTCGCGTCCTGCAATACTGCCAATCATGATGACATCGCCCCGGCCACCAACGTCCTCGCCGTTGTCACCTTTCTTGGCCTTCATAATCGGCAAAATAGCTTGTGTCATGTTGATCAGCCCGGTGACGTTGGTGGCAAACATAATCTCCATGTCCTCCGCCTTGATATCAGGGGCTTTATCCACGCCCTTGACCAGCCCAGCATTGTTCACCAGGACGTCGATGTCCCTCCATTCTTCTGGCAGGTTAGGCACGAACGCGGCCACCTCTTGGGGCTTCGAAATGTCCAATTTCACGGGCAGCACTTTTACTCCGTCGCCGACCTCCTTCTGTATGTCAGATGCGACTTGTTTTAACGTGTCAATTCGCCGCGCCGTGAGGATGATCTTGAGGTTCTGTGGCGATGTACGGGCGAATTCTTGCGCAATGGAGCGGCCAATGCCCGACGAGGCACCGGTCACGACGATGGTCTTGCCGGAGAGGCGCTTGCCCATCGCATTGAGAGAGGACATATTGCGTATAGTTCTTAAGATATGTTGGTAGGTCCGGTGTCGGAGGGAGAGTGGGAGAAAAGGGTGCGGGGAACTCGTCAGAGGGACTCGAGTGGTGGCAGCAGCGAGGACACTGCGTGGGAGGCTCGGAAGGATCGAGGAGAGAGAGAGCAGCATGTACGGAAGGCAGGAGAGGGTAAGAAGTGGGATCAGAATGTGGACACCGTCAAGATATGAGTGAAGAGGTTGCGAGACTCAGGTTCGTTGGAGACCCTATCGGCTAAATGGCGAGCAACGGTCACGGACGGTGCAACAGCCGAAGAGCTGCGGTGAAGCTGCCGTTAGGCGGCGGTCATTGAGGAGGCGACGGCGTCGAAGCCTTGATATGCTTGCTTGCTACAATACCACTATCGCGCGACTTGTCCTCCAGACGAAGCAGCCACTCCACTATATCCAATTCCACGGCCCACGGAGAATGGTCATTCGATGTATATGTTCTCAACATGTCTCTGTTGTAGCCGCAGCTGACACCTCCCAGCTGAAAAAGCACGAGATCTCTCCGGTCCACTGGAATGAAACACAGACTCGCAAGACATGACATATGGTCGTAGCTTCCCGTAGCTCCCTCATAGCTCCTTGCACATAGCTTTCTTCCTAACACCGTACGTTTTCCTTCCTGGACCTCGAGACGGACGCCAAGTAGATAGGGCTCTTCTAGAGCATACGAGCGCCGAAGTATGGGGAGGGACAAACTCGGGTCATGCGTATCGGTCGTGCGTTATCAGCCCCGTGCACTTTGTCAGTGTCGAGACACTTTTTGTTCCAGACACAAGCACTAATTTGTCGTCTCACAGGAATCCTGACTCAGATAGAAGTCTGGTGATCTTCTCCTCTTCTCGCTCTCGTGGTTCGATCTTGAGACTTTGTGCAAACATGTCGTCGTCCGAAGTGCCTGCATTTCTCATGTTTTCTCCAATCCACTCCTGCAGTTCGGGAACCGGGTTGAGCGCGTAAGGCACATTCTGATACTGCTGAATGTCCCGTATGACTTCGGCGGTTTTGGTCCGTTTGGAGAAGTTGATCAAATTCGTACCCTTGACGTGAGATGGGATACCGTCCTCGATAAAGGTCAAATCCGTCAAATAGACGCCCAAGAAGGGGATGCAGGGAGGAGTCGCCACACGCAGTGTTTCCCGATATTGAAGAAAGTTCTTCGCAGATGCTATCAAGTTGCGCATCCCTTCGAGCATGGCATTCGTCTTTGGGTTGACGGCCTGCCACGTGCGACCCAGGCGCACGATATGAGAGGTGCCAAGCGCCGAGATGATAGCGGTCACCGAAGAGAAGTTGTTCAACCCGCGACATTGCTGTCTATGTCAGTTTTGGTGCGAAGCATGCAGACACCATCGAACTCACCTCGGCAATCTGCACAAAATGCTTGATGATAACCACTCTCTTCTTCACCTCCGTCTGTGAAAGAATCATGGCCGAAACCCAATGCGTCAACTTGTTCGAGTGGTAGATAAGAGCCTTCACGTTCGGCGCCGATTCACTGGTGTCCGAGTTGCCCTTCTTTTCCCACGTCTTCGCCAGACATTCAACAGGTTTGATCTTGCCATACAGCTTCGACTCCATGATGGTTAGCTGTCTTGCGAATTCCTTGGGGTCAATGTCAAGGAATTTCAGCTTCTTCATGTTCTTGGGCAGGATAGGCGGCGGCGCGGAATTGGCCAAGGTCAGGACAAGCTTCTTGGACAATGCCTCTCCTCCTTTCAGTCGCTGTTCGGTAGTGGCCGTCAGTGCCTTCGCCAATGGGATTTTCGTCGTGTTATAGGTGCTTTTTGCAAATGCGAGCATCCTTTCAAGCAATGCCTGACTGTCGGCATCGTCATGCTCCATCCAGTACTGCTCCAGCCAGGTTTTGATGATGTTCAGCACGCGGAATCTGGCGGGCTTTTGTTTGTGCTCTTCCCAGATGGAATACTCGTCACGCGTCAGGCCCGCCGGCGGCTGGAGGTTAAAGCGTCTTACCAAAAGCTCGAATAGCTCTGCAGCGGTTGTAAAAGAACGATAAGTGAGTAAGAAGGTAGTTGTGAAGGTCGTATCTGGCCGATCATGGCGGGTAAGTTGCTCGACAAGCCCGGTAAGCGTCCCGCTTTTCACTTGAGGCGGATCGTTCTTGGTGTCATAAGTGATTTCTTCCGCATGGTCGAGCTGCAGATACCAAGGCACTTCTTCCGCAGAGAAGCTCGGGTCAATATTTGTCTTGAGCTGGCTCAGGTTTGGCGGTATCTGCCCAAAGAATTGTCTCGCCTTGTCCTTAGGTGGCGGGCGACGCATCCTATCTGCTGGATTCTCGCCCAGGGTGTATGAGTTCGACTGACCAAGGTCTCCCAATGCTGGGCGTAGGTTGGCTCCGTGCCTGGAGTCGGCTCGAAGGTGGTGTGTTTGATACGTTTCGCCTCCATCCGTGACGCGTTTCTCCCGCTTGTCGGTTGGCGCTGATGGGTTGAGAGTCGTTGCCGGAAGTAAGAGCTCGAGTGCGTACCCCAAATTAGACACGTGAGTATCCAGTTGTTTGCACGCGATCCGTACGTTATTGATACGTGTATCCAAAGACTCACCACGCACTTCTGCCCATTCGTCTGGAAGCGGCATGGTAACAGCCTGGCAAGTTGCCACCAATTCGCCGATCGAGTCGTAGGCTCTCTGCTTCTGGGAACCGAAGTCGACCAGTGACGGTTTTTGGAACACGTTTCCCAGCGCTGATAGATCGATAGATTCGACGTGACTTATCCAGGGGCGGAACTGTTCCAATACCGTGCCAGCAGCTTGACAGACGGCGTCTCCGATAGCGGATTGCCGCGCGGGCGTCACAAGCTTCTCGGTGAGGACCAGAGTCTCTTCCAGAAGACGGATCGCAGCCGCTAGGTTATTCTTGGCTTCTTCGATGCGACGCAGGAGATTTGCGTCAAGCGGTTCTGAAGGGCAAGACAGCAACTCATCGCTGGAGTCCATGAACGAAACCTCGTCCAACTTTGTCTGATTCTCGATGTTGTTGTCCCGCCAATGGCCCCCGACGGTGCTGCCCAAGATGAAGCCAGGCACCAAGCGCGGTATTTCTTCTCCTCTCTGCTGCCTTGCAACGTCGACGTAGCCGTATACGCCATTCATCACCCCCTCGGCCTCTTGTAGACATTTCGTCAGCGCATCCGGGCCCGCCCATTCAGCCGCGGCGATGTGGGAGGACAGGACGAGTTTCGAGAATTTCGACATCATCTCTCGGAAATGAGGGTAGAGCGCCTTATTTGACGAGATGATGGAGGGGTTGCCCGAGTGATTGTCGGTTGTGCCTGATCCTGCGGCAAGCAACATGCGCAAATGGTCGGAAATGTCTTCTGCTCTGCGAACGTACTCGGCTCGTGCATGCGTCCGGATTGCATGCCGGTACGCCTCAATAGCGGTTTGCATATTGTCCACCAAGCTGTTCCACGTCACGGGAGCAATCCCAGCATCTTCCAGGAAAAACCGTGGTGTCGGTGATTTTGACAACCAGGGCGGAACTCCGGCAATAAAGGAGGTGTCGGACGGTCGAAGGGGGGGTATGGTCATGGATATGCTTGCCTGACCGAATGTGGATGTGAGAGGATTGGCTGGTTGATTGCCTGGCTGTCTGGCAGCAGTTCCGCTGATAGAATCCATGGAAGTGGAGGTTGAAATGCTGGCAAAGGTCGTCGAACCGGACCCTTTCTTGTGTGAAGAAATGAATGATTGCTCGCCGTCGGCCTCTGATGCAGACCCATCGTAGTCCTCCTCGCTGCCGAACCCTCCAGCCATCATCTCCGGGGGCGGTCTAGTCTGCTCAGGCACATGAAAATGGTTGCGATCACGCGGTCCTGTCTCATCGGCACTGGAGGGCGTCTCTAAGGGCAACTCCATGGTACTGACACCAGTCAAGGTGTTGAAATAGAAGAGCCTGCCATCGGGAGTCGCTTGAGGGACCCAGAACGCAGCCTCTTCCTGGCTCTGGCTATGCCCTCCCTCAATCGGCAGATCAGAATCCTCATCTTGGGTGTGCACGTCCGAGTCTTCCTCCTCTTCGTCATAGTCCTCCTCGGTTCCTGAACCAGTCTCACTTTCATCCAGGCCAGCGAGACCAGCCTCGCTCAGCTCATCCATACTGGTGATCTCTACGGTATAGTTGCTCGGGAACCAGCCCCGAACATCGTTGATCACTCCATCCCACCAGCCACTCTCCAACTGCGTCAAAACCTGGATGATGTCGCCCTGTCGGAAGCTCAAGCTTGTGTGGTCGTCGGCTTCGTAGTTGTACAGGGCGCGGACGAAGACGGGTGGGGGAGGCGGAGGGACGTCAGTGCTGGCCACATAGCTGCTCATAGCGGCCTGTTGGGCACGCCGGCGCGGCGAGAGGCCGCTCATCCCACCGTGATGGAGGTTGGAAGACGCCGCGCGCGACGGTCGGCTCGGCTCTGTGTACTGAAAGGCGGCGGCAAGGACAGCAGAGCCTGATTTGGCTGAGGACCCTTGCAAGGACAAATCTTGTGCTACCCTGCGCGAGGTTGACATGTCACCGTCTTTGGCCGATTCTGAAGTGGGCACTGAAGGACGAGATGTTGCCTCTCAAAGCGCAGCTGGGCAGACAGGCTCTGCATATTCGACCGCTGCGACACGGATGGGCGTTTCGGTGGCGGACTGAGCGACGGTCATCGACACGGAACGGAGAAGCGAAGGTCAGCGATGGGTTACAATACTGGAGGCTCAGCACGTCGTCTGGCTCTCGGGGGCAGGGCAGATATGGGATTTTGAAGTCTAGAGACGGCGGTTTGCGGTCTGTAGTACAAGCACAGTACTGCGCTTTTGGTCTATCCCGTCTATGGATTGTGAGAGGAAAGGGAGTGGAGAGAAGTGGTCGACATGGGCCCCGATTGGAGGCCCGCAAGCCTTGAGAGGGGCACCATCAGAGCCGTTCCCAAAACTGCCAGGGCCATAGGCTGGCCGGGCACGCCTCGCTAGCGGCTATCTGCACACAGTCGTTGGTGGCCACAAGAGAACTGTCTGGTGGACGTGGGATGGATGAAACGCATAACAGCACGTTGGATGACCGGAGGCTGTGAGGAGGTTCACTCTCGGCCGTCCTATTTTCTACGAGCACATCATGACAGATGAAGACGGGAACATGCCGAGACGCACCAGATGCAGCGCTACAGTATTCCACAAGGGCAACAACGGGCTTCCGCTGGCTCGCCTGTGCCGCCCCTGGGCCTCCCTGGGTGACATTCGGGGTACCCAGCCGAGCCAGCTTACCTAACAGATAGCTCTAACTGAACCGGCGAGCACCCAAGAAGTACATGCGTACAGTAGCCCGTAGCCTCACGCCCAGGGCATCAGAATCCCACCACCAAGGCCACCAAGGAGGCCCGAGACTGCCCTTCTGCTTGAAGTCGACTTTGGTCCTTGTCACTACCTACAGTACCTTACCCCTCATTCCAGGTATTCCACAAGACAACGACCAAGAGGCCTGGCATACAACGGCGCGGAGTACGTCTTGGTCGCGGTTTCAGGGTCAACAAGACGACGCGTTCGCTTGAGCTACTCCCCCCTCTTAACAAGCTGTGTACTCTGTATGTGTATCTCGGACCAGAGTCGTGCGCCGTGTCTCGGAATTGGCTTCGCCTAGTCAAGCCATGGCATTCTCGTAGAGGACGGTAGACATGCCCTTGTCGTCTTCGAGCTCTCGACCACCTCTTGATTATGGGGTACTTGATCGACGGTGGCCACGCACCTCGTGTTGAACTAGGGCACTGCTCGTGTGCTACATACCGATAAGACTAACCAAACACGGTCGGTTGTCTACACAAGGGCTTTCAGAGGAACAAGGAGCGTCCGGCCAGGCAGCTCCCGTATGCACATTCGTGTCAGCGGAGGATGGTGTACCAGCGCGCCACGCAGCATCTCCATATCAGTCACTTTTCTGGGGTAATCTGAGGCGTTCTGTTTTCAGTGAAGATTTCCCGCAGTGTTCAGTACTGTACATACACCGTAGCTGTGGCTTAAACGGCAAGTCGCCTATGTCCGACACCACGCGGAGTACACACTCGTTACTCCTACTGGCTCGGTTTCGTCAGGCCACCATGTCGACGGAAATGCAACCTCCACCAAGATCCTCTCCGCAGTCGCTGTCGATATCAGCACCACGCTAACAATACACTGTCTACTCGTAGGTACTTTGCCTCTCGCTCCAGAAGAGGGCACAAGACAAATCGATTGGTTGAGAAGGCAGTCAATCCAGGTGGCGCACCAGCCGATCTGCACACCACCAGTACAGGATGGCTCCAGTCCCTGTCCATGTGGGAATCATTGGTGCCGGCATGGGGGGACTGGCTGCGGCAATTGCGCTGCGTCGAGGCGGCGCCAATGTCACCGTTCTCGAAAGCACGATCGAATTAGGTGAGATAGGGGCCGGCATTCAGATCTTCTCGAACATCTCGAAATATCTCATCCGATGGGGCGTCGACGAGATAATCGGCGACAACTTGGTCCAGGTAGATGAGGTACGGACTTGGGGAGTCAACGGAGAGGTCGTCACCAGAGTCGATCCCGAGCGAGTTCGCAAAATTACCGGGTTCCCACACTTGATTGCTCGGCGAGATCATCTGCATGCCGGTTTCACCGAGTCTGCACGTCGCCATGGTGTTGACATCGTCGTGGGAGCGCGAGTGGAGAAACTCGAGTTTACGGAGAAATCAGCGACGGTTACCACAGCCCATGGAGCTTCTTACACATTTGATCTGGTAGTCGGCTGCGATGGGATTAAATCGACCATCCGACAACACCTCTTTCCAGACGTCAAGCCACAAGCGCCGTCAAAAGTCGCCGCGTACAGGGGCGTTCTTACCTACGACGAGATCAGGGCTAAAGCCCCGGAAGCTGCGTCTGTCCTTACCAACACCATGGATATGTGGACTGGTCCGAATGGCTATATCATGACCTACCCGCTCTCGGGTGGCAAGGAGTTGAATGTTGTTACATCATTCTGCAAAGACTACTACGTGGAGAAGATGGAGGAAGTCGACATTGATGAGTTTAGGGGATACTACAAGGACTACAGCCCCGCCATCCAATCCATCATCAGACTGGTCAATTACACCCAACGGTGGCCGCTACTGATCATGCCCTTCATGGAACGATGGTCGAACGAGTTCCGCAATGTTGTTCTGTTAGGAGATGCCGCCCACTGCATGCAGAACCACGTCGGTCAGGGCGCAGCGACAGCAATTGAAGACGGGGTCTTTCTGGGTCGCGCCCTCAGTGAAGTGGTCCGCGGCACAATCACAATACCCGAAGCCGTATCTATTTACGAGCAGAAAAGAATCCCCCGCGCATGGACAAAGCAACAAGTCTCATTCGTGTCGGGCGAGTTGAATATGTGCTCTGACCTAGAAGATCTCAGAAGGCGGAACTCATCGTCACTGCCAGAAGTCCAGGGTCTCAAGAAAGGCGAGGCACGGCACAACTTCCCACCACTGCCAGCCGAGTATCGCTCCTGGCAGATGTTCGACTCCCCAGACAGCGTCCCAGGCATCTTCTACTATGATGCAGAAGGCGACGCTGACAACGCAGTGTGCGACTTCCTGCAGACGAGGGATCGTGAAAATGGCGCTGTAGACGCCCTAACTATGGTGAGTCAAGCACTGAGAAAGAAATGGTGGGCTTCTCTGGACTTCAACGGGGTCGTTGCAGTATAACATCGGCGTCTACGAAAATGCGTTGTCGAAACACGCATCTTGAGGCTTAGCCTGGTCTAGGACCAAAGGTCTGAGCGCCGTACGCAGGGAAGCTTCACAGCCTCCACTCCCTCCATCCCTGATTTGACGACACTTTTGATGCATTGCATACGGACAGGGACTTTTGGTCCTGCACCAGAAGTGCCAATCAAGCCCAACCACTGCCATAGATGTTGTCTAGCTGACCAGTGACCATCGCTCTCCTACGATCTATGGCGTGTTGATATATCTGTCGCACCGCCTGCCAAACTCAAAATTTGACAGACAAACAGCTTTCAAAAACGTCACTTGCGAATGGTGGTCGTCGAGTATCTGCGGCTTCGAGAGCACAATGCAGTCCTGTGCGGGCTCCAACATCAACCCGGCAGACACGCAAGTGAGACCACCAAGCTGGTTTCGGGACACTCCTCTGGATCTCTCTCGGCAATCAATCCGGTTGCTCGAGGTGCTGGGGGGTCTTTCATCCGGGGGGAGGATTCAATGTCGCCTAGTACACTCTACCACGCGCTCCGTCTACCAATGTCTCTCCTATTGCTGGAGACCGCCCGATAAAGATGAGTCTCACCATGTCATCGAAATCGACGGAGCGCTATTCAGCGTCCTCTCCAACCTCTGGGCCTTTCTGGAAGCATTTCGACTGCAAGCGAGATATACGTGCAGAACTCAACAGCTGTGGATCGGCGCCGTCTGTATCGATCAGGCGACTACCCTAGAGCGCAAGTGAGTTGTTCTCCTCAGTGCCTAGCCGTTCTCATTCACAGGGCCATCGTGCACTCTAATCTTGTCTCCTGCTGACGCATAGCCAAAGCCACGTGGTCCGAAACATGGCTGCAATCTATAGCCAAGCTCATCAAGTCATTGTCTGGCTCGGCTCCGGAGACCAAGGCCAGAAAAAGGCTCTTGAACAAATGGGCCGTCACTCTCCCAGCACACAGACACCAGAAGAATTGGAATCCCTGCTTGCTCTGTGTGAGAATGAATACTGGGACCGTATTTGGGTTGTACAAGAAGTGATACTAGCGAAGAAGCTTGTATTGATGTACGACAATCAGCAAATCCCTTGGAGTAGTTGGGTCATCCTCCATCGCAAACAGTCTTATCTCCACAAGGTGCAGGATGTACAGCAATCCGACAAGGTCAAGGAGCGATTCAACTCGAGCGAAGGAAGAGTCATATTCCTAGAATACTCCAAGTTTCGAGAGAGAAACAGCAATTCAAGTTGGGGGTCCTTCTTGCGACGTTTGGAAAGTGCAAGTGTGCGGACATTCGTGACCGCGTCTTTGCGCTCCTCGGTCTCTGCGAAGAAGGTGTAAACGGCGTGGTACAGGTCGATTACCGTATGGGTGTCGAAGCCCTGTTTCGGCATATCATATCATCCTGCTCCGCGGGTCCGAGAGTTGATCCAAACATACTCGCAGCAGTCCTGGGAAACCCTTGGTCTTTTTCGGGGCCCCCAGATATCTGCGAGACTTCTTCAACATTTGTCAGTTAAGGGATCCTCATATGGACTTGAACCGGATTCCAAGTGCCCTGGATGGCCCTCCTGATTGTCTCCCGTATTACTGCGAATCTTGTCATCAGCACTTGCCGTGGCTCTGTCTGCCCGCGAGCTACCAGGCCCATCAAGCACCATCATACTTGCGCAGGGGTCGCCGCCTAATACAGGGAAGAGCATCTCCTGCTTCTCGCTGCGCCAGCCCAAGATCATCCCTTCTTCTTCAGCATTGCGGTTGACATCTGTGCCAGACTGCACCAGCAGCAGATTCTTACACCGACAGGTCCGATGCGCAAGAAAACCGCCGCAGGACAGGAAGGTGCACCCATTGTCTACTTCTACTACTGGTTTCGAGAACTATGGATTTTCTCCTCCGACGACTCGTGGACCAAGACGGCTGTTTCTCTAGACCCCTCCGGGGAGCGGTACCGATGTAGAGGAAGAGCATTTGTTCCACGGCTCTTTGACCATGGCACCTCGGTCGACTAATTGATTTGATCAATCAACTCGTCGTAAACAGCAAGCTCTGTCCCGGATACACTACCGTCCAGGTCATTGTATAGAGCCAAGGCATTTGCTCAAAGGCCCTTTGGCTAGGTTTTATCGTCGACTGATTGGTTTGATCAACAAAGTTGTACACAGCACAACAGTGTCCCGAATACATTCTGTACCATCCAGCTGCCATGACGGCGCCAGGTGCAGACACTCACGCATCATACCGCCTTGCCAGGCTAGGAGCCGGCTTTACAGACTGCATAAATAAGAATGCATACAGAATACGGGGTACAGTACGCACTATAATCAATGCAACTCATCCCTACCGAGCTTGGCATTGATATTGACACTGTCCTGCCTGCCTAGGTACCTACCTACCTACCTGTAATCTATACATAAAGGCACGGAGTAAGCTGCTCGGTGGAGATATATCACATTAGCCCCTCCAGAGCATTGCTCTCTACTGTGTCAAGATGGTCCAGAAACCACAGTGACAGAAGAAAGCTTCAGTTAAATGTATGCATATCATTATGTAACTTGTTCTTCTTGGTAGCTCTGCTCGCTCTGTGCTGCAACCTGCACCATCGCATTACCACGGTTTGCCATACCATGGCATATGCGGCGAGATAGCCTGAGTTCTGCTTGGAAGAACTATCACACATATCCCACCTGCACGCACCCTGCCTGCCGTCCTGCCCTCAAACGATCCATTTCAGCTAGTATACAGAAGAGTCGAAAGGACTCAAAAAAACATCGGCCGTTTCTCAGTCTCAAGTTGAAAAGGTTGCAATGAGTAGAATGTTCATGAAATGCCAGGACAGCCCTGCTGGCGGTGTTGAGCTGCCCGGCGCACGTTGCTGTGCTCGAGCAGAAAAGAGTCGTCAATAAGGAAAGAGCCGAAGTCTTGCATTTGATAAGCGCACAAGGTATCAAGTGGGAAGATTAGGTTGTACGTTGCGTTGTTGTGAGAAGATCGTGTCCAGTAGGTGATGACTAAGATAGTCCGGATATCCCCGTCGTTCTGACCGGGGTTAGGTATGAGTGTTGCGGCCGTGGGATGTGCTGAAAGCAAGACTTCGGGAAGAGAGTCGAAAGCCGAAAAGCTGAGCGCAACCGCCATGCTCGTAAACGCCGTGATCTTCCAGTGAGGCCGCCAGTTCGCCATGCAGCAATATGAGAGGAGTGTGTTAGAAAAGAAAATTTAGTAGGCTGTTTCCATGCCCATCAATGTCTGGTCGGACACCTGTGGCATGCCAGTCATGGAGTCCATATTGATTTCGTCGACGTAGCCGACAAGTGCTTGGGAATGCAGCTTGAATGATTCGCCCATGGTTCTCGAGATGCTGTCCAGAAGTTAGCGTTGCCGACACAGGACTTGGAATTCGAACTTACCCCCAGACGACGACTCCGTCCAGCATCGAACCCCAAACACGAGCCACCGTGGAGCTCAAGCGAGATCCATTCGAATCCACGGCATCGTCATCAAACAGGCCGCGCACTTTCATGTACATTGACAGTTCCTCGTCCGTGGCCTCTTGATCGTCGTGCTCGATGCGATACAGCCACAAGCTCAGAATGGTGATGAGGTCCACACCACAAAGAGGATGTTCGATGCTCCAGTTCGTTGATGATGTCTTGGTGACCCAGTTGACGCCTTGCATAGCGACGATCTCGATGCATTCGTAACATTGCTCGATGACCTTGATCATTTCCTTGGTTCTCTTGACGGCGTCTCGGGACTGTGTCATGGCGTTGGCGATCTCGTAGGAATTGTGGTAACGCAGAGCCTCTTGAACATTTTTAAGGTCCACTTCAAGGAAGGCTCTTGTGTTCCGGTACACAGCCATCGAGTTGAAGATCAGTGGGTGACTCTTATGTGGTGTGCTCAAGGGTACAACAATGGTCTCCGGTTCGCACAGGTCAAGTGATCGCTCCCAGGTTTCGAGGGCGATTCGAATCTTCCATTCCAGAACGACATCTTGCAATGATTCGAAGCTTCTCCTGAGGTTCCAGACTTCCAAGAACAATGCATTGATCATCACCCGTGTGGCGAAAGCGCTGTAGCGAGCGGCGTCTCCCTGGAAGAGGCTGTCATGGGCTTCGCGGACGGTAATGGTTGGTGATGCTGCAATGATATCTTGCCAGGAATCTTCATCGCTAGGTTCAATGTTCCATAGAGACTCGGATGACGGCAGAGGCAACGAGTCGAATTCATTGAAGCTGATGGCTGGCGTGTGGTTGTAAGTCAAGGTGAGCATTCCAAAGAAGATGTAGACAGCATAATATGTCCGTCGACATCCCTCTTCGGTGACCCACTCTTCGTGTGTCGGAGGAGCTCCTGACCGGGCATCGATCCGAAGCTTGAGTTCGTATTTATTGCCAGCAACCATCTATGACGGTCAGCACAATCCACACAAAGCGATTCGTAGATTACTCACGTTAGCAAGCAGACTTTTGATAGAGCACGCCCATTCGAGGCCCTGGGAACCGCCACTCCAGCTTTCGAAGACCATGTTCAAAAGCGTGCTCTGCATCGTCCACAGCGGGCATTTCCTCGAGTCGAAGTTGTCCTTGTTCTGTAGGAACTGGTTCACAAGTTTCTTGGACCCGTGGTGCAAGAGGTAGGCCTGTTCTTGATCGAAGTTGTACAGGGCTCCAATGGAGAGGATGGCAAGGAGAAGCGCTGGCTCCGTGGTCTCAGGGCGGAAGCTGACCGGGTGGAGGAAGGGGAGGTGATGATGGAACAAGTTGAAGTAGGTAGTAAGGTAGAGGTTGATGGAGGGCAATGAGGGAAGGGCAATGTCCCCAACTAACTGGTTAGCAATGATAGCCCTCTCGTCTTCGTTGCTAATTTGGGGAGCTTTGGGTAGGGAAAGGGGTTGCGCCGGGCCAGGCGACTTGCGGTAATTCACTGGCGACACAGGACCAGTCATCGAAGGGAAGGGCGATAGCGCATTAGGGGTGGGGGTTCCAGAGACAGGGAACGTGTCTGCTAGTCCGGGAAAGGCGGAGGGAAGTGAGGCCGTGAGCGAGTGGTTGCGCTCCATAATCGGTGGGAGTTGCGACTGATGCGGCTGTATCGATCCCATATGGACGTAGGGCGCCTGCGACAGATTGTCTTGCGACGATATGCTCGACATGGAATGCGCTTTTTGGTCCGAGGGTCCTTGCGGCATGAAGCTGTCCCAGGGCATGTGCGGCAGGCTGTTGGTGCCAGTGAGGTAGTCGGACGATCCGAGAAGCGAGCTGCGGTCTGGGGAGTAACCGGGGATGGATCCTTCGCCGTTGTTCAGATGGCCGTTCGCTGCTGCTGCCGCCTTGTGTTGGAAGTCTGTCATCAACATGGCGGCAGTTTCAAGGTCGAGCATACCATCGCTGCTTGCCTCTATCTGCTCCAACGTGCCAGGATCGATGCTGATGGAGGGCTTCGACGGAGCAGCCGCCGATGAGGGCGTCGCCTTGGTCTCTGCGCCTGCACCTTTACCTGTCCCTGATGTTGTGCTTGATTTCTTCTGCCGGCCTTCAGACTGAAGCGGCACACCGCCATCCTTTGCATGTACGGTTCGATCGTGGCGTAGGAGCAGATCCCGGCGGACGAAGGTGCTGCGACATTTCTGGCATTTGAAGGGCCGCTCCTTGGTATCTATCACGGAACAAAGGGTCAGCCAGGTGTTTTATGGTTGATGGCGGGGTTGGGTCTCCTCTATTGCCCCACGTCGGTCGCAATAATAGACGGGGGGAAAGTAAGAGGATGGACTTACGCGACCGCTCGTGTCGGCTCCGATGTTCGCTGCGACTGAAGGCTCGATTGCAGTACTGGCACTTGTACTTCTTTTCAGGCGCGGATGCAGCTTTTTTCGGGGTGTTCGTGCTCGCCGTCGCTGCGACGTGGCCAGCCTCAGCGGCAGTGGCATCAGATTGGGCCATGGCGGCGATCAATTGAGTATTACAAGCCCTCCAACCAGGCGCAAGCCTTTCGCTCGAAAATGAGTTGGTTTAGAGGTGTTGATGTCGACGTGACCATTCCGTGGGAGATCAGCGCAGGGCGATTAGAGAGGTGAGAGGGAAGCAGTGACCAAAGATTGCAGCTGGCAGTGTGGGCTTGCTGCAACTCGACTCGCTGGCTGGATCGTTGGCTCGCTGGCTTGTCCGCGCGGTGAATGATGGGTGCGTCTCCGAGTCTCGATTGGCGAAAACCGCAGGCAAAAGTGGATCACGTGGGCATGCGTGAAGTCCAAATCAAGTATCAGCTGTGGCTGCAGGTGAAGCCCCGAGATTCGTGAATGTTGTGAATTGCGACGGGCGACGAAGGTGTTGTCGCAACACGCGGCCGTGAGCGATGTATGCGATGAAGAGAAAATCAAAATGAAGGAGGGGCAAAAGGAGGGAGGAAAGGAGGGAGAGAAACACAGAGGGGAGGCCGAGGGCACTGCGAGAGGCGTTCAGAGATTCCTAGGCATCCCTCAGCCATCATCGCGCTTGGTTGCCCTCCTCTCTGGGAACCCTGGAGCCCCTGAAAATTACCACCGAGACCAACTGATCACTGGCTGAGGGGCAACCCGAACACCCAGAACGGGCCCGCGTTGCCGTTATGCCTGGCGAGCTACTTTAGGGGAGCGGATCTACCGGGAAATCCTTCCACAGCTTCCAGTGCCACCGCTTCTCGAAGAGAAGAGATCCCCTCCATGGCAGTTCCCACCAGGGCACCCATCAACATCCTTCCGGCAGCTTGCAACCACCTGACTGGCGTGCCTCTAACGTGATGTAACTTAGTCCGCCTGTCAGTGCCTGACCAGCCCACGATATTATCGCCCCTGGGTCCGAAATTTATCAGCTTTTCACGGAAGCCAGAGTCGATTTCTGCTATGGGACGAGGTCGCCCCCGTAATGTCTGCAGATAACTGCATAGTGTACTGTGTAGGTAGATAGCACGTAGAAACAAAACAAAGTTGAGCCATCTCCTTCCGAATGCGTCGTCACGGGACACTTCAGCGGTAGCGACATGCCTGAGAACAGGCGCCGACTTGCAATCGTCATCACCAAAGGTGGCCATTGATCACCACAAGGGAGAGAAGCAGACACTGGATGGAGGACGGCCTTGATCTTGAACGTGACGCTGCCCTGCTGCTCATAGTCGTTCCCCAGCCACCTCATATTCACCAGCCATTCCCCATTCTCACCGTCACAAAGCTTCGGACCGTCCCCACGTTCGCGCCGTTGGTCCTCGATGCAGCGTGACGCCCGAAGATGAAGCTCCCACTTACGGCGATTTGACCATTTGTGCTGGCCCTTCATTGGATCATATACAAAGGCAGTTACTTGGTTTCAATGTCTCTGCGGTGGACGTAGGCAGCCGCACGACCGAATCAGAGCCATGTCTCTGTTGCTAACACGGCACTCGACGTGTTAAGGGCAATCGTGGCACCAAGCAAAGGTTTGGATGAGAACAACGTGGGATCGTCAGCATTTAAAATCTCGCTCTACTCCTGTTCCTGCATTCTTCCATGCAGCTTGCAGCTCACTGATCCCAAACGAGAAGGGGAAACCTCGCCTAACCCAGCCGGTCTGTGTCTGACGGCGAAAGCTGCTGTTATTTCTCTGGGTGTCCCGACGACGCTGCCGCTGTCAGACAGGGTCGCTCGATAGTGTCGATTTGCTGGCGCTGCGGGACTCTTGGTGCTTAGAGCTAGGAAATGCGACCCCTCCTTCCGCGCAAGCAATTCCCATCTTCCGGGGACCATCCTCGTGCAAACCCACACATCCAGTCTGGTGGACCGGGTGGATAACGGAGCCAGGTCTTGTCGTCAGAAACAATTTGAACCCAGAAGAAAAGTTTCATGAGAGCAACTTCTCCTGACAAGCCTACGACGAGTCAAACTCGACCACGCAGTTCATTGACCTCGACAAACAACTGCAACAGCATCACAAGTTAGGGTTCCCAAGCACAAAGCAAGGCTTGATGTATCTCAAAGCTTGCGATTCCGACTGCAATCTCCAGCAAATGCACGGAAATGCGACCCTTTCCAAGGAACAATTACTTCGTACACTAAGACCTTCTAGTACTCAAAGAGCCCCGCGAGGCGACCCCTCGCTAAGTCTTTGCTCGACCGCGAACATCTGATTACGTTACTGTAACTATCGTCCACCGCATCTCTTTTCTTATCGTGCAATCTTTGCTCTTTCATGTCCCTAACCACAGCTTGAAATAGGCGGTCAATACATTTCGAACAATGCATTGCGGCAATCCACCCCGTCGCGAGCCGACGCATTTCCCTTGGGCCACCAGGGCCACTTGCAAGTCCTGGACAAGTCAAGGCGACCGCGGATGCTGGCCGGATATCATCGTCTACCTAGCTGTCTCATTAGTCCCAGTTGGGAGGGGATAACCCACAGCACAGGTTTGCTGTTGCGGCCAGGACTGGGAAAGCGCCGAAGCCACACTTCGCCCAGCGGACGCGGCGTCCTTTGCGCCCGTCGGAATCCCACCTGCCGCGAAAGCTACCACGGACCCCACCACCCCACTTGCCTTTGCAGAGAAGCCTCACCATGGCCTCACCCTGGCTTCACCCTGGCCTCACCTTTGGAGAGTTCAACAATCTCCGTCGTGTCGCATCGGCCGTCTGCTTTGCTATGTGCCGTCCCTGTCCATCCATTCGAAGCTCTTCGAGAAGCCCCACGAAATCACGCGCCTTGTTCGGTTGGCTACCAAACGCCTGACATCAGCCATGAAACTGCTGAAGGCGAGGGGCTCGGAGGGGCGGATTGAACTTTCTCGCAACTTAGTTTCGTTCCGAAATTGTGACGCGGGCCACCAGGCACGGCTGTTCTCTCCCTCCCGAAGACTGCTTCCTGAAGAAAGCTAAGCAAAGGAGTCAATGAAACCGAGCTGCAACTGTGGATTCCAAGAAGGTGTAAGCAAAAGAGTGTGCGATGACTCTGGACACACATATGCATTGACCTTTCCTCGAGCTTGGGCCCTGTGCGAAGATATCGACTCGCCTGTCAACGTCAACTCGATGCGGATATCATACCTCGTAGTCACTTGCGCAATCACGTCTCCAGAGCTTACACATAACGCAACATATAAAGTTCATCGGAACGACACTTCGATCCTATCATCGCGAAGAACGAAGGCTCGGTCCCTGCCGATCACCAAGCGGTGTGCCTATCGACTAGTGTCAAGGTTGAAGTTTCTCCAGAGGAAGGGGTGAGAGTCTGTTTAATGACTTTTGTCACGGTCGAAGATCCCAATAACAAACACATCGTCGAGTCGAGTCGAACTGCACCCCAAGATATATGCTCGAGAGCCAGTCAGCGGTAGAAAGTTTAACATTAACGACTCTCAGAACGTTGTGCGAAGAGCGACGATGGGTCAGCCGTGAAACATCGTGTCTGATGTTACAGTGAGTTGTTTTGGGAATCCTCAATCTATCCAAGGTATATGGTATATCTAACACAGTGTCTCCCCCAAACGCCTCGCTTGATCATGTTGCTGCCTTGTATTGTTCGTTACTGGGCCCTTCCCTTGCTCGTTTCATTGTCCAATATCCACTTGCACACTTCTCTTCAACCTTTCGACCAGCGCTTCTAACTCACTATTCCGGTCTTCTAAATTTGCAAGCTCCTTCTGAAGTCCATCTTTTTCCGATCTGAGCTGCTGCACTCTGGTCGCCATCCTCTCCCTTTGTCTTAGGCTGTCCTCGAACATATTCTCCATGCGACTCATCATTTCAACGCTCTCTGGGGCTTTCATGGTGGCAGCGGACTGAGCAGCTCTCAAACTAGCATTCGCCTTCTCCAGCTCCAAGACTCGCTGCTCCATCGCCGCCGTCTTGGCCTGCTGCCACAGGTCATCCGAGTCAGGTCTCGAAATCCGGTGTGGCAGGATCGGTGTCATCGCGCCCCCGCCCATGAATGACCGCTTCTCCTGAGGCGGCGAGGTCGCGATCTGCATTTTTCCGGACCAAGTGGCTTTGGCCAATTTCTCCCGTAACGCGAGCACGTTTTCGAGGTCGTCGTCGCGGAGTTTGCGGATGGCGGCGTGTTCACGCCTTTCCTCGGCGAGCAGGTCGCGGACTTTGATCAGATTCATGAGATCGTCGTTGCGGAGGGCGAGGAGGTCGTTGTGGGATTTGAGAATCATTTGATTTTCTCGTTCCAGCTCCGCCACGCGCTTTTGCAGCGCAGCGTAGTCGTCGGCCATGACAGTGGCCTGAGCACGTTCGACATCGACGACGCGGAGGAGAAGGGAGTGTAGCAAGTGGGACATGGGTCCCACTGTGTCGACACTGCGGACCTCTTCCGTGGGGAGTCGGTGCCGAGCCACAGTCGGGGTCTTCAGGTCCATTTCCACGTCATGGACGTCTTCCTCTTCGGCGAGGGTGGCATGGGTATCAACCGACGTAACTGACTCGCTTCGCTTTCTCTGCATCTCCAGTGTCTGGTGGACAGCGTCGTGCTGCTTTGCCGCCACCATGAAATGCTCCCTGGAATTCAAGGTAAGGGTCCTTTTCCGGGGGTTCCAAAGTGGCATCTCATCGAGGTTGAAGGCCACGGGTCGAAGCTGCTGCGGAGATTGAGGCTGTGGTTTCTCCTCTTGGTAGGCGGACAGGATGCTTTCATCGTCATTGTCGCGGTCGCTATAGTTTGTGTCAGGGGTCGACGTGGGATGCGGCAAGTACAGCGAATTTTGACTGGACGTGGACGACGCTATTGATCCTATTGACAGTGCAACGGAATGGCTGGAACCAGTCCGAGTAATTTGGCTGGGCGACCACATTGTGCAAGATTGAGACTATCGCGTCTCTACTGTTGTATGCAGGGCTAAATAGTAGTACGATGTGGCAAGGCGCAGCCTCACATAGAACACCGCTACAGGCTCGAATGGGGGAAGGGTAAAACGGATTGAATATCGGACAAAGACACACGGGCGCCCATGAAGCGACACCACGATGATATACCGTTGCGCACTGTAAGAGATCTCGAAAGTAAGGGGCATGAATGTGCTAGAGTGAAACGGCTTTCTCCCTCGTCCGGTGAGGCTGAGACGGTCTTGAGACGATTGCGTTTCTCAACCCTGATTGGCGGCGTGACGAACGCCCGTTGAAAATCACATCACATTTTCACATTGCGGCATCGCATGGGCCGGGACCCCAAAAGGTCTATCGCGCTTCGTAGATTCCCCGTTCCATAACCAGTCAGTGCAGGATTGCGCAGCCAGCCATCTTGTATGGAGTATGGATAGTACCTGTAATTGTCGCCGTCCTTCAACGTGCACGCGAACGTGGCCCGAAGCAAAGCGAGAGCCGGGGCTGAGACGTATGAGACGGACCCGCCTTCCGCGACCGAGGCTGGGAGCCCCTGAAGTGCCTCGCAATCCCGCCACGGATCCGGGCGCCATCGCAATCCCTCTCTCGTGCCATCATCCTGCTTTCGTTACAGCCGTGTGCCACGACAGCTAACTTTTGAGCTTCTTTGGGATGGGAGGCTTTCTGTTTCTGGCCTACGTTGAGCAGGGCATCTCAATTTGGGCACAGTAGGGAGCACGGCGTACTCAATACGTATGACATGCATGATCGGGCTGGCAGGATTGGAGCCAGTGATGAGAGTAACGGGCGTATAGAGTACATGAGAGCCAGTGAAGCAGCAAGGCAACCGAATTCAAGGGCACTCTCCGAGCTTAGGAAGGTAGAGATTATCGAGGCGATACTGTGCGTATCGGATTGAAAGTCGGTGGTGTAAAACGACGAGGGCGGGACAAAGGCTGAACTCGACGCACGACAGTTATCCTGCGCTGCCCTCGTGGTTGAAGTACACTACAGCCTTGATCAACGGCACCTTCTCTTCTAACTTCCCGCCCCTCGAGTTTCCTTCCTTGACCAATCCGGGGGATACTACGAATTCCGCATTCGCGTACGCAGCCTCCAGTTCACTTCCGGGGTATACCCCCTTGACGTACTTGGTGTCAAGTTGACCGCGAAGCCCAAGAGTGGAAGGCAAGAAGAAGCGGACCCGGTATCGTTGAATCGCGATGAGAGTAGCAAACTCACTGGCTTGCTCTATGAGCTCATGGAGTCTGGTAGCCAGGCTCGGCGAATTGTTGTTGGTGGAGGGAAACACGAAGAGGTGTGAGAGCGTCGAGATAAGACTGGAGATACGGTCCTGGTAGCTTGCCTGGATTTCCTGATGCTGCCGGTGGGGAGCGGTAGGAGCGTTCCGAGCGCTCCTTAGCCGCTCGACGGTCGTGTAGCGCCATTTCTCTGCAAGAGGATCTGCTTCCGGCCACTCCAGGAGTGCATTATCCTGAACGCCAAATAGAGCTCTCCAGGTTTGGTAGATGGGGTCGCCGTAGGCTCCGAAAACCCGGAACGGCGTCAGGAAGGTGCCATCTACGACGATTTTCCACAAAATACTCTGGAACAAGAATGTGTGGTCACGAAGCGGAATTGGGGATTGTAGCCGGACGTTGAACCCCATTGCCTCGGCTTGTTGCACGAAATCAGGGGCTGAGGTCAGGCGTGAAAGGCCCTCGATCTCAGTGGTGAGCTTGTAGAATCGTTTCCCGAGCTCGTCATCCTGCAGTCCCTGGAAATTGTCGACGGACAAGCACATATCTTCTTCGGCTTTTTTAACCTTCTCCTTCTCATGGGCAATTTCGACTCTGTACTCATCCTCGCGGCGCTTGATATCAGTTTCGTGCTTGTGTGTCAATGTGTCGATAAGGCTCTGGTGCTTGGTGGTGAGGACATTGACATAATCCTTGTGCTGTTTTTCACATTTGCTCTGTCTTCGATTCAAATCTGCCACTTCGTCTGCGTGCTTCGCCTGCTCCCATTGTAGTGAGCTCTGGTATTGCTGGTAAAGTTGTGACATATCATGTTGAGCTGCAACTCTCTCGGCATAGATTTGCTGCTCAAGACTTGAAATTTTCTCGTCCTTCGTGGCTATGGCGGTTCTGTAGCGTTGGATCCTGGTATCTCTCTCCTGTAACGTCTCCACTAGTCGTCTATTGGTTTCTTGCAAAGAGTCATGAGAAGCAAAGACCTTGATCAGCAGAGAGGTTGCTGCATTTTGCGACCGATCAATGGGCAGTCTGCGGTCTGTCATCCACTTGAAGAGCCTGTCCTCGACGTCCTTGAGTTCATCCTGGACGGAGCATGTATCCAGCCGACTCTTGCGACCCGCAATACTTGTTCGGCCATCTTGTGGTATTTCATCAGAATACTGACGCGGATCATCGTTCTTTCTGGTGGAATCCTCGTTTCTGCTGCTGTGAAAATGAGGTACGAATTTGGCGACGCGGTTGGGGTCTTTGCCGCTGCTTCCACGCGGTTTTCGACCAACGCGGTGCTTTTCTGAATCTTCACGGAAGCAAAACATGGTGTCTGCAACAAGTGCTATGGTCCCGAACTTCTAAACTGCTCTCAGTTGTCCTTTTTCACATGGTCATTGGTTTGGGACCACAGAAGGGTAGACAGAACAACGAGGGATCAGACAGAGTCCTGTGCGACGCCGAAGCTCAACCCCCGCTCTCAGCCTGACACATGCAGCCATGTCCGGTGCGCATCCAGGTCCGGAGAAGAGACGCGAGAAGAACTGGAAAATGCTAAATCGGGACCCGCAAGCTTCTGGCCAACACAGGGGACCGACTTGGTCTTGCTGAAGTGGTCAACTTCGGGCAGAAGCGACCATGACTGCATGCTAGACTTGCCGACAAGGCGACTCGCATGCGACCGGACGAGGCTTCACTTCCCATGCGTCGTTGTCTCAGGCAGCAAATATTGAGTTTGTAAAGACAGCGCATCACGTGCGCCACACAAACAAGGCAACGAACGCCACAAACCGCGCCAAGACGGCGCTAGATAATCACATCACATTCGCTTCACGGTCACTTCACTTGGAAGTGAACACGACATAGCCCCCTCGACTTCATCAAGCCCGCCAGCCACTATGCAAAGGCAACTGCGCCCGACCGGCAGAGGGTCTTTATGACACAAGGAGTGGCTTTCCGGGAATGGCTTTACCCATGCAATATGTGCCGAGCTTCCATCTCCGGCTTGACGGGGATAGGGCAAACATCTGCCATCTGCCGCCAAGGCAGCAACAGAATGTCGAAGGCTAGGCTCTCGGATTGTGATGCCCTTTGTATCCGTCTTGTTAATTCGGAGTAAGGCCAACCGTCTGGTGGTCTCGGTGATACACACCTTTCTCCCACAGTCCTCAGAAGCTAGTGGGCTTCACCTCATCTTTCTCAAACTTGCGTTTCCTTGTTGGGTGAACCGCCGTTTGGCATTCCTAGAGACTAACATACTTTCGTCTCTCCTCAAGTCGGCTACCAATTTCACTTACTTGTCAGTGGGTCATTAACAATTCAGTTCCTCTGTCCCGGGTTGAGGTAACCGGAAGATAGAGACTCGTACTGTACGTCCTACCTACGATGTCACTCGCAGGAAATCGACTCATTATCGGTCTCGATTACGGGACAACGCATTCAGGTCGGGCTCACGTCGCATCATACCTGAGTTGATACTGAATGAAGCAGGTATTTCATACGCCCTGGTAGGACGTGACCAGCACGTAATCAATGCCAATGCTTCGCGCAATGACCAGCCCGGCGCAAATATCATTAATGTCACGTCTTGGTCGAGAACAAACGCTCCCAAAATACCGAGCGTCATCTCCTATGCACCAGCGGACGGTCACGAAGCGCAATGGGGTGCTGAAACTAGCAGAACCGGGATCGAGATGATATGGACCAAACTCCAACTTGAGGAACAGGATCGCTTGGATGAACTCGATCTATTGTTGAAAGCTCTGGACGGAATGGCGAACCTGAACCTCAACGCAATCGTGGGCAGTAGAGGCCTGCCTTCGTATCCGGCAAAGGAGCCCGTGGGTATCGTGACTGACTACTTGTCTCGCCTCTGTGCACACTTTGTTGACAAGGAGCTGACGGGTGGTCACGGTCGTATTGGGCTTCACTTACTGCGACGCACTCCTGTCGATATCGTGCTGACGTGTCCCATCGTAAGCGGCCTGATTTTGTCACTTCGTCAAGATGTCCTGACAATATCCGCAGGAATGGTCAGACTCGGCGAAAGCCCAAACTTTTCATGCTATCACTCGTGCCGGCTTTGACAAGAAATATTTCCCGAGACTGAATGAGATTATACTGGCGAGCGAGCCAGAAGCTGCAGTCCTGTTTGTTCTAAAATCCATTCAGCACGAAGACGACGCGGCTCCAGTAAAAGTACACTTGGATGAGATATGCCTATCAAAGCCAGGTGCTAACGTCTTCCAACCAGGTCGGAGACTGCATTGTGCATTGTGATGCCGGAGGGGGAACGGTGGTAAGGAAGCCTATGGTAATGGGCGGGTCTGACTGACATACCAACACCAGGATGTGGGGTCTTTCCGAATAAAACAAGTAGAACCAGATCTGGTATTGGAGGATATCTGTCTCGGAGCCGGTAAGATATGTCTGATGTGCTGACGAGTGCAAAGGGAGGGCTGATCCTCCACTAGGCAAAAAGGCCGGAGCAACGTTCGTCGACCGCGGGTTCCTTAGGGTCCTGTGGAACAAACTTGGCGCGGAGAACTATGAGGTTCTAGCTGGGGGGACGCTCGAGACTTCAATCGGCAGCCACTCAGCCCGCAGTCCTGAATTAGCTTCGATTATGGAGGACTGGGAAGAGGAGAAAAGAAGCTATAACGGTCAAGCCGACCATGAGAAGGACTTCTATCTGCCACGGAAACTGCACCATCTTGAACGCCCAGAGCATGGGGTTTGCGATGGACGGGTGCGGATCACGGGGTAAGTGCCGGAAACTCGCCCCTGGCGTGGATATGACATTGATCTTGGAAGCCATGACCTCCGAGAAGCGTTCAAGTTCTCGATTGACAGCACCATTGAATTGATTACTGGTCAAATTGGCCAAGTAGAGTGTCTGGGCTGGGGAGTCAAGGTACGCGTCCTATCCGGTGTGCTGAAGCGTGTGCCTGTGTGACTGTCTGCTAACACATCCATAGTTGGTCACTCTGTCCGGAGGCTTCGCTCGCTCAGACTATCTGTTCAATGAGGTCAAGCATGAGATCTACAGAACCAGAGGCATCCACATAAGGAAACCCATCGATGAGTACGCTCCCCAGTACAGTCCGTCATGGACCTACTGACATTGTCTCCTCAAGCAACGATTGTTGGGCTGCTGTTGCTCGAGGCGCCGTGCTATACGGTCTCAAACATGATACATCGCGATTCATCTACATGCGCGCATGTCTACGGAATTACGGGATGAGAGTCTCCCAGCAGTTTTCAGCGTTCAAGCATTCCGCAAGAAGAACCACGTATCAAGACCCGTTCGATGGCAATACCAAAGCCGGGGATCAGATGGTCTGGCTCATCAAGCGGGGAGACCTCATTCTGTCCAACAAAGGCAACTATTCGTCTGTTCACATTTGTCGCAGATTTGGCGCCGACGACAACAGATTCTTTACAACGGCGTTGCTGGCGAACGACGATGACGAAGCGCCTGAGGGACATCTTCACAACGGTAGGACTTCCTCATTCCACTAGCGCCCCCCTGCAATATGATTCTAACGACGGACCAGAGACGAACGAGGTGGCGAGGCTACGCTATGATCTTAGCGTTATCCCCGAAAGGGACTTCGACAGAATGAGGATGTCAAATGGCAGAAATTGGTACTACCAAGCCAATCTGACGTTTCACTTGCTGGTCCACGCCGATGTCCAATTCTGGGTCACTTTTGGAGAAAACGAATTGGCTAGGGTGACATTTCCATATGTGTGAAAGTCTCGCTTCCAAGTCCTAGCTCAGTGGTGGAATGATATCTCGTGTCGAAGAAGAAGGCTACAATCCATAGAACGACCGCCCCTCATCTGAAACCCTCCGCGCTCGGAATAACCTCGACACCCGGGAGTTAATAGTACGAAAGCAAGCCAGGCACCTTGTGAAGGTCCGAGACTGCGAATCGAGGGCGTGGCGGACTGCGAAAGGGGCTGCAATGAGGCTCGCCCCGGAGACACACGTCCAGTAGCGCCGGACGACGTGCTTGGTTAACCCTGGACGCTCTCAGTCCATCCGTGCGGCTTGTTCATGCTAGACGCGGCAGAAATCGACAAGGTTGGCATCTGCCGGTTTGGTAAAACGGGACAGCTGAGATACAAAGCCACGAAAACGCCACCACGCACGCAATAAGGTGGAGCCGACCAGTGCGAGCACCACTGCCCCGAGACCCGCTGTGGTGTCTGTCCGCTACAGTCCCAAGAGGATGTGATAGCAAAATTTCAGCCTGACGCTCTAGCCAATAACCATCGCCTTGGATTATCAGCCCAGACTCTGTCTGCGTCGCGGCCACAGGCAGCACCCTGACTCAATGGGCGGCAAGGCGAATCCCTGCTACAAGGCGCATGCGAGGCTCCCAGAAGCACATGTAGCCTCCAAAGTTCCGACGCCCGACTGCAAGCAGAGGTCTCATAACACGCCAAGGAGCGAAGGCAGACCTCACTCAACCTATCAAGGTGACATGCTGTGTCCAAGCTTGCAGGAGCCGCGTCTCGTCGTCGACTCGAATAAACACCTCGTCCAGGTCAACAACCTTCAGATTCCTCGACGTACGGGACATTTGGGCGACACAAGTCAACAGGATGTCTGATGGAAAGATTGTCTCGTCTCTGTCGTGGCTCCCCACCCGTCTGGCCGGCTCACTCTTCAAGGACAAAAGCACGCTGGGCCAGATCGTCGCGGACATCGTCGCGCTCGGCGCGATCATTTGTCTACTGATCGTAACGACAGGTCGCAAGCAGATCTTCGATGTGAACCCGCCATCGGCAAGAGGACTTCGAATCGGCATCAGCGCGCTGATTCTCTGGTACGCGCTCACGATCATCGACCTATTTCTGCACGAAGCTCGTGTCTCGGTGCCGTACAACTACTTCTTGATCGATGTGCCCATATCGGCACTAAAACTCTGCGCTGAAGGATTCCTCGTCGCGACAACCTATCGTATCGTGGTCCTCCACCTTCAACAGCACATACGGAAGGCCAAGGTCGCGCTGATTCTGGGCGAGGTGCTCATCCTGGCACTTCTCGCCACAGCGGTGTACTCACTCGGAAGTCTCATGGCCAGACAGATCGTCTGGCTCCAGCTCGCGGACGAGAAGATGCGCAACAGCTTCGCCTGGCCACAAAGGAGGTTCGAAGCCGCCTTCTATTGCATTCAGTTCTGCATGGGCTTCCTCGCCACGGTGTTTGCTGGAATTAATGCGTGGATGATCCATGATGTACACGCCGAGCTCACAGCTGTACGCCACCTCCCGTCGCATTCATACTCCAGTACACTAACTGCTCCCTTGCCTACAGATCACTCACAGGCTCTTCTGGGCGGCGTTTAGCATGTGGATATGGTGCACTTCGGAGATGGCATTCGTACTCAAGTACCAACTCGGCCAGCATCTGCCAGCCAAGAATACCGGCCTAGCCCGCGATACCATCTACGATTTCTTCTTGCTCGTGTCCTTGATCCTGCTTACCTTTGACGCGAAAAGCAACAACAGGCAGCGCAGTGGCTATAGGGCGGGCCTTCCGGCGCACCTGCGCCCCCTACTCGCTGATATGACGGCTGCGTGTCGAGCCCATATCGTCGAGCAACTGCGGACCAGGACCGGCGATCTCGAGAAGCCGCCGCCCTTTGCAGACGTGATCCGGGACTTGAGGCGGAATCCGAGTGCGACCTTCCACCGCGGCCTTGTAGAAGATCGGAGAGAACTGGATATCCACGCTCTCAGGATGCTGGACGAAAGGTATACAGCTTTTGTGACGGAGCTGGATACGAGGTACGGAGACCTCAGATGCACGCGGGTAGCCAGGGAGGTGTAGGGTATGAGCCACCGCTCGACCAGTGGAGTGAATGGGGTTCAGTCCAGTCAGTCTTAGAAGAGGAGGACTGCCGTTGAGTGCCAGTAACGGGCAGATGCAACACAGCCGGATATAATGGTTGATGATTCCGTGGAAGTATTCTAGGACAGTCGGAGGATATAGCCCACTGTAGCACTTCTACATTATGGCCGTCGGTCCTTCCCGACACCCCGGAGTCCGCAGCTCCTGCCTCTTCGGACTACCTATGTGTTCGAGCGGTACAAGAAATAAATGAAGCGTTGGAATCACAGCAACAGCCCAGCTTAGCCTTCCTTTAACAGCGCCACTCGTTCGTCGATCATCCGGTCAAATGGCCATAATCCTCTCTCGAATCTGGGCGACCTTGAGCCTCTCCTCGGGCGACCAATCCTGCCGTTGAGCCCACTTGTCCGCCAGGATCCTGATGTCGCTCAAGCCTGCCCTCGCCTGAACCCTCCAGTCATCGACAATACCGCGGTTCGCGGGATGGACATTGCCGGCATTATGGACCTTGACCTTTAACAAATATACCCGCCGCATCATGCTCTGACACTCGCGGACGTCGCTGGAGCGGACCTCTCTGCCCGGCATGTAATCCAGGGCCTCGAGATATGAGGGCAGCGGTTCGTGTCTCGGCTCAGGCGGGTAGAACCCACGCATCATTCGGTCGAACGTGAATTCGGTAATGCCGACACGGTCGGCGTCGGTGTCGAAGCGCGTGTCCTCGCCAAAAAGCAATTTCGCGATGTACTTGCAGTTCGGCAGGGCGATGAGCACGATGACGACAAAGGCCGATACCATCAGGTAGACGAACGAGTGGAGCGCGAGGGTCCCCACGCTGTTGATCTCCTTCCTTTGGACGATGATCGTGCCGCTTAAGTCGCTCGACGTGTCGGAGAAGTTATACCCATTGACGTAGCTGTTGGGAGGGATGCTGTCGGTGACAAAGACCCAGGATGCATTCAGCGGTCCGAGGCGCCATGCTGGACTGGTGGCATTGATGGACCTCACCACAGCTGCGAGAGCCGTGTCTGCAGGATCGAACAATACCATGGTCGCGTCCCTCGACCGGCGACGGCGGTGCTGTGTGCTGACCAAACAGCTCTGTGGGCAGGCCTGGTTGTCTTTAGTTCAGGATCTAAATTCAGCAAACAGGAAGACATCTGCTGTGGGACGCAAGCTTTGCTGGACGGACACAGGTGCTCTGCTCAGCTTGAGGCGAGGAGATAGGTACATGCCATGGACTCGTGGGCGACTCTCAAGCATGAGCCTCAGCAGGCGCCCTTTCCGCGTCGTACGAAGTCGACGGTACGCCCTGTGAAGTCCGCCATGTCCGTCTAGTGCGTCCCTCTGCCTTGCCACAATGGGAAGAGAACATGGGTGCTTTACGAGCAGGCGGCTAGACCATGGCATGCGGAACCTTTGCAGAGCGCGCCTTGCTTGCTCGTGCTTGAGACTCGTCACGTCCGAAGCCCGTGGCTGTGGGCATCGCCATAGCGCTCGCCGTGTCGATGAAACAAGGCGCTGTATATGAACGCAAAGGGTTTAGGGTGGCAGCACAGCGGGGACTGGATCGATAGCAGAGACCCATTACTGCGCAGTCTGACAGAATCATTGAACTGGATCTTTGGTTTTGGCGTCTCTCTCCTCACAGACCAGGCGTTGCACCATCCTTCCAGCCTGATCTGAGCTCTGAAAGGCGCCTCGAACCGCCTCTCCCTTCCAATGGTTTGCTGATCCTTCATGTGCTGTCCTCGCTGAGCTGATGCAGTAGTCTGTCACATCCCAGCAAGCCAATATGATAGTGGCCTCGTGTTCGTCTCATGGCGTTGTTGCCTGAGCTCTTGGTCGTGGTGGCTGGTAACTCCGTACAGTGAAGCACCACGGCCACGTCAAGCTACGAGCCCGGACACTGCCAGAGGCGTCTAGACGTCCAAGCGAGCAAGGCCGATTTCAGCGGCAGTTCGGGGTCCTGCTTGGCAGGGTCATCAGCCTCATGGATCTGTCCACCTTGTGTCGTTTTGCATCATCTCTTCCATCAAGCCTGCATTTTGCCCTGCTCACGCCTACCAAGGCCTCTCCACCGAGTCGATGTCCCCTGACTGCATCTCCCGAGCTACACTATTGCTATGAGGCTGCTCTAGCCGATCAGGGATCGCGCTCCCGCCTTTGGTGGACAATGTCTGGGGGTTGGGAATTTCGACTGCTGCCTCGCAAGAAACTCCTCTAGGGTGGATGATTCCACAACCTGACAGATTGCAGGTGACCGCACGGCGGGGCAAAGTCTCCTACGAACTCCTTGCCTTCTCAGGGGCAGCTTATTGTGATGGGCGAGAGGACGGCAGAGATTTGTCTGGACAATCAATGAGACTCCCTCAGGCTCAGAACAGCCCATCCTCCGATATCGCCAACCCTACTCTGCATGTGGCAGCTACCAAATGCACATACGCTCCGAACCATGAATAGCGGTTGGCAGGCATCGTGCGGCTTCATCTCTGTCATATGGTTTGCCATCCAAGGGATGTGAAGCCCGTCTCCGAAGCATGGGACGTGATCAGGATCAATGGCACGCAGATCTCGATAGAATCACGACTTCGCTCGACCGACTAGCTCTAGACACCGACGAGGAGGGCAGGTCGGCGGTTCTGGACAGGCTAAAGCGTCCAACCGACCTCTTTTTGAGGAAAAGGAGCTGGTCCTTCTTCACTCTGACCACTCAAGAGGATCGCCTGAATGCTTTAATCAAGGGCCATCCCGATAGAGCTGTTGCGCTCCTGGCTTGCGCCCATGCGCTCTCCCGACCGACCATACGTTCCGTGCTTGCCACTCCCATCGAGCTGAACTTTGACCTCGACGACGACGCTTGTGCCTCGAAGTACTTGGGGCTCATCGCTTCGGTACACTATATCAACAATAGCGCCGTGTCCCAAGCTGAAGCGAAGCGCGCGCAGGCCCTGGTTCTGATGCTGGAGAAGAAGTCCAGCTCCTTTCTACGCCATGTGCGGGACTTCTTTTCGGTGGCGGATCCAGGTCTACTGTACGACTTGTTTCCACCGAACACTCTAGATGCACTCCTGAGTCGCCTGTTTAGGATATTCGCTGCCCAGGTGGAAGGCCTGAGATATCGGTGCGACTGGGCAGGCGCTCACAGAGCCGTCAGCAAGCTGCCCAGCATGTTTGGTATCTTTCCAACACTAGACACGCTACTCAGGAGCAGTCTCAGAAACGTGCGAGCCTGGTGTCTGTGGCGGCCTGTCCATAGTCGCATCTTCGGCCAGGAAAAGCTCAGCGTGGAGCAGAGAACAAAGCTTCGCGATGTCCTCCTTTTGAACGGCCCAGATCTTGTGTATGCAAGGCATCGTTCAGCTCTCGAGGCATTGTTAAGTCACGCACGAAGACACCGCAAGGCCTTCGTCTGTCACGGCCGGTTTTTCGCATGGCTGAGCACCGACGCCAGCATGGACAGCCGCACTTTCCTGGATGGCGTCCTGAACTTTCCTTCAGGCTCGCGTTTGTCCATGGCTGGAGCGGTGGACACCTTCGTGTTCCTCTGCCTGCGCAACGAGGTTAGCCTCAACACACTACGCATTCTAGAGGAGGCTGCAGCACTGAAGGAAGCTCGGGTGTACAAATTGCTCTCTGACATCTTCTATTCGTCTACGAGCACGGTACGAACGACTGCGGTAACGCACTTGTTGACAACGGTGCATGCCAGCGGCAACCACACCCTCATCAACTGCCTGAACGGCTACATCAGAGACATCATTCAAGAGGACCTCAGCGACATGCAGATGAGGCTTCACGATCTTATGCAAATGAGCCTTTTTGATCGCAACCCTCACCCCACTGCCCTCCAATTGCAAGCCCTTGGCCAGACGATAACCAACGTACCTAGCCTACTGAGCACCCTCGATCACCAGACACGGTTACTGCTGGGCAACTGGCCGTCAGCGGTCGAGATCGAAGGCGTGTTCGCGCTTCGTGCCGAAGTCGTGAGAGGGACAGTGGGCACTGCTCTCGAGACACAACTGGATCAACACTGCTTGATCCGCCTTACCGGTCGTGGCACACTTGATCATGTCTCGCAGGACGTTATAGTGGAGCTACTGTGGCACTGGCAAGAGCGGCCTCACATACCACGGCGAAGACTTGCCTTGTCGATCGTGTCATCTTCGACTCTCCCACCGTCACTACGGAGCCAGTGTCTGGTGCTGATTCGGGTCATGGAAGACGACCATTTGAGAGACCTCGACACCATCATATCCAGCGGCACCGAAAAGGCATGCACGCACCTCGCCAAGGTGATCTCCTCACGGCGATTCGAGCAATATGACCAACGAGAATTCTGGAAAAGTGTCTTGCTGTCCATGATGGACCAATGGAAGGGCACGTTGCTGCTTCACACCGCCACTCACACGGACGTCAAGACTTGGTTTCAATGGCTCTGTCATCTGAGAGAGATCTTCGACATTAGTGAAAGGTCTGCCAATGGTGGACATCCGATGCTCCAGCAGGAATTGCATTCCTGGTCACTTGTTCTTCAGTTGACGTATCTCGAAGTCTTGCTCCAGTTGGAGAACGACCCAAGGACAGCTCTGCTGGTGAGATCGATTCTGAAAGATTGGCAGTATGAGGAGTCGATTCGAAGAGTCTTGGATTCCTTTGTTACTAGCAGTGGACGTGACCCTCCCCAGCCTCTTCTCCTGGCTATCGAGGCGCTGTCCAGTCAAACCATGCGTGCTCGAGGATGGACTGCCCTCGCGGCATTGGCTGAACCAGATTATTTGCGATCAACAGTACGGAGTAGTCTGCTGTAACTCCATTAGACGGTGCAAGGGCCTACTCCGTACTGATCGGGCCAACTCCAGCAACGCAACTAGAAATAGTACGAGGCTTCACGACAGCCTTCCCACGCCTCTGTAAAGGGCTAGCCCGGGAATGACTTTAGAGCGGCCAATGACGTAGTTGGACTTCTATGGCAGCCTCGCGAAGACGTTCAGAGAGGCTGGGAGGGCACAAGTCCATGCGAATCAGCACTGTCTTAATGCCACGTTGACAACATACATGCCTCGAGTGCTGTTTGATATCCTCGCTTCTTTGTCACGCAATTTGGTGTCGGGGCTCTCGCTTCCCTCGCCCGACTTGCTGATTTCTGTCCTCACCTCATCGTCATCGCCTTGCTCATGACCCTGTCCTAATTAATACATCGACCCACGTCTAGACCTACATTCTACTGCTTCCGAGCATGGCTCCCAGTCCTACGATCCGACGTCTCCTTAAAGAGACTGCCGAGTTATCATGCCCTTCTTCCAATCCAAACCCGGCCTTCTTCGCCGCACCGGTCTCGGACGCCGACCTACATGAATGGCATTTCACTTTGCTCGGACCCCCTTCACCTTCACCTTACGCAGGGGGCATGTACCACGGGCGCATCAGCCTCCCACCGACATATCCTCTCAAACCGCCAAATTTCCGCTTCCTCACCCCGTCAGGACGGTTTGAAGTGAATCGGGAGATCTGTCTGAGCATATCCGGTTTCCACGAGGAGACGTGGATGCCAGCATGGGGCGTGCGCACCGCGTTGACGGCTCTGCGATCTTTCATGGCGGAGAAGGGTTCAGCCGGCCAGGTTGGCGGCTTGGAGGCGCCCGCCGACATCAGAAAGAGACTCGCAAAGGAGAGCCGCAGCTGGAAGTGCGAAGCATGCGGCAAGACCAACGAGACGATCATGCGCGAGTGGTGGGATATCTGCAAGTCGGCTGGGGTAGACCTGAAGGGAGAGGAGGATCTCGGTCTAGAGTCCTTACCAGAAGGCATGTTGCTTGAGACGAGAGATCCGACTGCACAGAGAACGACGCAGGGCGGGAGCGAACGGCAAGTCCGGCCGCAAGAGACGGTACGACAACCACAGCAGCAACCGGACACCGCTTCAAACCCAGCTGCGGCTACAATATCCTCTCCACCACCACCACCACCACCACCACCACCGCCTTATCCTCAGACAGCGCCGCGAACCACACCGCAGACTAGGTCCTCGTCGTCGCTACAGCTTCCCTCGCAGCCACCCTTCCAGCATATTCCTACGCCTTCAGCGGAAGCAGCTCAAGCGTCTGCCGAAGCGGTTCTCACTCCTGGTGACCTCGCACAGCCGCCCAACGCCTCCGCTGGCAGCGCAACGCACGGAAGACCTCTCTTTTCCGGGCTTCACAACGCCCCTCTCGCGGCAGCCAATGCGGCAATCGCACAGAACGCCCAGCCGCTGACGCTTCGGCGAGATCGTGATCGCGAGCAGACCATCACCATTGACCGGGCGATCGCGGGCGTCTTTCTGGCCCTGTGTCTGATGGTTCTGAAGAAGATCTTCTTCCCCGCTGGGTCAGGGGGCGTTGCAAACAGCGTGGACGACTTTTATCTACAAAGGGAGTGAAGAACGATTGTGCTTGTTGGGATAAAATGAATTTAGCGTGGAGTTTCAAAGCACAGGGTGTTGCTTCCGTTGCCATGCTGTGCACTACGGTATATGAATGAGCGTCATGAGCGGCGGGATTTGATCGGGGGCTACAGTCACGATTTGCCGCGACGATAATAGCATGTATTGTACTCTGTCTGGTAGCTGTATAATGCTAGGGAGGCATAAACGACCCATGCAGACAGATCAGCATCAGCTTCATACAAAGCAGCAGCTCGGAGAAATGGCCGTCTCCAAGTTCCTCGCGGCGACGAAACCCCGCGGACGCGTTCACTTTCGCTCTCCCGTCACCTTCCCGTTACCCACATCCAGGGTCGATACGGAGCACACTGCCAGCTCTCATTTAATTAGCGGCTTGTGCTTCCATTCCTGCTGGCGCTGCGCTGCCTGATTTACGGCTAAATTCGAGTCTTGGTCCACAGAGACCATCACACTGCAACAAAAGGGCAGCCAAAGGGTGAGTTCGTGAAGGACGTCATGTCATACCCAGCGCTTTCATTTCTCTCATCGCACGATATCACCAATTCTGGTTGAGCTGCCTCGCGTGCTTTTTGAATAAAACAACCTAATTCTTCTCCTGCCTGCATAAGCGCATGATCAAAACAGACCGAGCGACTTCATCTTCCCTTGTTGGCTCGCCCCTATAATCACCATCATGTCTACTTCCAAGCCTCTTCCCTACTTTACATCCTTGAACAGCCCTCTCACCACCCGTGCCCAAGTCGTGGATGTGTGCAAGTCACTATTGAACCCCCTGCTACCTTTTTTCTCGCCGGGCAAGACCAGATTGCGCCTCGGTGCCACAGCAACCCGATATGATGAAGCCGGTGCACAGCTCGAAGGCTTCACCAGGCCCATGTGGGGTTTTGGAGCCTTGCTCGCTGGTGGTGAGTCGTTCGAAGGCGCCGACTTCTGGCTAGAGGGGATACGCAATGGGACGGACCCTGATCACCCTGAGTTCTGGGGTTGGTCCAAGGACTTGGATCAGCGGATGGTGGAAATGTGTCCCTTGGGCTTTGCGCTGTGTGTTGCGCCCAAGCAGTTGTGGGATCCGTTGACGGAAAGGGAGCGCGAGAACGTTCGCGTGTGGCTCGACATCAACAAGAAGGAAATGCCGAACACGAATTGGCTGTGGTTTCGTGTCTTTGCAAACCTGGCGTTGATGAAGAACGGGGCTGCCTATGACGCTGAGCGACTCGAGGCCGATCTCGACCATCTGGATACTTTCCATCGTTCTGGGGGCTGGAGTAACGACGGGCCCCGCGATGCACTTCAGATGGATTACTACTCGGGCTCATTTGCCATCCAGTATCTGCAGCTTTTGTATGCGAAAATCAACGGCGACAAAGACCCCAAGCGGGCACAAGAGTACAAGAGTCGAGCGAGAATGTACGCGAAAGATTTCTTGCATTACTTCGACGAGCAAGGTAAGATATGCACTGCCTTGGGCCCATCGATATCCTGACCATGACAGGTCGAGCCATAACGTTCGGACGCTCACTCACGTATCGATTTGCCATGGCCGGCTTTTGGGCCGCCGTCGCGTTTGCAGATCTGGAACTCGAGGCACCGCTGGGTTGGGGAGTGGTGAAAGGCGTCCTTCTGCGCAACCTCCGTTACTGGTCTCGGCAAAAGGACATTCTGAACGGATCAGGCATCTTGACCATCGGCTACGGCTACCCTAATCAATTCATATCCGAGAACTACAACTCCCCGGGCTCTACGTATTGGTTCATGCTGTCCTTCGCAGCCTTGGCCCTACCGGAATCACATCCCTTCTGGCAGAGCGAGGAGCAAGCTTATCCTTCTGATTCGATACCGCCAATCTTGCCGCTCGAGCATCCCATGCATATCATGGTGAAGAGAGGTGGGCATACGTTTCTTCTATCTTCAGGGCAGATGTGCCACTACCCGATGAGAGCTTCGGAAAGCAAGTACGGCAAATTCGCATATAGCTCGGCCTTTGGGTACTCCGTTCCGACAGGTGGGTATTTTGTTGAAGCCATCGGTGGCGACAACGTGCTCGCACTGTCAGATGATGCAGGGGAGACCTGGAAGGTGCGAAGGAAGCCATTAAATGCACGGCTCGAGACAATCGAGGGTACACCAGTGCTGATATCGGAGTGGAAGCCATGGTTCGATGTTGTGGTCGAGACCTATCTGATTCCCCCTTCGGAAGCCACCCCGAATTGGCATCTACGCCTCCATCGCATCACCAGCGGCGGCAGAAACTTGAAGACAAGCGAAGGCGCATTTGCTCTCAATGGCGTTGCTACCAAGGACGAACGAGAGCTTCAGACGATGAATGAAGAGAAGAGCGAAGGGCGGCAGGAGAGCAATGGTGAAGCCGTTGCCGTGACCCGAGGTGGTGCTGTCGGTATCGTCGAGCTAGCGCAGCCCACGCGCGCCGGCCGAGTCCTGGACGAAGACGCCAACAGCAACCTTATAGAAAGCAGATCCGTGCTGCCCAGCTTGGCCATGGACGTGCCCGCGGATGCAGACATCTGGCTCACGACGGCCGTGTTCGCCATCCCCCCCAGTGTTACGGACTATCAGACGAGATGGCAAGATGGCTGGCAGCGGAGGCCAGATATCCCAGACTGGATGAAGAGCAGAATGGCTTGAGCAGACCTTTCGCTTTGCTCTGTGAGCGCGAAGGAAACACACGGAAAACGGGGTCGGCTTCCTGACTCCTGCAGAAAGTTCTGTCGACGTCTGCCGTTCCCATATTCACTGCCAAGGTCTTACCTGTAAGCGTGCGATTGTGGTGTCAACTTTGTCCATCATCTTGGTGGTGCATGCTGATTGCTGCTGCACTCGACTGCGACGAGCCACTTGCAGCTCGCTTGAGGCATTGGTCAACTCAATAGTGCAGCCTCGCCTTCGGTGAGTTTGCCGGCTCGGTATTTGATGCCCTTTTGCTTGCACTTCCAATTGCACTATTTCCGTTGCGACACTGCAAGTCCCCAGTGCCTATGACCCCAAGCCTCCCTGGCCTCTCAGTTGCCGGTTGCTCATTGATGCATGGGTAGACCGCCACCTGATTGGACGCGGTAGATGACGAGGAGGATTGTGCCAACGGGGGCTAGTCGGGGTCGGCCTTTGCTCTCACACCCGTCCCCTGCCGGGCTTTTATCCATCAATTTATCCACGATCTGCGGAAAGGAGTGCCGTCCCTCCGTATACCCCAGGGGGAGTGTCGACCTCAGCCAGTGCCTGCGCTTCTCCGCATTTCGAGTGGTGGGAGGAGTCCCCACGAGGCTTCCACTCCGCCTCCATGATTATTCCACCCAGCTTCCCAATTTTGCAAAACGCGAGCCATTCAGGCTGAAAACGCCAAACCACTCTTGGAGAATGGCACACCCATCCCCGCAGGCGAGTGTCACCTTCCGCTCACTCTCAGACTGCTGCGTGCCAGCCAAGCCTTGCAACAAGCCCAGCTTTCTAGCGATTCGTGCTGCAATGCTTGTCGAAGGCTTGCCCATCTTGACTACATCTAGCCTGGTGCTTGTGCTAAGTGGCGTTGGAAGTGCGGAACTATTCGCCATCTGGCAAATGTCCGCTCGTCGTCCTTTCCACCAGCCAGTCTTGCACGCGAATAGCACTGTCCTCCGTAATTCTGTCCCATGGTCATGGACTCTCCAGTCCTCTCCCCACAGAGCTGGGGGGTCCGCTTCCACGGCAGAATCAAAACCGTCACCGTTAGCTGCATCGAATCCTGGTTGAGCATGTGGCCTCGCGTGAGAACACCGGTGGAAGAGTCCCTTTATTTACCTCTCTTCCTCCTCCCCTCGCAGGAGACTCGTTCTCCAGCCTCGACTTGGTCACCTGGTCCAGCTATTCAGACGCCCGAACACGATTGACCGCCATGTCGTTCCTCAGAAAAGTCGTGCACAATGATGCCGTCAAGCTTGACCCTCCAGAGGTCTACAACTGGAGGGTCTTCGCGCTGGCAGCGGCAGTAAGTTCGCATACTTGCTGAAGAGCCAGACAGTATGCTGACCTTTTCCAGGCTTGCTTCGGCGGAACCCTATTCGGAATGGATATCGGCATCATTGGCGGAGTGTTGACGTTGCCTGACTTCCAAGAGTATGAGATTTGCCCCGATAACGGTGGAGATTCAAAAGGTCTAACCTGCTCTTAGCGAGTTCGGCCTCACAGAAAAGTCCAAGATCGCAAAGTCCAACCTTTCGGCCAACTTGGTTTCGGTCATGCAAGCCGGTGCCATCGTTGGCGCCCTGGCCGCCAATCCTCTGGCCGACTGGAAGGGACGAAAGATCACCATCTACGTTGTCGCCACATTTGCTTTCATTGGCGGTCTTCTCCAAGCACTCTCGTACGGTCACATCTCGTGCTTCTATGTTGGACGGTACGTCGAGATTAGTACATGAATCATCCGCCTGAAGCTGTTCTAACAATACCAGATTCGTGGAGGGTTTGGGTCTCGGCGGAGCCACCATGGTTGCGCCCACCTATGTGGCCGAAAATGCTCCCCGTGGTATCCGGGGCCTGCTCGTCGGGTTCTACCAACTGTTCGAAACAATGGGCGCGATGATTGCGTTTTTCATCAACTACGGCAGTCTTCTACACTTGAAGGGCCACGCCACTTGGATCGTGCCCCTGTCGATGCAATCCCTCCCACCGTTCCTCCTCTTCACAGCCATCCTGTTTTGTCCCGAAAGTCCCCGCTGGCTCGCGTCCCAGGACAATTGGGACGATGCGTCGAGAATTCTTTCCCAGGTCCGGGGCCTGCCGACAACCCACCCTTATGTGCAAGCCGAGCTCCTGGAAATGCAGACACAACTTGAAGCTGAGCGAGGCCGTGCCGGTGGTAACAGCTACTGGGCGTTGACTAAAGAGGCGTGGACGATCCCTGGCAACCGCCGACGTGCGATCATGGCTATTGGACTGATGTGTGCCCAACAATGGACCGGCACCAATGCTATCGTAAGTATCCCATCGGGTGTGCATGCGGACTTCGTGTTTGGAGCATATGGGCTAACGTTTTGAGCAAACACAGAACTACTACGCTCCCACCATCTTCACGAATCTGGGCGTCACGGGAAATACGCAATCGCTCTTCGCCACCGGAGTGTACGGCATTGTCAAGATGTGCTCTTGCGGCATCTTCATCCTTTTCCTCGCCGACACGCTCGGTCGACGATGGTCGCTCGTCTGGACCGGATTCTTCATGTGGTTCTGCATGTTCTACCTCGGGTTCTTCGTCCGGTTCGATGCCCCCAAGAAAGGCGCGCCCATCTCGGGCGCGGGATACGGCGCACTGGTGATGGTGTATCTCTTCGCGGCTGCGTTCCAGTTCGGCTGGGGCCCCGTCTGTTGGATTTACAGCTCCGAGATCTCTACGCAGCGGCTCCGAGGATTGATCGTGTCGTATGCGGCCGCCACGCAGTGGGTTTTCAACCTGGCCGTCGCGCGCGCCACGCCGGTCATGCTGGTCACAGTGGGCGGTCCCAGCGGGTACGGCACTTACTTCATCTACGGCTCCTTCTGCTTCACCATTGCGGTCGGGGCGTTCTTCCTCGTGCCGGAGACGAAGGGCCTTTCTCTCGAGCGCATGGACGAGTTGTTCGGCATGACCGACTTTAGCGGTGTCCAGGATATTGGCGTGGCGTCCAAGGCTGCCAAGGGTGACATTGAGGCCGTGCACGTGGAGACTAAGTGAGGAATGGACCTTAAAAAGTGTCCGTGGGAAGGTAACGCAGCCGACCTTTTGGCCACGATGGTATGAGTGCATGTTGAGATACCGCGTAATTATTTCACCTGGACCGTGCAGTTAGCTAGTTGATCACATCCGAAGCACATACGCTGGAATGAGAAAACATTTCGCAAGATGAGACGGAACACCCGATTCGACAAACGCATACGCGGTGTCCAGTACCCCGTATAAGCGACAGGACACGTATTCGTACTCGGGACCGTTCTGCTCTCGTATGGGTCCTTATTAATTGTTGTGTTAATCAAGCATTCCCGCTGCCACTCAACCAAGGACCCTTTAAACTTTTAAGGGCTGGTCCGGGTGCTTAGAGTGCTTGTTAGTGGCCGCTTCGCACCAATCGTCGCCGCTAAAAGTCGCCGAGACTTGAATTCGGGTCCCTGTTCGGGCCCGAGCCACCAGAAATTTGCTCCAGTCGTGGGGATGACTTGGTGGACTTACCGCGTCTGGCAGCCTGCGACGACGGAGTCAAATCACTTTGCGGCGATACGTTCGTCTAACGCCGGATAGCTGCGTTGGGGGCAGCCATGCGCGATCCGGTGTGGCATTCCGGCCAATTTCGAGACTCCTTATATCTATCGTGGCGCCTAACTTTGGATGGTCTGGAGCCATTTCTCGGCATGGACGTTTCTCAGACTGGACACGGGCGACTACGATCATGACGAGCACGACAGAGACAGGAATGGTAGAAGACAAGACAGCCGATGAAGCTGGTGAGGCGAGGAATGCGCGTGTCTCGTCCCGCGGATCGTCTCCGCCGCCAGCACGCGACCAGTCGAATGCAGACGAAGGGAGTGCCCTCGAAAAGACGACGAGCAAGATCGAAAAGTATCCGACGGGCGTCAAATTGGCCGTCGTCTTGCTGAGCATCTACCTCTCCGTGTTCCTGGTCGCGCTGGACAGAACCATCATTGCTACCGCCCTTCCTCAGATTACGGACAAGTTCCAAAGCTTCGGCGACGTCGGCTGGGTAAGTCAACTGCCATCTGTTATTTTCGTTGCCGACCAAGCCAGGATACAGACCACTGACACTTTGCGCGCGCCGTGATGATAGTATAACGCCGCCTTTCTGCTCCCCACGACGGCCCTTCAGCTGTTCTTTGGACGTCTGTATACGTTCTACTCGCCCAAGTGGATCTTCATCAGCGAGGTCTTCATTTTCGAAATCGGCTCCGCGATATGTGGCGCGGCGCCCAACTCGGTCGCCTTCATCTGGGGACGCGCCGTGGCTGGGTTGGGTGCTGGGGGGTTGTTTAACGGGTCGATGATTCTGATGATGTACATTGCGCCGCTTCAAAAGAGACCTCTCTATATGGGGCTTCTTGGTGCAGTCTTCGGGGTGGCTTCGGTGGCTGGTCCTCTGCTTGGGTAAGTCTGCCTTGAGTTTCCCAGAGCCTGCTCGTGTCGTCCGTGCTCGATGCTAACAAGAATCCAGAGGAGTGTTCACGACAAAGGTTTCGTGGCGGTAAGCCTCCCCACTGGTAGGGCGTTGACTGTTGCGAGCGCTAACGTGGTCCTCAGATGGTGCTTTTACATCAATCTCCCCATCGGCGCGATAGTCCTTGCCTTTCTCTACTTCGCCGTCGAGGACGCCCCGCCCGCGCTGGGCGAGCTTCCGTTCAGGGAGAAGCTCTCGCGAATCGACATTCCCGGCACGCTCGTGTTCATCCCCTGCATCGTCTGTCTGCTTCTGGCCTTGCAATGGGGTGGCCAGCAGTATGCATGGTCGAATGGGCGTGTCATCGCCCTTCTCGTCCTGTTCGGCGTCCTCCTTGTCGTATTCATCGTGATTCAGGTCGTGAGACAGGAATCCGCCACTGTGCCGCCGCGAATCGCCAAGCAACGCACAATCGCAACGGGAGGCTTCTACGTGTTTTGCCTCGGATCTTCCTTTATGATCACCGTCTACTACCTGTCCATTTGGTTTCAGGCCATCAAAGGCGATTCGGCCATCAGGTCAGGGTACTCTACATTACCCTTCATTCTCTCGCTGGTCGTGGCGTCGATCCTCTCAGGAGCGTTTGTCAGCAAGATAGGCTACTACAACCCGTCGGTCCTGGCGGGGGCGATTCTCGGGCCGATTGGTAGCGGGCTGTTCACCCTGTTCAAGGTCGACACGGCACACCCGATGTGGATAGGAGTGCAAGTGCTGTTCGGGTTCGGCGTCGGGGTCGGCCTACAACAAACCAACATCGCCGCTCAAGCGGTCCTGGAGAAGAAAGACGCTCCCACGGGCGTATCGCTGGTGTTTTTCTGCCAGGGCTTGGGCGGCACCATCTCCGTGTCGCTGGCCCAAAACATCCTGGACAACAAGCTTGTCTCCGGACTCCGAGGCATCGGCGACATCACCGCACACGACATCGTTCGCACGGGGGCCACTGAGTTGAGGAAGGCGTTCACGCCCCAACAGTTACCGGAGGTCTTGAGAGTGTATAACCACGCGCTGGTGGTTGTCTTTTACGTCGGACTGGCGTTCTCCTGTGCCGCGGTCTTTGGCGCGCTGGGGATGGAGTGGAAGACCTTGAAGGCAAACAAGGTCGAGAAGAAGGATGAGGAGGGCCCGTCGGCGGAGGTCGACGCAGTGAAAGCTGAGTGATCCTCCCTTCCGTGGGCGACATGTTGATGGAAGTCATAAGTGTACAATTAAGACGGGTAACGCTGTGGGGGGACAACGCTCTACTCAACGTATTGCACAAAATGGAGTTGAAGTCGCTGCGAAAGTCCTTTAATATTGCTGCGTACAGCACTGTGTATGTCTGCACCCCACGATTGCCAACTTGACCTTCGCGTCCGGATGCCCAAGGCACGTGGCGGCAGCACCAATGAGAAGCATCCCCGCGGTTTCGCCTCACTTCCGCCTCCATCCGTGTTCTTCTTCGAGCCTCTTCTAAACCTGATCAAGCATGCCGAAGCGCGACCCCGTGACCCCCTTCGATCCAGGCAGTGAAGTGGAGCTGATGCTCGTATCTGGGAGACCTTCAACACCGCCGTCCTCCGAGAATCAGGGATTCTTCACCTGATAGTCATATCCACTCTGCTGATGTGAAGCCAGTTGCCGTCAATAGCGTGGGGAGTCTCGTCCGACCCTTACCCATAGCTTCTTCGGGGTGAAGCCGCGCATTCACATCTCCGTGTGACAGGCAGGTTGATAATTGAAGCTTCGTCCCTCTTCGACTCCGCTCTTCCTCCGCTTTGCTCACTCGTGTCAACCTCAAGGCCTCATTACACGCAAGTCGACGCCGAACAGATCAGCTACCCTGTCTCGACGATTGAAAAGTTCGTGCAAGGTTGCTCGTCTCGATTCTCACTCCCACCAGACGTGCCACTTACCCACAAACCCGTTGCCGGCGGAACAGAACAAACCGCTGAAGTTATCTCGCAACTTTGTCACGCACTACTCCTTCTCCTCTTCGGGAAGACATATCGTACGCTGATGTCGGTTGATATACGTACTTCCTGTCCTAGCCTACGCTTCCCCTTTAGAGGCGACACCGTCTCTACCGCCCAGCTCTGTTCGGAGCACACAGGGCATCTGACCAGACCCATTGATCGAGGTTAAGCTATACCAAACAGTAGGTTGACCGGACATGTTTGACCTTTCAACTAAGGGCAAGACCAAGGAAAAGGACCTAGAAGCTGCTAAATACCAAAACCACCCAGCATGGCTCTTCCTAGCGTTGCCGCTCCGATGTTGGATGCCGCAATCATCCACGAGAAACCGACCTCGAGCGCTGCCGCCAAAGCCGCTCTCCCAACGGCTCCGACCAAGGACAGCGGCGTACGCGTCGTCGCTCCCCACGAGTACAAGGAGGCCGCTGCCTGCCTAGCCGAAGCGTTCCGCCTGGACAACATCGTGCGCTATGCGATCGACACTCCCGACCGAATGCACCTGACCGAGGAACAACGGTTCGAGATGCACCAATCCGCCATGGAGTACGTCACGTACGCACACTGTCTCCAGGGACTGGTCTTGACCACGGGGAACAACTTCGACTGTGTGGCGTTGTGGTTGCCCCCGGGCAAGAATATCGACGACTGGCTCACCTTGCTCCGGAGCGGCATGTGGCGACTGAGCTGGAAGCTGTCCAAGGAAGGGCGGGTCCGATTCTTCGACGAGTTCCTGCCCCTGTTGCACCATAGCAAGCAGGAGATCTTGGGCGACCGCGACAACACTTCGTGGTATCTCAATTACATTGGCACGAAGCCCGAGGCGCGCGGCCGCGGATATGCTAGGAAATTGATTGAATATGTCACCAAGATGGTATGTATGCGTGGCTCACTTGATTTCCTGCGATAATGGCTAAATGCTAATGCGTAATTTGTCCAGGCCGATGCTGAGGGACTGCCGTGCTATCTGGAGAGCTCCCATGATATCAACATCATCATCTACGGCAAGCTGGGCTTCGAGTTGCGAAAGCACATCTACTTGCAGCGTGCTGCCGGCAAGGAGCTGAGACTGGATGTCATGGTGCGCGAGCCGGTGGACAAGCAGAAGGAGAAGGATTAAGAAAAAGTAAGTACCGCGCCAGTCAAGTCTAGCTGATTGTGGTTCGTAGGGGATGATCATTGATGAGGGAAGGATGAATCCAATACGTATTATCCAACTACTGTACGCTCATTAAGAGGCATGGGCAATGAAGATTATCACGCCCATTTAGCCTAGAAATATACACACTCCACTCTGAGGCCGTGTCTAACTTGAACCACGAATACTTGGGTGCTCCGTGCTGTCTGGAAGAAGCCGTTGTTGAGATGGTCGCCTGGGTGGCGCCGAGCAACGTCATTTGGCACTTCCATCGCAAAAGACTCGTTTCAGATTTATGCAATACACGCATCGCAGTCTCAACTTGTGCTCTGATTAGTATTGCATCAACAACAAGTTTTATTCTTTACGCTCTGTATTACTGCTCTGCCATCCCCGTCGGTAATGACGAGAGCCTTTGTCTATCAAGTCTACTCCCCTCGTGGTCGCCTGTTTACTCCCATCGAAATCATGCAACGGACCCCTTCGAGATGACATGCGCTCGACAACATTCGATTCGACCGCCTGACTAACTCGAGACGCTCCTCCAGCGATACTCCTCATCCTTCTCCCTCCATGCCCAGCTACTCGACTCCCTCCTCCTCGCCTCCGCCGACTCCCGGCCGCCGGCGGCGACAGTCATGCGCCCAAAGATGCGAGCGCGGCTGCTGCACGGTAGCCACGTACTTCCCGCTTGCATTCGTCTACAGCATCACCACATGGGCAGTGTGGGTGGTGACGTCGATAGGCTTCGGTAGCCACCGGTCAAAACATGTGTGGTGGCTGATACAGGCCATCTCGCTTCTCGGAATCACACTCTATTGTCTGGCCAACTGGTCATACACGGTCGCGGCGTTTACAGACCCAGGCTCGCCGCTGAAATCGCCGACAGAGGCCTCATCGAAAGGACGGGGTCGATACTCGGTGCTCCCGACGCACGAGTCGGCCGCCGACCCCAGCCTCTACCAGGCCGTGACCGTCTCCTCTACGGGGGCACCCCGTTTCTGCAAGAAATGCCATGTGTCCAAACCGGACCGGACGCACCACTGCTCGACATGCAAGAGATGTGTGCTAAAGATGGACCATCACTGCCCCTGGCTCTCCACCTGTCTGGGGCTACACAACTACAAGGCCTTTGTGCTCTTTTTGATCTACACGTCGCTGTTCTGTTGGGCATGTTTTGCCAACGCGGCGTGGTGGATGTGGAAGGAACTGTTCGAGCAGAGCGGCTACCTGGACGAGGTCGCGCCCGTCAACATCATCCTGCTGTCCGTCATTGCCGGCATCATCGGCCTGGTCTTGACGGCCTTTACCGGGTGGCACATTTACCTCTGCACGAAAGGGCAGACGACGATTGAAAAGCTGGAGAAGACGCGGTACCTCAGCGGCGTGAGGGCGCAGGTCGAATGCAACCGCCAGGACCAGCAATTGAACCATCATCGCCGAGAGGCCTCCGAGGGGGTTGCCGGGCGATTGCAGCGCGCGGGCGAGCAATTCCTCGAATGGAATGCCAATGCCGTGCCGGGTGCCTCGCGCTATGAGGAAGGCGAGGAACATACCTCGCCAGCCCCGAGCGTGTACGACTCCAACAGCCGCCATTTCCCTCGGGCACAACAGCATGCCGACACAGCAAGCGACACGCCCGCCCTGCGCGCCCTCCGGAGAACATACTCCCACTTGGAAGCCGAGCGCGAGCGCGACCGCTACGCGGAGTACCTTGACGACAAAGACTCGGAGGACATGCCCAATGCGTTTGATCTCGGCTGGCGTCGGAACCTCAACCACCTCTTCGGCCCCAACCCACTGCTCTGGGCCCTGCCCATCTGTAACACCACGGGCGACGGCTGGCGCTGGGAGGTGAGTGCCAAGTGGATGGCCGCGCAGGAGGAGGTGGCGAGGCGAAAAGACCGCAGGTTGGCCGCAATGACCCGAGATCAGGGCGCGAATGGACATGCAGGCTACGAGCAGGACAGAGATCGAAGGTCGCAATTGTACCATCACGGCTACGACGGACAAGACGAGACCCAGCAGCTCCAGCAACACCAACAGGGTCCTCACCACGCCGACTTATACTCCCGCAGCGCCGTGTCGATGAAGCACCTCCCCCCGCATGCCTTGGGATCCACTTCCTCCTCATCAGAGCGAAGCAGGAGACGGCAGAGACGCGACTTTGACCACGCCGAGCCGTTTGAAGTAAGTAGCAGTGAGGATGACGAGGACGAGGACGACAATGACACGGATTCTGACGTTGGATATAATGACAACGAGAATGACGCGGAACGGGGCTGGGCCAGCACCAGGCGGAATCGTTCACTCCGATGAGGCTTGAAGCGCTACACACACAGAGTGCGTACATATTGCACTGTATGTACCGGTACGCCCGTACTGTGCAATACCTCCGTATACAGAGGTGCGGGTACGAGGCTGGACACACAGACATGGGTGCATATCTGGTGTAGAGGTGCAGTTACCGTGTTGTGCTGCGTCATTCGTTGTAGGTTTTGAATGATTGGAAGCCCTTCTGGAGACACGGCGATACGGGCCATGCCGGAGATAGACATCATACTTGGGTAGTTGCTTGAGCATTAGATCCATGCCAGATACGTTTGGACTGTATGCCATGACATGTTATGTATGTGAGGTCCACGGAGGCCAGGACAGATTAAGGTCGCAAATCACAGCAATCCTTGCTTCATGTCGTGCCGTGCGATTTGTGTCGTCCCCTGCCATGCCATGCCATGCTGTGGCGGTCACTCGGATCAGACCCTCTATTGTTCATCTGCAGTCATCGGCTTTCTACAGGACGGTACTATTTAGGCTCGGCTCCGAGTCTTATGTTCGTCAATGCAGGCACATCCCGCGCTGGGCGGCTGCTATTTACACGCCTGGCCAGCACTGGCACTGCGCGAATCCCTGGATGAAATCACTCACTCACTCACTCACTCACTTACGCACTTACTCACTTACTCACTTACTCACTTACTCACTCACTCACTTACTCACTTACTCACTTACTTACTTACTCACTTACTCACTTACTTACTCACTTATACTGCTCGGTCTGCCCGACTGGGATTGCCAGGCATGGTCTCGATGGTACTGAATACCCACTCACGCATTCACTCGCTCGCTCTTTGATGGGATGTCAGGGATGGGACTGTATCATTACCTACTGTGTAATTACCCACTCACCTGCACTCCCTTCCTGCTCGGTCGGCACGATTGGGAACATTCAGGAATGGTGGTGCTGGGACTGTATTCTATGATTTGATGTGATGCCTCGTCTCGTTGCGTCGTAATGTACATGCATGCTCATGCTCGTGGGAGGCGAGTCAGACGAGACCAGGTGAGACGAGGTATGAGAACCCTCACTGCTCGCTGATTACTCGGCGGGAGCTCTCATCACGCGCTCCTCAGTCCACCATCAAGCTTTGAACTCTTGGAGTATTTCAACCGGGTCGGACTCGTCATCATGCCCGTCCTCGTCCTCACCCGGTGGTGGTCGCTCGCCCCACAACGACGCGCAGCCAGACCCTCGGTTCTGATGACGATCAGATCGCGGATGGGATTGTGATTGCGCGTGTGCGTGTGCGTGTGCGTTCGCATGACTGCATTCACAAGCCAACTCGCTCGTCCGCCTTACCAATCGAGTCTTCTGCCGCATCCCATCTCATGGCTACCCATCCAACACCGCCCACGTATGGTCGTCCACCGTCGTGAAAATGACCCCCGCGGCAACCAGCTCCTCCGCCCCCTTGTACACGTCGTTCGTCGACACCCCCATGTGACTCGCAATCATCTGGACGTGCAGCCCCTCGTTCGACTGCGGCGTGTTCTTGAGCGTGGCCAGGATGCGTCGTCCCAAGGGCGAGATATGGCTTAGCTGGGCGTCAGCGGTCGCGCTTTGAGCGAGACCAGCACCCCCAGCGCCGTGGTGGGCATTTCCATGGCCATTTGCCTGGGCATTGCCGTTGAGGTTTGACGGGGGTCCGCGCGAGAAAAACAAATGCACGGCCGTCGCTTCGAGGAGGTGGTAGTGGATCTCGTTGTAGTCTGTTATGGGGCGGATGATGTGCGCGCCGACGTGTCTCTTATTGTTGAACGCCTTGAGCCGGCCCCAGACACGGCAGTAGCCGTCCTCGACGAGTTTTGGCTTGTTGCTGTTGTCGAGGTCCATTTTCGAGGACTCGGAATCGGCCGAGTTGACGTCGATCCATTGCTTGGCTTCGATGAGGCCGGTGCCGTCGTCGATCTTGTACGTGATGTTCGTGGGCTGGGTCGAGATGCTGCGGATTTGGCCTACGAATGTTACCTGTAGGAAGTCAGTGTTGGGTCCGAGTGCTTGTGGAATTGCTTGATGAGGTGGAAGGACGATAAATGAGGTAGAGAAGGCGGGTGACAACACACCTGACTGAATGCTTCGCCGTCACTTTTGAAATCAGCGTCCGGGTGCGGTTGTTGGGCGTCGAGGATCTGTTTGATGGTCATGGGCCGGACGGTGTCTTTGCCGTAGCCGCCCTACTTTCGTTAGTATTGCACATTGTCATGGAAGAGTCAAAGGTAGGCAGGGTATCATGAGGCGCACTCACTCTCCCTTGAGCAGGACTGCTTTGCGGCTCCCCCGCCACGAATCCGCCTCCGTCCGCCCCTCCGGCGGCGCCGTACGAGGTCGTATACTGGTTGTTCTCGTAGCCGTAGTCTGACAGTATCAGCGCGTGTCATCTTTCTTACGGGCTGGAAATGCATACTCATTGTGTTGGATGCGAGCGGGTCTTCAGGACTGCGATTGTGACGGTGATGGCCGACATTCTAAACACTGATCGGACGCGTCGCGCGTAAAGCGGTTTTCTCAAATTGGCCGCGTACTCGACCGTACATGTGTCCCACAATGGCGGAGCACAGGTCCTGTCAAACGTCATATTCAATAAATTTTTGGATGTTCGTGATGCGCAGGCAAAAAGTCAGTTCTAGAACGACTTGAGAGCCCGGCACGAAATCTACAGAGGGGGAGGGTTTTATGTCAGTGCGCGAGAAGGCGATCCGACATTGCACAAGATGAGCTTCCGGTCGGGCTCGCCTGCCCGCTCGGAGAATGAACTCGATATCGGCAGCGCACTGTTCGGAGGAGACGATGGCAGCTCAGACGACCGAAATGGCCATCTTCAAGGACAAGATCTGGATGTCATGGCAGAAGACTCCGCCACTGACGACGAGGCTATCATCGCTGCCCAGCAAGCCGCATCAAACCGGAAGGCGAAAAATTTAAAAGGACGGACCGTGAAAAAAGGCGGCGGCTTCCAAGCCATGGGTCTCAATGCCAATCTGCTCAAGGCTATAACAAGGAAAGGCTTCTCTGTCCCTACACCGATACAGCGCAAGACGATCCCTTTGCTGCTCAATGACAAGGACGTGGTGGGCATGGCGAGAACGGGTTCTGGCAAGACTGCGGCTTTCGTGATACCCATGATCGAGAAGTTGAAAGTTCACAGCACAAAAGTCGGAGCAAGGGCTCTCATCCTGTCGCCATCAAGAGAACTGGCTTTGCAGACATTGCAGGTGGTCAAAGATCTCGGCAAAGGCACCGATCTACGCTCTATTCTGCTCGTTGGTGGTGACAGTCTGGAGGAGCAGTTCTCTGCCATGGCGAACAATCCGGACATCATCATTGCCACTCCGGGGAGATTTCTCCATCTGAAGGTCGAGATGAACTTGGATCTGTCCAGTATCCGGTATGCCGTATTTGATGAGGCTGACCGGCTGTTCGAAATGGGCTTCGCCGCTCAACTGACTGAGATTCTTCATGCTCTACCGGCTTCGCGACAGACTCTGCTCTTCTCGGCCACGCTACCAAAGTCACTGGTGGAATTTGCAAGGGCCGGGCTGCAAGATCCCGTATTGGTCCGTCTGGACGCGGATAGCAAGATCTCACCGGACTTGCAAAATGCATTCTTCACCCTGAAGTCGTCGGAGAAGGAAGGTGCTCTGCTACACATCCTTCAAGACATTATCCAAATTCCCACGAGATCCCATCTCGTCAGCTCGACCAGGACTTCTAGGAGCGCAGCTACAGCTGGCAAGAAGCGGAAAAGACAAGAAGCAGAAACGGCATCAGACAGCACAAACACAGCCTCCTCCAACCCCTTCTCAACCATAGTCTTCACGGCCACAAAACACCACGTCGAATATATCGCCAACCTTCTCCTCCTAGCCGGGTACGCGGTGTCCTACGTGTACGGCTCCCTCGATCAAACGGCTCGAAAATCACAAGTCCACAACTTCCGAACAGGCCAGACGAACATCCTCGTGGTGACGGACGTGGCGGCTCGTGGCATTGATATTCCTGTCCTGGCCAACGTCATCAACTACGATTTCCCTTCTCAGCCCAAGATTTTCGTCCACCGCGTTGGTCGGACAGCAAGAGCAGGACAGAAGGGGTGGAGTTATAGTCTCGTGCGGGACGCCGATGCGCCATACCTGCTTGATCTGCAACTCTTCCTCGGCCGAAAGCTGGTGGTCGGCAGGGTGGGTGGTGGTAGCGGGGATTTCGCCCAAGATATCGTGGTCGGGACTTTACGCCGGGAGGACCATCAGACGAGTGCCGAATGGGCTACAAAGACGTTAGAAACGGACGCCGACCTCTTTGCCCTCCGCGGTGTGGCATCAAAGGGCGAGAAGCTGTACCAACGGACCAGAAACTCGGCCTCTTCGGAGAGTGCGAAGCGATCAAAACAACTCGTCTCCTCCCCTGGGTGGGCCGAGCTGCACCCTTTATTCAACAACCAGGAGGACGACATGGAAGTGGCGAGGGAGAAGATGCTGGCCCGAGTGGGCAACTTCCGGCCGCAGGAATCGATCTTTGAAATTGGTGCCCGACGTGGAGGTCGCAAGAACAACGAAGAAGCAGTGGACGCGATCCGACAGATCCGATCAGGCCTGGAGAACAGGAAGCAAAAAGCTGCAGATGCGGCGCAGGCACAGCAAGCACAACCAGCACTCGAGGACGACGTGGTAGCCACGCAGGCAACTCCAGACGTGCAAGGAGACTCCGAAGACGAAGATGAAGACGACGACCACCCCGACGTAGACGCCATGTCCGAAGCCTCGGCCACCGACCTCGAAGTCACATTCTCCGAGCCGTACGCCAAAAAGTCCAAAATTAATTCCAAGTCCTCAAGAAAGTCCGAAGGCACCAACTTCCGCGACCCCTCAAACTACATGTCCTACCTCCCCACCACGCAAGATCTGACCTCGGACCGCGCGTACGGCGTGCACACGGGCAGCAACACCTCGAACTTCATCGAGTCCGCCCGCTCGGCCACCATGGACCTCGGCGCGGACGAATCGTCCAAGACCTTCGGCGAAAACAGGCAGGTCATGCGCTGGGACAAGCGGCACAAGAAGTACGTGCGCCGGGAGAACGACGACGACGGGTCCAAGGGCCGGAAACTCGTCCGTGGCGAATCGGGCGCCAAGATCGCGGCCAGTTTCCGCAGCGGGCGGTTCGAAAGGTGGATGAAGTCGAACCGAGTGGGCAGGATGGGTAGGGTGGGCGAGGATGAGAAGAACACTAGCGGCCAAGCAGGTGTCACGAACGGCAGTATGCGAGGGAAGCGGTTCCAGCATAAAACCATCAGAGCGCCAAAAGCGCCAGACAAGTTGAGAGGCGATTACGAGAAGCAGGTCCTCAAGGCCAAGGGGGCGAAAGACCGGGCGGACCAGAACCCCGGAATGGGGGGCAGCGCCAGCGCGACGACGAAGAACGGGAAGGGAAAGGGGGGGTTGAATACCATCGATAAGATGGTCAAGGAGAGGAGACTGAAGGAGAAGAGGAGGGAGAAGAATGCCCGGCCCAGGAGGAAGAGGGTGTAGCCAGACAGGTCGGACATGCAGCTTCAATACAGTAGCTACGGTACCGTGCATGATGGCCTCTTGATTTGACGTCCAAGTAGTGATGCGAGGCATCATCCATGATAGGTGGCGGCAAACAAAGGGCCAGTGAGTGCCAGTCAATTAGTGTTGTGCAAGTGGCAGAGAAGACCCATCCATTTCAGCATTACTCAAAGTAACTGCGAGAGACGCGCTGTGATTGCAGTATTTCCCTTTTGGCCCCCTTTCGGTCCGTTTCCTCGTCATAATTACATCTGTATCGACAGCGTCTCATTCATTGAGCGTTGGAGGTCATCATTACATGCTTTCTTCCTTCATAAGCATCATCAAGATCATTCGGGCCTTGTCAGAATTTCAGAACGAAATCCAAGCAGCAGTATCCCCTTGAACCGTCATCTTGCGATATGGCAAACTTCAATCCACCATCAAGGGGTATCTTCAGAGCAACGGCACGAAACAGAAAAGAAATTCATCAAATTCAGCGTTCAATCTCGACGCAACCATGAATCGGCCGTCAGCAAATGGTCCGAGAGAATCCCTTGCACCGTCCAGCGAGCAAGCGATCGTTTCGGCACAAGCCTTCATCTAGTGTCGACCCTCAGATTTGACCTCGATGCGCGTTTTCAGGATGGCGCCATAGGCCAAATAATTCCGTCTGTCCCTCGAGCCTTTCCATACGGTGGCGGCCCATGTCTTCGTCCATAAGCGTGGTCAGAAAGCGAATGGATAATGTAAAGCCAAATTCTGCCGAGCTTTATCCATCTCAGTCGTAGCCGTGAGGGTACTTCGATGGTCCCAGCGTTTGTCTCTAAGTTCGCCCTTTCTCTTGTGGTCGTTCTCAGACTGACAAGGGGCACACCCCCGGAATGTCCTGAATCCCATAACTTCGTTCCCGGTAGCCAGAACGCATCTCGACCAGTCTTCAGCAATCAATCATTATAGTAATTGGCCTGGCCAGTCTTCGGGTCATAGAAGATCTGCCTCGACTCTCTCCGCTCCTTCCGAACATCTCTGTCGTCAAAGTAGTCGCGATCTCTTTCAAGCTCGCGTTCGCGTTGCCGCCTCAGCTGTCTCAGTTCATCTTCTCTGATTTCCAATTCGCGCTCTCGGGCGCTGAGTTCTAGCTCACGCCGGTTGAAGTGGTCTTCAATGACGCGATCGCGCTGGTAGCCTTCGGCACGGTAGCTTTGGCGGTCAAGCTCATCACGGTAGTAGAGTTCTTCGTCGTCTCGAGGGTGCTGATGAAGAATTGGCTCGCGAGCAGTATAGGAACGGCGGAGAGGGACGAGGTCGCGCTCACTGGTTCGCGGGAGAGGCTCATGATAGAGGATTTGATGGTCTTCTGGGATAGGAGGGGCAGTCTCTCGCCTGGTTAATCGCGGATAGGGACGCTCATAGCGAACCTCGGGTGGTCTTTCGTGATAGATGACATTTGAGTCTCGACGCGCTGGTCTCGCTGGTAGGATCACGTGCTGCTCACCATGGTACGGCTTTTCCTGGTAGGACAGTCTCCTGTTAGGTCCCGGGTGGTGCTTCTTATACTCAACGTCCGGGCGGCCCCCGCGAACGAGACTCCCTCGGCGAGGTATAGCGCCATGCGTGCTGATCGATGTGGTCGAGCTTTCGTGGTCGCCAACAAAGCCGTAGTGGCTGGTATCACTGTTCTCGGAAGAGCCGTCGGCTGCGTCGAAGTACTGGCGAGTATGCCCGTTAGGGAAGTGAACAGATTCTTTGCGCGGACGAGACTTTGAGCGACCGTCGGGACGGTGTCGAGAGTGAGACCGTCGATGATCGTCCTCAATCACCACTGGATGTTCGTGTGGCGATTGTCCTCGCCGACCGCGACGATCCATTGGCTCGTCGGCGAGCATACCGTCGACGGTGGTTGGGTCAGCACTCTCGCCAGCAAAGTCGTGGACATCAGGGACTACAAAGACCCCGTCTTGGTGATGAAGAAGGCCACGCTCGCGTGATTTGCTTCGAGATCTACTTTTCCTCTTCTCCACCTTCTCCTTCTTCTTTTCAAGGTTGGTACCCAGTGGCATTTCCCTGGCGATGTGAGGCGGCAGATTGGAATTGTTGAAGTGCATCGGTCCAAGATCGTCCCTTGGTCTGCCATCAGCCTCAAAAACAGGAAGATTTGCAACTGGATCCTCCAACTTGTCCAGCACCGAGTCTTTCCTGACCCGGCCATAGCTGTCACTAATGTACTTCTTCTCTTTCACGACTTCTCGCTTGACCCTCTCGCCACTGTTGGCAGAAGACTTGGTCCGGGACTTGGTTCGGCCTTTGGTCCGGGCCAGGATCACATCCATTTCCGGCACTTCCGTCTTACCCCTCCTTGTCTGTATCTTTTTCGACTTGATATAGACCACCTCCCAGTAGGCATCGCCCGACTCTTGGTGATTGGCCTTGCGGATAACCTCATCCAACATGTCGCGCCGCAAAGTCGGCATCTTGGTCAGTTGCTCCAGGATTGGCGCATCGCCGCCCTTACTTTTCTTGGCCTTCCTCTCAATTTCATCGATGGGAGCCGGGATAGGCTTCTTCACACATGAGCTCCAATCATCGCCGCGTTTCGACAGACGGTAGTACAGGTAATCTTGTGGGAGGGGTAACATGTCTGCGAATCTGTGACGCTCAACGCGGGGTCGGATTTCCGGGACGTCGCCATCGAGCGACATCCTATCCAAGCGCTGTTGGACATTTGGTATGCGCTCTTCGTAGTGTACAGGGTCTTCGACGAAGCGGTCATCAACAAAGTCATGGAAGGGTTCCATGTGTGGGTCTATCGGAGCGAAGTGGTGGTCGGGAGGCGGTGGGGGTTCCATGGTGGCGGACCGATCCGCGAAGCTGGACAAGCCAGGGGCGGTCTGTATCTCGTGAGGATGCGTTGTGTTCGAGATAACAAGCGGAGCGGCAGTGATGCAAGTCAGTAGGGTCGTGTGTTGGCAAGTGGGAGTCAGAACGATAATATGCGGCCCACGAAGCGGCACCAGCGGTAGTGCGCCAGGTTGAGAACAACACAGTTCGTGCTCGGTGAGCGATTGGACCGGTCAGGCTCGCCTTCCTCACCTACGTGTGCACATCAAGGGCGATGGATTTCGTAGGCGGGGTCGTCAAGATAACCCCGACCGGTCTGAATGTGTGCTCGGTCGCCTACGAGACGGTTGCCTTGCAGACCAAAGGCAACCCGCATTGGTCGACTTCGTCGACAGGGAATATGTGGCCCATGCCGCATTTGGTCTGCGTGCTTGGGCGAAACCACCTGTGGTTCGTGAACCGCCGAGCACGGACGGTAGAGTAGGGATGAGGGATCAGAGAAAGGTGACCGTGAGAGGACAAGATCTGTGCTCTGAAACAGCGGTGGCCCTGGCAGCCAGGCTCATCTTCCACAGCAAACCGCACGGCACAGGAAGGATGGCCTCGCCTGCCCCAGACATGCAGTAGCGGCAGCATGAGAAATTGAACAGGCGCAGGCTCGGAACGAATGAGATGCTGACAAGGAGCGAACTTGGCATGCTGATGATGCTTCTGTATTTCTCATCACTGCGTCTAGCCAGAACGAAGACAGTGTGCAGAAGCAGTATTGAGTACTCATAGTATGCGTTTCATGTCGAATTGTGAGGAGCGACGGCTCATGGTACGGACTATATGACCGAGCTTGCACGTCTGGTACTGACATTGGTATCGTTGCGCATTGGGAAGGACGGAAGGACAGTCACAGCGCATCGAAGGGGCACCCAACGGGAAAGCATCTGCGTCAACATGCGATTCGTACTGAAGGTGCGTCTGTCGTCAGGACCGCACCAGCTCGCATTGTCAGTCTCTACTACCATCTATCCCGTGGAATGACTGAGCGGTCACCAAGGTGCAGTTTACCGTGTCGCGGTGCCCAGTATCCCTGCGATCTCCCGCCTTTCATCCGCCTCTAGATGATGGAATAACTCAGATCCATGACCCGTCCTCGTATTCACCCTGATGGCTAGACGTAACAGGGACGCGGATAATCCCTTGAGTGGACCGCAATTCCTACGGCGCTCACTCGCTTAATGCCCGGAACCATCTATGCTGCTGAGCGTTAACCTGGGTCTTCTGTCCCCTGCGGCTTCCACGCGCACTAAACGCTGCTGCTCAAAGTCTGTAGTGGTGTGAGGTGTGTTGGCATCTGGTTGCCTTGTAGCTGGTGTTGGACTATACTCCGTACTCCAGGTAAAGTACTTGCCGAAAAGCGACCGCTTGTGCATGAAGGAGGCGGAACGGGAGGAGCAGATGTTCGTACAATGTACCAACCAGGCCAAGAATCTTGCGCCCGACTTCTATACCCTCACTCTCGCCCGGTCAGCAGACAAATGCCTCACTTTCAAACCGTCTCTAGACAAGGCAAGGGATGAAAAGGTAACTCTCGACTGCGACGAGATCAGAACACATTGGATGGCTTGACAATATTAGATATGACTATCGATGACATGAGGTGGCCACGAGTGCCTTGCTTGAGCTGGACTTCACGTCCTGCTTGGTCAGCGCGGAATGGGCCTGTATCGACCAGGGCTACGAACTCGCTCAGGCTGACCCGCCGAATCTGTAGTGATCTGAACCCTCGCCGGCGCCGTTGACAAGAGACCCGAAATCTATGTACAATCCGCTCTGTCGCGTCGGCTGGGTCGAACGGTAATTCTTTAGTCCTCAAATCAGAAATCTTGCGATCGCTTGCGTAACCACTCGTTAATAGTTGTGTACACACGTTTCGGTGCTCGGTTGCCTGACCAGGCGGAGTCGCCTCCGGTCGGGCTATCATCGCAACGGCACCTTCACATCCTGGACACCACGCTTGATGACTTCGTCCAAGCTCCACCGCGGTTGGAGGACCAGTGACTTCGCCACTTTGTCATGCTTTTCCAACCGCTTGCGGCTCTGCTCCATCTCCCAGGTCACACCGTCCGGCAGTGGAGGGGCACCGCCAGCGATGCCACTCGCGAACTTGAGCTGCAAGACGTTGCCGATTTCATCACAGGCCGATAAGAAGCGATCGAGATCCCCCTTGTTGTGAGCGGCTGAGACGCAGAAACGTGCTCGAGAGGAGATCAATGGCGTAGCGGGATATCCCACAACGACCACCGAGATCTTACGCTTGAGCATCTCATGCGAGAAGGCAGGCATCTTGGCAGGATTGTAAAGCATGAGCGGAATGATAGGTGAATCGTCGTGACCGTACACAATAAAGCCTAGGCGCTTAAGGCCAAGTCGGAGATACCGGGAGTTGAATGCAATTCTTTGCAACCGCTCTTCGCCTTGGCCTGGGTTCAGATCGCCATTGATAAGTTTCAAGGCAGCGATAATCTGGGCAAGGACTGCAGGACCGGGGGCTTCGCCATAAACAGTGCCGGCATTGCTCAGTCGCAGTTTGTCGACAGCGGCCTTGTCACCAGCGACGTATCCGCCGTTAGCACCGAAGGATTTGGTGAGCGTTCCCATGAGGATATCGACCTCTGCGGGGTCAATTCCAAAGTAGTCGCACACACCTCTTCCGCGTGGCCCGAGAGCGCCGACCGAGTGAGCTTCATCGACAAAGAGGTTAAACTTGTATCTTCTCTTCAATCTGATGAGGCCCGGCAAGTTGCACATAGTCCCTTCCATAGAATACAGGCCTTCGACCACGACAAGGATTTTCTTCCAGGGTCGGTGGGTGCGAGGCTGTCCTTGGGAGATAGCATCCCGGAGCTTGTCCTCAAGATCCGCCATATCATTGTGTTTGAACGATGCGATCATGGCGCCCGAAAGTCTCGACCCGAAACGGATTGACGCGTGATTGAGTTCGTCGGAAATGATCAAGTCGCCTTTGCCAACCAGCGCAGGGAAAATGGAGGCATTCGTGCCGAAACCCATGGAGAATACCATGGCCGACTCCTTGCCCACAAACTCGGCAATGAGGGCCTCACATTCCACAGCGAGCTCAGATGTGCCCACCTCGCTCCTGGAGCTGGAGGTAGACAGGCCATATTTCCTGATTGTTTCTTCAACTGAGTCGGCGCAAGGGCCTTCCGATTGGGCAAACCCAAGGTAGTTGTAGGAACTCATGTTCAAAGTCTCCGTAGTCGTACCGGTCATGGTGAAGTGAACATTTCCGTCATCGGAGGTGCGGTCTAGCAGATTGATGTATCGACCCGGGACTCCGGTAGTAGGCCTGTTGAAACAATCGTTGATGCGCATCTTCAATCGCCGAACGTAGAAATTGTCAAAGTCACTATTCAAAGCGGCGTAGCCATTCCGTGCTTTCAGGTGTCGGTAGGCGTCCTCCTTCAGTTTCATGCCGAAGAAGTCTCTGACGTGCCCAAATATTATGAGGATCAAATAAGAAATGTAGGTGGTCAAAAGATAGTAATAGGGCGGTTCGTCCATTACGGGTTCAGGAAACTCGCCACCCTGGTGCCGACTGGTATATCTGTGCGACTGTGAATTCAGAGGGCCAAATTGCGCATGCTGGCGTTGCAGCTTCCGCGCCTCGGCCGGGGAGGGCGGTTGGAAAAGGGTGGTTGGAGGCTCGTCCATGTTTGCTGAATCCGCACGTGCCGTTGACAAGGAAATGCTCGGTAATGAAAGTGAAGGTGTGCTTATAGGTGGCGACCCTGAAGCGAGGAATGCCTGCTCTTGAGCTTTGCTCGCCGCCAGCAGCGCTGCCGCGGCAGACTGAGCCTCTTTGGTTTTAGGTGAGGTCGAAAAGAATTGAGCGATCTTGCTGGCTTTCTGAGAGGTCTTGTTGACGAGGCTGCCGCCCTTTTCTGACGGCGAAAAGGACGGCCAGGGGGTCGGAGGTGAGCTGCTAAGAAGGGCGTTGGACACACGACGAGGCATGGCCGAAGGTGCGCTGCAAAACTTTTAGGGTACGATCGGACAACCTCCTTCAGAAAGTTATCAACGCTTCGCCGAGTTGTTCGTGGCTTCTCAATAAAATTGCTGTGGGACGATCGCGCGTTGTTGTGGCGGTGTACGGTGAGAAAAGGTAAAGGTTTTCGAGGGCCTCGGCGGGGATCAATGCTGCTTCTGCTTGCAGCCAAGGGGGCTGGTCGAGGAGCGCTGGTCGACAGCAATGAATTCGAGGCGTGTAGGGCGAGAATGGAGCACTGTAAATCAGTCTGAAGGAGGTGCTGGTCGCCTTGAGGAACTGCGGCTGCGTTTTCTCAGTTGCGAATGCGACAAAGGATCATGCAATGTCGAATGTATGACACCAGCCGCCGGCGAACCCGGATGACAGACAATTCCGTCCCAGCCGTGATTGGGCACCACAGGCTCGTGCCTTGCAGCAAACCGCCCGCCTCAGCCTAGGGAGCCGCAGACCCGTTGCCTCGTTGCGGAGAGCAGCTAATCGAGGCGCAATAGCTTACGGTGTAAAGCTGAGGAAGAGAGATGGAGGACAGGAAGAAGAGGTACTGAGTAGATAGGATGCCCCAGAAGGCGATGCACGCGACGCGATGCTCAAAGCAGAGAAGCTTTGCTGACAGCTCTCAAAAAACTATTGCTGAAACCGGGGCTGGTGCTGCTGTGAAATTGCCTCTAGGCCTGACTGCCCTCTGTGCCCTCTCAGTGATCGCTGCTCCAAGGACTTCCAGGGGCCATCGTGTGCATCCGCGCCGCGAAATAGGGGGGAGCCGGTTAAAGCGGAGCCACCAGAGCCGGCAGAAATTTGCGCGCGGGCAGGGAGAAGTCCCCCATTGGTAGAAGAATCTGGCTATGGCTGGACTAAACTCATTTAAACGTCCATCCCCGCAGTCTCCTTGGCGCTCATCATCCACCATCTCGCCTGTCCATTTCCGATGATTGATCTGACTACTTTGATATACTTGTACTCCGTCGCGTCTGGACTCGTCTTAATCAATAGTACGGAGTACTCGGTACACAGTGCGGTAGCCGTTGGGCGGAAACAGACGAGCCCTCATAGCACTGAGTAGGCCTGCAGACCATAATTATCTAACTCCCATCAGGGCCTGTCAGAGAGAGTCATCATTTGCCGCCGCTGAATACCTGATGACTACTCGTACAAGTACTGCCCTGCTCAATTGGGTTTGCCGTGCACTGCGTAAATTGACTGGGTAAGATTCCTCATCTACGCAGGACCGGTCCATGCTTCCTCCTTCCTTGACTTCTTCATTCGGGCGTCATTGACCTCTGCATGATCCCGAGGCAGCACCGAGGATGGTCTGGTCTATGTCGTCGCATTTTTGTCCGGACCCAATTCCGCCCAATGCTCGTGTAGAGTCGGAGTTCGTGGCAGTATCGGCCGCTGCAATTCTCCAGAACTTCTGCACGTACTAACTGTTCGAGCCATCCTCAATATACTTTCTCTTCTCTGAACAGAATTTGCTACAATGGCAGCGAGCAACGCCAACGATGGAACGAAGGACTCTGTTGAGCTCTGGCGGCATCCCCACCCCGAGTCTACGGAGTTCTATGCATTTCAGCAGCATGTAGCAAAAAAGCATGGCGTCCCGAGTTCGTCCTATCAGGATCTGTGGCAATGGAGTGTCGACTACCCTGGGGCCTTCTGGGAGGAAGTATGGCATTACACGGGCATAAAGGCGAACAAGCAGTATGATGTAGGTAACCGGGTACAAGATGAACCTGTTATTGCGTGCTGATACCGCTGGCCAGAATGTCTTGGACGAATCCGCACCAATGTTCCCAAAGCCTGCCTTCTTTTCTGGTTGCGAACTGAACTTCGCCGAGAATCTGCTATTTCCTGCTACAGAGCCGCCCGAAGATGGCCTTGCGATCATTGCCGCCACCGAGACCACACGCGAAGAAGTGACATGGTCGCAGCTCCGTGGGCGGGTGCGGGAATGCGCCGCTGCAATGGAGGCGCATGGACTGCAGAAGGGAGAAAGAGTGGCAGGATACATGGCCAATACCTCGAATTCAGTGGTCGCAATGCTGGCAGCAACGTCTCTAGGTGCCATATGGTCAGGTGTCAGTCCTGACACAGGTGTCCATGCGGTGCTCGACAGACTCCGCCAGATTGAGCCAGTCCTCCTCTTTGCTGACAACGCTGTAACCTACAACGGCAAGACCCATGAGACGCATGCGAAGATATCGCAAGTCGTGTCAGAGTTGCCGTCCGTCAAAAATCTCATAATCTTCGAGACGATCCCAAGTCACCCGTTTGACCTGTCGTCCATCAACAGCCACCCAACTACTACGGTGGAATCGTATGCCTCCTTTGTCGCAAAAGGCGACTACAATAAGCCCCTTCGCTTCACGTATTTACCTCCGGAGCACCCCGTTTATATTCTTTACTCGTCTGGCACCACGGGCACACCTAAGCCAATTGTACACGCCTCACTGGGAACTCTTCTGCAGCACAAGAAAGAACATCAAATCCACTCCGATGTGAGATGTTCAGAACGCGTGTTCTACTTCTCCACGGTCACCTGGATGATGTGGCATTGGCTCGTATCAGGCCTAGCTAGTGGAGCAACCATTGTTCTCTATGATGGTTCCCCATTCCACCCTCATAGAGAGATGACTATGCCTCTGCTCATTGATGAGCTAGAAATCAATCACTTTGGCACCTCAGCCAAGTATCTGTCCCTTTTGGAACAGGCCCAGATCCTTCCCAGGGAAGCTTCTCCTAAGAGAGCTACGCTCAATTCTTTGAAGTCCATCTTCTCGACTGGTTCGCCTCTTGCACCTAGCACTTTTGAATATGTCTACAAGAATATTTCGCCTCCGTCGCCCCATCCTGGTATATTGCTCGGCTCTATAACTGGTGGTACAGATATCATCTCACTCTTTGGCGCGCCCTGCCCTGTTCTCCCTGTTCACGCCGGCGAGATTCAGTGCCGCGGGCTCGGCATGGCTATCAAAGCATTTTCCGCGGATGGCAAGGATATAACTCTAACCGGTGAGCCTGGTGAGCTCGTCTGCACTGTTCCGTTCCCTTGCCAGCCGTGCATGTTCTGGCCTCCTGGTCCCAGCGGCGAGAAGCGATACAAATCATCATATTTCGAGGTCTTTACGGATCCGGATACCGGCCGTTCAGTGTGGCACCACGGCGATTTTGTACGCTTCAATCCTGCGACTGGCGGGATCTGGATGCTTGGCAGGTCTGATGGTGTACTCAACCCTATGGGAGTCCGGTTCGGCTCAAGTGAGATCTACAACATCTTGCTTGAGCACTTCAGTACCGAAGTAGAGGACGCATTGTGCATTGGCAGGAGGCGCAAGCAAGATACGGATGAGTTTGTGCTCTTGTTCCTCAAGATGGCCCAGGGCCAGACGTTTTCGAAAGAGCTCGTCGAGAGGATACAGGCTGTGGTGAAAAAAGAACTGAGCGCACGACATGTGCCCAAGATCGTAGACGAATGTCCGGAGATTCCGGTAACGACTAATGGGAAGAAGGTCGAAGGAGCTGTCAAGCAGATCGTGAGTGGGATGGATATAAAGACTTCAGCCAGCGTTGCCAATAGTGATTGCTTGGCTTGGTACAGGGAGTGGGCAAAGACACATTGATTGACTGACGGATAGTCTGAACGAGGACCTCTCGTGTCCAACCGGGCCTGAGGTGGCAGCAAGATCAGGATATCAAACAAAGTCGCCTTCAGGGCCCGATTGCATTATGCAGCAAGGCAAGCGAGGTGCTGCTGCTGCTGCTATCGTTGGGAACCATGAAAATACATAAAATGATCCCAGTTTGACGGTGTTTGTGTGCTGACAAAGCAATTCTCAGCAAGAACTTCCGCCCACCTTCAGTGACACTTCATCCCTGTTGTCAAGCTCATCATGTACCGATCAGTTACTACAATATCACCATACTTTCTTTGTTTGTTCCCTGCCACTGCCATGATTACTCAGAGGTTGGAGAGGACATTCAGGCTCACGCCCTTCGATGCTCTAGACACGCGCACCGTTCTCTTCAGCTAGGCACATCCATGTTGAGACGAGGTTGAAATGCAGCTTGGGCAGTGTGCTTTTGTGTGTCTCTGTATATGTCACAGAAGCGAAATGGCGGCTATTACAGGATCAGCTGGCCTTGAGTCGTCTGCCATGGAGCGAGTGAATAGTCACTACTGCTGTAAGCAGCATGTTATGAAGGGATTCTCATTTCAGGGAGAGGGAGAGATGCATGGGCAAAAGCGATAGATCATGAGTATAACCACTGCATATATCCTCTGCTACCTATATCTCCATTGTGTGACACTCTTCAATTCGCTTATGCTGACAGAGGGCAGTGATACTTCTCCAGACCACGTCTTCTAACGTGATTCTAGTGACGATCCTCTGGCTGCTCAGTGTCGACAAGCAAAGTCCTTCCATAAATGATTGTCAAACAGCTATCACGGAATCATCATTCAGAGCACAACCAGCGACGACAGAAATATCCTCCTAGAGGATTGGTTAACCTTATGAACAGGACGTCGACAATTGACTCTGTGCATGATCACTGCTCGTGTGCGAGAAGCCAAATCACACTCAGGTCGGTCCAGCACGTTGCCGATAATCAGACTGGCAGGCCAACTGAAGGAAAACTCTGCGCTACACGACAGTCCCAGGTCAAGAACACCCAGAGACAATCCCAGGTCAAGAACATTTAGAGACGGGTCTCAAGAGCGGTTCTCCTTAGAAGGTATGTTATTTTGTGCTGTCTTCCTTCGAGCCCACGTTGGTCAATGATGGAAACCGTCGCCGCTCATCACATTTCACCTCTAATTCATTGTCAACCACAGGTCTATGTGATTGCATCGCTCTTTGTTGCAACCACACCATCACGTCTTCATTATCACTCTCAATATCACGTACACAATCAAAGCGCAAGATGAACCACTCATTTCCAGCCAACCCCAGTGTCGAGGCCCAGCAAGACGCTGCCTGGAAGAACCTCGTCCTTGCATTCCTCTCATATCATCCGCCGGCAACGATGAATCCCTGGTTGAGAAACGCCCTGGGGGACCTAGTCCAAGGTTTCTTCGCCACAAGCCAGGACCAGACGATGCAAGGCCTTCTCAACGCGCTGGACGCTCGCTACAACGTGACCGGGTTGATTGATGGCGTCTCCCTCGCCACTATTCGCAACAGCGCCGCTAATCAAGCCACCACGATGCCACAACAGCAGCCACAGTTGTTTCACCCGCCTCAGCCAACGCAACCGGCCGCCCTTCAATACGCGTTCACCAATGCACCTACGATGCCGCCCGCGCCGTCCCTCCCAAATCTGCCGCTACCGCCACCGCCACGGCCACCGTTCGCAACCCAGCAGCCAACACGTGGACGCTGCTTTCCGCCCAACCTCAACCGCAGTGTCACGATCAAATGGCGCCAAAATGACTGGGCGTACGTCTGCGACCTATGCGGCCATACCCACCCAGACCGCGGAGACTTCGGCCGACATATGATGATCGGAGCTCTACGAAGCGGTTTCAAGATCGTCAGTGCAGATCCAGAGAACGATCGCCATTGGTATGCTGTGGACGAAGCCGGGAACGAATACATGGGTGATATTGTTGCATGCACCCGGAACAAGGAGAAAGGCGGGAAACGTGTGCAGGTGCCGCATCCGCCGCCATGTGGGCCGAGGATCGTGGCATTTGAGAGGCCGCGGCGGCAGCGAGCGAGGATTGCGGCAGAGACCAAGGCGAATGCTGCCAAGTCGAGAAAGCAGAAGAACGAGGAGACAGGGAAAGACAAAGACCACCGGGAAGGAGCCCAGGAGTGAGTGGTCAGAACTACCCGGAGTGATGGCTTACGATATTTAGAAGAGCAGCCTGCCATGTACATAGAAACAGCATAGACTGCCTTGGGGGCCGGCCGAGGCGTGAGTTGGCCACACCGCTCTGGACATATCGAGATCAAAGTCAATCAACAGCTGCTTCTAGCGTTACTTCCTTCCCAAGTCCAGGTTTGAGCTCGTAGCCAGTCTGCTCTCACATGAAAAGATGCTGTGATTTGCGCGATCAAACTCTTCGAACGTGATGGATGGCCGCTCAAACTCGTTGATGGGGAGACAGCTACCCGGGTTGGCGCTGGATCTACTGTGTAAGCCCTGGCTCGGAGAAAAACCGGCTGTACACTGCGCGCCGGTATCCACTGCATTGGTGTGAGTCAGTGCACTGAAACCATTATACTCGTGCTGACTTGGGGTAGGTAGAGATGTGTCGGGGCCAGCGATGCCTCCAGCATCATCCAAGTTGACTTCCCTCGTGCTGGAAGAAGCTGTGGATTCCTCAGTGAGGTGGAAGTCGGTGTCGCCATGAGTAGATCTACTCATATTGAACCCTAAAACTGTGTAACGCCCGCCCAACAAGTAGGTTAGCAACGTTGATGGAGGCTCGTTGTCACGCCATCGTCTCCTACCAATCGCCAAGGATAATGTGCGGACTGCATTGCCCTTGGCTAACTCTTAATTGTTCTTGTTCGCGACATCTAACGTATAACCTAGACAGGTCGGTGCCGTAGATAAGCTGTCGACAGATCAAGATATGAGAGTAATTGTTAGGATTTCTTCAGAGCGGTCGCCACCAACAGACCAACAACTCTACTCGAGTGGGCGATGGCCGCGGAAGGGAACGACTATACACATTATACTAGGCGATGGTGGACAGGTGTGCAGCGCGGACGAGAGCTCCACTACTGATCTCTCGTCCTTATGGGTAACACGTCCAAGCCAATGACCGGCAGCACAAGGAGCAGGTGAGGGTGGATGTCGCTGGACAGAAAAGAGCCGGTTGATATGTGGTTGATTGTGAGCGGTTCTTGAGACGAGAATGAGAGAGGGAAAGTACAAATTACACAACCTGTTCGCCTGCTGAAGTATTTGTTGGTTGATATGATGGCATCCCGGGGCGCGACTGACAGTAGACAGCGTTGCGAGGGAGGGTTTCACGCCTTGAGGAGACCGAGTTGATATCCATTAACATTCAGCACATTGCATTTACGACAATGGCAACGCTCGCAAAATATCACCACGCTGGGTTCCCCACCGGAGCGAACTTAGGCTCATTTACCCGAGTAGGCAAGCGCTATGACGGTCCCTGGGCCAGAACATCCAGGGCTTGATTCTCAATGGCTCAGCAAGCGACAGCTGTTCCTGCGTGACATCACAGACGGTCCAGGAATTGCCCCCCACGATTGGAGATCGCCGCCGCAGCTGCAACGCGCAATATTCAATGCACTGCCACCCTTGTCACGCACTATCCATGTGTGTTCCAAGATTCCGCCGCGCAATCTGAGACACGTCCTTTGACTGAACAATTCCAATGCTGGTACAAGTAGCTTGGGGATCGTTTCGTGGGACCGCGCTTCGGTGGACTGACACCTTCACATAGCAGTCGACCCCCTCACGAGTTCCTTCGACAGAGAACGAGACCGAACCTGCGGGAAGAACAGCGCCGATGAAGCCCCCAGTCCATACTCCTTCGTGCCGGGTTACACGATCCGTTCGGTTCAGCCGCCATGGCTCCAGCCTCGCCAAAAGACTCAGACAGCCAAGAACATGGGGACGACGAGCCGGAGTCTCCAGAAACGAGACCGAACGCCTTGAGCGACACAGCTGCTGAGCAAAGTACGGGTGCAGAGACAAACTTGCAGAACTCTTCAGGAAGTGAGGCGCCCAAACTCCGCTCGCCGGCTGAACTTCCTAGGCAGCAAGAGCAAGATATTCTGCCGAAGCAGTCTCAAGCTCCAGTTCAGGCGCCGCCCAGCATACTCAAGTCCACCCCAGTTGGCCGCAATCGAGGATATTCCCTCAGACGTGCGCTTTTTACGCAGAACGTGCAGAAGCAGATACCTGACCATGCGGGGAGCTTCGAGCAGGGTACATCAAAAGAGGAGAGTCATGAGAGTGGTTACCGCCCGACAACGGTGACGGTTGAAGAGTCGCAGGAAGAGTCAGATAGTCGTCCACAGAAGTCTGTGCGACTACCAGACCTCGAGCTTGAGCTGCCTCTCTACCGCCAATGGATGGCACAACAGTCTTCGCGAACAACCTTGCCGAGAACATTCAAGGATATCTATCGCCAGTTCAAGCGCAAGGTTATTCGGGCTAACGCCATCACATCGAGTTTTGACGGGCGGCACGTCAAGGTGAACGTACACGAGACCGAATTCACGATCGATGAGAGGTCCGCAAAGCCGTACATTGACAATATTATCCGCTCCTGTCGCTACACGCCCTGGAATTTTGTACCCAAACAGCTTGTGGCCCAGTTCGGAAAACTCGCGAACTTCTACTTCCTGTGTGTCTCTATCCTGCAAATGATACCCGGTCTCAGCACCACTGGCACATACACCACTATCATCCCGTTACTAATCTTTGTTGCAATCTCCATGGCCAAAGAGGGCTACGATGATATAAGAAGACACCGCCTGGACAAGGAGGAAAACGAGCGCACGGCTCATGTTCTCAGAATGTCTCCATCCGGTGGCCCCAGCACCGAATGGCAGGAGAAGAAATGGAGCAATGTGCGAGTAGGCGATGTTGTGCTGTTGAACAGGAACGACGGCATCCCTGCAGATCTAGTACTTCTTCACGCCAACGAACCGATCGATACAGCTTACGTCGAAACAAAAAGTCTTGATGGAGAAACAAATCTCAAATCGAAGAAGCCCTTGGCCGACATTCGTGAGGCATGCCAGGATCCAGAATCTATCTCCCGACTGGCAGCCGAATTTGTGGTGGAAGATCCCAACCTCGATCTCTACAAATTCGACGGCAGGGTAGCAATTGACGGCAATACGCTGCCATTAACCAATTCCGAAATCCTGTACCGTGGCAGCGTACTGCGCAATACGCCGTCCGCGGTTGGCCTGGTCATCTACTCGGGTGAAGAATGCAAGATCAGGATGAACGCCAACAAGGCACCGCGCACAAAGGCGCCGGCTTTACAAGCTAAGGTCAACAGAGTGGTCATTTTTGTCGCGTCGCTTGTCTTCTTCATGGCCATCATACTGACTGTGGCATATCAAATCTGGCGCCGAACGACAGAGAACAAGTCATGGTACCTTCAGGATGCGAGGGTGCCTTTCGGCCAAGTGCTCACCTCCTTCATCATTATGCTGAACACCATGCTGCCATTGAGCTTGTATGTGTCGCTCGAAATTGTCAAGGTCAGTCAGATGTTCTTGATGAACGATGTGGACATGTACGACCCGGAGTCGGATACTCCAATGGAACCACACACTTCGACCATCAACGAAGAGCTCGGGCAGGTCTCTTACATCTTCTCGGACAAGACAGGGACACTTACGAATAACTCGATGAAGTTTCGAAAGTTGAGCATCGCCGGTACTGCATGGCTGCATGACCTCGATCTGCAAGAGGAGGCGGCCTATGAAGCTGGACCTCAGCGACTAAGACACAAGAAGCGAGGCGGCAAAGGGAAGGACCCTGACACCGAGAAGAAGCAAAGGATGTCTTTCCCAAAGCTATTGCTCAAATCCACCACGTCGACTGTTATCTATGGAGAGGATCAACAGACGCGGGATGCAGCAGACGCGGCGTGGAGACCATCCAATGGCATCAACATGACGCTAGAAGCCGGTAAGACGCAAGACATGCTCGAGTACATTTACCGCCGGCCGCATACCGTTTTCGCCCGAAAGACGCGATTCTTCCTGCTCTCATTAGCGCTTTGCCACACTTGTATTCCGGAGAAAGATGACGAGGGCGAGATCACTTATCAAGCCGCGTCGCCTGACGAGCTAGCCTTAGTGAAGGCAGCCCAAGATTTGGGGTATATTGTGACCGATCGGCAGGCTAAAAGTGTGACGGTCAAAACATTCGCCGACAGGGATGAGGCTTCTCCGATCTATGAGACGTACGAGGTTCTGGATGTGATCGAATTCTCCAGTACGAGAAAGCGGATGTCAACAGTAGTCCGCCTCCCTGACAGACGTATCTGCCTTATCATAAAGGGCGCGGACAATACCATCCGGAAGCTCCTACGCCTGTCAGATCTGGCTGCGACCGAAGTGCAGGCGGTGGAAAGGCGTGCCAGTCAGCGAAAGAGTGTTGAGGCGCAGGAGGCGTTGAGGAGGCGTAGCTCTCAGATGAACCGGACATCAGGACCCATTCACGGGTTTGACACCATTTCTCCACGACCGAGTGGCTTATCCTTTGACCGTTCTCGAACCGCTCGGGACAGCATTGATCAGTGGCTGAAAGATCAGGAGAACGAACCAAGCACGTCCCAGCACCGCAAGAGTTCTCAATTCTATTCACCTCGACCTTCCCTACAACTTCTTTCTCGGAAATCCGAGAGCTATAGCGGCAAAGCGCATTACTCGCCTCAAATCACACCTCGTCCGTCTATACAAGTGGATGGCACAGAGGACCTTGTTGAGGAAAGCCTCGTAGTTGACGACCATGCTGTCTTCGAACGATGTTTCCAACACATTGATGACTTTGCGACTGAGGGCTTGCGTACTCTTTTGTATGCATATCGATATTTGACGGAAAATGAATACAGTGAGTGGAAGCAGATCTATTTGTCGGCAACGACGAGCATGACAGACCGGCAAGAAAAGATCGAGCGTGCAGCAGAGCTGCTCGAGACCAAGCTGGAGTTGCTAGGAGCCACTGCGATCGAGGACAAGCTCCAAAAAGGAGTCCCCGATGCCATTGAGCGATTTCGGAGAGCAGGTATCAAGATGTGGATGCTTACCGGCGACAAGCGGGAGACAGCCATCAACATTGGCCAATCATGTCGACTTATCAAGCAATATTCCACGGTTATAGTCCTGGACCATGAGCTTGGGGATCTTCACAGCCGGATGGCCGACGCATTTGCCCGCATGGGCGAGGAGAAGACGGCACACTCTGTCTTGGTCATTGACGGCCAAACTCTCGCCATCATTGATGCAGACAAGGCTGCAAAGGCGCTCTTCACAGATATCGCCATCCGTGCCGACTCTGTGATATGTTGTCGGGCTTCCCCGAGTCAAAAAGCGTCGCTCGTCGCCACTATCCGAACCAAAGTCAAGGGCTCCGTAACCCTAGCGATCGGTGATGGCGCGAATGATATCGCTATGATCCAGGAAGCGCATGTCGGAATCGGCATTGCTGGCAAAGAAGGCCTCCAGGCCGCACGGACCTCTGACTACTCGATCGCGCAATTTCGCTTCTTGTTAAAACTGCTGTTGGTCCATGGACGCTGGAACTATGTGCGAGTCTGCAAGTATCTCCTCGGCACCCTGTGGAAGGAAATGCTTTTCTACCTCTGCCAAGCCTTGTTTCAACGGTGGAACGGTTATACTGGGACAAGTCTATACGAACCCTGGAGTCTCTCCATGTTCAACACCCTATTCACTTCTCTCCCGGTGATCTTCATGGGAGTCTTTGAGAAGGATCTATCGGCATCGACCCTGTTAGCGGTTCCCGAACTGTACAACATTGGCCAGAAGAATCGAGGCTTCAACTTCCGAGCCTACGTCAGATGGTGTACACTAGCTGCTTGCGAAGCCGTCCTTGTGTACTTCTTGGTTCACGAGATTTACGGCCTGGCATGGTTCACGCGAGATCAAGAGCTTTACGCCTTTGGGGACCTGGTCTACTCTATCTGCGTCATCGTTATTTCGCTCAAGATGCAGTTCATCGAGCTGCACAACAAATCGCTGCCGGCCGCCATTGCTATCTTCTTGTCAGTCGCTGGGTGGTGGCTGTGGAACCTGATACTGTCCTGCATATACCCCTTCAGTCCTATCTACAACGTGAACCATGCATTCTTGGACAGATTTGGGCGCAATCCTTTGTGGTGGGTGACTTTGATATTGACTGTGGCGGCGGTCTGTTTGGTCGAATTCACGATCAAGACGGTCAAAGTTACAGTCTGGCCGAGTGATGTGGATGTCTTCCAGGGTTTTGAGCAGGATCGAGAGGTGCGCAAGCGATTTGAAGAGGCCTCTGCTGAGCTGCTGCAGCAAGGATGGGATAGAGGGACCAAGAGGTCGGGCCTGCAAATTGCGCGCGAGACCGCTGAGCAGGCAGAACGAGAGGCGCAAGTTGAAGAGCTACTCAAGAAGCCTCGAGGCTTGACGACCGAAAGAAGGCCAAATACGAAAAGGAAGGAAACGGGATTTAGCATGAAGTCGAGCACCAGCACGAAGCGACAGCAGAACCCGATGGACGGGAGTCACGAAATGATCCAAGTCCAACATCCTCCACCGGGACGGAAATCGATCGACATTGGGGAACTATTCAGCAAAGGATATGGCGCTGTGCACGGGAGTTAGGACTGGTTAGCATTGATGTCATGGGCAATGAGCGATATACCCCCCTGAGGACAGTTGGATGAGACACACGAATGTTGCGCATACCCAGCAGAACGCGACTGTACATGGACAGAGTTTGGAGCATGCACTGATAGACGCTCGCGTAGAGTATATACAGAGCAGCTGGCACGAACATATCGTGAACTTAAGCGGGTCTATATGGAACATTTTGAGCCTCAATATCCACATATGCTGCAGCCAAGAAGGATTTCTGCTGCAGGGATCCTGCTGGCGTGTATGATAACGCGGCCCCCTGATTGGACTGCCATGGGCGCAGAAGTGAGACAATAAACAGGGGAGCCTCTTGCCTTCGGGATGCTGCCAAAGCATCGCACACAAGGACAGTCAGTGTACACAGTAGACTCCTGCGCGTAGAACTTCGCCACGCCCTGCATACAGAGAATACCAAAATGAAATACTTGAGCACCGCGAAAGCCACACCTGCAGGCCCGCACCGAACAAAGTTTCCGTTCCTCACGAGCTCGTCACCTCGTTCGCGTCTTCAGGCGCCCTGACCCTTCATCGTGATCCCTGAACCCTGGAACGTCAAAAATCACGTTTCGGACGTGTGTCGACCCGCCATGCCCACAACATTGGATTCCCGTGCCTGCGCTAGTTGAGGAGGTTTTCCTCCAATGACCATGCCTCCGTGGCTCGGGTACCTGCGCTGGTGCGTCTCGTATGGGGCATGCCAAGCGTCAGTCAGTCGTGCTTGAAAAGGAGGAAACACAGACGAGGAGAGACATGCAGGCAACCCACGAGCACGAGTACGAGTACACAGTAAGAGTACAGTAGAAGTGGATGGACGGCATCGGGCTCGTCTACAGAGTACGGTTCCGAGGAATTAATAACCAGCGAGTCACCAACACCATCTCCCACGGTGTGTAACTCGTACACAGACAACAGTAACACGCCTCGATTGTGCCTCATATCAGGAAAGACGTCGGTTCTTCGTCTGAGCTTGGGACTTTGGATTCGAGTTGAAACTTAACATCGACATGCTTTGTGCGGAGTATGGACTACACTTCAAGGCGTCTGCAAGCTCTGAGTTAACCTATGCTGCAGTAAGTGCGAGCACCACTGACGAGGGTTGGACTTTCACCTCCATTACGGAGTACTCCGTATCCTCTAACTAACAATAGACGATCTGCGCGAATTAGACGGTCGGCAGAATTGCGCAAACTTCGTTGAGGAACGGTGATGGCGGCACTCCTATCTATCTGTCCTTATCGCCGCTCTGGGTAAGTGTCATGACGCTATTGAAAGTGTGTGTTTCAAGGATATGGAACCACAAAAGACACCGCGCGAGTTGATAATGTGTACACCGTAGGGCTGTCGCGCAGATGTGCCTATCGCAGCGCAGTCATGACAAAGAGGAGTGTGGCAGGAGTGGCAGGATCGGGTGATTTGTGGAAGATTTGACAGGACCAATTCTCCGAGTACGAGGGCGGCCAGCTCGGCTGCTGGAGCCGAGTTTGTAGTTTCAGTAGTACTCGTAGTCCCTCATCGCCGATGGCAGTGTCGATTGGATCTTCAGGAGAAGTGGCCCATACAGTTCTGTGCCTAACACAAGTGCAATACCTAGGTACAGTAGGCACCTCAGAGTTTCCAACATGTGCAGTGTGCAACAACTCATGTACCCTCCCGAGACTCCTGGCCGGGTGCAGCAGGGCCCGAGTAACTCCCAAGAGATGTGACTGGAACGTGAGAGGGTTCTCATGCACGATTGTGAGACATTGATGGGTGCGGCGATTTTCTTCTTCCCTGTCGTTTGACTGGCTGGACGGTGACGTTGAGGCGCATCAAGCAAGCTCTCCAATGCGGATGGTGAGACAACTGGCGTGTCGGCGGCCGAGAAAATGAGCTGCGCTCGCGGCGTCGAGCATGAATGCCCTTCACCGCTCTGCCTTCCAGCATTCCATCTATGACGACCAAAGGCTCGTCGCACTCTGCTTCATGCCAGTGCATGGTTACGAACCATCAACACAGAAGCGTGGCCGAATATTCTGTGGCGAATCACTAACCACCTCATGTTGCCCTCGAGAGATGACCTATTCCGTAGAGCGGTCCAATGGCTGCGTTCATGACGCTTCCGTCGAGAAAGCTCAAGGATCGACAGCATTCGGGTCGCAGCATCATTGGTGCCGTCGTAACGGTGCACTGACCCACGAATTTACACAGTAGGTACGTCCGACGAGGTCCTGAAAGGGAGGTTTCGAGAAAACTCTGAATCTTCCTCTTGAACTGGTCGATGAAGCAGATCATGTTCACGGCCTTGCCTACTGTACGGGGGCGATGGCGACACGAAGCCACTGATTAGCCGCCTGGCAGCCTCGATGTTCGACTGGGCGCGGTAGGCGCAAGGTTTTCATGATCCGCAAGATGAACATGATGCCCATTCCCGACACCCCGTCGACGTGGCCGGAACTCGTAGCCTACTGATTATGCATACGAATAGTCTGGTGCAAGTAAGCTTGACGTGGTGTCTCGGACGCGCACCAGCAGGGTTACAGTTGCGGCGCGCAACGAGTCAAAGCGGCAGTGCCACCGAGGTGGCGTGAGCTTGGAGAAGAACGCTATGCTTTTCTATCTACTGCCTGTCTTCATTGACATCCTGCTCGCATTGGATGATACACACGAACATCTTCGACATTGGGAGGTTCCCAAACAGAAGCCGGCTGCTTTGTGTGCAACTCCTCCGTGACCCTTTTAGGTCCCCATGTTTTGTGCGCAAGCTCCAGAACTCGGGAGAATAGCCATTTCGCGCCAATCAGGATCCCTGACGCAGTTTTCAAGAGTAACCGCGTGGTGGGTGAGACGACAGCTTGAATCCATGTTGTGACATGGGTTGTTTGACCTAATCCTCTGGTGCATCCCTGCGGCGTTTGGGCGCGTCAGACACGCTTTGGGTAAGGTCCCTGGGCTCCTCCAAGGGCCCGGCCTTGCATCAGGTGCAAACAAGGTTCGTCATTGGGGACTCCAGCAGTGGTGCTAGCCTGACCACGGCATAGCTGCTGAGCTGCTTCCCGCGCCGGAGGAGTTCGCGATAGGGGCAGCCAGCAGCCGAGGTCGCCCTCTCGGGCTTAGTGAGGCCGCTAAGCCGATCGAGGAAACGGCCCACCAAAACATCGCCAGAGCTTGTGCGCAACTTTGAGTTTCTGGACTCGCGGTACCTGCATTGGTGGAGGCTACTGTGTAAAGGGTTTGGGTGGTCCCTTTCTCCGAGAGGTCCAGAAAGCCCCCGAGGAGCCACTCAGCAGCCGCCGCTGGGTGGTTCCTGACGCTGGCTCAGCACCTTGCCGCCTCGCTCATCGTGGCCCGCCGCCTGCGTCTCGGGGCTCACACCTCCCTTAATTGTGCTGGCCCGTCTCCTCTTTCCTTCTCCTCTCTCCCATCCTCACCGTCGCTTTACTATTCCTCCCCATTCTTCTCTCAGTCTGTATCACGTTCTTTTCTTCTTGTTGTTCAAGCATCAACCCTCGAGTTGTGCCTTTCACTCCTTCAAGGCCCTCGAACCACATTCCTTAAGCTGTTTGCCCTTTCCATTCACCCCATACGGTCTTTACCCCTTGCAACAGTAGAACATCCGGAGACGTCCAACTCGCTAGGCCACGAAGTCGTTTTCCATCTCGCTGCACGGTTCAGCCATAGAAAATCCCTCGCAACCTATCCGAATAGACCTGGCATTGTTGCCCATCGCCAACGAGCGTTCCAATCTTTTCCACACCACACCGACAGACACGATATCCGACGATGGATAGCCCGGACGTCAAACACGACCCGGCGGACACCATGTCATCAGACCCTAACGACTTTGACATCGACGTCGACGACTCGGTCCAGTCCACTCCTTCACCAAATGCAAGCCAACCCACCCAGACCACGCCGGCAACCTCGAGTACTTCCACACAAGGTCCCAGCTCGGCCCCTCGCCGTCCGCCGCGAAAGAGCACCCTGACGCAGCAACAAAGGAACCAGAAGAGACAGCGGGCGACGCAAGATCAGCTGGTGACGCTGGAAATGGAATTTAACAAGAACCCCACTCCCACTGCTGCCACACGGGAACGTATCGCGCAGGAGATCAACATGACCGAACGTTCAGTCCAGATCTGGTTTCAAAACAGGTAGGGACAGGACATGCTTCGATCGTCAATCGGTAGGAGACTGACATTTCGAGTAGCCGTCGCCGAGCGAAGATTAAGATGATTGCAAAGAAAAGCCTTGAGACGGGTGAGGATTTGGACAACATCCCCGAGTCCCTGAGGCAGCTGCTGGCCATGCAGGCCATGGAATCTGGCAGACCGTTTCCCCATCAGTTACTTCGTCCTGGTGGCCCCGTGGCACAGTACGGAAGTGGCGGCCTGCTCATCAACGGCGATCCTGCCGCTCAGGGCAAAGTCGGTAGGTTAATAGCGTTCCACATGATGAAAACGACTCTAACTAATTCGCAGTCATTCACCACTTCACCTGTCGATCATTGAGTATTGGTTCCTGGCGACGCGTAGGCCAGAATGCCATGGATCTGGTCATCTTCTACTCGCCTGACAAGGCGTGCATCACCTACTACATCAACAATGATTCTGCGGGTTACAAGATCGAATTTCCGTTTGCCTTTATCAAGAGCATCCAGTTGGAGCCAGGCGACTCGGGCCCGACGGCAAATGGAGCTCCACCGCGTCCCGGCGGGCTTGTTATCGAGCTGACCAGACCACCCAACTTCTTCATGGACTCTTCCAACTCTGGTGGCTTCTACCAATGTGGCGACTTCACGGAAGATCAACAAGCCTCCCAGATCTTGGTGCATCATCTCGGTGGCCATCCCAAGGTGCTGAGCGGTCAACTTGCAAAACTTGTCTCGCTCGACTCGTTCCAGAACCGAATGAACCCGTTCAATCTCCACGCGATGCCTGCCTCTGCACCAGTGTCCCCAACCATGGGCATTGTTCGTCCCGCGTCTCAACCCAACGCCCAGTTCGCTAGGCCTCATCCTCCACACGTGGGCATGTTCCAGGAACAATTTGGCGTCAACCACCACCTCCACCCCAGCCGAATGCACCCTGGCCACAAGCGACAGAGAAGTCGATCTGTGCCGATTGCGATTGACTTCTCCATGCTCCATGGGCCCATGCCGACTTTCCATATCCAGCAGCCATCCCCTCAACTTCCCCCCGACCACCACAACCTCTATCAGCCCATGCCACAGCACCCTGTACAGAATCCTCTTGGACCAAGCTTGCAAATAGATACCTCGGCTGGATATGGCATGGACTTCCGTCAGATGCCAATGTCGGCCACAGCCACGTCGCCCTCGGAATTCGCCAGCCCCGGGTTCTTTCCCTCAAATCCGGCTCAGCCTCCTATGCCAGCCTCGGAGTTTGGGACTCCCCAGCCTTTCAACGGGCCGTTCCTGTCACCGTCTCCAATGGTTGATCCCAACATGATACCCACATCAATGTCTCCTATGCCGCACATGGGCCATGCGGATCCTATCATCGCTGATCAGTCTCCACCTCTCTCAGCACTGCATAGAAGTGCATCAGCCGATATGTTCAATCATCATGGGATGATGGACGAGACCCTGATCCTGGGTGAGATGTACTCGAAACAAAACCTCAATCTACCCATGCCCAGCCCAGGTATAGACGAAAACGGTATGCTGATGATGCACGACATGTCCGAGTTCCACAACGCCCGAGAACATATGGACATGCCGATGACACCGTACGGCACCGTGGATCCTCATGCCCTGCAAGCTGGTCTACATCACTAAAGCCCGAATGACCTTCCTGTATCAGTTTGAAACGACCTTGATGCCTTCCATACACTCTTAGCACCCCCTTTCGCAACAAATTGGACAATATTCCTCAGCACTGTCCGGACGGCGCCAATCAACCCTTAAACCACTTACATATGCATATATCTTGTTAGTCTCTGCGCGGCCTTTGGTGCTGCTTGCTGTCTGATAGTCTGGATTGCTATCATCTGTTCTCGTTTATCAGCTCTTCTCTGCTTCTTCGAAAATTGTCTAGTGACGCGGCTATGTATCAGCAACGACTTTCAGCGTTTCGTTTTGGGTATCTGGACCAGAGGACTTTTCCTTGATCTGCGGTGGGGTTCATTTCTGTCGGGGTCAAAAGCATCGATTGGCACGGCCCGGGGAGAGGGTGAGATATCGATAAGCCTTGAATCATAGATCTTGGCCTGGGGATAATGCGATATGGAGACGGTTCCACGGGGTGCTGGATGGTGCGCAACCTGGTTCTGCGCTTGCAGGAAAGCAATCACATCCACCAAGGCCGGCTTCTGCAGGAAATGGTGAATAATTCCTAAACATCGAAGCAACCCACACTGCAAGGGTCAAGGCATCCAAAGACACCGCGGTGTCATCAGAGACTGGAAGCAATGGGCTCATGCATTCATCACTTGTTGCTCACTTTTCGGACGGGTGAGGGTCTGGTTCGGAGACATGGCGTTGGTCAGAGATCTTTTCGAGGATCTAGAAACGAAAAGCTGTGGCGGGACCTAGCGAGCATACGCGGCGACTCGAGTGAGAACGGACCGGGTGTGAGGGTATTCTGCTGTGGTGGCGTAGCATTGACAAACCGAGCGAGGAGGAGGGAAGGCGAGGGAGGCGGCGGAGGAATTAGTTATATTCCCAGCATGCAGAGCGTGAACTGCGAGACTGCCTACATTATCATGTGGGAAAGTTCGCATCTATTTATGTGTTTCAAACTATTGATTCCCTGCTTTCCACCGTCCCAAGCAGCCGGATCTCAAATGCGTTGGCTACTGACTGGACTGCGTCTCGCAATTTGCTGCAAGATTAACCCGTGTGATGAGCCCCCACCGCAACAAAATGAGATTCTGGCCCAGAGCGGAAAGTCCATGTGGCCGAGTTGTGCCACGTTGGCGATGCTTGACGTCAATCAATCCATCTGAGCACATGGAGTGTACTGTGGTAGGTACTGTATGTAGATACTGTACCTCGTAGGGTTCCCTAGATGCTTTAAGTCCATGGTGGCTTTCATCATGCTACGCCCCTACGTACGTCCATGAATTCCATTCAGGGTACAATAGCCTGGCCGTCAGGTGCTACAGTACGCACCTGCGAGCCACATCGTCTGATCTCCTCGCTTACTATAGTGTGCGTGCTCGGAGGATGGATGATGTACAATTTACCATGTACAATATGCGGACAGTATAAGACCAGGGAGACAGACAGACAGACAGCTACATAGACAGTACCCAAGATCGATCGGATGGTCGGCCATCGAGACCGGCTGATTCTTGCTGCCCCCCCGCTCTCAAGTATGTAACCGTCCCTCGCACTCCCTCAACCATCGCCAACATCAACCCGACCTAGACCTCGACCTCACCAAATGCAAACTCACCACGATGAGACTCCGTTCCTGCTGCGTCCTGGAATACAGATACCGGCCCATCACGTCCTTCAGGCCGTCCAGGTCGCCGATGCCGAGATGCCGCTCCGCCACGTACGCGGCGCGCATGAGGAACCACAGTTCTTCCTCGGGCTCGCCTTGGGCGCTGAAGTGGCCGGTCAGGAGGATCCAGAGGAGGAGGGCGTTCTCGTCGTGGGCGTACGTGTACGTGTCCGCGCTTTTGTTTGTATCTGTTTCTGTGTCTGTGCCTGTGTCTGTGCCTGTGTCTGTACATGTGTCTTTGTTTGAACTGTGATGTGGCTCTGCGTGTGCTGCTGATCTCCTAAGCCCTGGTGCTGGCGACCAGTTCGTGCCGATCCCGTGAAGAGACAACGCACGCCGCAGCCGACGCATGTTGGGCTGGGCGGAGCGGAACGACATGCGGTTCGTGCAGCGTAGGACCATCAGTAACGAAGCGAGGCGTAGGGCCTCCGTCTTGGCTGCGTGGGCTGACGTCTCGGGGGATGGAAGCAGCATGGGGACGGCGAGAAGGCGGTAGCAGATGGCTCGAGCGCGCTTGCACATCCAATCTGCGTCGTCGCGGGTGGCGGTGGGCGTGCGCCAGACGAGCTTGGCCACGGTGAGCACGTCGAGGAGGTCGACGAGGATGGATGCAAGTTCCGGGCGGATGAGGTCGGCCTCGAGGGCGCGCTCAAAGCCAGATCCCAAGCTGAAATCCATGGTTGTGGACGCATCGGCGAGGAAGTCGACTTGGTGGCTCATCATCGCGTTGCTCAGTCTGCTGGCGTTCGGGATCGGGCTGTACGGATAGGCGACCGGCTCCCGTCGACCGGACTTGCACGCTTCGACCTCTTCACGGATGACTGACATGCGTGCCTCGTCCAAGGGCCCGGGATCAGCCATGAGTGGAAGTTCTGGCAACCAGCCGGTCTCGATGGCGATCATCTGGTCGACGTTGAAGACGCCTTGGGCGATGTGCATGTCCAGAGGATCCTCCAGGTTCAGCAGAGGGAGCAGAACCTTGGCGGCTCGGACATGCGTCGAGGCGGCTTCGAAGCGTTGGCAGATCCAGTCCGACAGGGCGAGGCTGTGCATGCCGTGCACGAGGATGTTGTCACCCGGCACACCTCTGGCTTGGAAATCCAGCATTCTCTCCCTCACCGCAGCGAGGGCCAGGTGCATGTAATACTCTGGTCGTGCCAAGCCTGTCAGGGCTATGCGCGACAAATGGACCATTCGAGACGACATGATGACCATCAACGAGGTGAATTCGACCTTGTCCTGCATGATGGCTCGAAGTGCGATGTCGCGAAGATTGGCATACCGGCGTGCGGGTTGCAGGTGAGGTGGTAGGACTTCTGTCTTGTCGACGTGCGTCCCGGTCAGGACCATCACGCAGTAGTAGTTGATGAGGACTTGGATGTTCTTCGTCATGGGCATTGGAGCCGCGGCGAATGGATCTACGCCGGACCCGGGGATGTAGTTGGTATTGAGGATGCCCGGACTTCGGTGACGAAGCCAAGCAGCACAGTCGACTGCGATCGATGACACGGCTCCTTGTGCATCGTTGGTGGGCTGCGGTGGATGATCGCTGGTCGAAGACTGCGATCGGGTGGTCGAGTCCGACGGGTGTGTGGCATTAGCTGGCCTAGCCACGAGGCTGTCAGTTTGCTGCGGTGAGACAGCGTTCCGTTCTCAGGACCATTATATCTCAAGTACAGTGGTAAAAATGCTGGTCTCCAACCGTTCACCCAATCAGTACCGCCCTGCGGATGGCGTGCAGTACCTGCGTGCCGGCTGGATGCGCACTGATATCCCTGCTCTATCCGTCGCTCGCGAATGTCGGAAAGGCAACTACTGCAAGAAGTCAGGAACGCAAGCTCACCTGATGCTGAGTGGCCGATATCGCCGGATCCCAGCCAGTCCTGAGGGACCGACAGGCCCGGGATGGATAGTGATTCGTGCCAAACCACGTCGCCTGTGCCTATTGTACTCTTTCTTCGCGGTGACTGGCCGTGGTCGCTGTTGCTGAACGAATTGGAATATGCGCAGCTTCTCTGCACGGTCACTTGAGGACAACGATGCCGCGCCAGGACTTTTGTTTACCCACAAGAACTCTTTGTCAGGCTTGTTCTGCGCCATGGCGTCTACTCACGAAGATTCGTGGATTGTTTGGCAGAAATCTCACATCGCCATGTACTCGAACGGGTTGCTGGTCAAGCGGCCAAAGAAATACGAGCAAGTCTCAAGCATGGTCGCAAGCGTCGGCGTGCCGAGACCATGAACTGCGACACCGCCCATTCTGTAACGGAACAGCCTTTCTCAATCACACTTGGATAGAGCAATGTGGCGTTCTACTTGCCCAGTGGTTGGTATTTCCAAGTCTTTCCAAGATGCGCAAGTGTTCGTTTAAAGCGGCAGCGGATGACAAAGCGAATGCGAGGTGGGGGAAGGGGGTCTCGGCCTGATTGGTTGGCGTCTGTCAGCAGAGAATTTGAATTTTGACCTCGACATCCGTTCCTCGTACTCCCCTTTGACCACAGTCTTGCACACTTCGTCTGTCCGCAACGAGACTCCGATGTACCTCGTATGAGACCCTGCTCTTGGTGGCTCCCTCGTCTCCTTGCGGCTCGGCACCACTTCGGCGCACACACAACAGACAATCAGGTGAAGTGATTCCCTTCCTTCCGCATCAAACTTGTATCTCGACCTTCTTCATCCTCGACCGTCTTGCCTCCTGCGGATCATCTTCCATCGCTAGGCGCCGCCCCTCCCTCCGGAAACGACTTTTGACGACAACAACTCTGGACGTGAAGCTTTGCCCACGCCGTGGACGCCATAAAGCATCATGACTTCCGTGGCATGTGTCCCTGGCCAGATCCTGTCCAACACGTCAACCCATGTCCCCGGCCCTGGCACTCACGTCTATGAAACCAACATCCTTGCCTCTATCCTGGGCCACACGCTCATAACGTCGTCACGGGACAAGAAGAGCAAAGCTACCATCTCGGTGCCGCGCGAATCTACACCCACGCTCACGTCGATAAACAACAACGTCGTCTTACCAAAAGTGGGCTCCACGGTGCTCTGCCGCGTGACCCGCATCCGACAGAGAGAGCTCAACGCCTCAATCCTCACCGTCGTCTCCTCCGCTCCGGCGCCCGATACAGAGATAATCCCCTACACGCACCTCACGACGGACGACCTACAGTTCCAAGCTATCCTCCGGCGCGAAGACATCCGCACACATTCCGACGTGACAACGACCATCGCCTCATCCTACCGCGTCGGAGATATCATCCTCGCGAGCGTCATTTCCCTGGGCGACGAGCGGAATTATTACATCAGCACGGCTGGGAACGAGTTCGGGGTCGTGGTTGCGACGAGTGAAGGCCGGAACGCGATGGTGCCGATGAGCTGGAAGGAGATGAGGGACGTTGTGACCGGCAAGGGGGAGTCGAGGAAAGTGGCCAAGCCAAGCTGAGCAGGGCTATTCTACTTTTCAACGTCGAATGGTATTGTCGGTCCACTGGATCCTCATCCATAAGATCACGCGACACCAGATCTGTCAGGACGAGAGGCTGAGAAGATGAGGCCAGTTGGAAAACGCGCATCCTTTATGGTCGCTGCTTCCCCACCCCAGCTCCATAGACCTCTGCGTATACATTTCTGCGGCATGAACCCGACCAGCCTAGGACCTGTTCGACCCGCACTGCAGAGACCAAGGTTGACGCCACAGTCAGGGCCGGCAAAGTAGCCCACATGGCGAGCCGTACGTGATTTCCAGGATGAAAAGTCAGATTTATGTCGATCTGGACTCCTATGAGAGACTGCTCACGGCATTGCACTCTGCACTCTGCTGTCCACGCTTCTGCACGCTCAACATCCGGCCCACTCACTCACTCACTCACTCACTCACTCACAGTCACAGTCCCTTACCCACAGCTCTCGAACCTACTGACAACATTCGTCCACTGTACAAGACAGGCCATGGCACGGACGCGGATATGAGTCTCTAGCCCATGAGACTCAGTCAACCCACGACAGCGAGGGATTTCGAGATGAGACTCTCCGCTCGAAATGGTGGCGATTGCTCCGAGCCCTTGCATCGCTGGGGTCGATATCATGCCCCTGGATTAGAATCACACCAACTTTCATGCCATTTTATAACCTGCTGCAGGCACCATCCCGCTTTGCCTCCATCAACTCCACCCTCTCCAGTATCCATGGTCAAGACCCTTCAATGTCCGGCTGTGTTCGTCACGGGAGGGAGATCAACTCGGCTTTCCACTTTCGCTCTGCACATTCACTTGGGCAGAGTGTTCGTGGGAACTCCCTCGATCCAGGTCCGGCATGCGCATCCAAGTGCATTGTCGGAAAGAATTTCAACCGAGGAAACAACACAATGCACAGATAGAATATTCTCAGAAATGTAGCATTAATGCATACAATGTTCTCGGTAGAAGAATGTTCTCAGAAGTGTAGCATTAATGCATATTGAGGCTAGAATGAAATGGCCGTAACCCGCCCGCTTACTTTTGTGCTTGCTTCGACCAGAGCAGACACAAAAGGCCCGTACCAAATTGCTTCTCAAACAATAGCTTGAACAGGTTGCACCCATCGCAACATGCGCCTAGTTCCGTGTCTCGCTTTCCACGGGCGAGCACGCGCCTGCTCCTAAACGCCTCGCTATGCCCACTGCACACCGTGATATGCGACCTTCCGACGGGCATATGCCGGGTCAGTGCCTCGTTGCAATGTGTGTGCAAGTTGAGGTATATGATAATTTCAAACCGTACAACAGAATCAGTCTTTCTCCTTTATCCTTCGACCAAAGTCTGCTTGGGTCCTTTTCCAAGCAGTTCCAAAGATCTTTGGGCCAGAGCGATGACCTCACCTTCACCGTCTTCGCCATCCTCGTCATCCGACTCGACGTGCTTGTCAGCAATGGTCTTGACCATCTGGATTATGTCCTCGGACTTGGCGACCAGAGCAACAAGGTTCTTATCGTCAGACTCCAACAGCTGTAGTAAAGTCCAGATTGCAATGTGCTGGAAAGTCGGGTCTCCACTCTGCAGAAAACGCTTCAAATACCCATGGATGCCGCCATTGGGCTCCAGCCAATCCCGAACGAAGATTGAATAGTCGCCGACCTTCGAAGACAGGTTGCCCAAGGCGGCAGCGCTGTTGCCTTGAACTTCGATGCTTTCTGAATCCGTAAGAGGTATCAGAACATCGAACACTCCAAGATTGAGCAGGTGCGTCTTGAGCTCGTCACTCAGGGCCAGCACAGCGATGCAGGCTGTCATCTCGGACTGGACGCTGAGTGGCACATGCAGAACAAGCTCCTTGCACTTCTGCACAGCCCCGGCCTCCAAGACAAGTTGCTTGTTGCGGTCCGAACTGGCGGCGAGATTCCGTAGCGTCGAGATTGCGTGACACTGAATCTCCTCATTCTCGGTTGACCCGAGGAGGTCGACCAGTGGTTTCAGGAAGCCTGCATCGATAATGGGTGATTCGTTTAGTGGATGAATAGAGATGTTGCGGATACAGGCGACAGCGGAAAGTATCAGTGGGAGATAAGAAGATTGCAGTAGGCGAAGAAGCGGCTGCAAGCCTCTAGCTCGAACAATCTCCAATTGATACTTCTCGTCGGAGGCGAGGTTCCGTAGAGCCAAGGCGGCTTGACACTGAACCTTAGGGGTACCGGAATCCATCAGTTGTACCAGAGACTGGACAAGCCGTGACTCTGTCTGAGCAAGCTTCTTCCTGTTGGATGCATCCACGGCGATGTTGCTCAAGGCCGTAGTGCAGTAGTATTGAACGTCCATATCGGGCGACTGAAGAAGTTGAACAAGGACGGGAATTGCTCCGGCATTGACAAGTTGCTGCCTGTTATCATCTGGGAAGAGTCAGACTTGATCCGGTCAATCGAGATGTTGTTCCTACCAGAATGTGTCATGTTGAGCAATGCGCCCGTGGCATTTCTCTGGACTCGCATGTCCTTGGACTTGGCTAGTCTGGTCAACGGTCCCAATGCTCCCGATCTTGCAATCTTAGCCTTGTTATCTTCATGTGTGGCAAGATTCGTGATGCAACCGACAGCATTGCATTGAACCTCGACGTTCGGGGACATCATCTGCCGGATGAGGGGAGGTAGTCCGCCGAGTTGGACTATAGCGACCTTATTCTCCGCTGCAAATTGTCAGCGTGTGCCTGATGACGGCGTTTCTGACGTACCATTAACTGCCAGGTTGCCCAAAGCCGCACTTGCAGCTCGTTGCACCTCAATGTCTGGATTCTGGAGGAGAAAGAGGATAGGTTCTAGGGTGTCTCTGTCGACTTCTCTCACATCTATCGGGCGCGTCAGCCTCTTCGATATCGACATGGCCTCTTTCTCGCATACCTCGCTCAGTGATTTCGGCAAATGTTAAGCTAGCACTCCGTTGTAAATCGACGTTGTCCGAGTAGACGAGTGTACTCAACGCTCGTAGAGGCTCGCCCGAGAAGAAATCTGTTTCACCCCGCTATGATCACGTCAGGAAGAGTCCTCACACGCATGGCACGTCCGACACGCACGTTCTCGAGGTACTGTAGAAGATCGGCGACGGCTTCTCGCTCACTGTCTGCGAGCGCAGGCTCGTAGAGGTTATCCTTCGACCGACCTAGCAGCATCTCAGTTAGCACATGTCACGGGGTGTTGGCGGCTCCCCATAACGAACCTGCACAGCTCTTGCAGCATGCTGAAAGTACGTTGCCCATCTCGAGCTGCAAGCCCCAGGAGGGGAGAAGTGGTGAGTGTTGGTTCTGTTTATTGGACGAAACTGCGCTAGGCAGGTATTTGTGGCGGAGGTACTCCGTATAGCCAGTAATGACAAGCGTAATTAAGCTGACGAGCTCATCGGAAGGTCATGCTGATGCCGACTGTAATGCAGTTCTGAGAATGCGATCCAAGGTCTGATGCGGTGTTCTCAAAGATGGAGAGCTTGAGGTCGCGTGGTGTTGCGTCGCTAAGATACAGAGCCGGAGCAGGCTCAGACCGCAGGCACGGCCACGAGCACGTCGACTTGGCCCGCCGGAAAGCACTGTGCACACAACTGGCGGCAAGAACGAAGAAGAAAGGTGGAAAAGGCAAGGGGCGGGGCGTGCCTTGTGACTACAACACCGTGGTCACGGATGGCGGCAGAAGGTTGCAGGGACAATGGTGGTGTGAAAAGACGTCGAGGTTGAGATGTGGATGGTGTGGTGTGTCTGCGTTAGTGAAGCTGCAGAAGCACCGTGTGCTTGTGGCTAGTGCCGCCTGTTCCTTGGGCTCGCCTGCGGATGCTTGTTAGGCTGTAACCGTTGATGGGGCTGCCCGCAATATCTTTCGCTACCCTGCTGCAAAGCCCACGCTACCGCTTCAGCCGACCTTCTTTACGCCTAACTACCAGCGTCCATTTCGCCAGTATTTCGAGCAATACGAGAAAGTGCAAGGCCGACGCACATGAGTTAAGAGTTCTTAGCTGACCACATGTTATGATCTATCTGCGGGTTGTACGGAGTAGAGGTTCGGTACAAGGGTGAGGCGCAAGACCCCGACTTTCACATGCATTCGACGTCATCACTCACAGACACGGGACAAGTTCTTTGGAAAGCACGAGAAGTCCGTTGATGAATTAAGTCTGCATACTTTACTCGTCTTACTGGTACGTGTCGTCAAGGGTATAATCATCTTTCGGCGCAATTCCCAAAACATGAGTCCCTGCAGGTACGATAAGGATGTCCTCGCAAAGAAACCTGTCTCAAACTCCAATAATAACCCTGATACCGCTGGCTGGATGCAAGTAATGAGATTCGGACTAGTCCCACCGCCGGTACCTTATGCTTTCGTCAACTCGACTTCAGAGCAGGTGCTGCTGGCAGTGCTCTGCTTGCGGCTGGACAGCTGTTCTTGCTTAATGACAGGAGAGTAGATGCCGGCAGGTGTGAGCGGCTCTGTCGTGGGTCGAAGTTCTTCCAGTATCTTCTTGAGACCGGCCTTGATCTTCTGTGATGATGAGGACGACGTTGACTTCTCGCTTGAGCTGGATTCTTGGGACACTCGGCGAGACGTTGGTGCTGACCCCTCAGCCCGAGAGAGGGTATAATAGCCGGCGTACAGCATTCCGGCGAAGGTATCTGTGGTTTGGAGGTTGGTTGGGTACTGGTGAGTGAGCTAGGGCGAGTGTGGGAGTGGTATTGTCTTTGCTCAATCCAAGTATTGAATGCTTCTTGTGGTCTTGTTCCGTGTGATGCCGAATAAAAACGTGGTCGCAAGGCAAACGACTCACCTGTTTATATACCCACCTTCTCTCCGTGGTCAGCAACATAAAATTTCTCATCGTTCTCTCGTAAGAAACACTGGGCAGACACCAGTCATGGCCACGCCCTTAGAATCGCGTGAAGTTTTACGCCATGATTCCTGGATGACAACAAATGTCTGGGAACTGGAAAAACCACAACAACCGCGCTCACCAATCAGCTCAGGCGTTGAGCGCGCCCTTGGGCAGGAGAATGCAACAAGGCGTGTGCGGTTGTCGTTAACGGAAGCCATGTGTCAATCGACATCAAGGGCGCGTTAAGAGCTGCTCTTAGCGGGTTTCTGTTTGTCATCAGCCCCGTGGCCACTCACAGGCCTGAAAACTCTGCCACGAAAATTTGCTTAACTAAGCACTTAGGGGTTAAGTGGCTGTGGGCCAGTCAGAGTGCGTGGAGAAATGCTTTAACGCGACCCCCCAAAGTGGTGGGGATCACTGATGTCAGCTGTTGCGCCTTTCACCACGCACTCACACGTTCAGCCTCAATTCCTAAAGGCTCCAAGACAAGCCGCATCGTCTGTCACGTCGCAAGGTGATGCGGTTATTGGCGGGCTCATCCAGCAGTTGTATAGTATCCCCAAATAATGTCGATTTGAGTCATGGATCCTTTGTCCCAAATGTCGCTGCGTGGATTACCGGAGAGGCTGGATATACGCCGACCCAAGGCTGAATCCTTTTGGAGCCTCGGAACGCCATGGAGGCAAGGTGAAACTCAAGTCCAACAGGTACTGTTGCCAATGCGTTCATAGGAATTACGATACACAGTACATCAAGTTCTTTTCTTACCGGGCCTCACCGTAGCCAGGAGCTGTTCTAATTAGACAATTCGAGAAATGACGGGGACGCAGCGCCCGCCTTCCATTCGCACATGAACTTTGTCGAGCCTCTGCGCTCTCAACCGGAGATTCAGAGTACTCCGGGTTTTCCGTATCCTAACAGGCTGAGACTCGAACTGCAGCTGAGGCGTGAGACCGTCCCAATGCTTCATCAATGGCGTCGCAGATCGGAAAATCAATCTCTGCTGAGGCTCAACCTTTTGGTCTTCCGCAATCACTTCATGGACTTGAGCAAAGTCGAGTAACAAGTGGCTTCTTACCAGGCCATCGAGCGTGGAGAATAGGAGACATGTCGCAAGATCGAGGAATTTTTGGTACAGTGAACAGGATACCCACCCAACCAACCGTGAGTTGAAGAACATGCCGGTTATGACAAGCGAGATGGAGTGAGCGAGTTTAGTACCTCCGGCGTTGTCGGGGGTCATCGTACCCGTCGTTCTCGTGGTGGCGTTTTCTGGAGCCATAGTCGTCGTCGCGTCTGCCTCCACCATATCGGTCACGGTTCTGGTCTCGGTCGCGATCTCGATCTCGGTCTCGGTTCTCATACCCTCTGTCACGGCTGCCGAGAGGGTCATTGTTACTTCCCGTCGCTCCTCGGCCCCCGTATCCGTTTCGTCGGTCGTCATAGCCGCCGCCATAGCCGCTTCGTCCACCGGGCCCGCTGGGTGCGTTTGGTGGCGGAGGTCCGCTTTGGTATCCGCCGCGTCCACCGAAACCGCCTCTTCCCTGGTAGCCGACACCTCCTCTGCCACCAAAACCTCCGCGGTCGCCGCGGAAGTCGCCACGGAATCCGCCGCGGAACCCACCACGACCTCCGAAGCCACCTCTGAAGCCATCCCCGTATCCACCTTGAGGTGCGCCATAAGTAGGTCTTGCAGGAGCTTGCCTGGTATATCCTCTTCCACCCAGGCCGCCGCCAAATCTTTTAGGCCGCCATCCAGGGACCATGCGACCACGTTCCACATCCACGACTACTTTTCGGTCTTTAATGCGTAGGCCATCTGTTTCTTTGTATGCTGCTGTGAAGAGGTAAGGATGTCCCGGGTCAGTCTCATTGCGTCTTACCATGCCGTCAGGGTGATGGATGGAGGGATCAAGGGCAGAAGGGCTTTCGTGGAAGAAAATACCTCGCATATCTTTTTCTCGTTCATAGACGATGAAGGCATAGCCTTTATGCGGCTTCTTGGGTTTGGGAGTCGTCTCATCTTTGACAATTCTGATCCTCTCAATGGGACCAAATCTGCCAAACTCCCGTTCGAGATCGGCTTCTTTGACATCGTAGCTGAGGCGGCCAACGAACAAAGTCTTAACCGCGTCACCTTTGATTTTGGGGTCCTCATTTGGTCTGTAGGCCTGGAATTCTGGCTTCTCTATCTCTGCTTGACGCAGTTTCTTCTCATATCGCTTGCGATCACGCTTTTGCAGCCAGGACTCGGTCGGCTTGTAGACATCGTTCTCCTTGTAGTCGTCGAGCTGAGGCAGGAAGGCAGCAATTCCAGAAAGCTGCGACTTCTTGACAGCTCTTTCTTCTGGGCCGGAATCCTGGGGAGGGATGTAGCGCAAAGGCGGTCGAGGTTGAAACAGAGCAAGGAGGTTCGGGGGAAGTTTGTCAGTCATCTTGACGCGATGCTGAGGCAGGCTCTTTCAATCGAATGTACAATGGTCATAAGGTAGAAGCGGAAATGAAAGCATTAGGAGTACAAAACCTAGGAGATTCGAACCGCGAGACTGACTCGAGAGTCACTGCGCAGTGTCTTGGGAGGGATGAATGGACTGCCTGGCATTGTTTTGAGGATACGCTGAACTTCTCCCTGAGCTGCTCGACTGCTTCACCAGACGCCGAAAGCGGCTTAGTGCCGCCTGTCACGCCGCCGTCAAATCATTCTCACCAGGCTGCGACTTGTGGAATGCTTGCTACATCCCCTCTCTGACAGCAGTCTTTGCGTCAAAGAACTCTTAAGCTACAACCATCTGATGAAGAAAGCCCAAGCTTTTCCTTATGTTCTCTAGTGTGGACAGGCTCATGATGGCGCTGAGGAAGTCGAGCACAGCCATCCCCTACCAGACTGTCCCCCAGTCCGAACGGGTCTGAGAAATCGCCTTTAGCTTGACGGCAGCCTGAGATATTCGGCATGCGTACCTCGTAGAATACGTATCTTTCAAAAGTGTTTTTGATGAGAGTAGTAATGGTACAGGTAGGCCTAATGTGGCAGAATGCTAATGGTTGATAATTCAGGGGCGGTCCTCATCTCACCACCACGGCTAACAACCTGGCAGCATGGAGGGTCTGAACTCGAGCAGCTGATTTCACAGGACGTCGTTAGATGCCTGGTGTTCGACGACGCGAGACTTCAGCGTTCCGCATGCGCAATCTTGGCCTCTAGGTACTCCCTGGCACATGCAGTAGGCGATGAGGCACAGGACCCAAACCCATCCTTTCTGGGGACCATGAACAATACGCTGTTTCATCGAAACACTGAAGGATGTACCCTGTTTCCGCACGTGGCTCGGGTTCCAGGTTATTACGTGGCTCGAGTTATTACATCCGCCGAATGGATAGGTTTGCAGTTGCCGTCTTCGTGTTGCGGTGGCTCGATCAGGACCCCGCGCGGACATGCTTCAAGTACATCTGGAGTTCGATATTGTACCAGACCTAGAAGCCTCAGGGGAATCTCAACATGAACAGCGAGATCTTTCAGCGAACGGGCAGAGCTGAACCTGGCTTGTGTCCCCATGCCCACCACTCTGAGAAGCGAGTTTCTGTCTCTACGCGAGGCACTGAGGACTCGGTCGCTGACTCTACATGGGCTTCTCGAGTATGGGGGTCAGATTAGCTTGGCGTTGGAACGGGACGCGTACGAGCATGCAGCCTACGATCGGTTCAAGGCCGCTTGGGTGAGTGGTCTTCTATCCGTAGCAACCAAAGGGAGCTTCCTTGGAGGCCTGGAAGCGAGCGACAAGCACGTTTTGCGCTATCAAGGCATGGTTGATCATCGACCTAGCAGCCTGCCACTTTCCATTCAGCGGAGCATTCCCGGCTTGAAAGTGGTGCCTTGTAAGACCGATTTGAACCAAAATCACGTTGCACGCTGTCGGTAGACGCATCTCAACCGCAGCAATCACCAGCTTCTATTAACAGAACGAACGCAGCTTGACGACAACCATGCACCGTCAACTGCGAAGAGATTACTACAGGCTCCAGCCTTTTGGCACGATTAAGCATCTCCGATTTCCCCAACCTGGCGTATTCGTATTTCAACAACTCACTCTGGTGCCTCATGTCTGCCACGAGAATTGAAATCAGCCTTGTGAATGCCTTGTGATCTTCCGCAAATGTGGCATCCCACCGTGCCGTTGCTCCTCCAGCATCGTTCCGATCCACCCTGGAGCTACTGAATATCATTGTCCGCAGAATACCCCTGATTGGGACTGGTTCGACACCAAAATACGATCGAAGCGAACGGCAATGGCCAATTACCGTCAACATCTATTTCTAGAATATTGAAGCGTCAGCTACCACGTCTTTGAGCTCTCAAGAATGCGACTGCCTGGAATACTACATATCCCCCCGGCGCTCTTCTTTGTTCAAGCTCTGTATTCGGTGCATCCGGCTGCTGACCAAAGTAAGTTGCCTCTACTCGTAATCTCGCATCATGCTTTGCCACATTGGCTTCACAGGTCTTTATTTTACATTTACCTTCTTAGGACTCATATATGCGGCTCCCCAGCAGTACTGCAAGCCCGTCCCTGGCTCTGCAGACTGGCCTTCTATTTCAGACTGGCAAGCCTTGAACAGCTCCGTCTCAGGTCGTCTCATCACACCCGTTCCCCCCGGCTTAGTATGTCAAAGCAACAGTTCAGTACACAGCACGGCAGCATGCACAGAGCTCTTGGGTCAATGGGGCAACTCGTCGTTCCATGCAAATGATCCCTTCACTGCTGATTACAACGATGATTCGTGCCTGCCCGATCCGAGAGCACCTTGCTCTTCAGCATCTTTGCCTGCGTATATTGTGAATGCCACCACCGCAGCGGACGTTCAAGCTGCTGTAAGATTTGCTCATAGGAGCGGTGTAAGGCTGATAATCAAGGGAACGGGCCATGACTTCCTAGGACGGTGAGCGTCGACCTTCCACTCCTGACGCCAAATCGCTAAATCGCATAACAGGTCTTCCGGACCAGGCGCTCTCTCGATCTGGACGCACAACCTTCGTGGCGTCAAGGTTACCATGGGCGACTCCCTAGCGAAACGATACGGCGGAATGGCATCCGTCAAAATCGCTGCCGGTATGCGCTTCGGCGAAATTTATCAAGCTGTCGCGGCGTATAACCTATCACTCGTGGGAGGTGCCGATCCAAATGTCGGCGTTGGCGGTTGGGTCACAGCCGGCGGCCACTCTCCCATCAGTAGCGCGTACGGTCTGGGAGCAGACCAAGTCCTAGAGATGGACGTCGTGACCGCCAACGGAACGCGCTTGACCATCAATGAAGATTCATACCCAGGCTTATTCTGGGCCATGAGAGGCGTGAGTGCTCCCGTCCTGTTTTGTCTAAACAAGCGACTCACTGACCTTCAGGGTGGTGGCTCTACCTTTGCGGTTCTCCTGAGCGTCACAGTGCGCGCGTATCCCACATTTCCAATAACAGTGTACAGCTTCAGCTACAACACGACCGCCGACACCGATACGTTTTGGTCGTTGGTTGCGTACTTCCACAGCCAGCTGCCCGAGCTCTCCGACGCCGGCGCCATGGGTTACTACTTCATGATGCCGAACAATAGCCTCGGCCAACCGGACCCGGCTCGCCACGGCATGCTCGCCGGCGGGTGGATCCTGCCCAACAGGACCGTGCAGCAGACCAAGCAGATCTTAGCACCATTGGAAAGCACACTCAGGAACAACACCCTCGGCTGGGATGACGCGGTATGGATGCTGAACGAGACCCTCACGCTCCCTGATTTTACCAAAGCGTGGCTTCAATTTACCACGCCCGAGGCTGTCGGAGCGGACCTCCGCCTCGGCTCTCGCCTCCTTGACCGCAAGGCCCTGAAATCTGACCCAGCCAAGGTGAAAAGGCTGTTCAAGCAAGCAAACACAAACCCGCAGTCTACCGTCCTTGGCCACCTGATCGCTGGACAAGGCGTCAAGGAGGTCAAGAACGGCATCCCAGGTGGGGGCAACGCCGTCCTCCCAGCTTGGCGAAGAGATGTCTACACGCACATCGTCCTGCCGCGAACGTGGCCGTATCTCAACGAGACGGCTAAACACGAGACCACGACGCACCTCCGCGAGGTTGAAACACAGGCATTAAGAGAGCTCGCGCCGGACACGGGGGCGTATATCAACGAGGCAGACCCCACGGAACCGAATTGGCAGGAGACCTTCTGGGGCGAGAATTATGCCAGGCTGTTGAGCTTGAAGCGCGAGTGGGATCCCGCGGGCGTGTTCTGGTGTGTGCCGTGCGTAGGACATGGTGATGGATGGGAGGTGAAGAGCGACATCGGCCTAGAAGGGGCTATTGGGCAGAGTCCTGGGCGGGTTTGCAGGACGACGACTTGAAAGTCGAGTTACGGTAAGGATGAGTGATGGCCGCAGAGGATAGGCTGTGTTGATCTTGGTGCCTTGTCAGAGAGGGACGCTGTATCAGCAAAGACTTCTCGCTACGTTCGGCGTGTATGGTCGATGCCTAACAATGCGTGAGGACTGAACTGAAGTGCCTACACTGGCAAGAAAAAAAATGGCCACCTTAGCACGCTGGTAGATCTCGAGGACTCTCCATCACGATGCAGCCTCGCTTCCATGCGAACCCGTCCCTCGGCGTATCAAAAAAGTCTTCTGCATCGGACCTCCGACGCATCCGTCTGCTGTCTTGTGGACTGCATTGTCTGACGCGAGTCATAACCCATACGTCGAATACTTTGTCTGTTTAGAAGAGGAGCGAAGATGCTAGGCGTGCGAGTGATCGACAGTCCTCACACAGTGTGAGGCCTTTGAGGTCGTCTCAATGTACGGTCGAGGATTGAAAGTTGACTTGAGCGAGAGTACCTCGACTCAACCCGCCTCAGCTACTGTAAGTTCAAGTGCAAAAATTGGGCTGGTCGGAACTCGCATCACACCCCTTCATCGCCCGGTCGGTGGGGGCATTGACTACACAGAACGGACGAGAGGCAGCGAGATGAGTCTCGCGCCCGTAATTGAGTAAGTGATCTATTGACGAAATCGAACTGATCCGGGACGAGCGACGAGCAAAGCTGTCTACTCCGTGGTGCATGTATCGTGTAGGCAGGGCAGACGCTCGTCTAACAAGGTACCTACCTAGGTATGCAGGCTCAAGACTGCAACCCTCGGAATAGACCTATGCACACATCTTACCATGAACCAATCTCAGCCTGGGTTCGCTAGTTCTGAGTCACCTTTTCTCAGACGCATCTCACCTTTTACCTCATATCAAATCACCCCCCTCACTGGACAGATTCACATACCCATCCAAGGTCCCTAGGCAAGTAACAAGTGCAATCGCAATTCCAGAAGACCACACCTCTTCCCCAACTCTCCGCTTCAAGCGCAGAAGATGATGAAAAAGCAAAACGCAGGTGTTGTGGTGTTCAAAGATTCCCAAGCGAACCGAAGTCCACAAGGAGTGGTCAGTTGTATAGTTTTCACTGGATCAGCCAAGTCAGCCCGTCAGTCAGTCAGGGAGCACAAACTTTTCCATCCTGGAAGGGGAGTCCGCGCGACGGGAGAACTGGGCGGTTGTACTTACACTAGCAAAAATCTGGCATCGGCTGTAGCCTCACGCGCGCAGATAAAGCCCGTGCACTGGACAAAGTTAGTGTCTGACAGATGCTGACATCGCTGGTGAGGAGGATGTGCGTGGGGAGGGCACGCACCTAGAATAAAGAAGAAAGAAAGGGAAGAAGAGACAAGCGAAAGTAGAGTCACGCTTTTGAAGCCTGCGCGAAGTTGCGAGGTTGCCAAGGATTGATTCGCGGGTTGCGCTAGCATGTGATTGGTCGATCAGGCTCGAAGGTACACGTGACTTTCTGAAATGGCGAGAGATGGCCAAAACCAGTTAGTCTGAGCCTCGCATGTCTGGTCTTGCCTTGCGCTCGCTTGTGGTAAGTTTGTCGACTTTCACCAATTCTCGAGCTCGAACGGTTTGGGACACTGCTCTGCACCACGAGCGTCACGGATTGCTCCTGCTAGTGCTGCTGCCACTACTGCCGCAGCACGATCAAACATCCTCGCGCGTGTCCAACCATGGGTGTGCAGGGCGTGAAAACCGTCTCCACCGCGCGGGTCAGTCCAGTTCATTTCCACCCGCACGCAAGCAATTGACTCCCATCCATGGAGAATATGCTGACAGAGCTATCATCTATCTAGAACGGCCTGGGCGCCTACATCCTCCAATGCACGCGCCTCTCCCTGACGTACAGCGACCACTGGGTGTCCTCGACGGGGCTCCTCTCGCTGCTTCGGTCGCCGCTATTCCCCGCCCTCACGCACCGCTACCCGAGCGTGGAATTTCGCATCTCGCCGATCCCCAACCGCCATCCCGTCCTGAAGGCCCAGTACGTCAACGGGCGGAGTAAGGCCATTTGCGTCAAGAATCTGTCCAAGGAGCAGGTGGCCGAGAAGATGGAGTTCTTGCTGGGCAACTCGGGCCAGAAGAATGTCAGGGTGGGCGGGAAGAAGGTCGTGTCGCTGAATGAGAGTGTGCGTGGGGTATGGAGTCCTATGCATGGGGGGATCCAGAAGATCTGAAAGTCGTCGCCTGGTCACGAATCGGCGGGATGAGCTGACTGCCGAATATACTGGATTGTGGTTGCAGGGAATGAGAGTAGCTGTCTCAAGGGTTTCGGCTGCTGGAGAGGCACGAAAAAAGGAGGGGGAAAGGCTTGGATCCGAGATCCTGGGGCTACCGTGTCCGGCTGGTGCAATCAGAATGCAAGAGCCTGTGTAGGCAATGCTTGGATAGAACAACGAGCAGGGCTTTGGGTTGACCAAGCCTCCATGCCTGATATCTGAAGCAGCACTGACCCAAGTTCGACGTCGGATCATATCAGCGCACGCCAAGGCCGAACGGGGGCGAACGATCTTGTCCGTCGACATGCAAAGGTTGGAGCGATGGAATCTTGGGTGGGTTCAGACTGCAAGTTACGCAGCCCGCCCAAATCCGAGAAAGACAAAATCTATGGTGATGTTGGGAAAGGCTGGAAGGGCGGACGAAGCCCGACGAGTCAGGCGACGAAGCTAAAGCCCTTTCGAAGCTTGATCCCATAGTCCATAAGCGAACCAGAAAAGCAGGAGAAGAACCACTGCTTACTTTCTGTGTCGCTTCAACAATGTACAATAAATATGTAACAGAAAGCAACCAAAGATGAGGATTTCCAGCATCAATTCCCGATGTCCGTCACAAGCGCTATACGAGGTGTTGTTCAGCCGTAACCTCGTTCAATGCTCATTACTGATATTCCCGATCATCTATCCTGCACTCGCAGATTCGAGAGGCTGCACAATTCGAACTCCGGGCCTTTCGACTTCCTGGCAGATGGCCCTATCATAAGTATATGGGGAACATGGCTGTCTTGCTGACAACCTTCGTGGTGCATTTGTCGGCCTGGCAGACCGAGAATGGCGGTGATCTCGTTGACTCTAGTTTCTTCTCGTTCTCCTTGCCTTTGCCCTTCTTTGTGGTTCTGGATTTCGAACGATTGGTGGCACATTCGCCGCAATAGACCTAAGCCGGGTTAGAACAAAATCTGCAGATTAAAGGGATTGAAACTCACGTGTCCGCAACCTTTCACCACCCATACTTGCTGCTTGACATCTCCCTTCCCAATCGCTAGCTCGTCGCCGCACATCGGACATAGGATGACATCCTCCTCTTTGTACGTCCTCGTGAATCCCTCTTTCGCCACTGGAGGTGCCTTGTAAGGCTCCTGGACGACCTGGGGAGTCTCGGAACCGCGATCGAAGGGGTCAAACATGGCAAATCCAGGCCGAGCATAGTCCATGGTGATATTGAGGGTGCCCCCTTCGTGCGGTTGATTCCTTCGCGGCACGCCATCCAACCGATCTAAAAAGCCTTCGTTGTAGTCCCGCACGGCATTTTGCATGTTCCCAAGCATGAGTGAGGTCCCCCTTCTCAGTATGTCCAGTGGAAGAGCGAACGTGGCGTGGCCAGCAGCTGGCGGCTGCGGTCTTCGGGGCTGCGGGATACGTCTCTCCTCGAGAAATTGGACTTCCGGACTGGCCATCGAAGGAGGTGAAGCAGCTGATTCAACGGTCTCCGAATCATATCCATCGGTTTCGCCTCGGAAGAACTCCTCTGGACCAAGGTCGTCAGAGCCGGAGTCAAAGTCGGAGTCCTCGCCGTCCGAAAGAACTATCACGGTTCGCTCTGGTCCCCTGTGGCCAAAGGGCGGGGCACGGGGTAGTTGGTCTGGCTGTTGCTGTGCAGTCTGTTGCTGAGATTGGGCTGTTCGGGTCTGTGCTTGTCGGTGTGCTCTGCCTGCAGCCTGCATTCCTTCATTTAACTGGTCTGTGGCTTGCCTTCGTGATTGTTGCTCTGCTGTCTGCTGCCACATCGCCACCCGCTCTGGCCTCGACGGTCGTGTTGACGGTGGTCTCAGAAGTTCGGGAGATGGCGAACCTTCTGAGGCTGTAGAGACATCGTCGCTGTCCTCGGCGGTTAGATCGACGAAATCATTCGGGGCCGGCGTTTGCGTCGTTCGTGCACTCCGCGTGGTCATGACGGGCCTTCGATAGTCGTAGCCGTCTCCCTCGTATCGTAGTCTTGGTTCGAAGTGGTTAGGCGAGGTCTGTCGTGAAGCAGGAGGACTGGGGTTAGAGTCGAGAACTGCGGGAGGGCCGATGCAGCGGCGCTTGGAGGGTACGTGGTCGGGACTAGGGCTTCGGCTCTGCGAACGGGTGATTTCAGCGTGAGATCTCTGTAAGAATGTTAGGAAACTGCCTGAGACAGACTTCACCTGACTACGGGTGAATAGTCAGCTGAGAGGATGCAGAACCACACCTTTCTGCTGGAAGAGCCCGCCGCCGCGTTGAGGAAGTTGCTCAGGGCAAGAGTGCCTGCCTGAGGCATGATCAAGAAGCCGACGAGGGCAGATCAACAGAACGTCGTGATAAATCTCATGAGGCAAAAGTCGTGGATGGTGGTAATAGTGACAGTGTGAAGTTGTGGGAAGTCGAGTTCAAGCGCAGTTGGTGATGTCGTCTAGCAAACCCAAACCCACCCAAGTACGGAGTAGTGGCAATCGAGTGAACCGACAGAGGCAGTGGAAGTGGAAGCGGATGAATTTCCGCTGAGCAAGACAAAAGCCACCTGAAAATGGCCACTCGCTCGCTCGTTCGGCTGGATGATGTTGTGCGATGATGTTCTCGGACTGGTCAATGCACGCTCAATTCCTTGCCCACCACCACTTGAAATGCCACAATGTTGAGTAAAACTGCAGCGACCTCATCCGCATTGGGGAAGATGGTGACGCCGCCTTGTGCTCACCCCCGGCTCCCGCGAGTCAGGGTGCGCTCTCACGCGTGTCTCACCCGGCGTGGGGCGAAAGGTCGTGCCGCCTGGACAGGGATAGTGCAACGCCGGTCAGACTGGGCGGTCCGCGCCCAGCGATGATTGGCATTAGGAACCAAAGTGGATATGACCAGAGGCTTGTGAAGGCGACCGAATCATCATCCAGGCGGTCGTGACAAGCAGCGCCGCTCGGTGGCCGTTTCGATGATTAGTGTCGCGGCGCCGCTTGACCTGAGCGGGAAAGGCGGCTTCTGGCGCGTCCTTTAAATTCTGCCGCTTCTGAGGGTACATAACCGATCCTCGCTGCTTTCCCCTCCACTTGCGACCAGATAGTCCCTCCACGACCACGATCTCTCCACCCTCTGCCCTCTGCTGGCTTCGCCCGAAGGCCAACTCGAGCTGACCCTAGCACCACCGTCATGCTGCGAGGCACGAGTTCCCCCTGACGTCACTTCTTGAGCGAAATCAAGAGGCCTGCTCGATTCACTTTCGCTGTCGTGGACCGCGCGCCCTCCCACCACCCTCTAGAGTAACTCCCCGGGATCGTTAAAGCCGTCGTCTTTTCCATGTCGTCGCCGCCATGCTCGAACCGCGAGCTCCTCCCTCCGTCCCACCACGTGCGCTATCGCCATGCACCCAAGTAACGAAGGGCTCTACGTCCTCCCGCCTCTCGCAGCTTCTCGTCGACGACCTGCGCCCAGCTGCACGAGGTCACCATCTATATACATGCAACTGAGCGAGTCATTCCGACGGTGTCTATTGTCGGTCGCACCCTCCTAGCCGGCTTGTTGGGTTCACACTCGAGTGATTCTCGCCCTACACACTGCCGGACCTGCCTAACGCTTGGCCTGTTGAGGCGCACGATCCCTCGGATCCCTCGATGTGAGCTAATGGCAGAAATGCCTACTGAGATGGCCTGCATATGGGCGACACAATGCGAGAGCCGAGACGCACCAACAATCCTCCACGCTCCGTCATCGCCACTAAGCTGTGCCCTCCTGCCCTGCAAACCCGGCGCCCGGCTTGCGAGGGGCATTGGCCAAGGACTGTTGAGCCAAGCTTGGATTCTGCCTCGCCCGAGGCGGACGTCCTAGGCGAAGCTGGATTCGGAAGCAGGAAAGAGAGGGCAATCGAGAAGGAGGGATCGGAGTGGTGCGCAACAGGCACGAAAAGTGACGGACGCCTGCGAGCGTTGCCCTTTCGGGCCCATCATTCACTCGGCCTGTCCGCCTCCACCACAGAAGTAGCTGGTACCGTCTAGCTTATCCCTTCGGCCAGTCAAGCGGACTCGATCGCGAGCAAGCGGGAGAAGAGGTGCGGTTTTAGATAATGTCCGCTGACGAGGAACGAGCTTGCACTCAAGTGCGTAGTGGCGAGCGCCCGCAGTCCACGAGTTCGGACCAGATTCACCGCTGTCTCGGAGGGAGGAGGCCCCTGCTGCTTGTGACAAAACACATTTTCCGTCTCCGGGCGGCGAGGATACGAGGGAACCAGGGTCCGAAGCTGGACACGGTAGCCCAGCGTACCTTGAAAACCCAGGTATCTTACGCTCCGTCGCGGGCTCTCTGCAGTGGCCTAATTTTCAGCGAGGATGAACACCAACTATTCCCAAGTGATGCCCAGCATTTCCCTTCTGACCGGGGATTGAGATTCTCCGTGCCGGACGCTATACTGGGACCAGGACCTGCCGTCACACATTGAGCACGTCCATTCGAGTTGCGGAAGCATCAAATGAACAACAAATCTCTTGGGGGCATAGATCGTTTACTTGATTAGGTAATGGAATGAGGCATTTGGACGTGCCATTGCAAATTCTCGATCACTCTACCATTCCGACAACCCTGTATTCGATTTCGGCTTTCCGACAGCAATCTCACCGTCAGGTTCGTGAAGCGAAAGTCGTTTTCATCCTCCGGCAAACTATCTTTCCCGACAAGGATCTCCCAAGCGGCACGGATCGTCTTGCCTTCCGCTGTCGGCCCAGCCGCTAAATCATCCAGCCCGAGCAGCAGACTGTTGATGCGATATTTCATGTCCAATGTCCTGACAATTGCCTGACACAGTCCTTGCTGCATTTCGGGGGGCTCACGTCTGGTAAAAGCGCGAATTCTCGCCATGGAGGATTGGCTCAAGAGGGTTTCCCATACTGCTCAGACCGGCCCATTGGTGGTGTGCCTTTAACGTGTCCGTTAAGGACGCAGAACTGCCTAGGGCTTCGAATCCAGTTATCCCACGATATACGCATCTTCCAAGATCTCTTTTCGAGATTGACCTGACGAAGATCGGACCAGTTCTGGCATCTTTTCTGAAGTTGAAGACCGGTGCCGAGCAGCGGCGTGCTTCAAACGAGCGGCGACGAGGTTCTCAAATGGGAAAAGGGTCAACCTTCTACGACCCAAGTCGTTTTTAGACTTCTCATCGTCCAAAAAGGAAGAGCCGGATTCAAGGATAACCAGGGTGGGCAGGGCTCGAGAACGTTGCGGTGGGATTCGACGAGGTCTCGGAGGTCCGGATCAACTGAGATCTGAGACGCCATCAATCAATACCACGCGATCGCCATATTTTCGGTGAACTCTACCTTCTTCCAATGACTATCCACGAATGCACCCACTATCTCGTTAACATATCTCCGGAACCTGCGAAATCACAGTAACGCCGGGATGAGGTCGCCTTTGGACTTCAAGAGCGATATGGGTCCATAAGTTTTCGCGGAGGGACTGTAGAAGGAGTTGAATTTGATTTGACGTGCTTCAAGTCCAGAACAGGATGTCTTTCGGCGCCGAAGTCGCCATGCTGGGAGGGAAGATTTCTTTGATGCGACAAATTGTCGCCTTCGCACACGCATAGCCTTGAGTGTGGGGATTATCCAATGACCGGATCATATCATGTGACCACACTAACCTTGTTGCGCCCAAGCAAACAAACCGCTTAGTAAGCAATTCTGGCTCGGTAAAATCCACAAACTCATAGCGCGTTCAATAGCGCCGAGCGCGAAGTGGCTCTACTGGGTACCTGCAGATAGATCGCATGATCGATCAAGTTGCCGCAGTTTGCTCTATCTGCACGACCAACCTCTCGCTTCTCGCCAACTTGTTACGAACCGACCTTGTAGGCGGCCACTCCTGCAGGCATCAACCCCCGACCAGGAAAAGAACCCTGAGGCTACTAAATAGCGATATAGTACTCTACTATGTCTCTTGAGCGGAACCTCATAGTAGTTCCTTTGTATCCGTACGGGAGACAGCGTGACTCTTGAGGTACTGCGGATACGGTCAACTGATTGGCAGTGTGTGAGGGTCATGAGTTGGTCAGGAGGCTAGGAAGCGGTTGGGGGTTGATCGAGGAGAAGGCAGTGACAGCGGTAGGGTGGCCACTACTTTGCGTGTAAAAGCCCCTCTGCCTTCAGCGTGCTGGCTAACACCCTATCCGTCAGCCGGGGAGTTGAGGAGGCATTTCTGCTGGCAGAATCTTGCACATAGCCCTGGTTAGATAGTGGGGAAGCCCTGGTTAAACAGTGGGAAAACCCTGGCTAAACAGTGGGGAAGCCCTAGTCAAATAGTAGGGAAGCCCTGGTTAAATAGTGGGGAAGCCCTGTTTTTCAATGTCTACTGTCGATTCCGAAAGGAATCGTGCTGCAATAATATATACAGTACAATGGAAAAAGTGACCGCTGGTACCAGCGAACGATACAAACATGGATGCATAATTAATCCTACTTCGCAAAAGCTTCCAAGGAACTGCAGTGTATTCGACCAGATACCTCTCACGTCATGGCACTACAACTGTAGCCATGGCAAAGGCATCGTACTGACTTCGCCGCCCAACTCTGCCGATCCGAAGGATCAAGTGTCTGCCATCGTTAGAAGTCGGGACACCGCTGGCCGGCTTGAGAAGCTCGCTACAAAGCGCAAAAACATCCACGTTGTAGTGAACTGGGGCGAGGCGTCATGGCCAAACGGATATGCCTCTCGTGCGGCGGCTGGCAGGGCATCTCAAACTAAACCACACACTACATCTTGAAGGAACGGCGCAAAGATCTTGAGTAGAGTGTCGGTGTTGCATGCGTTGCTTGTCTGTCTGCCATCTATGTGCTATCCGTGAAGTAAACAAGTACGAAAAGGAAAAGAAGCGCAGCCTTGCGCTAGAGTGCCAGCCAATCAGAACGCTCGGTTGCTAGGCTGGACTGTGTCCAGCGAAGTGGCAGCCTTGCTAACCCCTAACCTCTCTCAACCCTATTACAGTAGTGACCGTCCGACCCTGCGAAATTGGAGTAGGCTGGCGCTGAGGTCTCCGAAGCCGAGATATGCCATATCTCAGAAAAAGCTGCGTGTGCTGATTAGGCGGACAACTATACTAGAGACTACGCATGCATAGCCGATTGACTTTGTCGAGATATGGACGAGGTTCACCTATTCTATGTACACGCAAATTCGTCCGTGACCGATGACGAGACTTACGGCTGGTGTAACGCATGTAGTTTTCCTTCGGTATTATTGGCGCAGGGCATACATACTCCACGCTCCAGGTCAAATCAGATTTGGTCTAGTGGGCTCCCACCGGAACCAGAAAGCACGAAAACAATAGAGTGGTCCTGCAACCACGTGTACACTTTAGTCGATGAAGTCGAGCTAGCCGAAGGGACGGAACGGTGGGGCTGTCAGAGCCCCCCAACCATTCCCGGCGCGTAGTTGCCACCAGCGGTGGTAGCTTCCCAGAGAAGTTCATGTGTCTACAGGTCAGTCGATGTCTCTAGTATCAGATGCCCTCCTCTAAATGGTGAGATCGCCATTCGTGGTTGGAAGGCAGCTTCGAAACGAACGGGTTCTTACCCGGGGCATTTCACGGCACAAGAGCGCACATTACAGTCCAGCATTGAACCTTGGCTGAACGGTTGTCGGGAAGCCGACCGTCTGATTCGAGTGCATGCAAAAACAGCCGTGGACCATCGTGTGTGAGAGACGCGAAGCTGAGTGGCTGAGTCCTTGTGTTTGTGCCGCCTCGCGTTCACGTGAGCACCAGAAATGGCCCGTTCCCCGGCTTGGACGCCGGAGGTCGATGCCCGGGATCCTTCCCCCGGAAGGTGCCTCCACGATCACATCCGAGGGTAACGCGGGGTACCTTTGCCTTAGATTGTCAGAGCTTCAGGACTTTCCAATATTCGAGAGTACATGGCAAGAATTCTCATAACCTCCGAGTTAGCGAGCAACTTCCGACCACTGGAATAATTTGGGGTTCCACGGAGAATGGAGGCCGCGTCCGCGAGATCAGACAGCGTCGTCAGCACCATCAACGGCCCCAGCCACCCACGCAAGCCGAAAAGCTCGAAGAGGGATGCAACCCATGGAAACACGCTCGCCTGCACATATTGCAGGCTGAAGAAGACTAAGGTATGGCTAAGTTGACAACGCCATGTCTGCCGGTAACAGGCGGACTGATTGCTTGCTTTCCAGTGCGAATACGCTCCAGATGGTTGCCCAAGATGCAGAAAGCTGGGCGTCACTTGTATCTGGCCCAATGGAGACCAACGGAAGAAGTGAGTTGTCGTCTTTTGAATAAGTGAGAAGTTGACGAAAACAGTCCGTCATCAAAATCCCATATCAGGGAGTTGCACGCTCGCATTGCACGACTCGAAGCCGCACTGGCGGAGGCGCGCTCCCAGCGACATCCGAATCCCGAGTCTCAGAAGGACGCATCAGCCGCCGAAGCAGAGGCACGCAGCCAAAACCTGATTTACCGACTGACCCAACGTGGCTGGCAACTGAACAGCGACGCTGAAGGACAGTACAAGTTTTTCGGCCCAACCTCCAGCGTGCACTTGACGGAGAGTATCTCAGTGTCGATACTTGAACCGTGGGGGGAGACCGCCCTCAACGAAGACGACTTCACTATCAGTGATATCGATCTGGAGACACAAGCCCACCTGCTCGACTTGTACTGGAGGTTCCAACACACCGTCCTCCAGGTCTTCCAAAAGGACACGTTCCTGGAAGGCTTGGAAAAGGGGAATTCGAAGTACGTTAGCAAGGCCCTTCTGTATGCCGTCTACGCCTGTGGGGCGCGAATCTCGCCTCGAGCAGATCTAAAGCAGCTGGCTCTCCCGAGAAACTTTGACGACCCCGGCGAGGAGTTGCCGTATCTCCTGGCCGAAGCCACACGACACACGGAAGAGGAGCTGAAAAGACCTCAAATCACGACCATCCAAGCGCTCCTCCTCCTGTCGGTGTTATACAGTGCCATCGGGCGAGACACCAAGGGCTGGCTTCTCACGGGGGATGCATGTCGATTAGCTATTGACCTCGGCATCCACAAGAACACTACGGGCAAAACGCCCCATGGCAGCCTGTCTCGCGATGATGTCCAGGCGCGGCAGCTAGCGTTCTGGGCCTGCGTGGTATTCGACCGGCAGTGGGCTCTTTATCTAGGCCGCCCACACTGTCTCAACGTAGGCGATATTGCCGCCCAAGAAGCAACGTGGATGGAAGTCAATCATTCATGGGAGGCCAAGATGGCCTATGCTTGGGTTTCACTACTTGTCATCGTGGGTAATATCTGCGACGTTCTCAACGCCGATGTTCGCGCCTACGAGAAACTTGAAGCGTTTGACCGGGCACTGCAATCCTGGCAATCCCACCTTGATGCCTCGCTTCGGTACCACAACGGCTGCCCGGCGTCGGTGTCCAGTCTACACTTGATGTTCTGCGCGGCCATGATCTTGCTGCATCAACCCACCGCGAAATTCGGAAGCCGTTCGAGCAGCGAGTCAGAGGCCGGCAGTGCCTATTCTCGACGACAGTGTATCACCTACTCGGCCGCGATGGCTTCTTGTCTCCAGAACTTCCAGCAACAACATGGAGACGTCACCACATTGTCGGGCGTCGCGCTCCATTCTATCGCCCTGGCTTCCACAACTCTTGTCGCTCTGATCGCCGAGAAAAAATCTGCCGACGTCTCAGCACAGATGCGTTCGCTCAAGACGTGCGTACGTGCGCTGGGAGAACTGGAGTCTACGTACGTGGTCGCAAGACGAGCGCGCAAGATCATTCAATTGATCATCAGAGTCTGCCATCTGGAGACCGATTACGTAGAGAGTCGACCTCGGCCGACACGCGTCTCCGCCAGCCCTTCCAGTTTTCTGGAGAACCGCGCCCCGGAGCAGGAGGCTGTGGAAGGCCCTCTCCCCTTGGACGTTGATATCCCCGACGGCACTGGGCTATCTGAATACAGCCCGTTCGCCTTTGATGAACACTTGCCAATGTCCGCCCAGTTCGATGTGTTCCATACCTTCGATGCAGAGGGTGTCGCGGGGCAGGACCCTTTTCAAAGGATGTGTTGATGGCGTAGGGCCATTGGGCTCAAGGTCTGTTCATGGAATCACACATGTATTTATCTGGAGACAGTAGCTGGGAGCCGGGCGTGCAAGTGACATTCGAGTTCTATACCTGACAATACTGGTCCGAAAATGTATTACCTTTCAACGTGTTGGTCAACAGTCGTGGCACGATGGTGTAGCTGCATATTGGTTTCACACTGCAACTTATCACAATCTCCCGGTCATTGCGGTCAACTCTGGAGCCCGACCATGGCAATCAGTCGTTGGCGTTTGTAGAAGAGTAAAAAAATGCTTTGCCCTAGCCCGAGAAAAGAGTGAGCTGGTACAATAGGTCTTGCTCCACATCTCGAAGGTTGACGTAAGAACTGTAGGAGCTATCCTGGACGCCACTGTCGAAGTCGACCGTCCCCGGTGTGGCGAAGAGGGTGTCATTCGCTTCGTCTTCGCTGTCCAAAAAGGCTTCAAACACTGCTGACGCCGATGGAGAACGTAGCTGTTGTGCCCCCTTGTATGGATTCTCCGAACCACAGTCTACCTCAAGATCCGTTGACAAGCACGGAGGTGAATGTTGGCGCCTTCCATCCTCGGAAGTTGTGTAGTCCCCATGCGAAACGGTCTTGCTGATGTGCGCCATCAGTCGATCGAGTGCTTGTTCTAGCACAAGACAGCTAGACCTTGCTGAGCTATAGGTGTCCTCCAGGCTGGCAAAGACCTTGATGCATTGGCGAAGAAGGGAGACGCTGTTCTCTCGAACGGAGGGCACTTCGGTGTAGCATTGCCTGAGGTGGACAAGAGCGGCCGGCATCAGCAATTGTAGGACACTTGCCGAGACGTAAGATAACAGACGATGCCGTCTGAGGAAGAGGAAACCCTCCGTCACCTCGGTAGCGGCGTGGATGAGCTTGATGGTGGATTCGTGCACGCCGAATTCGACCGGCTGCGCGGATTGGCTGAGCTGAGAACAGATGAGCAGGCTGAGCGCAGAAGCCGAGATGATTTGTAGCTCAATTTGGCGCGCCGACAGAACATTGATCGTGGTCTCGGTGTGCTGTGGTGGGCTCATCACGTACGGTGCGTAGGACTGCACCCAACCGTGGAGTTGTCGGGCACATTGGTTGACAGTCCCGCTGGATCGGGTCTGGAACCACCGGTCTCGGGGACTCTTCGTGCCCGGGTAAGCCCAGGGGCCGCTGTGTAGAGACATCTGGTCGCAGGCAAGAGTGCTGTCAAGACAGGCGTACAATTCGTTGTTGGCCAAGCACAGCCTGGTGTACTCTTCCTGCAGATCCGTCCGTTGCAGCAAAGATAGTGATGGGAGAGCCTCGGTCACAAGAGATGGGTAGCACCGGATGTCGAAATCGTCGAGCTTGAGTTTGACGCTATCGTTGGTCGTGAACGATCGTACCACGGACTTCTTGCAAGCGATCGCCAGACGGTGGTCCTGAACATAGCAGGCCCACCAGATGCGACGCCAGAGTGCCGATGGTGGGATGGGACCTGGTCCGTCTCGCAAGCACGCCTGGGATTGGGCGCATTCCAGGTGTAGCCACGCGAGATCAACCCACGCTCTGGAGTCTTCGGGCTTTTCTGGGTCCTCCTTTGCAATGCTCATGAGAATCAGTGACTGGCAAAGGCTCTGCCGATCCGTCTCGTAGTTTGTGTCGTACAGCGCCTGTCACGAGATCAGCAACAAGTGTACCCGCAAGATTCAGTCAACAAACCTTGACTCTCTCAAACAGGGCCTTTCTAGCAGCGTTCCTTGTCGGCCACCCAAGCTGCCTGACCACGTCAGGTCCAACAAACACCACGGCTGCAGCCATAATGGCCTGGAAGACCATCAGGCTCAAATCTCTTCGGCAGCCTTGATGGGGGGTGGTCAGAATCGTTTCCAGTAAGCTCCGTAAATGGAATATGGGGAAGACGCTGTGAATATGGTCGATATATGTCGCGAGGAGCACCTTGACGGCGGCATCGTTGGGAACATTGAACGCATGATTGGCCATGAGATATTGCAGCTTGTCTCGCGACAGCGTCGGCGGTACCGGCTTCATGCACGCATGAGGAAGCTGGACATTTGCCAATTCGGATGCTGGCGTAGAAGGAGTTGTCCTGGACGTGCGCAACAGTGAGCTTGGCTTGCTATCGCGTAAAAGTCAGCTACAATGCCTTGATTCTTGAGAGGGATCTGACCTTCTGGAAGGGTCGAGCAGCTGGCATTCCGCGCCGTCGAGAAGACAGTTGGTGCATGGTGTCCCTCGTTGCTCTGAATCACACCGCACCTTCCGCCTGCGACACACGACACAGGCGGCCTTGTTACGATGTTTCCGAATGGTGGCAGCTGTGTCAGTGTTTCGTGCGGCCAGCTTCGCCTTCTTTTTGATCTTTGGCACCTCGTTCGACTCTGCAGTGGGTGACAGCATCATTTTTGTGATCTCAGGTGTGACGTATTTGGGCGGTCAGTGGAGGGCGTTGAGATTGTCGAGTGCAGCAGCATCATTTCTACCTAAGCATTGGCGCCATCGACGGCTGAGAACCATTTTCGAAAAGGCCGAACTTGTAAGCAAGCGCGATTGCGGTCGAGCCGTGTCCCGGTCAGATCTCCGGAAGGACGAACGTCCCCAAACAATCGGCACCACATCGTCCCAGCTGGGAACGCTATTCATTGGTGGGATCGACGTGCGACCCGCACCCCGACAGGAGACTGACAGCGCCTTCCCAGTGGATGATAGCCGAAGCCTGGCCAGACGCAGAATGGGCCACAGCCTTGACTCCTTGCATCACGCCATTGGTGTACAGGCTCTGAGCGACCTGTACCAGGTAGAACGAGTGGCAACAGCTCTACGGGTTTGCGGTGCAGCTCACGGCCGCTATCAGCAAGGCAACGTGCTAGTCCTAGCACGAGCCTCGCACCAACAATGTCTTCAAGCGCGCCCCAAGCCTGGCTGCTACCAGAACGAGATCGAGCCATGCGCTAACCACTCGACGCGGTGACACACCGGCCGCTGATGTGTTCCCGGATGAATTTATCCCAGGAGTACGAGAAGCATGGGCGCTGGTCGTTGTTCTTCACCAGCGCGCCACTGGATGTCTTTGGCGGTGTTGGAACCACCCCTAATGCGATAGCAATCCTGTAAACCCCTGGATCAGAGGTTGTCGCAGGAATGATATGCGGAGCCGGGTCCGTCATGCGCATGACAACGACAACGAGCTCGGAGAACGACACTTAGGCTACACCAGCTGTATTATGAACGTCCTTGAAGTTAGCTACACAGTGTTTCCACTTCCAGCAATCGATCTGTAGGAGAGAGTGCGAGGACTTCTCCAATCAGAGTGCCCATTTCATGCCTGTAGGGAACAACAGCAGCCAGACTTGTGCCTAGAGCAATCGCTGCTTGATATGACGGAATGGCCATATCCGTGCCATAACGTCGGTTGCAAAGGCTCTGATTGTCACACCAGGAGAGAACTGTCGAAGCAGACAACCGCCGACAGGCTTCGAACGGTGCTCTACAGCCTGGGGAGAGCTACCCTGCAGGCAAGCTTACAGCTTGGTCTTTCCTTGCTTGCTTATATCGATGACAATCTTCCCCCACGCCGTGCCTGTTGCAGAGAAGAAGCTCAGTTTAGGCGGACATGCAACGGGGACGGGATGAACCTACCGGTAGAGAGCAGCTCCAAAGCAGCTGGGATCTCTTCCAACCCCTGGAAGTCCTTCTCGGTGTAGTTCAGAGGTTTGATCCCGCCCTTCTCAATCATCTTCAGCAGATTGTCCCAGACGTCCACCACACTTTCAGGTTCCATAGTCGCGTACATGCCCCAGAACAGACCCGACACGGCGACGTTCTTCAACAATATCCTGTTCGTGGCGATCTTCTCGATCTCTCCGGCTGCAAAACCGATGACGACCAGCCGACCACCCCAGCGGATGCATTTTAGACTGCGGTCAATGGCCCCCAGGGGGTCCAGAACAACGTCCACGCCGCGCCTGTCGGGTGTGCACTGCTTTGCTTGCTCGGCCCAGTCGCCTTTGGCGTCAACGACAAAGTGTGCCCCAAAACTCTTCGCGACTTGTCTCTTCTTGTCTGTGTCGGCCGAGGCGATCACGTACATGCCGAGTGCTTTGGCAATCGTCACCGCGGCGAGGCCAACGCCACCACCAGCAGCGTGGACGAGCACATAGTCACCTGCACGCTCGAGGTTAGCATCTCCGCTTGGCCTTTGTATAGAGGTTACACCGTAACCGGCAAAAGGCAAGACCGCCGCCACTCCTGTTTGAGGAGAATCATTTACCTTTCTTTGCCTGTGCACGCAATATCAGTGCCGCATAAGCGGTAGGTGCCGTATAGAAGAGACTGCAGGCTTCCAGGTAGCTCCACCCCGATGGAACGGGTCTCAAATCAGCCTCGCTCGCCACAAACTGAGTCGCGAACGCTCCCAGCCCTGCTCCAAAGACGCGATCCCCTCGTTTGAAACGCCATTGTTTTCCATCATCCCGTGTCGCGGTCGGCACAGCGACAATCTCTCCTGAGAATTCGTTCCCAGCAATGAAAGGCAGTGGGGGCTTCTGCTGATGCTTTCCTTGGATTTGCAGGTTGTCAAAGAAGTTTGCAGCTGCGGCATGGAGCTTGACTAGATATTTCGAGGGATGCGGTTGAAAGTCTGGTAAGGTTGCGACACGAAGCTCGCTTGGTCCCTTGACCAAGGCCGGAAGTTGGATCGCTCTCATGGTGATACGTTGACGGCCACGGCTGCTGCAACTGACGGACAATACAGATATAGATGCGTAGACGTTCCGACACAGCGTAGCAATCCAACAGCTGATTGGGAGAGCAGAAAGAGAACGAGAGCTGTTTGATCAATAGCTGGCGGAGGTTTCGAATGCATCCTCCACGGTTTCGACGACCTTTCCGGCCTCGGACTTTCCCTGCTAAGATAGTATGGAATTTGGACCCAGTGATGTGAAATTTACTCTTGAATGAACCTCGGGACCAGAGAGGGAGTCCACTCAGATATTCCTGACTCGTGGCCTGGAATGCACACTGCATGCAGCCCGCGGCCTTCGGGTGCCGACGAGTGGCTGTATGTGCGGCAGTGATATCCCGACACCACGAACTACGATTTACAAACCCATCACCACAGAAAAGTCACACAAATTAGGTCTGAACGATTCTCTATGCTCTCGAGCTTCTTCACCGGGGGCGCGGGCGGAAGAAAGCCGGTCTTCTCTCCACAGCATATACTTATGCTCCCCACTAGCGAGCACTATCCACGTGCTTTCAGAGCAGTGACTAGACCCCCTAAATGGATCATTGGGCTTCCGCGAGCCTTTTGCTGCTCGCCTCTATAGATCTTTGATAGTCCTATCTGCCTTTTCGAGGTATTCACCAGGCCGAGCAACCAACCCCACCAGGGAAGGCAAAGGTCATTTAGAAGGCAAGGATGAACCTGCAGCTCCATGTCTGCTGCGAGATTAGCCCTATACTGCAATTCGGCCAATACTGTAAACCCTGGGTACAAGGATCACGCGCTCTAAGGATATTGGTGGGATACCCTTAGGGCAGCTGCAAAAACCCCGAAGTTTGTATGAGACCTAAGGATAATCCTAGGTACTCTATTAGGATTATCCTTAGGTCTGACTAAAATTTTTGGTGGTATCCTTTTACGGTGGTCTCGGAAAATTAGGTAATCCTATATAAATTATAATAAGAGTGGGTATTGTCTCAGTAAAGTAAGTGCCGGGAAATCCGCCTGCGGTTTAGGCAGCTCGCCGCTTCGGGTATAGTCGGGTGCTCGGCGCGCCGCCGCTTTTCTCACCTCCGTCGCCTAGAGGACGCGCTACTACGTCACCACCCCCTCCTCGACCCTCACGAGCTATCGTAGATCGAGAGAGGTACCCGAGGATGGAGGACAACCTTGGCAGCTTGGCGCGTATTGGAAAGTGGCGGGGGGTGTGGGCTTGGCGGCGGCTCTCCAAAGACGAAGCTCGTTTCCTTCGAAGCCAATCCCCCCACCACTGATCGAACTAACAGCTTCCACCTCACCTTTACCGTGACATCGATGAAAAGCTTGGGTGGCCAGGGTGCTGTGCCCACCTTGGTCTACCTAGGCAAGTATATGCTGACTGCGACTTCGTGATAAAGAGCTCTGCTCCCTCCTCCAGCTCGCCCTGTGATCTTCGTGACCCTCCCTGCCTCCTCCCTGCGCCCCCGTGCGTTCCTCCCGTGCCTCTCGTTGTGTCCACGACGCCCACCCCCCCTCCTCCGGACCTCTCCACGCCGACTTCCTGCCAGAAGCGCCGGTTCTCGGGCTCGAGGCTGCTCTTTTAGAGCATACAAATCACCATGGCACGTGCTCGCCCACCTCAGAACGAGGGCGTGTTACAGGACAACGGCATGGGCGAGGCCCAGACCAAGGAGAAAAGAACCAGTGTAGCACAAATGGCAAGTAGTGCCGACGAATTGCTCGACATCCTAGGTTATCAGGCGGAGCTTGTGAGATCAAGGTCCACCTTTCAGGTCGCCTTCATGTCTTTCGTGCTCGCCTCGGTGCCCTACGGCTTGTCGACGACCCTGCTGTATCCGATCGCCGGCGGTGGCCCTGTCGCTGTCATCTGGGGTTGGTGTTTAGTCTGCGCCATCATCTTCTGTCTCGCTGTCTCGCTGGGCGAAATCACCACGGTCTACCCAACGGCTGGAGGCGTCTACTACCAAACTTTCATGCTCTCGCCGCCCAAATGGCGCAGAATCGCTGCCTGGATCTGTGGATGGTCGTACACGCTGGGGAATATCACCATCACGCTCTCGGTCAACTTCGGCACGACCCTGTTCTTCGTCGCTTGTATCAATATCTTCCAGGACTCCGAAGGCAACGGGATCTTCGCCGCCGAGACCTACCAATACTATCTCATCTTCTTCGCCATTACTCTGCTCTGCAACGCCATTTCCGCGCTGGGAAACCGGTGGCTGCCGTTGCTGGACGTAAGTAGATCTCGATCATGCCCTCATGCGATACCCACTTGCCCTGTTTTGGTAACAATTTGATAGACCATGACCATTTACTGGACGTTTGGCGGCGTGTTTGCCATTCTGATCTGTGTCCTCGTCATTGCAAAGAACGGCCGCAACAGCGGCAGTTTTGCGTTTGGCAAGTTTGAGGCGAACACCGGTTGGCCGGAAGGCTGGTCGTTCTGCATCGGACTGCTACATGCTGCCTACGCGACCTCTGCCACGGGAATGATCCTTTCGTAAGTTCCTCGACACCGTTCGCACCCTCCCAGCCGATATGACCTGGTCTAACTCTGACCCCGCGCAGCATGTGTGAAGAGGTCCAAGAACCCGCGACCCAAGTCCCCAAAGCGATGTGCGGCGCTCTCATTCTCAACTGGCTCTGCGGCATCATCTTCCTCATCCCTCTCATGTTCGTCCTGCCCGACCTGCTTGACGTCATCAGCGACCCGTACGGCCAGCCCTTGCCGTTCATTTTGCGCTCGGCGATCGGCAACGAAGGAGGCGCCTTTGCCCTCACGGTGCCCATCCTCGTGCTGGCCATTTTTTGCGGCGTGGCCTGCACGACTGCGGCGTCCCGCTGCATCTGGGCGTTTTCACGAGACGGCGCGATACCCGGCTCGAATTGGTGGAAGAAAGTGAACAAGAAGCTGGACGTACCCCTGAATGCCATGATGCTCAGTATGGTGGTGCAGCTCCTTCTGGGCCTCATTTATTTCGGCTCATACGCCGCATTCAACGCGTTCAGCGGCTCGGGAGTCATCTTCTTGACCATTGCCTACGTCATGCCCATCTTCGTCTCCCTCATCGGCGGGCGCACACATTTGAACGAGGGATCGTGGAACTTTGGCACCATTGGCGTGGTCTGCAATGTCATCGCAATTGGTATGTGCTTTCCCCCACCCCTTCTGTCGGCCAAGTCCTCGACTGACAAGATGTTTGCCAGCGTGGTCGTTCTTCGTGTTGCCTCTCTTCAGCTTCCCTTTCTTCAACCCCACCACAGCGGACACCATGAATTATGCCTCCGTCGTCTTTGTCGGCGGGGTCTTGATCTGTGGCATCTGGTACTTGGCATGGGGCAAGAAGAACTACCAGGGCCCTCCGGCAAAGGCGGAAGATGTCGAGCGACGACGCAGCTCCATTGTGCCACATTAGCTCGTTGATCTCAGATAATTAACGTGACGGAGATAGGCTTGATCTGAAATGTGGGCTATCGCTCTGTGGTTTCGAGAGGTTTAGTTGTTAAGCAGGCCGAGGCCTAAGGATCAAAGACTGTATAGTTGTCGTCCTCCAGAGATCCCTTGCTCTGCTTCACATTCTTTCCCGCAGGCAAGCTTGTAATAAATGGCCTCGTGACTCCAGTAAGCGTCGGACTCGTTGTCTCCCTTCTCTACCAGGACGCGAGCGGCTTAGGGAGGAACAACCAGCCTAGATGGAATTCGTGGGCTCATGTGTATAGAATGTCGATACCAAGCCTGAAGACTTTTCTGGGGCCGAGTAAAGCCCAGAATGTAGACCCTGGAGATCGGGCTGTCATCGGACAACAGGCCCAGGACAGACTACAGCCTGCAATGTACAAGGGAGGTTGCACACCCTCGGGCAAAAGCTGCAATTGGCAAGGCTGGAATATCGTCGAACCCAGAAAAAGCGGAGTCAATACTGCCCACGCTCCTATCCTCCGCGCTCTAGTGGGGCCATGATGCGACCTGAACGCCTAGATGTTGAGTGCATCGGCCGGAAGGTGAATCGAGGATGTTTTCCAATCATCCTGCTGATTGGAATTTCACCTAGAGCATGTTGAATTCGAAATGGTTGTTTTGTATATGGATCATTCGCCTATGCATTAGCGGTGGTAGTCTTTGAAAAGGAGGCCCGTCCATCACCCGCTCGTCTGCGATCCCGCGGTAAACGTGAACGTCGATCGACAGGCACCATTGCACGCAGCGCAAGCTGCATTTGAATGCTGTATTACATTGCCCATTTTGGCATCACCCTGGCAGCTTTCCTGGAGCCAACATTAGCCTCCCAAGGAGGTACAGAGTCATGAAATGGTTTACCATCTTGAGCGCGGTCATTATGGGTAATAATAGCAGCTACAGCCCTGAGGGGAGAGCTGCGATAGGGTCGAGCAGGCTAGATACAACTCTGGTCCCATCTTGGTGGCTGGACCCTCTTTCCTGCGATATGCTGTTGGTGCAAACTCTTCATCCGATTTGAGGTTCTGCAATAGCAATCGATCTTGACATGGCGGTCAAAGCTTGATCTGAAACCGAGGATGTGTTCTCAACCAGGCGCCATATCTCAGAAACACGAATGGTAGAGGAACCATTGCAAGGGCGATGAATGCCAACACCGTGTTTCCCCAACCAAGACCGAGATCTGTATACAGGGGCTTTCCGGCCAGTGGAAGGAATGCACCGACTAACGACCGTATCACCGTGTTTGCCGCCGTGACTGATGCCACATACAATGGATAGCAATCGATTAGATACATCTGAACCGCGAACTGTGGGTGGTGTCAGGACTCAATCCGCCTCGGGTAATAGATCAAGCTCTGGGAAATTGCCTGGAGCACTTACGAAGACACCCATCATTGCAAACCCTACCCATGCGGTCCCGAGGATCGGCATAATCCAATGGACCTTCTTTTCAGCGGACCAGCCGTACCAAACCAGTCCCACCGGAATACACACAGCTGCGGGTATGAGCGCTTGGAGGTGAAACTCTGGTTCGACTTCCCCAACTTCCTCCTTCTTCTTTCTCATCCTCTTGTCGCTGGTCGCGCCGAAGACACCCAGACCAAAAACCATTCCCACTCCCAGCCCAAGGAAAGACAGCCCCGCAATGCCAGTAGAGAAGCCATAGGTATCTTCATATACCTCGGTGAGTGTAGTGAAGAGGAGGTATAGATAGCCGTATATTATTGACATGTACAACTAGACTTGATTAGGTCTAGAGATTGAACGATGAGGGGTTCTGGCTGTATACATACCACCGAGACCAGAACAATCGTGGACAGGAAGAACATCTTCGCTGGACGCAATAAGGCGTTCAGTAGAGCTGCACCAGGCTTTAGGTCAGCAGCAACAGACGGCGCGCTATCGGCGTGTGTTCTGAGCTTTGCAGCTTTTCTCGCCAAGAGGACAGGGGCATAAGATTCTCGTAAGAAGAACAGACATGCCACCGTGACAACACCGGCCTGCAACATCGTCAGCAACGGATCATTGCCCAGTCCAAGGCACTGACCGCGATTGTCAGGATCCAGAAAATCCATCGCCACTTCAAGTCTTGGGAGATAAACGCGCCAGCGATAGGCCCTGTTTTCAACATGTTAATCCCAACTCTGGACGTGCTGCGCAATGAATACATTCCTACCACAGGACCCATGAGCGGGCCCAGGACAAAGGCTGTCATTTTAGAGCCCCGTCGCTCGCGAGGATACATGTCGGCCACACTTCCTGCACCCAAGACAAGACAGGCCGACCCCGCTGAGCCAGCGAGGAAGCGAAAGCCTGTGAGGCTATCCAATGAAGGTGCAACTGCGCAAGCCACCGTGAAGACCACATAGAGAACGTTGGTGACGTGGTATATGATCACCCTCCCGTAAGTCTCTGACAATGGAGCAAACAAAAGCGGGCCAAAGCCGTAGCCAATCAAATATACCGAGACGGAAAACGTGGCCATGAACTCGTCGGTACTGTGGAAATCGTCCATTACTCGCGATATGGCCGGGGCAAACATTGATGATGCAAGAGGCCTAGATCCGTCGATCAGCATTCCGGGCACAAACATTGGAAGACCGGAGGGGGAATACGTGATGAAAGCCATTGTTGATAAAAGGGACAGGTTCGACGCTTTGGTTATGGATGGCCAGTTCAACGGGTTTGCCGGGTCGCCATCGCCGTCCCAGTCGGCACTATCGTCCGGCTGTGCAGCATGTTCTCCCACTGTAGTGGCTTCGGCGCCCATGGCGGACAAGAGCGAGGGGCTATGATAATACAAGAAGTTTCGAGAGGAAATCCCTTGAGGAGATCTGGATGTGTTGACAAGAAGGGAGGATATTCATTCTCGTCGGTGGTGTCCCGGCATAAATCTGTCGTGCCCCATTGCACCTGCTCCCTCGGCATTTGGATAGCCTTGACGAGCATTGTCAAATGGGTTGCCAGTGTCATTGGGGCACCCGCGACCATGGTTCTGGGAAACCCAGACTCCCAAATCCCGAACACAGGACGATACCGATATCGGAGGACGTATGCCAAGTCCACATCTGGTTTATATGCCGTGCTAGAGACGACAAAATGCCTCTATGTTCTTAACCGCTAAGCCCAGACAATGATCGTGGAGGTGGTGGTGGTAATTATTGTTGTTGTTGTCCTTGGTCGAAGTATAGGACGTGATAGTCCTCTGAGCGGCACCCAATCGGTAGGGCGTGTAGGATCATTGCCAAGGGGCTCCTTCGAGAAGCGGGTCACCATTAACATAGGGGTACGGAGCACCTTGAGCGACACTATGAAGCCGAATCCGCCACGGGAGAACTAAACTTGAATGTGATTACCGAGTAATGAGAGCAAAGTTATCGCAATGCTGATGGTGTATCTATCTCCTTAGATCATGCTGAATTATTTCTCTTTGTTCTCAGACCGCAGTAGCGTCCTCGCAATCGCACGTCCATGCGCCCAATGCATTCCCTGTTATCATGTGTTTGTTTGCACCCCTGTCTGCAAGACTTTAGGTTCTTCTGTCTTGGCCTCGGCCGGTCCCTCGTCTTTGTGCCGGGGAGAGTAGGGGGAGGGGCCTCTCATGGGTCCCACTTGTAACATGCAGTTGGTGCCTGCTGTTGATGAAGACACTTTACCAAACTTTCGCAGAAAGATATCACAAAGACATGGTCACAAGACCCGTTTTTTTCTTTTGATGTGTCTGCGAAGGGCCCACAGATTCTCAGATCTAAATTTCCTTCGGTGTCTTTTTCCACAATTCCGAGGCGAAGATTCAGTCCAGCACCGATCATCTTGGACAGTAAGGTTGTTCGCATTGTGCAGTATTCGGGGACCACGGAGGACAACTTTGCTTCTCCAGATCTGTTCGGTGCGAGATCGGAGGATCTGAAAACACTTTCGCGATGTCCACATATTTCCCATGTGGTGTGATAGCCTTTTACCACGTGGTGGTGATGGTGATGCCGTCCATATAATTGCCGCCCCTAGTGACAACTCGTGCGTCCTCTGCCCCGATCTAGCCACCTCCTCCTGTCTTGCTGGCCGATAAGTTTACACAGATCCCCGAAGCTGGCGAGGCTATCGTTCTTGTTGCAAAGTATATGCATGGTCGACACAACATTAAGCTTCAAGTACAACGTCGGAATATCAGCCATGGGCGTCACCGACCCACCAACACAATCCGTGCGAAACGGGGCTCAGGCCACGGATGGGAAAGGAACCTTTGACGACCGAATCCAGATCTCGAAGATTGGCGAAAATGAAGAATCACACGAGCCACACATCGATGCTGAAGGAACTGAAGAGTCTCCAGGTGTAGCAAGAATGGCGGCCATCGCAAAAGTCCTGACCACGCCAAAACGAGTGTCGTTCTTTATCAGTGTCTTCCTGGCCGGCTACGCATTTGGATTGGACTATCTCGTCCGGAATACCTATCTGGCCTACGCCACCTCTTCTTATCAACAACACTCTTTGTTGGCCACCGTCAATGTTATCCGGGGAGTCGTCGTCGCCGCCCTCCAACCATCGATCGCAAAGCTAGCTTATGTTTTTGGCCGCATCGAGATCTTCTGCTTCGGTCTCGTGATTTACGTCGCGGGCAGCGTGGTCGAGGCGTGTGCCAATAATGTGCAAAGCTTCGCAGCCGGTGCATTCCTCTACCAACTTGGGTATACAACGTCACTCTTGATGGCAGGAATTATGATTGCGGACGTCACGGCGGTGAAAGACCGACTCTTCTTCGCATTCACGCCAAACTTCCCTTACTTGATCAACACCTGGATCAGCGGCAATGTGACTGCAGCAACGCTATCAACAACGACCTGGAAATGGGGTATCGGGATGTTCTGCATCATCTATCCCGTGTGCGCTGCACCTCTCATCCTGCTTATGGTTCTTCTCGGGCGTCAGGCTCGTAAATCCACTCCGAGAAGGCGATACCCTCCCTTACTCAAGTCACTGAAGACTCTCTTCTGGGAGCTTGACACGATAGGGGTGCTGTTGTTGACCGCGTCCCTGGCCATGATAATGGTTCCTTTGACCCTGGCGGGTGGAGTGGACGAAAAATGGGACAATTCTGGGATATTGGCGCCTCTGATCATCGGAATCGTGTTGCTCCCGGCTTTTATCATCTGGGAAAGTAAAACTCCTTACCCGTTACTCCCGTTTTACCTTTTCAAGGACCGTATGGTTTGGGCTTGCTTGGGGCTGGGTTGCTTCTGCACATTTGCATATACGACCCATGCGAGCTACTTGTTCACTCTCCTTTGTGTATCCTACGACTTTTCTGTCGCAGATGCTACCCGCATTGCGTCGCTCTATGGGTTCTGTGCGGTGCTCTCTGCCGCCATCTTGGGTTTGATCGTCATGAAAGTGCGTCGTCTTAAAGCGTTTGTCCTCTGCGGAGTGGCGGCTACCTTTATCGGAATCGGTCTGCTGATCAAGTATCGAGGCGGCCCTGATGCCAAAGTCGGCGTCATTGTCGGAGAAGTGTTTGTCGGCCTGGCAGGAGGGTTTTTCCCTTACCCGAGTTTAATCCTTATCCAAACCATTGCGAAGCACCAGCACATGGGTGTTCTGATCGGTCTCATGTTCACCGTCAACAACATGGGTGTGGCCCTTGGAAGCTGCGTGTCGGGAGCCATCTGGACCCAGACCTTGTACGAAGAACTCAGCAAGAATCTGGCCCCATTCAACAACGCCACTCTGGCTCCGGCTATTTATGCGGCTCCTCTTTACGTCGTGCCCGAGTATCCCATCGGCTCTCCGGAGCGAGATGCCATCATCGTCAGCTACAAATACATCCAGCGACTCCTGACAATCACAGCCGCGGGGCTTACAGTCCCCGTGCTCATCGCCGCTGTCTTCTTGCGCGACCCCATATTGGCGAACGAGCAATCGCAGCCGGAAGCGGAGCGTCGGACCCCGAAAGTCGAACCATCCGAAAAGAGAGATGGGCCATGGGCCAACAAGTTGTGGCGGGCTTTCTGGAGTTAAGAACAATCACAGCCTGCCGAAGCTGGGGACTGTCAGTTATCTCAACACGTCCCGTGTGCAGAAGATTGAGAAGGAGTCATATCTGCGGACCAGCGAGCTTCTGACAGGCGCACGTGATGAAATCCATTGCCGTGGGGGACCAGTCGTGAGGCTCCGTGACATGTAGCTCTTTATTGGAGCGGTCCACATGCATTGACTGGTCGCATGCACAACCCACCTAAGAGCCATTATGTCTATGGGTATATTATGGACTTCTACACAGCACGTGACGAAATGCTAGTAAACGAAAGCAGCATAGCGGCTGCTCCAAAAGCGGCGGAACTTTTCCCTGCATCTTGCGTTGAGCTGTATTTTTAAGACTACAAGCTAGTCAGACAAGGGAGCACGGCCGCCAAGAAACTGGTGCCACAGTACGCCACAAACCAGTATAAGGATTCCTTGCCTTATCCTTAGGAAAGTGCCCCGAAACGCCACATCCTTGTAACCAGGGTTTACTGTGCTGCTTTTTCGACCCGTGATCCCCGTCATCATATTGATCACAGCACCGGTACCGTGGGGATGAGCTAGACGTAGCGTCTTCCCATGCACACATATCTACATTGCAAGCACTCCACCTAGAGACGATATTTTGCTGGGTGATTCGAAAGACAGTTTCCGCCATCTGCCAAGTTGGGGCAGAATCCCAAAGACTGTATACCGGTCAACGATGTCCGACCTCCGGCCCGAGTCAAGACTGCAAGGTCATTGGCGACCCCCCTCTAGACGCCACGTGGAGCTAAGCTCTGCCCCAATGCATTACGAGAACATCTGCTGGTATGGACTACCCGCTCGACGGGCCAGTGGGTCAGAGGCGCTGCTACTCGTGTCTCCGAAAGTCCTCAACATGGAGCAGCAGTCACTGAAGCAATTTTGCAGACTCGTCGTATAGAAGATCTGTCCAGCCTGTCCAGCTTCGCATACGCCTGAATGACATCGATCCAAGCACTGCTCAGGCAAGTTTGAGGGTGAAGTTTGGAAGACGGGCAATAAATAGGAAGTCTCCTCCCCCTCTCTGCCGGCTAGATTCTGGGTCGCGGGGCTCGAGACATGGGCCCCATGGGTGAGTGACGGGCGCGCTTATGGGCTATGACTCCCCCCAACCCCTGCCCAGCTGACAGGATCAGTGTTCTGATTCAACAGAAGCGAAGCGCAGGAGGCCGTTGCACTAGAGCGTAACGTGGGGTGAATGCGGAGGCCCGGGGTGTCGGGCTCGCAATAGTCGATGAGCTAGTGAGCCAGACGTGCATGTCGGACTTCGATGCCCGATTGGGCGAGTTTGGACCAACATGGTGATTTAAAAGTATCTCCTGCCAGCGTGGGCCAAACCTGACCTCCTCCGTGCACCCGGAATCGACAGACGTAGCAGGAATGGCGGTCGACGAAGATGCTCAGATCAAATCAGACGACGCGTCGCTCAAGGAGAGTGTACGGCTCGAAACGGTCGAGAACATGGGTGGCGTGGGTGCGGCCGAGGAGGAAGAAGACCCAGTCGTGAGTTTCAAGACATGGGTCGTGGTGTGGGTAAGTATACCACCGTCAGCGGTGAGATGGGGGCCTTGCGACTTGGTCTGATGCAGACTGCAGATTCTTTCCTGCGGCTACGGCCTCTCGTTCTGGCCCATTCCCGTCATGGCCAATATTGGTGGATTGGTCGCTGCAGAGCTTGGGGAACCCGAAAAGGCATATTGGTTCATCCCGGTAGGCTAAGCACCGATGAAGCGAGCTCTGACACGACGATTCTGACGAGACCGGCAGGCATGGACGATTTCGATTACCGTCTGTTTCATGCTCTGGTAGGGCATTCCGAATTGCACAGTCGAAGCCAGGACTGACAGAATTTCCACAGCGGCGCAAATACGGATCTGCTCGGCCGACGCTGGTTCTTGGTGCTGGGGAATCTGGTTAACTTCCCTTCGCTCCACCGTTGCAACTCTGAGCTGACATCGACAGGTCTGCACAATCGGCCATATCATCACGGCGTCCAAACCAAATGCCAGCGCCGTTATCGCAGGCATGGCGATTTCCGGCTTCGGAGGAGGCAATTGCCAGGTCAGTTGAACCTCCTCTGACATGTTCTCGGGAAGCTCATGGGCTTGCGAATCTAGATGGCAGCATTCGCCCTTTCGGAACTGCTCCCCAATAAGTGGAGGCACATTGGCGTCGTCATTGCCGATATCACCACCATCATTGCCGTCATCATCGGCCCAGTCACCGCCCGGTTCGGCATCGAGAGCCATACCTGGCAATGGAATTTCTGGGCGGCCGCGATCGCCCAATTCCTATCCTTCTTGGGCCTTCTGTTCCTCTACTTCCCCCCTGCTCATCCGTAAGTTGTGTTCACTCTTCCGTCATGAAGCTGGACTGATGGGCCTTGCAGATACGGTATACCATTCCGACAAATGGTCAAGGAAATCGACTACGTCGGTAAGGTGATCCCAACCTCGAGAGAGACATCCTTATATTGATGGGATGGTATATAGGTGGCCTCCTCTTCATTGCTGGAGCCGTCCCTGTGCTCATGGGCATCGTGTGGACGACCGTCTACCCTTCCAATAGCCCATATGTTATCGGACCTTTGGTCGCTGGGTTCGGGTGTCTAGTTCTCTTCGCCCTGTGGGAGCGGTTTGCCAAGATCAAGCACCCCCTGACCCCGACGTACGTCTTTACGTCGTCCTACGGCAGAGACCTGACAGCACCTGCGATTGCGTTGGGCGTCGTGAACATGTTTTACTACTCTAGCAGCATCCTGTGGCCCACGATGATTCAAGCGCTATACACCAATGGAGGGACCAACTGGCGCTATGGCATCATACTTTCCCTCCCCCAGGGCTTTGCGATCTTGGCTGGCGCACTGGGACTCGCTCAGTTTGGCAGCAGGATCAGACACTGGCAGTGGCAGTTGACGGGGTCTGTCTTCGTCATGGTCTTTTTTGGATCGCTACTTGCCCTGGTCAACACCCACAACAAAGGATTAATGCTGGCATTTGTTTTCCTGTCGCAGGCCGGTTATGGTTGGGCCATCTATCTCGCCATCGCTGTCAGCCAGATGGGTGTCGAGCACAAAGACCTGGGGATCAGTGGTGGGATTTCAGGCGTGGCTCGCTTCGCGGCGGGTTCGAGTAAGTGCCCTTTTCAACCCCCTCCAGTGGGCACTTCTGACAATGACCGAGTTGGCGCGGCCGTCTATACCACGATTTTGACCAATACTACTAACGACTGGATCACGAAGCTCGTTCCCTCGGCAGCGTTGGATGCCGGTCTGGCTCAATCGAGGGTGGCAGACCTGATGGAGGCGGTTGGAACACCGGCGTTGGCCGAGGATTTCAGCCCCAGGGTCGTCTCCGCTGTGGCACAAGCACTCGCAGAAGCTAATGTCCACGGCATCAGGTCAAGCTTAACCATCTTTCAACGTTCTGGGCAGTTTCCTAATCTAGTCTACAGAGTCGTGGCCTTGGCCTCGATGGCATTCGGTATCGTCGGTATCATCGCCGCCGCTCTCTGCAAGGATGTCGATTCCAAGATGAACAATAAGGCACGGGCACTCCCCTGCGCAATCATTCTGATCACTAACGACTACTCCAGATTGAGGTCTACCTCGAGAACACCGGACAGGCACCTAGAAATATCCACCACTAGGCTGCTCATAGAGCGCTGAAACCCCGCCGTCTGGAAGTCATCCGCAATCTGCTCAGTCATCTCGAGCTGGGTGACTCGCACCAAAAGGTGCTGCTGGTCGATAGACCATGGTCTGAGAGGCACCGGAACACTCCTGACATGACGGGTTGGCGAAAATTCCGATGAGGTGTGCCGGTTATATGAACTCAGCAAGGGATCAGTGTAGAGCATAAAACTAAGATCATTCTCAGGCAGTTTCTACATCGATATCACCGTCTTACACCTCTAATCACTTTAAGACACACATGGTGTCTATTTTACATAGCAGTATCTAGAGCGGCTCTTGTCCTCCTTCCATAACCAGTCAGTCAGTGTAACCATGCCTATACAGCCAAGTCGCAGCCTTCCCGATTAGCGCACCCTACGACTACCTATCAGTTCGGCCAGCGACGGGTACCACTATCATAAGCACCTCAGGCATCGATCAGAGGTGCCAGACTGGAATCTGAAAGGAGTCCGTAAGGAGTCCGAAGGCTCCCAGCCAACTTGCCTAGGTAAGCGCCTAAAGCCTCGGCTCTGCGAAGCTGGACCTTGGATCAGTTTTCCTACGGGGATCGATCTCCGAGCCTCGTCCGCCCAGTCCTTAAGACAAAGAGTTACTTACCATCAACCTGATTGACGACAGGATAACGCCCCGGGCGTCTTTTTGACAAGAAACATGTTGTTCGAGGGTGGCAGGCTCGATACACGTGAATATCTGACAAAATCATCTCCAGAGGAATGCACTGACCCTTGCATCACTAGCTGTTCCCACCGACGCCTCTATCTGGAACTGGCTCTTTGACAACGCCGCTCCTCACTGCAAGTCCAATCGACAGCAGACTGGCGGTTTTCGCGACGCACAGACCGACGAGTTCATCTCCTATGCATCTTTGAGGTCGTTGGCGACGTACTTGTCCACATCGCTAGCCTTGAGATATGGCATCAAGCCCGGCAGCCATGTCACAATCTTCTGCAGCAACAGTATCTGGTACCCGGTACTGACGTTCTCGACCGTTCGGCTCGGAGCCATTGTGACCGGATCATCGCCTGAATACGGCGTTGAGGAGATGACTTACATCCTCAAAGCCAGTGAAAGCGAGCTTGTCTACGCCGATCAGGGATCGTGGGACACGGTCTGCAAAGCGGCCGCCAACCTCGGCCTTCGCGAGGACAGGGTGATCCTGATGCGCAGTGAAGCCGACGTACGCGGGCAGCCGGGAAAAGTCTCCATTCAAGATTTGATCACCGAGGCCAAAAGCCGCGGCGAGAATGGGCAAGTCGAGGCTTGGACCATCGCGAAGGGCCGATCAAATAGAGAGTTTCCCAGTTTCTTGTCTTTTACCAGTGGGACCACCAGTCTGCCAAAGGGCGTAAGTCGGATTGTTCTGCAGTCGACTGTAGAGGTGTTGATCGAGGGCCAGGTCATGATATCCCATCATAACGTCATTGCGCAACTGATGCAGATGCGGTCTTTGACAACCGAAATCTGCCCGAAATCACTGCTAGGAGTGTTACCACTCTATCACAGTGAGTCTCTTGCAACTGGGCACGCTTGTATCTCCAAGGCTGACAACTTTCATCGCTCCCAGTTACCGGGATTGTTCAGATCCTCCAGCTCCCGCTGGTTCTGAACCAGCAGGTCGTTATGATGCCCAAATTCAACATGCAGCAGATGCTCGACGTCATCTACAAGTATAAATGCGATGAATTGTGGCTTGTTCCGCGTAAGTCATTGCCAGAGTCATGAACGAGATCCAAACAACTGACGACTGCAGCGCTACTCATCCGCCTCGTCAACGATCCGGTAGCTGCCAAATATGACCTCCCGTTTGTGCAACAGTTTAACACCGGTGCAGCACCCCTCGCCAGAGAGATCATTGAGAAGTTGGTCAAGCGATTCCGTCATATTCGGATCCGGCAGGCCTGGGGCATGACAGAGAGCACTTCCGCGATAACCCTCACGCCGCCCTCTGATCAGACGTACGAAAATGCCCACACGGTGGGAAAGGTAGTGCCGGAGACGGTGGTCAAGATCATCGATCCGGAGTGCGATGGCGAGGGCGAGATTGTGCTGGGGGTCGGCCAGAGTGGCGAAGTCCTTGCCAAGGGTCCCCAGATCACCATGGGATACTACAACCGGCCGGAAGCAACGGCGGAGGCCTACGACTCGAGCGGGTTTCTGCATACCGGTGACATCGGGTACATGCGGGAAGATGGCTTCTTGATCATCCATGATCGACTGAAGGAGATGATTAAGGTCAAAGGCGTGGGTATTGCCCCGGCAGAACTCGAAGACCTGCTCTTGGGCCATCCTCTGGTAAGCGATGCCGGCGTGATTGGCATCCCTGATTCCTATGCCGGCGAGGTCCCCAAGGCATTCGTCACTCTCGTTGACCCGACGAAAGCCAATCAAGAAACACTCAAAATGTTGATCGACTTCGTGAAGCAAAAGAAATCTCGGCCGAAATGGTTGGCTGGCGGCATCGAGTTTGTGGATGCGGTGCCCAAGAGTGCGAGCGGCAAGGTGCTGAGGCGGGTACTGAAGGAATTAGAGAAGGAACGGGCGGCACAGAGGACAAAGAGTCAAGGCGCAAAGCTGTAAATGGCCATGGTTGCGGTTACCGTCCACATGTTCCCGGATTTGTTAGCATACCGATTGGTCAGGTCATGAAGATGACTCTGCCACTTGCCAGCGCCGAGTGCCTGCTATGTCAGATAACACGCGAAGGAGTAGGTTTCTTCGCTCAGGCATTCCATAGATGCTATGAAGAGCTAGGTGTGGCGGAACTCCTCAGGCTTCCTCGCGCCCTCTACACCTGTCATGCCAGCTCGAGATATAAATGTGCAGCTTGCCTAGAACACTACCGCCATCCTGGATCTCGACTTGCCACTCTTCATCAGATCCATCATCTCATGGATCTGGTCGAGCTTGAAGAAATCAACCTTGGGCTTGATCTCATGCTTGGAAATGAACTCCAAAGCTCGCGGCATCTGCTGTGGCGGGCCGGTGCTTTCACTGCGGATCTGGTAGAGCTTCCTCATCAGGTCCAAGGCAGAGAACTGGAGTGGTTTGTCGGGCAAGCCAATGACCATGAGGACTCCGCCGATGCGCAGAATCTTGGTCGCACTGTCATAGGCAGCCTGGGCGGCGCTGAAGACAACTGCGGCGTCGGCGCCTCCTCGCGTCGCATCCCGGACTTGTTTCTCGAAGTCTTCACTCCTGCTGTTGACGGTCACATCTGCGCCGTTCTCCTTTGCGGCGGCCAGAACCTCGTCGTTGATGTCGATGCCCACCACTTCAAGGCCCATGGCTTTGGCGCAGCGGATGCCCATCTGGCCCAGCCCGCCACATCCAATGATGGCCATCGACTGTCCTGGCTTCAGCGTGCACGAGTCGACCCCGTGGAATGCTGCATCAACGTGAGTATATTGGTATATTCGGGGAGATTGGGAGTTGGTTACCTGTAATGCCGGCACAGAAGTACGGCGCCGATGTCTCCATGCTGAGATTCTCGGGCAGGATGATGGCGTTGCGATAGTCGACCGCCGCGTACTCGGCGAAGAAGCCGTCACACTGGAAACCCTGGATTTTGGCGGTGCCCAGTTTACAGTTGAGATTGTGCACTAAGCATCCATCGCATTCAACTGTGGCGATGTGAGCCAGGATGGCCACTGGCGTACGCAGAAGAAGGACATGGAGAAAGACGACATCACTCACAGCATACGTCCTTGATGTACAGAAATCCGAGTCGGTCGCCGCGCTTGAAGCCGTTGACTTTGGCGCCCAACTCCTCTGCGTACCCAACCCCCTCGTGGCCCATGACCACGGGCTCGGTGGCAGGGATGGAGCCATTGAATAGCATCAGGTCCGAATGACACAGACTGGCAGACGCAACTTTGACCAAGATTTCATGATCCGTGATGGTCGGAATGGGGATCTCGTCGATCGTGCATTTGTTCGTTTCCTTCACCACATCAGTACAACCTTCCACGCCTGGCTTGATCTGGACGGACCGGGTGATAGCGAGCTGCCCTCATTGTAGATTTCGACATGTTGTCTCTAGGTTGGAAGGGTTGGTTCCGGGAACTGTGCTTGTCAAAGTTCGGCGATGTTTGCCAAATGCTGCTGTGTAGATTTGGCCCAAGTACCGGAAATCGAATCGACGGCCCTACATTTTATCTCCTACCGTCGGCGATTATGTCCACTCATGCTGAGAGCATGCAACCGCGTGCGCAGCGCGCTTTCGCCAATCGCTTGGCTGGAGGTCGGATGAATTGCACGAGCAAACCCCAACACCATAAACGAGGCCGGGGATGGGGGTTCGCTGGCCGGGGACTGATCTCCGGAATATGCGGGGGTCGGGAGGCCGAGGGGCATCTGATGCGACTCTCTCGCCCATAGCGGAGCACGAGGGACTCTTGTGGCTACGACTGTGAGTCGCTCGGGCTCCGCCCCGGCTGCTACACTGCATTATTACGTAGGTACTTTTGAAAACTCTTGTACTCTGGAGGAAATCTTCTTCAATTCCAGAAACTACTCTATACTTGCCACTACTTCAGATCGCCGAATGCCTTCAGACTCTTGAAGCCACGGATGTTGACCTTCTTCGCATTTCCAAAGACGCGGTGAGTGTTGGGACTGGCATCTGCTTCACGGATCTCCGGTCCGTCCAGCGCATCGAGGCTCTCCCACTCGTGTACAGCCATGAATTTCGGTGCATCGGAGGTCTGCTCGTTGTGACCCTTGATCAGTTGGTACCGTTGAGATCGTCGGTACCCAGGAACTCTGTTAAGCATGTCTAGGTGCTCCTCAGAGTAGAATTTATTGTAGTCAACCGCGTCAGCCGGTTCGTTCTGCACATTCAGAAGAAATGGCGGACGTGCTTGGTGGGTTTCATGGTCAGCACCTCTCGCGAGCAGGATGCGTCGTAGAGGCTTGGATACTCACTGTGGCCAATGCCGCGCGGGTCAAAATCCTGGATGAGCTTGTACACTCGAAGATCCGAGACAGTGCCGTGAGCCTTGTCATTTGTCAGATCGCTGAGACGGAATATCTCCTCCAGATTATCGAAGGAGTCGAGCTGGCACAGGGCGAGGCATGTCTTATCAGCGGGTGGTTCCAAGTCCGTGTGCGTCAATTGGACGCTGTGTAGCTTGCTCTTGTTGACGTCAAGTGGTGTCTTGGTCGCGAGGTTGAAGTCGTTGTACACGTGGTAGAATGTAGCACGCGTAGCATTGAGCTTCGACAACAAGTTGGGCAGTCCCTCCGACATGTACCATTTGGTCCAGGAGTCCACATCATCGTTTGTCGGCTTGGACAGAATGCGGAGCAAGTAGGGAGAAGCCGCCATGTTCGAAGGTGTCGCTGTTGACGTTCAATTCGAGTTGAGTCGAGATATGGATCGTTTGTTGGTGAGGGATGAAAGAGGCAGTCCTATATCAGCCCGAGTAGTGGTTTACTGGTTTACTTTTCGACGAGGATGGCGCACATGTGCCTGATGTAGTCCTTGTCTCGAACTGCAAGCGGCCCCGGAACCGGTATTCCGAGAGGGAGGTCAGGAATCGACGAGAGGAGCCCCGGGATGCTTGGAACCCACCTCTCGCCCGCCTCGCTGTTCGACTTGCATAACCTGAACTCTGCGGTCGTCGGCGATGATTCTCCATGAGCGGTTCTCCTGTCCGGCAACACACTGGTCCACTTATCTGATCTCCAAGGCCGATCGACGACTTACAACGAACTTGTTGTGGGGCTTGCCATGTGAGTCTTTTTTTGGGTTTCTACACCCAGCCGGAGCTTCACCTGGTCTATCTGGTTTGGCGATATTGCCTCGACTGACCTGGTCAGCGTGAGGGCGGAGGTTAGAGGTCTACGGAGCAATCTTGCGTCCCGTATGGCATTGAATTCGCCTCTGGGTTCGCGGTTCCTGACGGGAGATTGCAACACTTCTACTTTGGCCATTTCACATCAACAATATCCTTCCACTGATATCAATCGTGGGAGCACATGGCGAGCTATCTGAAAGCGTTGGACACGAGCTCAGCGTACCTGTTCCCATTCTGCATCAGGTCATCCTGTCTTCGGTAGAAGAGCATGGAGGCAGGACGGCAATCGTGTGTTAACGCCAGCGACCAGACCAGCTGCCTGCTGTCGCCAATTATGCGAGCCCCAGAAGCGCTTCGACCCGGCCTGATTGCCTTCATTGGACTCATGCACAACTGCAGTATGGCGCCGATTTACTGGCTCATGCCATCTTCTGCCAGGGGCTACAGCCTCATTCGACCATCGCCGTGATACTCAGTGGCAGAGCAGAGTACCATCTGACATCTCGGGCGGGCCGCCAAGCTGAACTGTCCGTTCTCGCCGATAAACCTGAGATCTCCCAAGAATGCCAAAGAGATACGCCACATGCTCACCCTAAGAGCCTGCCCATCAAGAGCTCTCTGCTGCTCCGACACATTGCCTGAAGGTAGAGCCGAAGAGCATTCTCTTGCGATACCTGCGGTCGACAATAAGTTGAAACATATTGAGAGAAGGCCGAGCTCTCTCAAGCTCGATTTGCCGGCAGATTTGCATGTGTTCCTCCCGGGCGCCAATATGTTCGGGGTCGCTGGGATGGGTACGGAGTTTCTCCAACACCCTGAGGCCTGCACATCCATGTCAGCTGTGCGTCCTCTGCACCAGCACCTATTCGAGTCACCCACTTTTTATCATCCTGGTCATTGTTGACGAGCCATCGAGGTGACTCAGGAATGATGGGACTTCCACAAAACAGCAGAAAGAGAAGCAGTCTCCATTGAATAGTGGCGTCGTCTTCATAGTAGGTACCAAAGCCGCACCAGCCAGCACAAGGCTTGCAGTTGGGTTAGTCGCCGTCCACCGAGAAAAAGCTATCTGGAACTTACATGTGAGACAAAAATGCTGAACCCGTGAGACCACACCATGTGCCCTCGCTGGACAGGCGGAGAGATCTCAGAGATGTACGCTGGGACGGCCGCGTTGACAAACCCGACTCCAAGACCGTTGTAGAATCGACCGACCAGAAACATAGCGATGTGGACCGAACCGACTTGTAATGCTGCTGAGACAATACAGACCACGCGAATCACTTGAACGGCGCGCTTCCTGCCTAGTTTATCCGGAGGCCAGAAGACAGTTCAGCACCCGATGGCACCAGCGCCGGCATAGAGACCGTTGCTTGCCCCGATGATGCTACCGCCATGGGAACTGGTGACTTCGAAGTTGAAGTATCCGGCGAAGGAAAAAAGGCCGGTGACAGAACCAATGAAGGCCAGGTTGAAGTCATAAGTGAATGAACCCAGGGCAACAAAAAATGCGATTGTAAAGTTGTACGTTTTGGCTTTCGCCCGAACGTGGGCCATATTGCAATGACGGGTTGCAGGGAGAGACCACAGTAAGTAGGCTGTCTTGCTGGCCAGCTGTCGCCCGTGCCTTTGCGACCTCATGGACCATCAGCAAGTCATACGTCGCCCCGAGGAGCACAGTGGATGACATGCCTGTGAAATCCAAGAGGGTGAACGCGGAGACCATACTCCGCTACCCCAGATATCGAACCCCCACCGACGCCGAGACACTAACCATTACTATCTTGGTCCACGGAGCACGGTCTTCATCTGCCTCGTCCAGCCGCAAGTGGCGTCGCGGTGGGACAAAGCGACGGCTTCAGCGGGTCCTGGGCAGCAGCGTCACCAAAAGCTCGAGTCCATGCGGGAACTGCTTGTCCCGGCAAGCCCGGGTCTCGCTGGCACACAGCCGGTGATCATCCCGCATTTCGGGCGAAGTCGGCCGCGACCCATCCACATATGTTGGGTCATCTTGATAGGAACAATTTATGCGCTGTACGCTTAGGCTTCTGAGTTCCCCAGCCCTTCGAAACGGCACCATAACTCCACGACTCAGCCTGGACCTCGCTCAGCAAACTGCAATTCGACTCTTTGCAAATATGGTACAGCTCCAACCCAGTGGGCCAGAATGGCAAGGGTCACCTCCAAAGCACGGTCACCTCTCAGAGATTGACCCTGAGTTCGCCCAGCTCAAGGACGAGGCCGACAAAAACTTCGCAATACTGTGGTCACTGCCGTTGGACCAGTTCAAGGCCGCTTGGTTGAGCGCCCCAGTCCCGTTTCCTGAGAATGCTCCTCAGCCTGGCCAGGACTACCAAGTTCTGGAGCAGCTCGTTCCAGTCCGCGATGGCACGAACGTAGGCCTCAAAGTCTACAGGCCATCGAAATGTCAGAGCAAGACTACTCTGGTTCTGAAAGCGCATGGAGGAGGTCAGTAGCATTGTGACACTTCTCACACCGCTATTGATAGCCAAACTGAATGATTGTCAGGATGGGTGGTTGGGAGCCACGAGACCGAGGAGGTCGAGAACCGTTTCCTGGCCGCCAAAGGCAACGCTGTCGTTGTCAGTGTTGATTACCGCATGGCACCCGAGTACAAGTATCCCTACGCCATCGATGACTGCTTCGATATCCTCCAATGGGTAAGAAACATGGTCCGCCTCTTCAGTCCCCGGAATTGAGTGCTGAGTTCGACAGTGCAAATCAAATGCAGAAGCTTTGAGCATTGATCCCCAACGTATTATAGTGGCTGGTGGCAGCGCAGGTGGTAATATTGCAAGTCTTGCACACCGTTCGTGCCCGGTCAGTATTTCTAACTCCTCCCCCACCTCAGGCGGCAGTACTGGCCCAGAAAGCGAGGGACGAGAAGGTCTCAGGAATCGTCGGTCAGATTCTGAACATCCCCGTGACATGCCATCCGAAACTGTTCCCCTCCGATCGGTACCCTGTCGGAAGCTACCAGCAGAACAAGGATGCCAGTGTCATCGACGCCCCAAAGATGCTCTGGTTTTGGGATCAATACCTGCCCAATGCCGAACCTGAGGTCTACGCGAGTCCTCTACTTGCAAAGGACTTCAGTGGACTGCCACCAGCTTGTGAGTCACAAACTCAGCTCCGTTCTACTGAGCATCGTACTGACCAGATAACTTACACAGTAATCCAAGTCGCTGGCATGGACCCTCTGCGTGACGAGGGTTTGGCATACGCCGAAGCGCTGAAGGCAGCTGGAGTTCCAGTAACTCTGCACACCTTCAAAGGCTTGCCTCACGGGTTCTACTTCTTCCCCCAGTTGAAGCAGTCTCTGGAGTACTGGATGAACTGTGTTGACTTTGTTCAAAAGTTAAGTGGAAAGCCGGCGGCTGCATCGTGATGGCCTGGACAATACGCGAGCTACATAGCAACACTGGGAGATTGAGCTCGGCAAACAATCTTATCTACGTCCGCCAACCACGAAATTTGGTACTGTTGCTGGTCGACAGCCCTGGCTTTTGCCAAACCGTTGCGAGTCTTGCCAACCAGTTTTCCGCCTCCCGCGACACCTGAAATATGATGGTCTTGAAACCAAGTCTTCGTCTTCGTGGACGTTTCGATATCTTATCTCTTCTTTAGACCTGTGATTTTACTACGCCGACAATGCCCAAGCCCGTGTGACGAGTGTGGCTTAGCTTCTGCCCAGATAGCCGATACCTGGGCGTCCGCGTACTCGGGGTTCAATGTCCGGACTGCTCGTCTCACCCTCCCTTTTCTCCTAGACTAGACGTTGGGTCTACCGAGCTTCCTCCTATCTTGATTTGTTCAAAGCTCAGGAGAACGTTTTGGAGATGAGGGTGTGGAGGCCTCGTTTGCGGGTGAGATGTCTGGATGATTTGTAGGAGAGAGTCTAGATGCATGTATCGACAAATATACGGGCTGCTTTCACATACGTACGTCGAGCTTCTGCCACCAAGATTGAATTCCTTGATCTCGTGTTCCCCGTATCTATCACATGACTCGATGTGGCGTCTTCAGGAGGCAAGAAGATATGTCTGAGACTAGCTTCGTGGTCATCCACTCACACGAACGCAGGAAGATTACTACCACCGGCACAGCAAGTGGTATAGGCCTTACTACCGCTAAGCTGCTGGCCAAACGTGGTGCCATCTTGAGCGTTCGCGAGGCTCACGAGGCAAGAGTCAATGAAGCATTTCAACAGCTCTCTGGGTCTGGACATTTTGCGACCAAGGTCGACGCCAGTAAGGCCTCGGAGGTGAACTCGTGGATCGAAAACACTGTCAAGAAGCTCGGAGGGCTTGACGGAGCTGCCAATGTCGCAAGCATCGAACGCGAAGGCGGACGCCACTTTGCAGACGGTCGAGATGAGGACTGGGAGCTGGTCATGGGTGTGAACTGTTCTGGGGTCTTCTACTCGCTGCGCGCCCGGATTCGCCAGATGTTGAGGAAGGGCGGATCCGTTGTGAGTTCAAGTTGGTAAGGTCTTACGACGCCGGCGGGAACCCATTGCTAACGCGTGCCACCGAGGTTAATGTCGCCAGCATCGCCGGCCTCATCGGTGTAGTCGAGACGACTTGCTACAATGCGAACAAGTTTGCCGTCATGGGTCTGACGCGAACTGCGGCACGCGCGTATGGAAGTCATAACATCAAGATTAACTCTGTTGCGCCAGGTTGGTGGTCCCCCCCACTTCGAATCTGTCGTTAAAGTTATCTAACAGCAGCTCCAGGTGTGATTGCGACACCACTAGTACATGCCATGGAGACAGTACACAGGAAAGGTACTGTGAGAACGAGCTAGCAAGAACTGGATTCTCAGGCCGATCCCAAGAAGGTGGCGAACGTGATCACCTTCCTTTTGAGCGATGAGGCTTCTTTTGTGACCGGCTCCACGTACAAGGTTGATGGAGGGTCGACGGCCGAGGCCTCATAGCCGTGCTTGTTACCTGGGCCAATGGCAAGGACTGCCCAGCTGCAGCCGGAATCCGAATTCAGACACCTAAGGGACGATGCAATCAATGAATCACTAAGCAGCTTGGTTCCGGAGAGGAAGTAGAATCCGGGGAGATAAATCCCGTGGCTCCATGATTGAGCCAGCACCCGGAGAACATTCCCCGTGAACTCCACAGCCGCCACCTGCGTCTAATGGCCCGTGTGGAGAAAAGTACTTTCTGGAGCGCGTGGGGGATGGAGAACGAATGCCGGCCTGCGCCGGAGGTAGAGAGGGGGAGGGGCAACATCCGGTTCTTGAGCACGGCCAAGTCGATGGTCCGTTCCCGGCATTTGACACGCGACCCAGTGCAGTGGTTCCAAGTCCTCAGCACTTGCCACCCTTGCCGTTACTTCTCATGCCGCCGCCATCCAAAATGAGACCAGGTTGGACGACCGCTACATTCAGTCGTCCCTCGGATGCACGGCGCTGGCCCGGATTCTTCCTATCTTGGCCCCAACGATGTTCACCCAGGGAGTGAGTAGCTCTGGGAATCAACAGCATGGCCACCTCTGTCATTAGTATGACTGTAGCACAATCGTTCTCATCAGTGACAGCCTCGACGAGACGTCAATTTCCGTTGGATCCAAAGAGCAGGCTCTCGGGGCATGTTCAATTTGTGTATCAGTAATATGATAGTTCAACTTCTGGTATGGACGCTAACAAGTCCAAGAGTCTGTCTCTCTTCGATCATTGGAAAACATCAGAATGTCGCAAAAAGCCCTACTTTACCAGTTCGAATCCCTTGTAGCCTGCATCCACTGCCTCCTGGCACTTCTGCTTGTACAAAGGCATACCAGCCATATAGTTCAGAGCCTCCCGTGGCTTGCCTGGGATGTTGTCTCCAAAATACCAACTGTGCGCCTCCTTGAACAATCCTTGCTCTGCTCCTTCGTTGACGTGGGCTCTCCACTCTTGCTCGGCTTCCTCGGTCGCGTTGATGCTCTTGTAGTTGTTCTTCGTGATATGAGTGATGCAGTCGACGATCCACTTGCCTTGAGCCTCTGCTGAAACAGGCCCAGTGACAAAAGCGGTCGGAGCCTGTGGGCCGTACATGAAGAACATGTTGGGGAAGCCGTGGATTGTCATACCTAGATTCGTGTAGACGCCCTTGGCGAATTTATCCTTGACAGTCTGATTGCCGATACCACGGATGTCGATCTGGGTGAGACCACCGGTGACGAAGTCGAAGCCGGTTGCCAGGACCAAAACATCGAACTCGTGGACTGTGCCATCTTCGGTCTCAATGCCGGTGGGAACGAATTGCTTGATGGGACTTTCGCGGGTGTAGATAATGTCAACGTTGTCCTGGTCCAAGGTCTCGAAGAAGTTCTGTTCGAGACTAATTCTCTTCGTCCCAAAAGGATCGATCTGCTTCTCAGGCGCCAGGATTCTGGCCTTCTCAGGGTTCTTGATGCGCTTCAGCACCTGCTCCCGCCAATACTGATATGATTCCTCGTTGGCTTCCCTATTTGCCAGGACATCGTTGAAGGTACCAAGCCAAAAGTGAAGACCTCCCGTGTTGAAGAGCTCTTCGTAGATCTCGCGGCGCTTTTCCTTGGGAAGATCCATGATCTTGCCAGGACGGAAATCGTAAGTAAAGCCGGCAAAAGTAGTGGCTTGCTTCTTCTTCCACTCCGGTAATTGCTCCTTGAAGTAGGAGTTCCTGGGTCCGTCGATAGGGGTGTTCTTCATCGGGATTGCCGTGTTAGGCGTTCTCATGACCACGGTGAGGTGTGAGGCCACGCGACCAATCTCTTGGATTGCCTGCACGCCGGTCGCTCCGGTTCCGATGACGGCGACGCGTTGGCCGGCGAGGTTCACCTCCCCGACCGGCCAGTGGCCAGAATGATAGACTCGGCCCTTGAATGTGTCGAGCCCAGGGAAAGGTGGAGTATATGATTTGGCCGCGAAACCAGTGCACGGGCAGAAGAATTTGCAGATGTAGTTGTCATATTGATCGCCGTTGACCTCGATCTTCCACAAATTTTCGCTCTCGTTCCAGTGAGCGGCAGTGACACGGGTGTTCCAGACAATGTGGGGTTTGAGGTCCCAAACGGCGACAACATGTTCGAAATATGTGACCAGTTCGTCCCGGTCTGGGAAGCGCTGCTTCCAGTGCCAGGTCGACCATGTCGCTGGATCGGAGTAAGAGTATTGTGGGACCTCGGTATCGACACGGGCTCCGGGGTAGCGGTTCAAATGCCTGGCAGAAACGTCAGCCATTTCGTCTTGACCTAAGGCTTAGCGGTATGCTTTACCAGATTCCTCCCGGCCCGGACCCAGCCTCGATGAGCTTCACTGTGAAACCAGCTTTCCGCAGTTCGTGCAACAGGTAGAGGCCGCTAAAGCCGGCACCGACGATGATCGCATCGTAGTTTTTTTCGCCAACGGACCCCATGGTTGCACCTGAGAGTGCTGGGAGACTCTCTTTAGAAATCTTCTGAGGAGCGAGAAAAGTGATGGTCCGTTTCTTTCCATCGAGCAGCGGAACATGTCAATATTTTATGCTTTCTGACCTGCGCTAGACTTTTTCATTGCTGAAATCCGGACATTGGTCGCCGGTCGCATCCACGTTTGAATGAGCTATCTTCATGCGGGGTTCAAGACTCACGACCGCCGAAAGCGGTGGTGACAGTTGTGACAGCCGAAAGAAGACGGGTTTATAACCCCGAGCCGAGGGCGAGCTGGAGCCTCATACCACGATTTTTGTCCGTCCTAGATTGTTCTACGCGGCTGTCGACGAAGATCATGGCCTATCAGCTGACTCCTATGGACGTGGAGGCTCCAAAATTACAACGTCCCATGGCCAGAGTCTGGAACAGGTGGCAATCTGGAAGTAGAGGAGTGTCTTCCAACCCGCTTAGTCACATGGTGGATCTATGGGCAAGCGGGGATGTACCAAGCTTGCAGCAGCCTTGTATATGAGAGAAATACCTTCTTGAAAAAGGTAACGAGCTCACAAGACGAAAACGAGATTTGACGGGTACATGGTCGTGAACATCCACTACCAGGATTGATGGGTTCGCACCCCTACACCACCTGTGTTGGCGCTCTTGGTCACCAAGTGGCCTTCTTGCTGATACAACTCAACCAGCTACCTCTTCCAACCCCCGCGATGGAAAATGTGGCACCTTGGGCGCGAAGTCAGAGCCAATCGAAGCATATTTTTGCCGCCTGCCGTTGGCCGCGGGGCCCACGTTTGGCTGATGCGCCATGATTGGCTCACTGGATAGTCCAAGCATCAACACCGATTGAGATCTCAGTTTCTGATGCACTTGCGATGGCCATAAGGACGCAGTAAGCTCCTGTATCATCTTCCAGCCTCCCAGCCACCTCCTAATGCGAGTGACCAGCCAGTCTGGGGTGTTCAACACTGCTGAATATGTGCGTTGTGCATGTTTTAAAGGCCGGGGTCTGTGTAGTATTGTGGCTAGCACGTCCACACACTGCGAGCGCTCTCTGGCGATGCTACTTGTCCATCAGTCTCTGGGCTGTGGAAAGGAGGAATGTGACCCCTCCCTGTCTCCACGGTCGAAGACATTCCACTCCTCACCCTGACGTCCAGTGCTTCTGCAAATAATGGCAGAAGCATGTTGGGGGTCTCGTGATTTTTGTGTCGGCGAAGCATGTCCGGACTTTGTCCTCCGCCGTAGATCCGCGAATGGTGATCACTGAGCATCCCAATGTCAGATCCATCTTCCTTCAGATCCAGGTTGCAGGGTACCATCATGTGTGACATGATTCAACAGGGTCAGAGCCCTCCTGGCAACATGGCACAATCAGGAATTTCTAGCTCTATCCCAGAAGTTATTCAGAAATTCCTGGTCAAAGACAAGGTCGTGGTCGTTACCGGTGGCGCCAGAGGGCTCGGGTTCAGCTTTGCTCTGGGACTTGCCCAGGCCGGAGCGAATATTGCAGCGATTGATCTCGACGTCGCCCCAGGGCCACATTTCGAGCGGCTATCGCAATGTGGAGGCAAACATCGATACTATCGGGCCGACGTTACCAACTATGAAGTCCTGAAAGCAACCATTGACAGCATTGCCCGCGACTTCGGTTCGATTGATGGATGGTAAGCATACCGCGACCCCTGTTCGACTGACCTCCAGGCTTAGGTGTGCTGGCTGACGGGAAGAATAGCATCCCAGCCGCGGGGATCATTCGGGACAGGCCTTTTCTCCAACATACACCAGAGGACCTTATAGATACGATGAATGTTAATGTACGTTCCGGATGCTCCGCATTCTAGTCTCACCGATTCTCGCTGGCTAAGATCCCATCAGGTAATCGGTGTTTTCCTTACTGTGCAGCTCTGCGCCGCCAAGATGAGCGCGCAAGGAACGGGCGGCAGCGTCGTGTGCATTTCTTCGACAGCAGGGCACAGATCGCTATTTCCTCAGACGATTTCTGCGTACACGGCTTCCAAATACGCTGTGCGCGGCCTAGTCAAGCAAATCGCCTCAGAGCTCGCTCAGCACAAGATTCGCGTGAATTCAATCAGCCCAGGGTAAGTGCCGTCCCACGCCCCCGTATCGTCGCATGGCTGTCCGGATTCTCACGTGGACAGGGTTATCAAAACCGATATGCTAGAATCGGTCATGCAGGCCAATCCCACGAGAAGAAAGCTATTCGAGAGTAGCAACGCAATGCAACGTTTAGGCAACTCTGAAGAACTGGTTGGGATGGTGCTGTGCCTGATGAGTGATGCGAGTACCTTCACCACTGGTCAGGACTTCCTGGTGGATGGTGGACAGATCTGATGGAGTCAGTCTTCGATGATTCGTACTCATTAGTAGACTCGGTCAACAGGCTCGGTGGCATGAGGAGTGGAATTTTAGACCGGTGAAAAGCTGCTGGGTTTTTGCTCTCAAAACCTGACTCGAGCAGTCGTAGGCTCTTGCACATCCCAAAGTAGAACTAGGAGGAGGAAGCTCTCGACTGATTATGGATATGAGCACTCTCCATGGTACCTTTGATGGACGGAGAGGACACCTTGATCGGTTGCACACTACCACTGAACACTGCAAGAAAGAGGCAGATTAAGAAAGAGCTAGGTCGTCAGGAGGCTGGAACGATTTACTGTTGCCGTGCGCCAGTCCAGAGTGAGCAAGGTACATGACACGAACCTGCTTTATTGACCAAAATTGAATAGCGAATCCCTCTCGAGAGAGCGAGAGATGAGCCCCCAGACCTTGTGGGCAGTTCAGCATCCGGCACCGCCTTTCTGTTAAGAACAATAACCACATATCGGCGACAACAAAATCGTTCACCGGCAATTACTGTGTGCATGTCAGCTATTGCTTGTTGCCTGTCAAGGAGACTTGGTTCCCTTGGTTGAAACACGGGGAGTGGGCAATTTGGAGGCTGAAGTCCGGCAGCGCGCCCCGGCTTTCCTTCTCCGCTAACCTTGGTTCCGCCTCACCCCAACCTTCCCGGCCTTCATCCTCCAGAAGTCGCGTGTTTGTGTGGAAGCTTGGGGTAGAAAGATATAAAGTTGACCGTAGAAAGTCGATGCTTCTCATCGAGAACGCGAATTAGGGGGTTTGACCACACGCTAGGTTATTCAATGGCTGCAACGAAGAACCATGCTATCGTGTTCGGAGCATCCGGGGTCTCGGGATGGGCAGTCGTCGATCAGCTGCTGCGTGATTATCCCAAAGCAGGAACCTGGGATAAAGTGACTGCTTTGACGAACCGGCCGCTCAGTCTCGACGTCTCTCTGTGGCCGAAGACTGACAACTTGCGAATCGTGCCGGGACTCAATCTGCTCGAACCTAGTCAGGAGGTTTTCAATGAAACTGTGAAGAAGCAGATCCCTGATATCGACACAGTCACACACGTCTTTTACTACGGTAAGCTTAGTAGCGCTTTCCAGAATATCTATGAACCAACAACTAAAGTTCTCGTGAACAGCCTACAAAGCCAATACAAACTTTCAACAGGAAAAGAAGGACGCTGTTGACATGGTGGTTCGAGCAGTCACGGCAGTAGACATGCTCTCGCCGGTTCTGCAATTCGTGGCGTTCCAAACTGGTGCAAAGGTAGGCTTCTCTACCGCGAGTCGGAAACCAAGTCTGACATTTGACAGATGTATGGCTTCTTGCTACAAGAAGATCATTACTTCCCAGTACCTCTGAAGGAGTCATTGCCTCGACTGAAGCCACCGTTCAGTGATCAGCTCTTTTACCATGGCCAACTCGATTGGCTAGAATCCTATTCCAAAGGCAAGTCATGGACTTGGTGCGAAACGAGGCCCGATATCGTGATCGGATTTGCTCCGAATCACTCGGCGTACTCCCTCGCCGCATCTTTGGCCATCTATTTCTCCTTGTGGAGAGATATCAATGGCCCGGGCAGCATGGTACCCTTCCCTGGAAACATGAAAAGCTGGATCGCAAAGCACAACGATGCCGGCAGCGAGATGATCGGCAAGCAGATGATCTTCCTCTCGCTACATCCCGAAGTCAGCGGGAACGGAGAAGCATTCAATGTGGCATCCAACTTCAAGTACGACACCTGGGAAGGAAAATGGCCCCAGCTGTGCGAGTATTTCGGTCTCAAATCCGCGCCTCCCAGTGACGAGTCGAAAGAAGTTCGTGAATATATCAACGACAACATTGGACGCTGGAAGGACATCGAGCAGAAATACCAACTCCGCAACGACATTGCTCAGTCAGGAGTCACCATGCCGGGGTTCGAGATCCTGCATCTGAGGCTTGCTGACTTTGATCGACAGTACGACATGAACAAAATCTACAAAGCAGGATTTTCCGAGAACTACTCGGTCATGGACACCTGGGGCCCGACCTGGGATAAAATGAGGAAGGCGAAGATGATCCCATAGGCTCATATCATTAGGAAGAGGAAGTGAACCGCGTAGGTTCGCTCGTGTGAATGTACACCATTGATCTTCAACAAGCTCCCCGAGAACAATGCCTCCCCTATGCCCGACCTCTCAGTGAAATGCGAGAGCACCATCGTGCTCTCCATTGGGGATCCTCCACTTAGACCGAAGCTTTCATGCTCTACGATCACACACACAACCTGAACATTGGTGGCCTTCGTAGTACGCGAGGGATCAGACACGGAATCTTTTCGACATGCCGAAAACCCTACGATATACAGACCAGGGAGAGTACATGCAAGTGTTGATCAAAAGCTTGAATGATCAAGTAGGCTGAACGTCCAAGGGGAACTGTCCTCCGGCATAGAAATGCAACAATGAACTTGGCGACCTTCGTTGTGGGAAGACAATTCAATAGGCGACCCGGACGTTTATAGGTCAAGCTCCGAGGGGACATTGTTGAGTCGAGTCGGAATCTAGCCAAAACCCGGAGGTCCCGGTCAACGATTGCCGAACCCGCGACTGAGGAGGTTTACTGGGCTGCTTCCCAGTTCGCCACCATTTGCTCGGCTAGCATCATAAGAGAGAGTCCGACAGCACCTGCAGCGTTAGAACTTCTGTAAGTTCGATTCTTGAGTCTTGAGTCTTGAGTCCTGAGTCCTGAGTGTACCAAATATGGGCCCTTCTCGGCTTCAGAAAGCCGCACAGTTTCACCCCGACGACCTATCGATCCGACTGAAGGAAATTGTCATACCACAACCAGAAGAAGATGAAATTCTCGTTCAGACGATTGCTGCTGGTCTTTGTCACTCCGATTTGGTACAAAAAGAATTTGTTTCTCAGGCTGCCTCACAATTTTATTGACCCGCCTTCAGATGCTTGTGGATGGTTCCGCGCCTGTTCTTCCAAACCATGTCGTGACCATTGGTCATGAAGCTGTGGGAAGAGTCATCGATTTTGGAAGGGAGGTAACCGGCTTTGCCAAAGGAGATGAAATTGGTTTTCTGAATGCACACCGTGCGTGCTGGAAGTGCCCATCATGTGCCATTCACTATCTATGGTGCGAGTCAGGCAGAATGCAAATGCAAGGGTACTCATTGAATGGATTTCTTCAAGAGTATTCCGTGGTTGACTACCGGGCGGCGTGCAAACTGCCAGAAGGCATGGAAGCATCGAAGGCTGCCCCACTTTGCTGTGCAGGTATTACAGCATACCACGGGGTACAGAAAGCTCAATTACAGTCCGGGCAGTGGCTGGTGGTAATCGGTTGTGGAGGCCTCGGTCAGATAGGTACGTTTCTAGCTCGAAGGCGCACGATTTGATGTTGCTGATCTTCTTCCCAAGGAGTTCGATACGCCAAAGCGATGGGTTACAAGGTGATCGCAATCGACATCGACGACGCGGTGCTCTCGAAAGCCAAGGAGGCAGGTGTCGAAAACACAGTCAATAGCCGCACTGAATCCGACGTTGCGAAAAAGATCAAGGAAATCACCGGCAAGGGTGCAGATGCCGTTGTGGTCTTCACTGCAGTCAAGGCGGGCTATGACATTGCTCCCAAGACATTGAAGACTGGTGGTAGACTGATTGTGGTGGGATGCCCGCCAACCGAGATTTCATTCAACGCCCTCGACATCTCTCTCGGGAAGTATACTGTGCATGGCGCCAGCAATCATGCTACACCGGCTATGCTGAGAGAGTGTGTAGAGTTTACACATCAACATGGGATTGAGAGTCCTTCACAGTTCTTCAAGATCGAGGACATCGGAGAGATGATTAGTATCATGCAATCCGGAAAGATGGGTGGCAAGAGACTCGTAGTGAAATTCTAGCAACTACTCGGACGGAAAAATGAATTTTCGATACATGAATTACGTCCTTACTGGCAGGGCTCTCACTGGCCTGGATTACCATCGACTGTGAAGTCCAGTTGCTTCAGCCTGACCATGTTGAGCTTCTGCCAAAAGATCGTTATGGCCGTTTAGGGAAGTGTCAATTGGAAATTATGAATCCGGATCTGCTGCTTTGACAAAATCAACTACGCACTTGAGAGCGCGTCGAAAGGATCTCTGCCCACCATGATTTCAATGCGCATACAACCTCAACTTGATCATGGCACGGAAAAAATAATGTTTAGAACGACAAGCTGCTCTCTGCGCCATGCGACATGCACCGTGCACCCTTGCACCAATCGTAGCCTAGACAAGCTCGAATGTCGACCAGCCAAGACTGGCAAAAAGGTGAACACTCCGGACGTAACCATGAATCCACTGTCACTTCCTGCTTCCGGGCGCCTATCACAAACCCTAATCCTCAAGTCCCACTCAAGAGATGGTGCAACATCACATGTCAATCAAGCTTGCAGTGTGTCTTGTGATGAAACTGTAAAGGTACTTTTAACAGCGCATAGAAACCACAATCACAGTGTTTTCCCGAAGCTTGATTTGCGCAGCTTGCAGGAGACAACTCTTTACCAGTCTGAAATACTGCGAAGGCAGTTTATGCCTCATAGTCGGTTCTCCCTCATAACGTTTGAGGCAGCTATGGCGGCAGCCGCAGTGTTCGTTTGGGCTCTACCCAAGTCGTGGCAAGGTGGAAAGTTGTTTTGAGAGACTCAAAGAAGGCGAATCCAGGCGCTGTACGATACAGAACACGAGACCTGTCGTCAGTGTCTCTTTCAGTCGCCGATTTTTACGAGTATCGTGGCGAAGGTCGGAGAAGTTTGTCGTGGTTACGTCTGCAAAGCGCCGAATTGTGTAAGTCCTGGAGAGAAGAACTGTCCAGCCATGGTTCAAGATCGTCACCTTGCGATTGCGTGCAAGCATTTCGTGTTTCGGTTGTTAATGGCGAAGGACAGCCTGAAGCTCAAGCTCGATGATTTTGATATCCGATGACAGAAACTCTTCCGTCAGTATATTTACTGCAATATCATGATCTGCAGGAGGAGCTGACCAGGATATGTGTTGCAAACTCCGAGAGACGAGCATGACTTGGACTCTGCTTCTTTGCAAGAACCTATCGAAACATAATGGCATTTAGACAACTCCGTGCAAAATGTCTGCGGGGAATTCATGGTTTCAAAGCCGCTCTACGGTACCGCTCGCTCATAGTGCTTGCTGCCTACCTGTAGGTTTTTCTTTACCGGATTCACTATGGCCGACGCAGATCTGAATGCTTGACTTGAGGGGAAGCGACGAGCTTGACTTGCTGCTCTTGTTCCCAACTTGATGCAGACGGATTTGAAGTTGACGCAGCCAGTCTCACGCATGATTTAGTAGACTTCGAGATGTACCGTGTCGGTTGCTGCAATGGTATCGGGAGCACCGCCACTGCCACCGTTGGCCTCCCGTAGACCTGGCCAAGCTTGCGCGGACAGTTTCTCCATTGGGGAGAGACGGTTTTCATGTTCCTAGTGTCAACCTCCCGCTTTTTTGTCGGGACTTCATGGCCCAACAGACCACCGCTGTGGGTTCATTCGTCAAATCGTTCAAGTAGTGTTGGGAGCCAGTCGCCACTGGTAGCAGACAGTGGAGTCTCGGCAGCCACAGGAACAGTGACCTGTTCCCTGCTGACTCTGCTGACTTGTGTTCAGCTGACAACCAAGATAGGGTTTCCGCAAATATCTTGAGTACTTACCGCTTCATCGTAGCAATTAAAACCTCCGAACTCTCCACTTTGCGATCACTCGGTTCGGAAGCTCAAGAGACGCTTTGACTGTCCGGTATCTAGCTCATCTTATCAACGTGGTTGGTCTACTCCGTTTGGATAGCTTGGATTTCTTTTGGATCATCCATCGAGATCAGGAACGCCACAATCTTAGACCGGCATCAAAAGCTGTCCCGCGCTACTAGTAGCAGGACGGTTAAAAGGCTCAAGTGCTTGCCAAGTGGGATCAAGTCCAGCGAGATGAGCTTGATTTCTGGAGCACCTGGTAGTCATTGATCGCATACTGGGAAATGTCAATCGTACTTATCTGCAGCTGGTGTTCATTTAAAAGAGAACGGTATCCATCTATGCTATAGGCATGCATGGAGTGAGAAACCACTAAATTTGCGCGGGGCGTTTCGTGGGATGACACTCTTCTCCCAATAGTTTCACGTCGCACATGCTTGCAAAGCCGAATCGATTCTAACATATTGTTTGGTCCATAATCCCACTCAAGGAGCAGTCGCAGTGACCAGGGTCAGATCCACCAATGCGCATTCATGATCTTGCATTTCTCAAAGATCAGCTCGATCGGCAAGCACGACAATCGTGTGTATGCCGCCACAACCCCTTTCATGCCGATTGTGGCACGATCTCCACCTGCAGTTCGGTCAACTTCTCCTCCACAATTTTGGTGTTCGTCAATTCGTGTTGATAGACTGCAACCATTTCATCATCCTAGTGGCAGATCAGTCATGAATTTTTCATCTTTGTTTCACTTGGTGTACGAACTCCGAAAAGTCTAGCAACTTCCTCCAACGGGACTTTCCTCGTATCTGGAAAGAAGAGCAAGATTGAGATGATACCCACAAGTGTACTGGCGATCATCGGCAAGTAATACTTCCACCCGATATTGCCAATCTTGTTAGTAAATAGGAAGTAGCCAACATAATGTATGACTGCACTTACGCAAAAGCGGTGGGCGCAGGAGTTGTCCATAGGATGTTTGCTGCTGCATGGGTTGCCAGACCCAGGTTCACACCTTTAGATCGCAGGTGATTCGGATAGATTTCAGTTACGAAGATGAACATGGCACCATCGCAGAAAATCCCAAACCAAACCGCGAAAAAGAATACCGCAAACGTGGCTGCCTTTAAAGCGGCGATGTTGGGAGGATCTGCGTACAGATACTTTGCGATGAGGCCGGCTTCGATCACCAGGCACATAAGGCATCCAGAGAGTCCGATGGGCATGTATCTGTTTCGGGGAAGTAGGTCGATGGTGAATTGCGAGATGAAATTTGCACCAAAATTCAAGGTTAACCAGCCTGCAGAGTACAGCAATTGCATTTGCGGTCCGTATCCCAGTAAGCCGTAGACGACAGGCGAATAATCTGTTCAAGTAAGTCCTCGTCCTCAGGGTGTAAGATATACCAACACCGGTGCTGCAATAACCTACTAACGATGACCAATGCCCCTGAGCACTGAGTGAAAAAGACCCAAAGAGTTCCGTATATCAAACGTTTCCGATATGGGGCGTATGTCAAGAGAGACATATAAGACGACTGAAACTGGGAGTCAAGCTGGAATTGCGCCCTGATCTGAAGAAACTCGGATTTGGCAATAAGATCATCTGCATCCCCAGGCCGTGTTCTCAGCCAGTTCAAGGTTGTCCAAGCCTGGTCACCCTTGTCCTGGGAGATTAACCAGCGAGGGGATTCGGGGAGCCATTTCAGACCCACGAGCAGGATTGTGGCGGGGACAATTTGAATAGCTGTCTTTCTGTCAGTGGACGCACTACCCGTGAACGTTGTGCCAGAAGTGTACCAATAGGGGGCCGCCATGCGCTGTCATTGCCTTTCCAGTAGAAGAAGCCATAGCCAACCCACGATGCGAGCATGTAGCCAAATGTATTCCAGACTGCGACTTGGTCTACGAGCCAACCACGAGCCTGGGGAGGCACGATCTCTGCGATGTATAGAGGGACACAAGCAAGTAGCATGTATGCTCTGGGATCTGCTGTCAGGAATTCCTGCTTGGACTTTGAATTTGGTGCGCGGACTCACCCCATGCCATTCAAAAAACGGAATGCGATGAACATGGCCTGTGACCGATCAGTGGCTGTGTGTCTTTGACCATGAGCGTAACAAGTTTCCGTACCACATTGACTGAGCCTGTCAGAAGTGCGGCACTGACAATTTGCAGCGCTGCGCCTAAAGCCATTGCTGCTCTTCGACCCCAACGATCTGCCACGAAGCTGCCCACCAGACAGCCGCATACCCCTCCACCAAAGAACAAGGCGCCTATGGCACCAAGCAGTTGTGGTGCGTTGGGGGCAGTGTCAAGACCCATGTATTCGAGAAAGGATGGCTGACCCATGGTGCTTCCAATGATTGAACCACAGTAGCCATAAGCCAAGGTTCCCAGGCTGCTGAAGCATACTGCGGCCACATTGTATCGCGTCCAATGGCGGCCTTGGACAGTGGGTGGCATCTCCCCAGTGGAAGTGATAGGAGCAAGGTGCATGATGTGTCTGGTCAATTTTCGAAAGCTTGGTGAGCACAGACAAGAGAATCTGGAGCTCCATGACAGGAAAATGGACTGCTTTTGTTTGAGGCGGCATTTGCTGTGCTCAAACAAGGTCTTCGTTTGCGGTGAACGTTTCCCGGTTCGCCTGCCTGCGCCCACGTTGTTGCCCCGACCCCTTTGATATTGTGCAAGGGAATCCGGGGGATGCCAGTAACGAACACTTCTTGCGGGGACCCCTCGAGCCCTTTTCCAGGCCGAATCAAATTGGACCGGAATTCGGTCCCCGATATTGTCATGGAACGCAGATGTGGTGTAATGTCATGTATGGTATCTATCTAGCTATGTAAGACGGAATGAGACATGGAGGAAGGGATAACCGTGCCAAGCTGCTAAGGTCCAATACCGGGATCGATCCAACAGTTCAATGACCAGTCGCGGCAGACTAGTGTTTGGTCACCATGAAGGTTGAATTATGCACTAGAACAATCTACAAGGGTAGAGAGTTCTGGCCTGTTGTGCCATCACCAGAGACCATTATTCTATGCGTGCGTAACTTTGGACGATTTATCAATGCAAAGAGAGCAACAAATGAGTGCACATGTTTCTCGCGCATCAATAGACAAGCCCGATTTACAACAAATTCTTACTGACCTCGAAAGCCAGAGATTCTGTCTATAGTCTCCAACTAGGCGTGGACACGGGAAAGTTTTCGCACCGATGCGCGGATACGGCAATTGCAGCATTGTGCGCCTGCAGGCAGGTCCACATACCCCGGTTAATGTCCGTGGCGGGTCTTCTTGCGACGGACGTCAATCACCGACTCGACTGGCAGCCAAAACAACCTTCCGATTAGTCAGTTATCTGGCGTATAGAGGTTGACCTCTCCAGATTTAGGCGGTACTCGAGCTAGCCTGTTCCGGAAATGTTTCAATTGTACAGTACTGCCCAACCCTATAGAGTTGAACTCGGCATGAAGAAGGTATTCGAGATGGTATCTAAGAGGTATCTGTCAGGAATGGCGGTACTCGAGATGTAAAAAGGGGTGTATAAGCTAATATCTATCTAGCTATCGACGAAGACTCAAAGCATGCGGAACGAGGA